TTTTACCAAAAAGAGAGAGAGAGAGTGAGGAGGGGGGAAGTGGGGCGAGAAACCATCACCTCCCCTACTTCACTGACATCTGGGAAGGGCCACGGCGCAGCGGGTTCGCCTGAGCTGGGACCTTAAAAGATGCTGTCGACCCAGCCACTGAAGGCGCCTGGACAGAACTGACCCGACGTTGAAGGAAACGAAGATCTGGCCCCGCTTTTCGGGTTGTTGCTGTTGTTATTATTTCCCCCCTCTCTCTCTCCAGGGAGGAGGTGAGGTTGTTTCCCTTCCCTTCGCCCTCCGCAAATTAACAACAACAACAACTTGGTGGGACCTTAAAAATAAATAAATAAGCCCCTTCTCTCTCTCTGCCGCCGGCCGCCACCTTAGTTTCCTGTTGGCATTCAGCCGCTCTGCCGCCCTGGTCAATTTCGCTTGGGTGATGGTAAGTTTTTCGCGTCAGTTTCCAAATCCTTTTTTAAAAAAAATAATATCCCCCCCCCACACACCCCGATTTCCTTGGTGAGGTGTGGCGGAGGAGCGGGTGGGTGGGCAGGATAAGTTGATGGAGGTGGGGTTTGGGGGGAGAGAGAGAGAGAGAGAAAGTCCAAGGCAGGTGGGCTGGGGGGGGGAATAGGGTGCTGGCGGTGGGGGGAGGGGAGAGCCTTGTTAGTATCAAAACAGAAAGGATCTTGGCACGATCAGGGTGGTTGGAAAAAGGGCATTACTCTGAGTGTTTGGGGATGCCCCGTTCCGGAAAGAGCGCGCCCCTGTTCGGAAAGCCCCCGTCGCGTTTTGCCGTAGTGCCTTGCCTAGATGAAGACCACCCCCCCACACACCATACCCGTCCTTGGTGCAAAGTGTCAGAGTTTAATGTGTGTGGGGGGGGGGGGACTGGTGCGCAGAGGTGGAGAACGCAAAGCGCTATAAAGTCTGCGGAGTGTCCTACCTCTCCAAACCCGGTGCGCTTTTACGCATGGAATTGGGGAGGGGGGTGGAGAATGCGTAAGAATCTGCGATGGAGGAGGAGGAGGAGGGGAGAGAGAGACGGGGGAGTGTGTGTGGCAATCATCTCTCCCCCCCTCCCTTCCCCCCCCCACCCTCTCTCTTTCTCTTGGCAGCTAGCTCAGCAAACGGTAGATGTAGCGGAAAATGGCCGCTCTGGCGAAGGGGGCGGAGGAGGAAGGGAAGCGAGCTGAACTTGAACATGACGCCTAGCGGAGAGCAGGAGAGACCCGGAGAGAGGAGGGAGAGGGAGACGCCGGGGCTTCTCTGGGCGCCGCTAACTGCTGCCTTTGGCCCCGATCCAGCTCTCGAGCTGAAGAGGGCCCCCTCCCTTTCCCCTCCAACCTTGGAAAGATCTCCCTCTCTCCAACGCCCTCCCCTTTCTCTCTCCATCCTGCGAGTAAAAATTAACTGTCTCTCTCTCTCTCTGGCTAAGCGAGCTGGGCCCTGCGGCAGACTCGGCGAAGGCCGCTTCGTCAGCAGTAAGATCTTGAGCTCTGCGGAGCCCAAGGTGGACGGGAGAGGGAGAAAGGCGCGCGCGCGCGTGCACACACACGCAGAGACACACACACCGGCTGGGCTGCAGCCTTTTGCAGCGCCAGACCCGCTCCGCCCCGCACGGGAAAAGAAAAGAAAAAAATCCTCCTCGCTCTAACCTTTACCCTCCTCCGTCCATTTTCCTCCGCACACCCAACTCCAAGCCGGCTTCAGTTCTAAAAATAGACCTCTTTCTTTTGAGTGCGGCGATCTAGCCTTGGGAAGCGAAGTCGCAGCGAGTTCAAAGGGGATTTCTCTCGCCTCTCCCCTCCCCACTTCGCGCCGCCTGGGTATTCCGCAGGGAGCCTTCGATCTAAGGCAACGATCGCTCGATTAATCGATGGCGATCGGTTTCTGTATCCCCGCGCTGCCCGCGCCTTCCTCGGATGAGCTCCGGGCTCCCCCCCCCTCCGACCCTCTCGCGCGTTTACTCTAAAGTAAAGCTCTTTGGAACTCAACGGGACTCACAGCCCCATAGGTAAAAGCGTGCCACCGCCGGAGGGCACTTCGTACGAGTCTCGAGCTGTTTCGCTCAGGAACAAAAGCTCCAGTGCTGTCCTTGGGAGCTTGCTCCCGAGTAAACACGTGCTAGACGGATTTGCCCTGGAGGGCCGCTGCCAACTTTAAGATGGCTTTGCTCAATATTAAGCTGCTCAGAAGTCGGCGGTCCTGCACCCATTTACCTGGAAGTAAGCCCCATGGGGCTTACTCGTGAGTAGGCACTATAGGGTTCCTTGTAGGGCCTACTCCCAGGCTAAAGTTCCAAACCAGCGGGGCTTCCTCGCGAGTAAATCTGCCTTTTGTCCCGAGTCAGGAAGTTTTTCCACGGGATGAGCCACAGTCTTGTAGAAGCTTGGAGTAATATTTATTTTTTTAAAGGGCACGATCCTCATTCGCTTACCTGGAAACCTCATGGAACTGAATGGGGCTTGCTTCTGAGCAGACACGCTTAGGATCGGGGCAGCTGCGGGGGGGGGGGGGAGAACGCCGTGAAGTTTGCGAAGGGGAAAAGTGCCGCAGTTGGTCCGAATGCTTTCCTCCCGTCGCCTCCTCTTCCAATCGCACCTCATTCCCCCCCCCAAAAAAACTCATCCCAAATTCTTTGACTTTGAAGGAAATCTGGAATTTGACGTGGCTGTTCCCGACAGCCGCATAATAATATAATAATTTCCGTGCGGCAAGCGGTGAAACTCGCGTGTCAACTCCCAAACTTTTAAGAATCCGGATTGCGTGTAACACCCTCCCCCCCCAAAAAAATCGGAGTAAGAGAGAAGTGAAACGGGAGGGGGAGCAGAAGAAGGATGGAGGCCCCCATTAGTGATATAAAATTGGCTTTTGGAGTGGGGGCTAAACGCCAGCCGACGCCAAAAAAATAAAATACTTTGTCGTTTGCAATGTGGAACAATAATAATTGTAGGAGCTTATAGCGGATGTAGAAAAATGTTGGAATGAACATATGAATCACAGCTCTCTCCTTCCAAAGCACACACACCACTCAAACATTCCAGACAAACCACCCACATCAATTAAGTTATATAGAGAATTATCGGCATGTTTGATAGTTCACGTGAACAGTGGTTGTCTGAATGCAAGTCTGCATCTCAGTAAATGGCGCATGAGGTGATAGGTCTCTGGTTGGGGGCCCTACGTCTACAAGACTGTAAAGCGGGGCTCCTCATACACGGCGGAAGATCACCCATGCCCCAAAATAAAATGAAGATAGAAATCTAGTTCCACAGGGACTGCCCTGTCTGTCAGTTGCAGCAAAGGGGAGGGGGGGACCTCAAAGACTGACAGTCTGACGGAGCCAGAGGCCTTTCAGCGGCCCGCTTTAGAGACCTAGGTGACGGAGAGAGAGAAAGGTTGTCTTGCTAGATTTCTGCAGGCGGGGATTTTGCTGTGCCTACAGGAGCGCTCAGCCGGGCCGCTGTTTGATGCGACGTCTAGGCCGGACGCAGTGATTTCCTAGTTTCCCTCTTCCCCTTACCTTCCCCCGACCGCAGAATTATGGCTAAATTCTTAATGAAAGGCTACTGTATAAATCATTCTCTCATATATGGCAGTCCTGTAAACAGAGTCGAAAGTCCAGCCCTGCGGATAAAAAAACAACTCGATATTTCAGGGCCTTTTCCCTTTTCATAATGAGAGAGAGAACTGTTTAAATTAACCAGGAATTTTTTTTTTACGCTTCTTCAGCGCGGCTATCCAACTGCGGCATTAGAAAGTTTCCCCCTGCTCCAGCAAGCCGCTAGCCCTCATTGTGAGCTCATTTTACGCTTCCTATTCACCCTCCTTCTTATTTTGCGCCGGTTTCAGAAGTAAACAGGACCGGTATCAATACCTCCGGGCGGATCCTTAACTTCCCAGGAGAGGCAGCGAACTCGCCACGCTTTTGGGAGTTCCCAAACCTCAGCCTTCCTTAAGAAGCCGACCTCAAGTCAAAAATCACGCGCCCTTTTCATGCGTAACGGAGAGCCGGGTTATGGTTCCATTTCTACAGAAACTCACACCCCTTTCTTAAAAAATAATAAAATAAAAACCTTTCCCCTTTCGCCCTTCTTTTTATTTTATTCTGCTTCCAACTGCCGGCCATGTCCGGAACAAGAGTTTTGCGGTTCGGGGAAACTTTGGGAGCCAAGTTAATTTTTCTGGCAGAAAGGGAGCTGGGCCGCGTTTTCTCTTTTCGGGGGAAGGAAATATCAACCTCTATCCAGCCCTCCTCCGGGGTTTTTGGAGGTGGTTTTTGTTTTGTTTTTTGACACCCCTCCCCTTTGCAAATAAGGAGGTGAAGGTGGCCAAGGAAACATATACTGTATAGGTCTTGTGAAATCTGCAACTGGCGAAGGGAAATGCGGGAGACTGGAGGTGTGGGGTTAAGTCAATCGCGCCTCTTTCGGGGATTGCGCCCTGGTGTGTGTGTTGTGTTGTGTGTGTGTGTGTGTGTGTGTGTGTGTGTTGGTTTGGGACACACAGACTCTCTCTCTCTCTCTCTCACACACACACACACACACAGAGAGAGAGAGAGAGAGAGAGAGAGAGAGAGAATGAGTACCACCTTGGCCCTGCGACCCCGGGTGCCCTGCAGCGTGCATGGCCCTGGCACCGAAATTTGTGGGCATCTACTAAAAGTGGTTTTCCAGGGAGCGAATCATTTCACTTTCTGTTGGGGTTGGGTCTCCAAAACCCATGGACGCCGCCTCCCACCCCACAGTCCCTAATTACACGGCCCGCCCCCCCTCCTCCCAAAATCCACCAAAAAGGCAATTCTGTGGGTGCCTACTCGGAAGTAAAGCCCCATTGAATTCAATGGGGGGGCTTACTCTCAAGCCTATAAGCAGCTGAAGGCCCCATTGAACTGAATGCACTTCTGAGCAGTTGGCCTGAAAGGCCGCGATCCTGCGCACATCTTCCTTACCTGGAAGTAAGGCCGGCGAGACTTCGGAGCAAACATGTCCAGGGTTATGTTGAGAAACATCCTGGTTTTATTGTTACTGTTACCAGAATCAACAGCCTGCTGTTACATTAGCTTACCAAAATATTATTTTTGTTGACGCTGGGGCGGGGGCAGAAGGGAATAGAAGTTAGGAGACAGTTGTGACTTCTTTGTCGAGAGCTAAAAACTGGGCTGGGGGCGTTGGAGGAGAGAAAAACTACTTCAAGTTTGGAATTCCCTCCTCTTCAGATGATAGGTGTCTCTATACAAGCTCCCTTTCAGGCAATTGTGCGTCGCTCAGTCCTGACTTAGGAAACTTTGGGTACGCGTGCGTGTTTCGCTTCGCAACGTGCGTGCGGAAGGTCGGTGGCAATAATGGGATTTTTTAAAAGGCGAGAGGGAGGGCGAGAGTGCTCCAGAATAGGAAGATTCCTCTCGAATCCCATTTCCTCGCGAAAGGTGCGCGCGAGTGGGTAGTTTCCTGAGCTGAAAGCCTTGGAGACGCGATTCCTGCAGCGCGTCGTTCCCCTGTTCCGGCGATTCTCACCCGGATCTAGAGGGCTGCTGAGTCCAGCCAAGTTCTACTCGGAAGTAGAGCCTCTCAAAGGAATGGGGAGGTCCTCTTCTCTCGGTTGGAGTAACGCCGCGCACGCCTCAGGCACCCCTTTCTCGGAGGACTTGATTCTGATTTCTAAACTCTCCAAAAAAAAAAAAAAAAGCCACTCTGAGAAACTGCTGAGTTTCTTTCTGGGGAGTTTAGCTGTAAGGATCTATGCAAATCCAGATGATTTCCTAAAAAAAGCAAACACCTTTCTCTCACTCCAAAGTTTGCTCTTTTATTTCAAATCCCCTCCCAGAGGGATAATATGGGAGTTTTCTCCACCGCTCCGAAATGGACATTTGATGATGATGATGATGATTGTATCTCAGGCCTGTTTGCTTCACACCTTATAAAAATTCCCAAGTCTGACTTCGCATCTCAGCCTTTTCTTTTTTTAAAAAAGTAGTTTTTTGGGGTGGGGGGGGCGGGGAAAGCTCCATCTCTTTCCCTCCGTTCTTCCCTTCCCTGGGATGTTAGTACAGCATTTACGGATTATTATTTATTTTAAAAATCATATTATTTTTAGCCCCCTCTCTGGTTGTGAACCTACCTACCCCCTCTTTTAAAGCCCATAAATAAATAAATAAATTTATTTAAAAAAAATAAAACCCATTTGTGGACCTTTCCTCTTTTCCCGGAGACGTTGCCGGAGTCGCATACGATCTCATTTCATTATATGTATTTTTTAAATCGCCTGCGTAAAGGCGCGATCTTTGGGCACGTCTCCTCGCGAGGAGGAAGCTCCCCCCCCCCCGCCCCGGAGTTCGAACGACCTTTGCTCCTAGCTAAAACGTGGGTGCGGGATGGCAGCCTTCGGGTGTTTTGGTGGCGGCAGCTGCGATCCCCTACCTACCTACCTACCTACCCACCCACCCACCTACCTACCTACCTTTTATTATCGCTGTGAATTACCATTCCAGCTTTGCAGCTTTTCTCAAAAAGCGGGAGCGACGCGTTAACTTTTCACCAAAGCGCATTGCATGCACGCGCCCCGTGCGCGCTACCTACGATTGCCACCCCCTTCTAATTTATTTATTTTTTTAAAAGTTGGATTTATATATATATATAATGCTTCTCTTTCGGAGGGTTAGGCGTGCTTTCCTCTCTCCCCCCCCCCCCACGCTCTCCCTGGTCCCACCCCCTCCCCTCGGACACCCTCCCCCTCGCCGTCTCCTCCCCTCCCCCCCCGCACCGATCCATCGCCGGGAAAGAGAGAGTGAGATAGGGAGAGGGAGAGTGTGAGAGGGGGAAATTGTTCCAGCCTCCGAAATGACTCAGTAACTTTTACGCTTGGAGCTGCTTTCTCAAACCTCTCTCTTCTCCCACCCCCCTCAAAAAAAACCCCTCCTCAACGGTTTACTCCTCGACAGCTTGGAGATGTATTCTTCACCTCTCTGCCTCGCCCAGGTAATTAAGGCCTCTTTCCTCTCCCCCCCTTTTATCAGAGATCTCCTTTCCACCCCCCCTCCTTCCTTCCTTTTTGCATTGCTAATTTGTATCGTTTGTAATTATTTTTTTAGGGGGGAGCGGGAATTGAAATCTGTTTCCTCTTCGCTGCTCGGTTCCTTTCACCCACCGCCCCCCTCTCAAAATCCTTTCTCTCCACCCCAATTCCCCCCCCACCCCCGGAGAAAAGAGTTTTGTCCATTGCAGAAAATGCGTGGCGGGACTGCGGGCTTGTGGCGCGCGCGCGCGGGGAGGGGGGGTTGTTGGAGAGAGAGAGAGAGAGAGAGAGAGCGGTCTGTGCATTCGTCCGCCTCTGAGTCAGTTGAGCTTCCTAAAAGGCGCCCGATCTCTGTCAAACACCCCCCCCCCCCACTTCCCCACTTTGCAGGTCAATTGTAATAAGTTTCTATTTGCATCCTATCCTCCTAAACCACCACCACCACCCCCGGGAAGAAAAACAACAACACTCTCCTTCCCTCCTGGTTGTTGTGTTTTGAGGAGAACTGCTGGCTTTTAGCAATGCACGAGTCTGGATCAGTATGAGATGTGGGGAGCAGGACACCCCCTAATCTGTACTCCATAGGCAGCATGGGCTGGTGGTCTGGTGACCGCAAGAACATCCTCTCTTTCCACACTAGGGGGGTGGGATGTAGTGGGTGGCTAGGGTTTTTCGGTGTGGGAGAGGAGAGGCTTAATATCAACTGTTTCCCCAACTGTACACCAAGTTCTGATAAGTTGGCAAAGAGAGAGGGGTGTATGTGTGTCTGAGAGAGAGCATTTTTGCAAGAATGCCGAATGCGTGAGTCCCAGTGTGCCGGAGTTTGCAAGGCTATTCCATGCCAGCGTGCGTAGGGGTTGATTCAGTGTGCACACCATGGGCTTGTAAGTATCGGTGAGCCTTCGAGTGCCCCAGAGGTCTCAAAATCCACCCCAGTGCGCCAGAGCGAGTGTGCAAATGTGCCGTGCACTGCTGCCATAGGCCCCATATTCCCTCCTTGCATGGAAGGATGTGAACCTGGGCACATGGAAGTGAGAACGCTCGTGTGTGCCAGACGAGGCGGCATGCAAGAGCTCGGGCGAGCGAGTGTGCAAAAAATGCGCCGTGCGCTGGTGCCACAGGCCCCACATTCCTCCCTGCATGGAAGGATGTGCCCAGGAACCTGGGCACATGGAAGTGAGAACGCTTGTGTGTGCCAGATGAGAGAGAGGTGGCGTGCACGAGCACGGCGGTCCGGCGCACGTGTTGCCCAGACAATAGTGTCCATGTGGGGCCCTCGTGCAAAGGCTGCGCTTCGTGAAAGCGTGCAAGCGTGTGTGAGACAGCTGATTGCGAGCGAGAGGTGTGTGTGTGTGTTTGTTTGTTTGTGTGTGTGTGGCTTCCTTCCTGTGCCTACCCCCCACATGCCTGTGGCATCGATGTGCGTCGGCCCCCGATCTGCAATGACACTGTTGCAACACAAGGCATGAAATATTCACATGCCATGCTGTATATTTCATGGGAAAAGTCGCTGGTCGGGTTTTCCAGGCGTCATCAGAGCAAGCACAGTTTTTTACATTCCTGTTAATTTTTTGGGGGGTCCCTTTGCTTAGTTGTGAACACATTTCGGTGTCCCCACAAACCTGTCTTCCTGCGGTGCCCTCGTTGTGTTGCCAGTCACGGGATGTTGTGTGTTTTTTCTCGGCTGTTTGTTTTCCCTCTGTGTGTGTCAAAATCCACTGTGGGTTGCACGTCTCTCTTTGCAAAGGACACAGTGTTCACCCTTCCCTCAACGTGGCCAGCTATAAAGTCTTTTTCCCGCATGCAAGTTTTCCTTAGCGGCAAAGCGTTGCCTTATGGTGCCTGGGGCCTGATATTATTGCGGGCTCCTTCCGACTTTTGCAGTGTACTCTCGCGTCCCCTCCAGCGGGGCAGCCTCTCCTCCCTCCCTCCCTGATCGATTCTTGATATTTTATTTTAATTATTGAACACCCGGCCTCTCATGTAACGACTTCCTTGCTGCAAACTAAGGGTGAGTCTTCTGATAAGTAACTCCTAAACAAAGCAGCGTCTCGCAAGAACCTTGACATCCTTTTCTATCAAGAGCATGGATATTATTTTATTTCTAAGTGCATTTGTTGTGTGTGGGTGGGAGGGGGGAACAAACTGATAGCAAACTCAAGGATTTTTCTTGCAGCGGGGAGCATTTTAATTAGGCTGCCCCCAAAACATAGAGAGGCGTTTTGAACAGACAAGGCCCGTGTTGATAAAAGCTGGCCTGAGCTTTTGGCAGTAGATGTGCAAAGATGTGGCCCAGCCAAGTCAAAATTTGGCCCAGTTTCAATATTCCGTTATCAGAATTCTGGACTCCCTCTTTTTTTAAAAAACCCCCTGTTTTCGACAGCTTTGAGACTTAAATTTGCCCATTGCTTGTAAATCCTTTTTGCTGTGTTTTTTTTTTTAAAAAAAAAACAGCCTGGTGTTCTAAGTCCTGTCCCTGAGATCGAACAAAATGCCTGGCTTTCCGAGTTTCAGAATAAAAAAGTGAAAAATCTTGACTTAAATCTTCACCTTGGATCAAACACATGTGAGCCTCTGTAAAATATCAGCCAGTGGTTTCAAAACCCTGCTCTGTGAAACGATTGCGGTCATGCTTCAACAAAGTGAGGTTCGTTCAGAGTTGTTTTTTTTAAAGGGTTTTGTTGGTTCGAAACACCTATCCGTGTGGGAAGCTGCGCGCTGCAACCCTGTATGATGTAAAGCTCTCACTGGGGGAATGGGATGGGTAATTTTGCACCAGATATGGTTTGGTACATGGGACACGGGTGGCGCTGTGGGTTAAACCACAGAGCCTAGGACTTGCCGATCGGAAGGTCGGCGGTTCGAATCCCCGCAATGATGGGGTGAGCTCCCGTTGTTCGGTCCCTGCTCCTGCCAACCTAGCAGTTCAAAAGCACGTCAAAGTGCAAGTAGATCAATAGGTACCGCTCCGGCGGGAAGGTAAACGGCGTTTCCATGCGCTGCTCTTGTTCGCCAGAAGCGGCTTAGTCCTGCTGGCCGCATGACCCAGAGGCTGTACGCCGGCTCCTTTGGCCAATAAAGCGAGATGAGCACCGCAACCCCAGAGTCGGCCACGGCTGGACCTAATGGTCAGGGGTCCCTTTACCCTTTACCTATCATGACGGATAACAGGGGCAGAGTAGGCTGCCCTGTGCAGAAGATGGTACCCGTTGTATATCTGCATGAGTCTCTGCTCTAGATTGGCACTTCTTATTTTTAATCCAGGCAAAAACCAGCTCACTGTTATCCGATGGTTAGGAAACAGCGAACCAAACAGAACACTTTTTTTTAAATGAATGGAACCGCCTTAAAGTCCCATATATATGGAATGATGTGGGGGCCATATTTGCAACGGAGGAATATTTCTGTTTTGCAAGTTTGAAATGCGGAGACGTGCTGTGGATCGCTCTCTGTTTCAGCCACGTGGGGGCTAAGGTCTGCGGTTTGGAGCCCAGGAGCCAATCGCTAGGGCCCGAGGGGCCCCCGCCAATAAAATATTTGAGGGGGCCAGCTCCCCCCAAAGTTGACCATAGCTGTCAACGTTTCCCTTTTTTTTAAGGGAAATTCCCTTATTCCGAATAGGATTCCTCGCAAGAAAAGGGAAAAGTTGACAGCTATGCAATTTCCCAGTACAGTGGTACCTCGGGTTAAGTACTTAATTCGTTCTGGAGGTCCGTTCTTAACCTGAAACTGTTCTTAACCTGAAGCACCACTTCAGCTAATGGGGCCTCCTGCTGCTGTCGTACCGCAGGAGCGTGATTTCTGTTCTCATCCTGAAGCAAAGTTCTTAACCCAAGGTACTATTTCTGGGTTAGCAGAGTCTGTAACCTGAAGCATCTGTAACCTGAGGTACCACTGTAGTGATGTATGGAAGTGAGAGCTGGACCATCAAGAAGGCTGATTGCCGAAGAATGGATGCTTTTGAATTCTGGTGCTGGAGGAGACTCTGGAGAGGCCCATGGACTGCAAGAAGATCAGACCTCTCCATTCTTAAGGAAATCAGCCCTGAGTGCTCACTGGAAGGCAGATCCTGAAGCTGTGCAACAGCACAGTGTTTTGTGTTCTGTAGGCTCCTGTGATGTAAGTCATGGGCCTCGTTTATTTCCTTGACATCTGATGGGAGGGCGCCACCACCGAGAAGGCCCTCTGCCTGGTTTCCTGCAACTTTGCTTCTTGTAGGGAGGGAACCACCAGAAGGCCCTCGGGAGATGGACCCAGGTGTCTGGGGTGGAGACGCTCCTGCAGGTCTACTGGGTCATTTAGGGCTTTCAGCACCAACACTTTGAATTGTGCTTGGAAACGTCCTGGGAGCCAATGTAGGTCTTTCAGGACTGGGGTTATATGGTCTCGGGGGCCGCTCCCAGTCCCCAGTCTGGCTGCCGCATTCTGGATTAGTTGCAGTTTCAGGGTCACCTTCAAAGGGAGCCCCACATAGAGCACATTGTGGTAGTTATGACCTTTAAAGACCTATACGGCTTAAGCCCAGGCTATACGAAGAACTGTATTCTCTCGTACGAACCTGTCCTGGCTCTGAAATGTTTGGGGGTTCCCTTCTCTTGGCCCTGCCAACCTCACAGGCTTGCTTGGTTGGGGGTGCAAGACGGGGCCTTCTCTGTGGTGGCTCCTCCGAAACAACTTTGGAACTCGCTGCCGAGAGAAACCAGGCCAGCTCCCTCTTGGCTTTCCTCCCTCCGGCAAGCGAAGGATTTCCTATTCCAACAGGTGCCATTTTGAAAGGAAAGGGCTTTCAGTAGTGCCGCCATGCTTCTATTACATGCATTTTAATAGATACTGTTTTAATTTTATTAGGGTTTAATGAATGACGGCCTTTTATAGGTTTGTAGCGTTTCTGCATTTTTATCTGTGGCTGTTTTAGACTCCGTGATCTGGGGGCTGGAGGGGGAAAGCAGGATGTAAATAAAATGATGATGATGGTATTCATGTAATTAAAATAGTAAAAATAAAAAATATTCCATGGTGGTCAGTGAATGAGGGCACCTATTCTGAAGCCCATTGGAAGTTCAGGTGATTTTCTGAGCCAATTTCTCTGTGTTTCGTGCAGGAAGAGGGAGAGAGGGCCTTTGAGTGTGTACAGAGTGCATTGGCTATGCCTCTCAAAGGAAAATGAATGCTGCTTTTAAAATCCCATTTTTCTAGGGAAACTCTCTTCTAAGACAGTGTTTATCTTAACAGCTGAATTTTTTTGAAGTACGTGCATTTTTGGATGTACACACACACACACACAGACCAACTCAATTTGGAGGCAATTTAAGGAATTCCCCCACCTCTGAGCATACCCAGAGTGCTGTATCCCCCTCCCACGCAACGGCCCAATAATTCCCAACTCAGGGTAACCAGGTCACAGGTATTCCTGAAGAAGCGCCTCCACCCCGGACACCTGGGTCCATCTCCCGAGGGCCTTCTGGGGGTTCCCTCCCTGCGAGAAGCGAGGTTGCAGGGAACCAGGCAGAGGGCCTTCTCAGTGGTGGCACCCTCCTATCAGATGTCAAGGAAATAAACAGCTATCTGACTTTTAGAAGACATCTGAAGGCAGCCGTGTTTAGGGAAGTTTTTAATGACTGATGTTGTTTCGTGTTTTTAATATTCTGTAGGGAGCCGCCCAGAGTGGTTGGGGAAACCCGGCCAAATGGGTGGGGTATAAACAATTATTATTATTATTATTATTATTATTATTATTATTTTGCCCCTTTCTCTCTTTCCATCCCCGCCCCCCAAGACACAACTTCCAATTCAGCGATTTTAAACCCTTGGCAAGGAGTTTGCGCAGAGAGATTTCTTGGGACGGGGACGTCTTCTCGCCTTCAGAACGTCTGCCTTGCTGGCAAAGCCACAGCATCCAGGCCCCAAAATAGCCCTGGCACACTCAGTGCCACTCCTAGCCAGGACGACGCACTGACCTGCTTGATTTGAGTCCAGGCCCTTGATGGCAAATTCTCTCTCTTTCTCTCTCTCTCCAGCTGTCTCTCAGTACCTTGGGACTTTCCCTCGCTCTCGTCTGGGCTCAGCCACCTCCTCCCTTGATGCCTCTTTTAGAAACCTAGGTCATGATTTTGCATTTCTTCTTCTTCCTGGCTTCCCCGACCTTCTGGTCTCCAAGTTCGTTGGCTTGTTTACTCTCAGGGAAAAACCCAGAGACACGCATCCCCTCCAACGTTTCTCCTGTGAAAATAGGGACGTCCTATTCCATCCCCTCCAACATTTCTCCTGTGAAAATAGGGGCGTCCTATTCCACCCCCTCCAACGTTTCTCCTGTGAAAATAGGGGCGTCCTATTCCATCCCCTCCAACGTTTCTCCTGTGAAAATAGGGGCGTCCTATTCCACCCCCTCCAACGTTTCTCCTGTGAAAATAGGGACGTCCTATTCCATCCCCTCCAACATTTCTCCTGTGAAAATAGGGACATCCTATTCCATCCCCTCCAATGTTTCTCCTGTGAAAATAGGGCCGTCCTATTCCATCCCCTCCAACGTTTCTCCTGTGAAAATAGGGACGTCCTATTCCATCCCCTCCAACGTTTCTCCTGTGAAAATAGGGACGTCCTTTTCCATCCCCTCCAACGTTTCTCCTGTGAAAATAGGGACGTCCTATTCCACCCCCTCCAAAGTTTCTCCTGTGAAAATAGGGACGTCCTATTCCATCCCCTCCAACGTTTCTCCTGTGAAAATAGGGACGTCCTATTCCATCCCCTCCAACGTTTCTCCCCTGAAAATTTTGTTGTTGTTTAGTTGTTTAGTTGTGTCCGACTCTTCGTGACCCCCTGGACCAGAGCACGCCAGGCCCTCCTGTCTTCCACTGCCTCCCGCAGTTTGGTCAAACTCATGTTGGTCGCTTTGAGAACACTGTCCCATCATCTCGTCCTCTGTCGTCCCCTTCTCCTTGTGTCCTCCATCTTTCCCAGCATCAGGGTCTTTTCCAGGGAGTCTTCTCTTCTCCTGAGGTGGCCAAAGTCTTGGGGCCTCAGCTTCAGGATCTGTCCTTCCAGTGAGCATTCAGGGCTGATTTCCTTCAGAATGGAGAGGTTTGATCTTCTTGCAGTCCATGGGACTCTCAAGAGTCTCCTCCAGCACCAGAATTCAAAAGCATCCATTCTTCATGGATCACTGCCTTGCCATGGCGAAGGGGCTTGAATAACTCCGAGAAGCTATGAACTATGCCGAACAGGGCTACCCAAGACGGACAGGTTATAGCGGAGAATTTCGACCAAACGTGATCTACCTGGAGCAGGAACCGGCAAGCCACTCCAGTATCCCTGCCAAGAAAACTCCATGGACAAAGACAACAGGCATATAAAAGTAATGACGCTGGAAGATGAGCCCCTCAGGTCGGAAGGTGTCCAACATGCTACTGAGGAAGAGCGGAGGACAAGTACAAGTAGATTCAGAGCTGATGAAGCGGCTGGGCCAAAGCCGAAAGGACGCTCAGTTGCGGATATGCCTGGAAGCGAAAGGAAAGTCCGATGCTGTAAAGAAAAATATTGCATAGGAAGCTACCAACATGAGTTTGACCAAACTGTGGGAGGCGGTGGAAGACAGGAGGGCCTGGCGTGCTCTGGTCCAAGGGGTCACGAAGAGGCGGACACGACTAAACGACGAAACAACAACAACATAACCAGCGTTCATTGAACAACAGGAAACGGATGCAAATATTCGTTTCCTCCTTCCCCCTCGCTTTGCCCAATTTTGCTCTGTTTCCCCTCTCCTTCCTCCCTAAAGGTAAAGGGACCCCTGACCATTAGGTCCAGTTGTGGCCGACTCTGGGGTTGCGGCGCTCATCTCGCTTTACTGGCCAAGGGAGCCGGCGTACAGCTTCCGGGTCATGTGGCCAGCAGGACTAAGCCGCTTCTGGCGAACCAGAGCAGTGCACGGAAACGCCGTTTACCTTCCCGCTGGAGCGGTACCTATTTATCTACTTGCACTTTGATGTGCTTTCGAACTGCTAGGTGGGCAGGAGCAGGGACCGAGCAACGGGAGCTCACCCTATCGTGGGGATTCGAACCGCCGACCTTCTGATCAGCAAGTCCTAGGCTCTGTGGTTTAACCCACAGCGCCACCCGCGTCCCCTCCATCCTCCCTAGTAAGGGGTATTTAAGGTCAAGAGCAGGGCAGGCTGCTTTGAAGATCCTACCCCTCCTTTTCCTTTCCTAGTGAAAGTTGCGTCCAGGGCATCTGGTCAGCAGACGGGGAAGTCTGAACGAACGCAGTCCAAGCGGGAAGGAGCGAGGGAGGGAGAGCGAAGAGAGAAGGAGGAAGGGTATTTCCAAAGAAAGGGCCCAGTGTTTTCTTTGAACAATGCTCAGCAACAAGACTGGGGGAGGCTGGGGGGGGGGAGTTGTGCAATCTTATCTCTGCCCTTCTCCTTTCTGCGCTCCCTCCCTCCCTCTCCACGCTTTGCAATCCCGCCCCGTAACTCCCGGGCCAAGTCAAGGATGCAATTATTTTTTATTTTCCTTTCGGCATGTGACGCTCTCCGAACAAATTGGGACGGCGAGAGGGAAGGGCCGAGGCAGCTCAAGAGGAAGAGGGGTGAAACGCGCCTTCAAAATCCAGAGGGGGTCATCCAGCCTGACCCTCTTCAGGGGGGCAGAGAATTTGGAAATTAGGAGGGGGTGCGGGTGACGCTGTGGGTTAAACCCCAGAGCCTAGGACTTGCCGATCAGAAGGTTGGCGGTTCGAATCCCCACGACGGGGTGAGCTCCTGTTGCTCGGTCCCTGCTCCTGCCAACCTAGCAGTTCGAAAGCACGTCAAAGTGCAAGTAGATCAATAGGTACCACTCTGGCGGGAAGGTAAATGGCATTTCCGTGCGCTGCTCTGGTTCGCCAGAAGCGGCTTAGTCCTGCTGGCCACATGACCCGGAAGCTGGACGCCGGCTCCCTTGGCCAGTAAAGCGAGATGAGCGCCGCAACCCCAGAGTGGGTCACGACTGGACCTAATGGTCAGCGGTCAGCGGTGGAGATCTCACTGTGCCATTGCAGAACGGCTCTTGCTGACATTCCCGCGAAATCTAGTCCCCCACTGTAACTTAAGAGCTGGTTTTCTGCTGTGGTTTTGTCAGAGGGAATCCTGGAAGCTTCCTTTTGTCAGGCTGCTGGTTCCATCAAGTTCAGTCCTGTCTGCACAGTTTGGCAGCAGCTGTCCTGGGTTTCAGGCAACGAATCTATCCCAGGATGCCGTTGGAGGTTGAATCCAGACATTCTGCATGCAGAACACGTGCTGTTCCGTTGAGCTAGGATCCTTCCTCTGCTGATAAAGTAAGATTAATAATAACAATAATTAACAAGACTAATAATTTATTATTTACACCCCGCCCATCTGGCTGGGTTTCCCCAGCCACTCTGGACGGCTTCCAACAGATTATTAGAAGCACAACGGAACATCCAACATTAAAAACTTTCCTAAACAGGGCTGCCTTCAGATGTCTTCTAAAAGTCAGTTTTTTATTTCATTGACGTCTGATGGGCGGGAGCCACCACCAAAAAGGCCCTCTGCCTGGTTCCCTGTAACCTCACTTCCTGCAGGGAGGGAACCACCAGAAGGCCCTCGGCGCTGGACCTCCGTGTCCGGGCTGAACGATGGGGGTGGAGACGCTCCTTCAGGGATACTGGGACGAGGCAGTGCAGGTGAAACGCAGCTATCCTGGCTAGTATAGCCTTATCTTCCTCTTTTCTAATCTGCTTTTAAAGCTTTCAGAATCAGTGGCCGCTACTTCTCTCCTGAGGGAGGGAGTTCCACAGTTTAACCATGAAAAAGTCTGTCGCGACTCTTCTGAATTACTGAGCAGAATAAAGGAAGATTCAGAGCAGGTCTCTCAAAGGAAAGTGTTGAGTAGCTTTTAGGAACAGGGCAAGGGCTGTAGCTCAGTGGTCGGGCAACAGCCTCCTGTGTCGAAGGTTGCGGGTTCAAATCCCGGCGCCTCCATTTGCAGTAACCGAGACAGTTGCCTTTAGCGTACGGAATAAGCGGCGCCCGACTTCTGAACTTTGGTTAGAGTAGACTTCTTGCCATCAAACACGGAGAGAGCTTCTTGTAGGTAAGAAAACAATGAAGTTGCTTATGTGATAGAAAAGGTTTCTCGTTGTTTTTTTAAAAAATAACTTTTATTCAAAATTAAAACAAAACATATTATCCAGAAACATATCATCCTTATTTCCCCCCATTTTTCCTCCCTCCCCCCACAGAACCCCCCCACCCCCCGAGTTCCCTCAGTTCCAGTCTTTGATTTCTCTAAAAATGCTGTTGTATAGATCCTCAAGCTATTTAGCTGATTATTATCGATAAAAAGTTTGTGAATGTTTATTCAAAACCAGCCAAGGAGTCCAATTTGCATTGTTGTATCTTCAAATACTTTGTAAAGGGTTCCCATTTGTCTTTAAAGTCACAGTTATCCTTGTCCCGTAGCTTGTAGGTCAGTTTTCCTAGTTCTGCATAGTCCATCAATTTTTCTTGCCATGATTCTTTAGTTGGGGTTTCTTCAGTCTTCCATCCTTGTGCTATTAAAACTCTTGCGGCCGTTGTCGCATACATGAAGATGTTTTTCAGCTTTTTTGGCCGATCTTTCCCTACAATCCTTAATAAAAATGCTTCAGGTTTTTTAACAAATGTTAAATGGGACATTTTCTTCAATTCATTGTAAATCATTTCCTAAAATTTTTTAATTACCTCACCATCCCACCACATACGAAAAAATGTCCCCTCCTTTTCCTTACACTTCCAACGTATATTTGAACTAGTTTTGTACATTTTCCCTAACTGCACTGGTGTCGTGTACCATCTGTACAAGGTTTCTCGTTGTAGCCTTAACTTTCTCGCCTTGTGGGAGGGAGTTCCGTAGACCGACAACGTGAAGGAGTCGTTTCTCTCATCCGACACTCAGAGCGAGAAAAAGCTTTTCCTCTATCCTCTTTTTTTCCGTGCCACAGAGGATTATACAAACATTTATCCTGCCGCCACTTACTCGCCTCTTTCTCGTAAATCCCAAATGCCTCTGATCACCGAAGAATTCAAAAGCATCCATTCTTCGGCAATCAGCCTTCTTGATGGTCCAGCTCTCACTTCCATACATCACTACTGGGAAAACCAGAGCTTAATTGTCCAGTAGCACCTTAGAGACCAACTAAGTTCGTTCTTGGTATAAGCTTTCGTTGTATCTGAAGAAGTGTGCATGCACACGCTTATACCAAGAACAAACTTAGTTGGTCTCTAAGGTGCTACTGGAAAATTTATTTTATTTTTTTATATTTTGAAAATTATTATTATTAATTTTAAAGGAGAAGAGAAGGGGCTTCAGAGAGTGGTTTTCTGGAACACCTCCCTCTTTCCGTTAAACTTTTTTTGCGGCCACATTTCACAGTGAGTAGAGATGCTCCGCAGTTTGCTAAACTGCTCCGTGAAGCTCCTCTCTTCTATCTCTTAAGCAGAATCCTTGCCTCCCATTCTGCTTGCTCGCTCACCTGCCCCCCTGTTTGTTGTTGGCCACGCAGGAGTTGACGTGGCCCCCTACTGGCCGAAAAACTGAACTTCAGCGTGACGACAGACTTACGTTTCAATGGATAGAGGAAGAAAGTATGGAGACACTAAAGTCCCAAGAATAGTTGGTTAAAATGAATGGGGAAAGCTAGATACTTGTTTGTGTGTGTGTGTGTGTGTGTTTTAAATCAGTGGTGGCTAGTCCAATGGGGCAAATGGGGCACTGCCCCACCAACCCCAGTTGTGTTTTGTAGGTCTAAACCAGGAATTGGGGTCCGGATTGTTGTTATGTGCTCAGACTATTTTAGAGCCATAGAATTGTAGAGTTGGAAGGGACCCTGGGGATCATCTAGTCGAACCCCCTGCAATGTGTCTGACCTGTACAGAATTCGAACCTGCAACCATGGCATTATCAGCACCAAGCTTTAGCCAACTGGCCGGCAAGCTACCTGGCTGCTGAATTCTGCACTAAATGCAGCTGATAACATTGCAACCAGGGTCTTTTTTTTCAGCCGGAACTCAGTTCCGACACCTCTCAGGATGCCCTTCTAAGAGAACGAGAGAGGCGCTCGTGGTGAGTCCCGGAACCTCTTTTTCTGGTAAATAATAGCACTAATGGTAACATTCCTGGGGGGGATTCGCCGCTAGAGAAATTCATGGAGGAGAAAAAGGCTATCGAAAGCCACTCGCCCCAGTGTCTATGTTCTCTCCCAGTGTTTTTGCGTTGCGGTTGCTGCAAATCTCAGGAGACGGTTTGCTTCAGCCGAGGTGTGCTGGTCCCGAGGGTTAACCGTGCGGTGAGGTCCGAGTCCAGTCCGAGGTTGCGGGTGCGGTATGGAGGCTGTCCGTCAAAGCTGTAGCTGGGTCCAAGGCAGGGAGTCGGGAGAGGTCAGGAACTCTGGCAGAAGAGCAGGACAGGGTGCCGGCACGAACAGGCTACCAACAATGTTGCTCCCGCAACTTGGGACTGGGGCTGGCTAGCTTTTATCTGCCCCGAGGCATAGGGCGGCCCCGGTCCACAAGTGACTCGCCTCTGCCTGGAGGTGAGCACTCTTCCTGCAGGAACTTAGTTCCCTCCGCCTCTCTGCCCTGAGCCTCTGCAGCTCAGGAGAGGCTGGAGGGTTACCGGACCCAGAGGCAACCTCAGCTTCCCCTGACAGGGCTGAGAGTGGAGCACCTGCAGGCAATGGGTCCTCCATCACCTCAGGAGCCAGAGCAGACTCACCTGAGGACCCAGCACAGGTGAGGACCCTTCAGGCTCAGGCCCCAGCTGGTTCTGGAGGCGGGGACTCCTGTGCAGGCTGGGATTCCTCAGGTTCAGCCTCCGAGTCCGAATCCCAGGCCATCACATGAGGTGTCCCTGAACGAAGTCGGGGCAAGACGAGGGACCTGAGCGTGCAGGCCGAAAGAAATCGAAAGATCCATCTGTCTCGAGACGGTCTAATCTCTTTAGCAGGTCTGGCTTCTTATTTTTGAGAGGGAGTGGGGAGACAAAGAGAGAGCTCTGACCTCATGGCTATAGATAGCCAATGTGTAGAAAGAGCTTTGCAGAAGTTCAGCTCCCTCCCTTTCCAACGGATGCTTATGGGATGGAGTCACTGGACTGTGAGTGACGGCACAGGGCACCCACTCATGGGACGCAGCGTCAGAAACCCGGAATGGGAGGCGGTAGACAAATAGGAGAGGAATGGAAGGGTTTGGAGGCAGCTGTGCCAAACGATGGCCACAAGAATTGCCTGCTTGGGGGTTGTTAACGGAAAAATCCGAGGGCTCCCTTGGACAAAAAAACAAAGAAACCAACCAGGATTACTTGGAGCAAAACAGCAGCCTGTAGGCTTGGCCTTTATGGATCTGTTGCAACAGGGTGCTGCCCTCACCCGCAGGAGAGAGGAAGGACCCAGAAAAATGGCATGCAAGGCCTTATAAAGACTTTTGAAATTGCCACCCTGTAGATCAAGACCACCCCCAGAAACATCATACATCCATCACAGAAAGGGTGTAACCTAAGACCACCCCTCAGATACATCACACCGACATCACAGAAAAGGCGGTCTAAAACAGAAAATTTGAACGTTTTTTTCCTCCTGTTGTTGTTTATCTCCTGTCTGGCAGGTTACTTGATTGGATTGCCTGGGGAGCCTGGCCAGTCCTTTGTAGTGATAAATACTTAGTTCCTGGGCCAGGTCACAGGCTCACACCCTCTTCAAACACAGACATATCCTTAAGACAGGATTTGTGAAGGAAAAGACAATGGGGAGGCTTTTCCACTTTGACCTTACAGAGAAAACATTTGGTCAGTTTAGGAATCAAATGGAGAGGTTTGATCTTCTTGCAGTCCATGGGACTCTCAAGAGTCTCCTCCAGCACCACAATTCAAAAGCATCCATTCTTCAGCGATCAGCCTTCTTGGTGGTCCAGCTCTCACTTCCATACATCACTACTGGGAAAACCAGAGCTAGAACTATACGGACCTGTGTTGGCAAGGTGATGTCTCTGCTTTTTAAGATGCTGTCTAGGTTTGTCATTGCTTTTCTCCCAAGAAGCAGGCGTCTTTTAATTTCGGGACTGCTGTCACCATCTGCAGTGAACATGGAGCCCAAGAAAGTAATGGAGGCAGTGAGAGATTTTACTTTCTTGGGAAGGACTAGACCATGTGAAAAATGAACGGAATATTTCAGCTGCAGTTCATTCATTTTCAGCTTTGTATTCTTGTTATTAAAAAAAGCACCTAGGCATTCCGTTGTTGCACCCGTAACTTAGGTTCAAGGTGCCATTTAGCTCCTAGTTTTCATATCTCAGTTTCTAAGACTATCTCGGCCTCGGCCCAGTACACCTGAAAGAGCGTCTCCACCCCCATCATCCAGCACGGACACCGGGGTCCATCTCCCGAGGGCCTTCTGGCGGTTCCCTCCCTGCGAGAAGTGAGGTTACAGGGAACCAGGTGGAGGGCCTTCTTGGTGGTGGCGCCCTCTCATCAGATGTCAAGGAGATAAACAACTATCTGACTTTTAGAAGACATCTGAAGGCAGCCCTGTTTAGGGAAGTTTTTAATGTTTGATGTTTTTAAAACTTTGTTGGAAGCCACCCAGAGTAGCTTGGGAGACCCAGCCAGATGGGTGGGGTATAAATAATAAATTATTATTATTATTAATTATTACAGTGGTACCTCGGGTTACAGACGCTTCAGGTTACAGACTCCACTAACCCGGAAATATTACCTCGGGTTAAGAACTTTGCTTCAGGATAAGAACAGAAATCGTGCGGCGGCGGGAGGCCCCATTAGCCAAAGTGATGCTTCAGGTTAAGAACAGTTTCAGGTTAAGAATGGACCTCCGGAATGAATTAAGTTCTTAACCCGAGGTACCACTGTATTTTCGATTTATATCCCCCCCCCCTTTTTATTTCCCCTTCTCCCTCCGCTGTCTATTTGTCAGTTCCTCCTCGTATACTTTCTGATTCCCTTAAAATTAAGTTATTAACCCAAGGTACCACTGTATAAGAATATTTAGAAAGCACAATGAGGTGATTCGGAAGCCAAAATTATTATTATTATTATTATTATTATTATTATTATTATTACTATTACTATTACTGTTCAAGGCATCCCAGGGCGCCACGCTGGTTGAAAACCACTGCTTTAGGGCGCCTCAGTGAGGACAAGACGCTAGATAGCTCCGTCGGTAGAGCACGAGACTCTTAACCTCCAGGCCGTGGGTTCGAGTCCTGCATCGCGGAAAAGAGGGTTGGACTAGATGACCCTCAGGGTCCCTTCCACCTCGACGATTCTATGCTCCTATAACTAGCAGAGTCTCTCCTCCTTTCCCTTCTCTCTCTCTTTCTCTCCTTCCTTGCCCCCCTCCACTGCCAATTTCCTCAGCTCCCTCTCATGTCGTGGGGGCAGGCGGACGTGCCCTTTTCAACTCCCGGAGACCTTTGCGGGGGGCCCTGGCGATCCCGTCGCGCCGTGCCAGCCAAACTCTGTCGCTTCCTTGGCAGAAAAGGACGGCAGGCTATTTTTAAATCCAGGAGCGAGAGAGAGAGAGGCGTTCCTCTCCTCCAGCCTGGGGTGTTTTCTCTTTTTTGGAAACCTCCTTGGGGGTCCCAGCTGGAGAGGGGCGATTGGGTGACAGATGGACCCTACGCGGGTGAGTAGGGCCGTTGAGGAGGGTGGGGAGATTTCAGCCAGAACACAGAGATCCCTTATTATTTCCCCCGCCCAGAACAAGGAAGTTGTGTTTCCTGATAGATTCCGCCCCCTCTCTGATTTGCTGGCCTGCCTGTGACTCTTTCATGAAAAGCCGACAATTTTCCCTCTGCAATCTCTTCTGAGATATTTCCCTTCCCGCTTTGACTGCCCCACCCCTCCTTAACCCTAGGAAAAGTTTGCAAACTGGATCTTTAGGGAAGAAATTCCCAATATTTTAAAACTCCTCGTGCGCCCCATAGGCTGAACTTCGGCACCTGTCTCTAGCGCCGCGACGGTGGTCCTTTTTGAGCACGTGCAGAGTGATTTTTCCTTTCTGCCGAGTCACGCAGGCGGTTTCAACGCTTGTAGGCAGTGATATCTGATCCTGGCTGCCTCTGTGTGTGTGTCATCCGTCATGTGTCTGTGTATGGCTGGGTCTGGGAGATGCTCAATTTTGCATTTTAAACAGGAAGACAGCGGCACCTTGGTTCTCAAACTTAATCCGTTCCAGACGTCCGTTCCAAAACCAAAGCGTTCCAAAACCAAGGCGCGCTGCTTTCCCATAGAAAGTCATGCAAAGCAGATTAATCCGTTCCAGGCTTTTAAAAACAATCCCTAAAACAGCAATTTGACATGAACCGCTTCTGGCGCAACGGAACACCGTGACGGAAACCAGAGCGCACGGAAATGCTGTTTACTTTCCCGCCGCAGTGGTTCCTATTTATCTACTTGCACCGGTGTGCTTTCGAACTGCTAGGTTGGCAGGAGCAGGGACAGAGCAACGGGAGCTCACCCCGTCGCTGGAATTGAACCGCTGACCTTCTGATAGGCAAAGCCAACAGGCTCAGTGGTTTAGACGCGCCACCCACATCCCTCCTAGCAGTTCGAAAGCACACCAGTGCAAGTAGATAAATAGGTACCGCTGCGGCGGGAAGGTAAACAGCGTTTCCATGCGCTCTGGTTTCCGTCATGCGCCAGAAGCGGTTTAGTCCTGCTGGCCACGCGACCCGGAAAGCTGTCTGCGGACAAACGCCAGCTCCCTCGGCCTGAAGCGAGATGAGCGCCGCAACCCCATAGCCGACTTTGACTGGACTCAACCGTCCAGGGGTCCTTTACCTTTTAAATACCCGGCTATAAAAGCTGGGAGATATTGCTGGGAGGGGGGCAGGGCGTGGGCAACAGAAGAGAAGAGGAAAGCAAGTCTTTTCAACCACCAGCGATGTCTGCATCTCCTCCAGAAAGTATACCGTATTTTTTCCTCTATAAGACTCACTTTTTCCCTCCTAAAAAGTAAGGGGAAATGTGTGTGCGTCTTATGGAGTGAATGCAGGCTGCGCAGCTATCCCAGAAGCCAGAACAGCAAGAGGGATTGCTGCTTTCGCTGCGCAGCGATCCCTCTTGCTGTTCTGGCTTCTGGGATTCAGAATATTTTTTTTCTTGTTTTCCTCCTCCAAAAGCTAGGTGCGTTTTGTGGTCTGGTGCGTCTTATAGAGCGAAAAATACGGCAGTTTTAAAAATCCACCCGGGCGGAAATTTTACCCCTGAAAAGGAGGACGTGTCTGGGAAAAAGATAACACATGGCAACCCTAGCTGGGATTTAGAGGCTTCCAAACTGTGCAGCAAAGTGAGGGGCCGACTGCAGCCGCCATCGTGGCCCCTGACCTTTGGCATGCTGGTTTATGGGCGTCAGACGGGCGTGTGGGGTTTTTTGGGGGTATCCTAGCTCGGAGAAGGCTGCTCCCCACCACCAAGCCGTCGCGGGGGCCGCTCGACGTTCCCTGATTGCCTCCGGGGCACCCGGCCCGGGTCTCTCGAAAGCGGATTAGCTCGACGGCAGCATCTTTCTGGCGGGGCTAATCTGGCGGGAGGGAAAGTTGTCGGAGTGGCTGATCGGATTTCAAGCCCTTTCCTGGTTCATTGCTGATCTCCCCTCAGCCCAACTCCCGTCGCCTAATCCCTGGGCTGAACCCAGATTGGCACAGACCGGAGAGAGCTTTTAAAAGCTTTCCACCGTCCTGGGAGGCTGGGCTGCGGAGGTTTATGGCAAGGCATAACAGATTGAGGTTGAATCCTGACAAGACAGAAGGACTGTTCTTGGGGGACAGGGGGCGGGTGGGTGTGGAGGACTCCCTGGTCCTGAATGGGGTAACTGTGCCCCTGAAGGACCAGGTGCGCAGCCTGGGGGTCATTTTGGACTCACAGTTGTCCATGGAGGCGCAGGTCAATTCTGTGCCCAGAGCAGCTCCATCTGATACACAGGATGAGACCCTACCTGCCCGCAGACTGTCTCGCCAGAGTGGCGCATGTTCTGGTTATCTCCCGCTTGGACTACTGCAATGCACTCTCTGTGGGGCTGCCTTTGAAGGTGACCCGGAAACTACAATTAATCCAGAATGCAGCAGCTAGACTGGGGACTGGGAGTGGCTGCCAAGACCATATAACACCAGTCTTGAAAGACCTACATTGGCTCCCAGGACGTTTCCGAGCGCAATTCAAAGTGTTGGTGCTGACCTTTAAAGCCCTAAACAGCCTCAGTCCAGTATACGTGAAGGAGTGTCTCCACCACCATCGTTCAGCCCGGACACCAGGGTCCACCTCCCGAGGGCCTTCTGGCAGTTCCCTCCCTGCGAGAAGCCAAGTTACAGGGAACCAGGCAGAGGGCCTTCTCGGTGGTGGCGCCTGCCCTGTGGAACACCCTCCCACCAGATGTCAAAAAGAACAACAACTACCAGACTTTTAGAAGACATCTGAAGGCAGCCCTGTTTAGGGAAGCTTTTAATGTTTAATATGTTATTGTATTTTAGTGTTTTGCTGGAAGCTGCCCAGAGTGGCTGGGGGGACCCAGCCAGATGGGCGGAGTATAAATAACAAATTATTATTATTATTATTATTATCCTCCCCATCTTTCTCTTCGAGGTAAACAAAAGCCCAGAACGCTGCGACTTCCGATTGGCTGCGGGAGCCAACCGGAAGCCGCGCTTTGGTTTCCGAACATTTTGGAAGTTGAACGGACTCTGTTCGACTTGCAAGGTACAACTGTAGTTCCACGGTGTTGTTGGTACTCCAGTTCCCAACACCACCCCCTGACTAATAATAATAATAACAACAATTTTATCATTTATATGACGTCTGTCTGACTAGCATGTATCAGCCAATCTGGGCAGGTTTCCAGCAAAATAGAAAAAACACCGTGAAAACATCAAACACTTCTTTAAAAACCCACTTCCCTAGAAAGGGCTACCTTCAGATGTCTTCTGAAAGTCCGTTTAACAATTGCAGACCCTCCAAGTCTCCCTATTTTCCAGGGACAGTCCCGGATTTACAGAAGCTGTCCCGGTTTCTGATTTGATACTAGAATGTCCCACTTTTCTTTAGGATGTCCCTATTTTCAGAGGAGAAACATTGGAGGGGATGGAATAGGACGTCCCTATTTTCACTGGAGAAACATTGGAGGGGATGGAATAGGACGTCCCTATTTCCAGGGGAGAAACGTTGGAGGGGATGCAATAGGATGTTCCTATTTTCAGGGGAGAAACGTTGGTGGGGACGGAATAGGATGTCCCTATTTTCAGGGGAGAAACATTGGCGGGGATGGAATAGGATGTCCCTATTTTCAGGGGAGAAACATTGGCGGGGATGGAATAGGACGTCCCTATTTTCAGGGGAGAAACGTTGGAGGGGATGGAATAGGACGTCCCTATTTTCAGAGGAGAAACGTTGGAGGGGATGGAATAGGACGTCCCTATTTTCAGGGGAGAAACGTTGGAGCGGATGGAATAGGACGTCCCTATTTTCAGGGGAGAAACGTTGGAGGGGATGGAAAAGGACGTCCCTATTTTCAGGAGAAAACAAAACGAAAAGCGCCGCAAATACGAAAACGCAAAATAAAAAGCAAAAACAGACAGACCTCAGCGTAACACTCAAATCGGAAGCGTAACACTCAAAATGGATCTATGGCTCTCAAATCGGAAGCGTGGCTCTCAAAACGGAGCACGTTCGGCTTCCAAAAAAAGTTCGCAAACCGGAACGCTTCCTTCCAGGTTTGCAGAGTTTGGGTTCCAGGTTGCTTGAGTACCAAAGGCGCTTGAGAACCAAGGGACCGCTGTAAGGGTTAGTAGCTTCCCCTCCAGCTGGCGAAATCCTGTGTCCCTTGCCCCGGTTTGTGCTTTTGTGGCGTTCTCGTTTAGGTTACTTATTATTTCTCCCCCCTTATCTCGGCGCCTTTCTTGGGCTAGGAATGCAAGGCCGCTGGGTTTTCCGTCGCAGGAAGGGGGTGGAGAACAGAGCCCAGGGCGCTTTGATGGCGCGTGGCGGTTTGGTGGCGGGGTGTGTGTGTGTGTGTGTGGACCTCCGTCGGGAGATTATCGAAGCCTGAGCACAGATGTACACGTCGGCTAATGAATTACTCCCAGCGGAGACCTCACCTGGCTTGACCTCCGCTTAGACTGCGCCCCGGCGAGGGAGAGCTGTCCTCTCGTGACCTTGCCGCCGGGAACTGCGGCTTTTGTTGCATGACATCGCGGCCTCTTATCTCCCCAAACCGTCCCCCTCCCAACCTTGAACGAAGGCGGGGGGGTGAAAGCAGGAAACACGCAAATCCAAACCCGGGTACGTCGGCGGAAAGACGGGCCGACGTCTTGCGCAAATTAATCTTCTTATCGCTGTTGGTTGTTTTATTTTACTGCCCCAAAGCCCCAATGCGCAGCTTCGTTTGGAAAACTCGCCAGTACCGGGAAACCCAGTGGCATCTAATAAAATGTAGCAGAAGTTCATGCAGTTGCTTATGGGATGGTTTCATCGCCAGTCTTTTTGGACTGGAAATATTGGGCCTGCTTTGAAAGAGGATTTGGGCAAATTACAGAGGGAAAGGAATCTCAGTTGCTGGGAACTGCAGGAGGGGAGAGGGTGAGGCCACATCTGGAATACCGTGCCCAGTTCTGGGTTCGAATCCTGATTGTGGGTTTGAGGGGCTTCTCGGCTGGCCACTGCGGGAACAGGAGGATGGGATAGGTGGGCCACAGGACTGCCCCTGAGGACGCGGGTGGGGCTGTGGTTTAAACCACGGAGCCTATCGGAAGGTTGGCGGTTCGAATCCCCGCCACGGTGGTGAGCTCCAGTCGCTCTGTCCCAGCTCCTGCCAACCTAGCAGTTCGAAAGCATACTGGTGCAAGTAGATAAATAGGTACCACTGCAGTGGGAAGGTAAACAGCGTTTCCGTGTGCTCTGGTTTCCATCATGCGCCAGAAGTGGTTCAGTCCTGCTGGCCACATGACCCGGAAAGCTGTCTGCGGACAAACGCCGGCTCCCTCGGCCTGAAAGTGAGATGAGTGCCGCAACCCCCTAGTTGCCTTTGACTGGACTTAACCGTCCAGGGGTCCTTTACCTTTTTTTACCTTACCCTGGATCAATGGACTTTTCTCAACCTGTGGGTCCCCAGATGTTGTTGAACTACAACTCCCATCACCCCTAGCTAGCAAGGCCAGAGCTCAGGGATGATGGGAGTTGTAGTCCAACAATATCTGGGGACCCAAAGGTTGAGAACCGCTGCTTTAAAGGTTTTGTCTACCAGGGGTGCTTCTGAATCTTGCCTCACGTCCTATGTCCTCACGGCCCTCCTGTAAGCTCACAAGGTACTGTGGTTAAGCGTGCCTAAAACGGCATATATTAAAGGAAACTTTGTACCCAAACGCGGGATGTTGGTGGGGGGAATCGCTTTGCAAAAAATGCAGCTGTCGGGCAAAATTGCACAATCAGCGAACAGGTGTTGATAAACCTGCACTGTGGCGCTGATGTATTTGCACAGGGACCTTATTTAAAAAAAAACAACTTCGAATAAATTTGCAAATTGAAACGTGGGAGGTGGAATTTAAGATGGGGGGGGACGAAACGAGCCACTGAAATGGACAGTTTTTGCCCCCCCCGTAACTGCTAGGGGGCTTGTGTCGGGCAAGGCGAAGACATCGAGAAAGGGTTGAAGGATAGACATTCCCAATTAGCAGGGCAGCTGCACGGTTTCATATTACCTGCCCTGGGAAAAAACAGCCTGGCAGCCCCTTTAGATGAGGAAAAGCCATTTCCGTGGCAGGGGCCACGCTTAACCCTTTCCCAGAACTTTGAATTCATTGCTCCATTTTTTCCAAATGCCTCCCTTCCCTCCCTCAGCTTGTGTGGTTTTCCTGATTGGGAATTAATTCAGCATTGAGAAACCTGAGGCCTCGACGGGGTGTGTGTGTGTGAATGTGGCCCTCCACACCTTTCTGACCGGCCCTCAGGACTCTCCTACGGTCACCACACTCCTTGCCAGCTCTGCTTCACATTTCTGGCTAAGATGCCTCCTCTGATCATAGAATCGTGGAATTCTAAAGCTAGAAGGGACCCTGTGGGGTCATCCAGTCCAACCCCGCGCAATGTAGGACCATGCCTCTCTCGAACCTGCAACCCTGGCATTCATCAACACCACGCTCCAACCAACAGAGCTACCCGGGCCCACGAACTCTCGCCGCCTGGGTGTGGGGATATAAAAAATCGTGTGCATGTGTATTTGTGTAGAAACTAGCTTACTGCGCATGGGGGAAATTTGCATCTGTTTCTGCGCCCACTTATGCCTTCTGGACCCTCCCACCCACCAAGGCCATGTGGCCACTGGAAGGTTTTGCAAGAGGGTCTTCGGCCCCTGGGCTGATTAAACTTCCCCAGCTTGGTTAGATAGCAGAAAAAGGGAAATTATTTGGGGGGGGGTGAGAGAGAGATGGAATCTGTAGTTACAGTGGTACCTTGGTTCTTGAACGGCTTGACTCCCGAGCAAATGGGCTCCCAAACACCGCAGACCCAGAAGTGAGTGTTCCGGTTTGCGAACTTTTTTGGAAGCCGAACATCCAACGTGGCTTCCGGTTGCCTTGATTTCCGAATGGTTTTGGGAGTTGAGTGGGCTCCCGGAACGGATTAAGTTCGAGAACCAAGGTACCGCTGCAAAAGGTAAAGGTAAAGGCACCCCTGATCATTAGGTCCAGTCGTGGCCGACTCTGGGGTTGTGGCGCTCATCTCGCTTTATTGGCCGAGGGAGCCGGCGTACAGCTTCCGGGTCATGTGGCCAGCAGGACTAAGCCGCTTCTGGCGAACCAGAGCAGCGCACAGAAACGCTGTTTACCTTCCCGCCGGAGCGGTACCTATTTATCTACTTGCACTTTGAGGTGCTTTCGAACTGCTAGGTGGGCAGGAGCAATGGGAGCTCACCCTGTCATTGTGGGGATTCGAACCGCCGACCTTCTGATCGGCAAGCCCTAGGCTCTGTGGTTTAGACCACAGCGCCACCCGCGTCCCAGGTACAGCTGTAGTGATGTGCAATTCTGCAAATCCTGGGAGGTCCAGCAATTTGGGCTGCTTCCTCTCTCGCCGGTGCCTCGGAGCGGATCGCTGCGTTTCCACCAGCTCTGCCAAAACCTCCTCCGCCGCGGCAGGTCGGGAGAGCCGCAGGCCGTGGCGTACGAGTGGAAACTGGGGCTCCACCGGCCGCCCAAATCTGCCGCCTGAAGCCGCAGGCTCTGGGTGGGGCACAGAGAATGAAGGGGGGGGGGGAAGAGAGAGAGAGAAACAACATTTCCAGTCAACCTGTGCAGAGCCAAATTTTCTTGGCAAGGCAGCAGGGCGGGGCGTTTGGCTGCTTGGTTTCTGACCAAAATGCTCAATTACTCGTAAGGGGAAGCAGATTTCAAATTGTAGCTGGAAGCTCTTCTGAAGCGGCTGCTTGTTCCGTCCCGTCCCGTCCCGTCCGTATCCTGCCTCCTCCTCCTTCCCACGAGCTCAAGGTCCCTCCCGTTCCCCGTTTTCTTTCCACAACGGCCCTACCGGGTAGGCCCAGCAGAAAGCAGGCAGTTGCTCTTAACTCGCCGGCTGCAGCTGATGAACAGGAACACTGCCCTCCATTTTTATAGGGTTGCTGTGACCTATCTAACTTGCAGAGCCGGTCTCTTGCAAATAGTGTTCCCCCAGCTGAAAAGACAAGGATAAAAATTCCTTAGCTATAAGCTATGAGTGTGGGACGTGGGTGGCGCTGTGGGTTAAACCACAGAGCCTAGGACTTGCCGATCAGAAGGTCGGCGGTTCGAATCCCCCCAGACGGGGTGAGCTCCCGTTGCTCGGTCCCTGCTCCTGCCCACCTAGCAGTTCGAAAGCACGTCAAAGTGCAAGTAGATAAATAGGTACTGCTCCGGCGGGAAGGTAAACAGCGTTTCCGTGCGCTGCTCTGGTTCACCAAAAGCGGCTTAGTCCTGCTGGCCACATGACCCGGAAGCTGTACGCCGGCTCCCTCGGCCACTAAAGCGAGATGAGCGCCGCAACCCCAGAGTCGGTCACGACTGGACCTAATGGTCAGGGGTCCCTTTACCTTTAAGGTAGTCTCTATGGGAGTATATTGTATTTAATTATGGGGTATCAGAGTTTTTAGGGGGCTAACCATTCTGGGATCACTGGGATGGCAGGCTTGTTGGTTTCTGATTGTCTGATTTTTTCAATTTCATTGTTCTGTATGGGACAATGACGATAAAGATTATCGTATCGTATACAGAAGAGGCAATCCTTCCTGAGAGAGCCGAATGCCTCTTCTCAGCTCTGGCATGAATCCACGGGGTGTCCTTGTAAGAATGCCTCTATGCAGAAGAGGCAATCCTTTCCGAGAGAGGAGAAGGCTTCTTCTCAGCTGAGGCATAAATCCACGGGCTGTCCTTGAAGGAATGCCTCTATGCAGAAGAGGCAATCCTTCCTGAGAGAGGTGAATGCCTCTTCTTAGAGCGGGCGTGTATCTACCCAGATATGTTTGGTGGAATGCGTCTATGCAGAAGAGGCAATCCTTTCGGAGAGAAGGGAATGCCTCTTCTCAGATCAGGCATGAATCCACCGGGATTTCCTTGAAGGAATGCCACTACGCAGAAGAGGCAATCCTTCCTGAGAGAAGAGAATGCCTCTTCTCAGCTCAGGCATGAATCCACCAGGATGTGTTTGGAAGAATGCCACTACGCAGAAGAGGCAATCCTTCCTGAGAGATGTGAATGCCTCTTCTCAGATCAGGCATGAATCCACCAGGATGTCCTTGTAGGAATGCCTCTATGCAGAAGAGGCAATCCTTCCTGAGAGATGTGAATGCCTCTTCTCAGATCAGGCATGAATCCACCAGGATGTCCTTGTAGGAATGCCTCTATGCAGAAGAGGCAATCCTTCCTGAGAGATGTGAATGCCTCTTCTCAGATCAGGCATGAATCCACCGGGATGTGCTTGGTTGGAATGTCTCTACGCAGAAGAGGCAATCCTTTCTCTGATAGGCGAATGCCTCTTCTCAGATCAGGCATGAATCCACCGGGATTTCCTTGAAGGAATGCCACTACGCAGAAGAGGCAATCCTTTCTGAGAGAGGCGAATGCTTCTTCTCAGCTCAGGCATGAATCCACGGGATGTCCTCGAAGGAATGCCACTACGCAGAAGAGGCAATCCTTCATGAGAGAGGCGAATGCCTCTTCTCAGCTCAGGCATGAATCCACCAGGATGTCCTTGAAGGAATGCCACTACGCAGAAGAGGCAATCCTTCCTGAGAGTGGTGAATGCCTCTTCTTAGAGCGGGCGTGTATCTACCCAGATATGTTTGGAGGAATGCGTCTATGCAGAAGAGGCAATCCTTTCCGAGAGAAGGGAATGCCTCTTCTCAGATCAGGCATGAATCCACCGGGATGTGCTTGGTTGGAATGTCTCTACGCAGAAGCGGCAATCCTTTCTCTGATAGGCGAATGCCTCTTCTTAGACCAGGCATGAATCCACGGGATGTCCTTGAAGGAATTCCTCTATGCAGAAGAGGCAATCCTTTCCGAGAGAGGCGAATGCTTCTTCTCAGCTCAGGCATGAATCCACCAGGATGTCCTTGTAGGAATTCCTCTATGCAGAAGAGGCAATCCTTTCTCTGATAGGCGAATGCCTCTTCTCAGATCAGGCATGAATCCATGTGTTTGGAGGAATGCCTCTATTCAGAAGAGGCATTCTGTGCTGGTCCCAGGGGGAGGTTACCGTGGGGCGAGGTCCAGGACCTGAGTCGAGGGTCGGCAGACAGTCCTCCACGGGCGAAGCGGGGTCCAAAGCGAGGAGCCGGGCAAGAACAGGAACTCTGGGGGAACAGGACTGGGTGCTGGCCGAAACAGCTCTTCAACGACGTTGCTCCCGCAACCTGGGACCGGGCTGACTGGCCTTTATCTTCTCTGAGGCCAGGGGCGGTCCCGGCCCCCAGGTGACCCGCCTCTCCTGGCCTTAAGGCGAGCACTCCTCCTGGGAGAAACCAGTTCCCTCCGCCTCTCTGCCCTGAACCTCTGCAGCTCAGGAGAGGCTGGAGGGTTACTGGACCCGGGGAAGACTCACCTTCCCCTGACAGGGCTGGTAGAGGCGCACCTGTAAGCACTGTGTCCTCAACCACCTCCGGAGCCAGAGTGGATTCACCTGGTGCCTGCTCCTGAGGATCCGGCACAGGTGCAGGCACTTCAGAATCAAGGCCTGCCCCAGTTCAGCCGGCCCTGGAGGCGGGGACTCCTGTGCAGGCTGGGATTCCTCCGGTTCAGCCTCTGAATCGGATTCCCAGGCCATCACACCTTCCCTCTTGAGAGAACGGATGTGGGACTCCCTCTTGACTGCCTCTCTTTCTCTCTCTCTCTTTTCCAGGATGAGTTCCACCCCTTTATTGAGGCACTACTCCCCCACGTCCGGGCCTTTGCCTACACCTGGTTCAACCTCCAGGCCCGCAAGCGCAAGTACTTCAAGAAGCACGAGAAACGCATGACGAAGGATGAGGAGCGGGCGGTGAAGGACGAGCTCCTCAACGAGAAGCCCGAGGTGAAGCAGAAGTGGGCGTCCCGCTTGCTGGCCAAGCTGAGGAAGGACATCCGCCCGGAGTACCGGGAGGACTTTGTCCTTTCCATCACGGGGAAGAAGCCCTCCTGCTGCGTCCTCTCCAACCCCGACCAGAAGGGCAAGATGCGCAGGATCGACTGCCTCCGACAGGCCGACAAAGTCTGGCGGCTGGACCTGGTGATGGTCATCCTCTTCAAGGGCATCCCCTTGGAGAGCACCGACGGGGAGCGGCTGGTCAAGGCCGCCCAGTGCACCCACCCCATCCTCTGCGTCCAGCCTCACCACATCAGCGTCTCCGTCAAGGAACTGGACCTCTACCTGGCGTATTTCATCCGAGAGAGAGGTAGGCGGGAAAGACTCGCTTCGCGCCTCGGCATCCTTGGGACTTCTTGGTGCAAACAGAGGGGCGAATGGAGTTAGGGGAGGGCGTTTCGTGGCGCCGGATTAAGGGAGGGGCATTTTGTAGTTGTGAAAGAAAGGAGGGCATTTCACAGTTGTGAATTAAGGGAGGGCATTTTGTGGTTGTGAAAGGGCATTGCGTAGTTGTGAATTCAGGAAGGGCATTTTGTGGTTGTGAAAAGGCATTTTGTAGTTGTGAATTAAGGGAGGGCGTTTCGTGGTTGTGAATTAAGGGAGGGCGTTTCGTAGTTGTGAGTTAAGGGAGGGCGTTTCGTAGTTGTGAGTTAAGGGAGGGCGTTTCGTGGTTGTGAATTAAGGGAGGGCGTTTCGTAGTTGTGAGTTAAGGGAGGGCGTTTCGTGGTTGTGAATTAAGGGAGGGCGTTTCGTGGTTGTGAATTAAGAGAGGGCGTTTCACTGTTGTGAGTTAAGGGAGGGCCTTTTGCGGTTGTGAATTAAGGGAGGGCGTTTCGTGGTTGTGAATTAAGGGAGGGGCATTCCATAGTTGTGAAAAGGCATTCCGTAGTCATGAATCTAAGGAGGGCATTTCTTGGTCACAAATCAAGGGATCTCCTCTTGCAGTCATGAATTTTGTAGTCATTTTACAGTCATGAATCACAGGACAGCCTTCCTTGGTTGCGAATTAAAGGATAGGTTTTAGTCATAAACTAAGGAACAGCATTCCTTGGTCACAAACGAAGGGGCAGATGGATCTGTCTATTTTGGTTTTTCTTGGATCTTGTCCCCCCCCCCCCCAGCCTGTCTCAGCATTGAGTTCGTCCCATTTCTGCTTGCAATACCAATTTAAAAATTCTGCGCGGGATTTTGCACAGATATTTGCAGGCGTTTCTCCTGGTACAGCGGGGGTCGTACCTTGCAGACATTTTACTTGCGCCAGTTCAGCTATATGACCGTTAAACTGCCTGGTGGGTGGGATCCTGGCTGCAGAGCACATTTTGAGGGATAACACCGTCTCGGCTGACCCCTTCATTTGGGAAAAGTGCAATCTGGGGTCGCGTTGTGTTTTAAACATGGGCCGAATAACAGTGTACCATAAGGTTGGCATATTTCAAAAAGTAAAATTCCTGACAGCCCCCACCAAATTTTCAACCACCAAAATTGTTGAGCTTTTTGGGGGAAATCTCCCCCCCAAAAATAGTGGTTTTAAGCTTACATCCAGGTTTCCTCTGACATTTTGCAGAATTCCCCCCTGACACTATTTTTACACCCGAAAACCAGGACATGTCGGGAATTTTCCAGACGTATGGCAAGCCTAAAGGTAAAGGTAAAGGGACCCCTGACCATTAGGTCCTGTCGTGACCAACTCTGGGGTTGCACACCCATCTTGCTCTGTAGGCCGAGGGAGCCGGCGTTTGTCTGCAGACAGCTTCCGGGTCATGTGGCCAGCAGGACTAAGCCACTTCTGGCGAACCAGAGCAGTGCACGGAAACGCCGCTTACCTTCCCGCTGGAGCGGTACCTATTTATCTACTTGCACTTTGAGGTGCTTTCGAACTGCTAGGTTGGCAGGAGCAGGGACCGAGCAACAGGGGATTCAAACCGCCGACCTTCTGATCGGCAAGTCCTAGGCTCTGTGGTTTAACCCACAGTGCCACTCGCGTCCCTATGGCAAGCCTAGTGCAGCCCTAATCTAGGCATGCTAATAAATTGCCCCTCCTTGTATAAAAGCAGTATATCTGTCAATAGAACAGGGGGACTGGACAAGAAAGGCATTTCTGAAAAGTAAGAGCTGTTTGTCCGTGGGATGGAAGGTAGTTGCGGGCTCTCCTTCCTTCAAGGTTTTTAAGAGAGGTCAGATGGTCCCCTGTCAGGGATGCTTCGGCTGAGATTCCTGCATCCCAAAGGGGGTTGGATTGGATAGCCTCCAGGGGTCCCTTTCAACTCTGCAGTTCTGTGATTCCGACGAAAACTGGCCCGAGAAGCAACCTGTTTTGCAGTTCCCTTATCCAGAAAGCAAATCACGTCTCTTGACTTCTCTCGCTCTTTCTCCTGCCGGCGGTGAATATTAAGCACTGATAACTTTTAACCAAAAAACTTAACTTTTAACCAAAAAGCAACAACAATGGGGGATAAAGTGAAGGGCGATCGCTGCACAGCATGCAAAAAATGTGTGGTTTTTCCCCTCCTCTTGCTGCTTCCTGACCCTGACCTCAGCCTGTCTGGGTCTGCAGCCTTGAAATCACCTGATCTAATTGCTACCAAACCCCAGGCAGTAAAATCACAGCTGATAAGGCCTCTTGTCACTTTCGCTCTCTGGAGAAAGCTGCCCTCCCTCCTTTTCCCTTTTAAGGTAGATTCTTCCCCGTTTAAGGCAGAACGGGGATTCGTTCTCGGTCTGCGGTTGCAAAAAGCGTGTGTCGTCCCCCTACAGCCTCGAATTTCTTTGATTCTGTCTGAGTCTCCGACGGGCAACCCTGGTTTTTGAGTTAATTCGGAAAGGGGGGGCACGTTTCTGCCGGGGGCCGCACGCCGGGGGCTGGTGGGTCAAGTCGCAAAAGTCTGTGGAGCCAGAAATGCAAGATTTCTAGTGGGTTAAACCACAGAGCCTAGGACGTGCCGGTCAGAAGATCGGCGGTTCGAATCCCCGTGATTCTTTTGCTAATAATCCATGCCTTTGAGCCAGTTCACTAGAATAGTAGATTGCCTTACTTGCGAGAAAATCTTTTGCCCCTCTTTCCTTTTTAAAAAGAAGATCTTCAGAAACCCTTCCTGCCGTTCTCAGCGATAATTCAGGCCAATCTGTACCATGCATTGTGAACCACGCTTTCCTCCCCTCTAGAATCCTGGGAGACGTAGTTTGCTAAGGGCGCTGGGAACTGTAGCGTGGTTGCGGGGGGCGAACCACAGATCCCAGGATTCTTTGCAGGCGATGGCGACGCATTTGCTTTAAACGCGCAACCTTCGTTTTTATCCGAAACCTATTCACCTTAATGAATTCAGCAAGGCCCAGAGGATGGCGACTTTTCAAAGCCTGATAGTCACTGACACACCTCCAGCCGCCCACTAGGCAATCCCATTGCCTTGGGGGCTTGGGAGCGACTGCCGCAGTCCAAGAACTTTATCTGGATCTCTTGCTGGCTCCCTGGTCCTCCAGCTCAGCCGGCAGAGACTCTTGATCTCTGCAGGTCGTGGGTTCGAATCCCGCCCTGGCCAAAAGATTCCTGCATTGCAGATTCTAGCATTCTAATTCAGAGTGGGAACTTTGGCTATGCCCCCCGCCTTTTGCCAGCACTGCATTTCACGGGCCCGACTTTGCAGGCTGTGTTTGTGGGGGGTTTTTTGTGGGGGTGTCGGTTTGCGGGCGACGCATAGTTTTAAGATTCAGCTCCCGTTTGCTCTGACATTATCAGTCTGGAGCAGTCGCAGCCGGTCTCTCTCGCCAGCCCTCCTTATGATATACGATAATGCTCTCTCTCTTCCTTTTCTTTCTCCTGCGTCAGCAAAATAAAATTTTTTAAAAAACAGATTCTCAGCCGATTGCAACGGGCAACCCCAGCTGGTTGGAAAGATCTTTTGCATCTCAATTCTTTCCTGGGCTGGATTTTATTTTTTAAAAAGGGGGGAACAGAGGGTGTCTCTATCTCTCCCCCCCACACTTTCCACAAGGGCAGTTTGGTCAGTCCCCTTTGCTATTTTCCTTGTTTATATTTTAGGGAGATATTTTCAGGCTGATCATGCTCATAGTGATAACGATAAATGCGGCAAGGTGGCACGCAGTAAAATAAAATACATTAGTAAGTACCGGTCTGTAAAAAGGGAAAAAAACAAACACTTTTAAAAAGGGGATGTTTAAAAGAAGGCGGGACTGAACTTCCAGTGGCGGGGAGTTCCGCAGGGCAAAGCCTCATCCTGAGGCAGACTTTCACTAACAAAATGAATAGGGGCAAATGTCAGGTTCTGCACTTAGGAAGGAAGAACCAGATGCACAAATATAGGGCATCTGGCTTACTAGCAATAACCAAATAGCCCCCCCAAAAAAACCCCACATTTTAAGAGGGCATAGGATGTAAATCAGATCACCCAAAGGCCTAGTTAAAATGGAACGTTTTTGCCTGGCCCCCAAAAGTGTGTAATGAAGGCACCAGGTGAACAGACGGGGAGCCACTGCAGAGAAGGCCCCGCTCTCGTGTTGCCACCCTATGGACCTCTTGAGGAGGGGGCACATGAAGGAGGGCCTCAGAAGATGATTTCAGGGTCCGGGTCAGTTCATATGGGAAGAGGCGGTCCTTGCGAGATTGCGGTCCTGAGCCGTTTAAGGCTTTATAGGTCAGAACCAGCACTTTGAATTGGGCCCGGAAACTGATCGGTAGCCAGTGCAGTCGGACCGGGATCGGTGTAATAGGCTCAAATCGTCTTGCCGTCCGGTGAGCAACCTGGCCACTGAATTCTGCACCGGCTGAAGTTTCCGAACCAGCTGAAGCTAATGGAAGGCTATGTTCTGAATATCAATGGTTGTTAGGGACGCGGGTGGCGCTGTGGGTTAAACCACAGAGCCTAGGACTTGCCAATCAGAAGGTCGGCGGTTCGAATCCCCACGACGGGGTGAGCTCCCGTTGCTCGGTCCCTGCTCCTGCCAACCTAGCAGTTCGAAAGCACCTCAAAGTGCAAGTAGATAAATAGGTACCGCTCTGGCGGGAAGGTAAACGGGGTTTCCGTGTGCTGCTCTGGTTCGCCTGAAGCGGCTTAGTCCTGCTGGCCACATGACCCGGAAGCTGTACACCAGCTCGCTCGGCCAGTAAAGCGAGATGAGCACCGCAACCCCAGAATCGGCCGCGACTGGACCTAATGGTCAGGGGTCCCTTACCAATGGCTGTTAGCCACAAGAAGGGAGAAAATGCTATGGTTTCCGAAGCCACCTGGATGGTTGCGCGAGAGGAGGACACGGGATGGGGCGGGCCGTCGTCCCGATCCACCGGGGTCCTCCTTGCGGGTTCAATACCGTCACCGTTCTTAATCTGGCCGGAGAAAGCAGCGAATGCAATCGCGCCCTTCTCTTCCTTCCCCCTCCCTCTGCCGTTCAATATTCCCCCCTTTGGATTTTGGATCTGCAACCGCAGTGGGGGGAGGGGGAAGGGCCGGCGCGTGCGTGCGTGTATATACGTGTGCCCGGAGTTCCTTCCTTCCTTCCCCACGCCTTCGCCGCCTCCAGGACTGGGAGGTCGCGGCTGAAAGTCAAAAGCGTTGCAGCGTAATGGTAATCAATCTCCTGCCATCGATCAAATCATATTGCGCCTTTTGCTTAGTGCTCTGGCAAACAAGGAAAGGTTTTCCGTAGTGGGAGGTGGGGTGTTTTTTTTGCACAGGCGTAGAGTGGAGGGCGCTTGTGTATCGGGGGGCGTGTGTTTGGTGGGGGGAGGTTTTTTGGAGAGAGAAAAAAATGCTATTTTTGGAGATGCAGACTTGGCCACAAGGAGCCGGTCAAGAAGATTTTGACCTCCTTGCAGGCAATCTTGAAAGGATCGTCCAGCAAAAATGTGACTCCTGATTGCTGGGAGGTGCTCCAGATCACTGTTGGAAGCTATGAGCCAAGCAAGCCAGCCTCTTGGCTAATAATAATAATAATAATAATAATTTATTATTTATACCCCGCCCATCCGGCTGGGTTTCCCCAGCCACTCTGGGCAGCTTCCAACAAAACACTAAAATTCAATAACCTATTAAACATCAAAAGCTTCCCTAAACAGGGCTGCCTTCAGATGTCTTCTAAAAGTTTGGTAGTTGTTGTTCTCTTTGACATCTGATGGGAGGGCGTTCCACAGGGCGGGCGCCACCACCGAGAAGGCCCTCTGCCTGCTTCCCTGTAACTTGGCTTCTCGCAGCGAGGGAATCGCCAGAAGGCCCTCGGCACTGGACCTCGGTGTCCGGGCAGAACAATGGAGGTGGAGACGCTCCTTCAGGTATACAGGACCGAGGCCGTTTAGGGCTTTCAAGGTCCGCACCAACACTTTGAATTGTGCTCGGAAACGTCCTGGGAGCCAGTGTAGGTCTTTCAAGACCGGTGTTATGTGGTCTCAGCGGCCGCTCCCAGTCCCCAGTCTGGCTGCCGCATTCTGGATTAGTTGTAGTTTCCGGGTCACCTTCAAAGGTAGCCCCACATAGAGTGCATTGCAGTAGTCCAAGCGGGAGATAACCAGAGCGTGCACCACTCTGGCCAGACAGTCCGCGGGCAGGGAGGGTCTCATCCTGCGTAAAACCATAAACAGAAGCCATCTTTCATTAGCACGGGAAACCTCCATGTCTATGGATGAAATATGGTCCTCTGGCCCTCCCTACCTGGCCTCAGAACTCTCCCAGGCCACACCCCTTTCCCCCAGGCCACACCCCCTTACTGGTCTTGCTTCTCTGGAGAGGAGTGTGTGTACAAAGTTAAAATTCGCACCCACTGCTCCGCCCCTTTTGACAAACCGCTCCGCTAAGAGCCTCTTCCTAATCTGCCTGCTCACCTACCTGCCTCCCTGTTCATTACGCTGCGGTTGGCGCGGCCACCTACTGGCGGTTGCAGAAACTGCAGCGTGACGACAGCCTTAGGTTTATATTTATAGAGGAAGAAAGGGCAGGTGCTTTTTATGCAGAAAGCCCCGCGGATATTTGGTGAGGGGTAGGAGGCAGACCGACGCTCACTTTTCTAGGTGGTGGCTGGTCCGTTTGGGGAAATGGGGCACTGCTGCCCCCAAACTTAACCAGCCTTTTTTGCCCCTCCTTACAACCAGTCCGGAGGGTACCCTTCGCTGTCAGTTCCATCCACCACCTCCTTAGCCTCAGAACTCAGGAGGGACCAGGATGCAGTCAAACTGAGAATCATTTGGTACTGTTGGTAGTTGTCTATGGCGCCCCCTGCTGCTGGGCTCCCTGCCTTCCAACCTATGAGCCCCACTGGGCGCCAGCCAACTTGGGGAAGTGGATGTATTCAGCGCTGAGCCCCTCACATTGGAACAGAGGACGCTGCCTTCTATCTATCCCAGCAATGTCAACACTGGTTGGCAGCGTCTTTCCGTAGGTTTCAGATGGGGGGACCTTTGCGACCCTAACTGGAGACGAACAGGGGTCAAACCTGAGGTCTTTTGCATGCAAACCGGCTGCTCTGCCACTTAGCTCTTCCTCTAAAGATGAGGCAAGAGTCTAGTCCTCATCCTTTTGAACAGACAGCTGCTTTTACAGAGGTACCTAGGAATCGGTTAAACACCAAGCCAGGGTATTGGTGCAGCGAGTCCTCAGGTTCTTCGTAAAAAATGTGGGTTTCTATTTATCCCCCCTCTGGACAGAAATGACCCACAGCTCTGCCCAAGATAAATCACAGGGGTTTGAAAAATATTAGGAGTCCATTCCTTCTCTTCCTCAAGTTTGCGGAAGGGTTTGCTTCCTAGGCTTAACGATCGGCAGAAGACGAGAAGCTGGAACGCAACGGCGATGAGCAATTTAGGGGTCTTACCAGCCCCGTCTGAGACCCTTCCTGCCCACAGACTGTCTCCCCAGAGTGGTGCATGCTCTGGTTATCTCCCGCTTGGACTACTGCAATGTGCTCTCCGTGGGGCTGCCTTGGAAGGTGACTCAAAAACGGCAACTAATCCAGAAAGCGGCAGCCAGACTGGGGACTGGGAGTGGAGACCATATATTACCAGTCCTGAAAGACCTACATTGGCTCCCAGGATGTTTCCAAGCACAATTCAAAGTGTTGGCGCTGACCTTGAAAGCCTTAAATGGCCCAGTATCCCTGAAGGAGCGTCTCCAGCCCGGACACCGGGGTCCATCTCCCGAGGGTCTTCTAGCAGTTCCCTCACTGGCAGAGGGCCTTCTCAGTGGTGGCACCCTCCCTGTGGAACCCGTCAAATGTTAAGGAAATAAACAACTGACTGACTTTTAGAAGACATCTGAAGGCTGCCCTGTGTAGGGAAGTTTTCAAAGCTTGGTGTTTTATTGTGTTTTTAATATTCTGTTGGGAGCCGCCCAGAGTGGCTGGGGAAACCCAGTCAGAGGGACAGCATACAAACAATAAGAAATTATGATTATTATTATCGTTCTCCACCTGAGGCAGCGGGGACGGCTTGCTTCTGTGTGTGGCACAGGAAGAGACTGGCACTGTTGCAGTGCCACCTTACAACGATCTGCCAGCTTCTCACCTTTCCAAGGAGGCCGGGCTGTTAAGTGGAAGTGACTTGTTGCCGGCTTTGGGGTCAGGGGGGACGAGTTGCGGTATATCTCCCCCAAACTGAGGTCCAGCGCCGAGGGCCTTCTGGCGGTTCCCTCCCTGCGAGAAGTGAGGCTACAGGGAATCAGGCAGAGGGCCTTCTCGGTGGTGGCACCCGCCTTGTGGAAATAAACAACTATTAGTAGACATCTGAAGGCAGCCTTGCTTTCCGGGACGGCTTCTGCAAATCAGGAATGCCTCTGGAAACTTTGAATAAAGGTATGAAATTCACTGCATGTGCTGGACTTAGAGAAAATATGGAACAAATGATGTACCAATGGTACATCACACCCGTGAAATTAGAAAAAATGTACAAAACTGGAGATAAAACATGCTGGAAATGCAAAACCAAAGAGGGTAATTTCCACCATATGTGGTGGACCTGTGAAGAAATTTAAAAGTTTTGGGGACTTATATATGATGAATTAAAAAAAAAAAATCAAATATACCTTTCCTAAAAAACCCGAAGCTTTCCTTTTGGGAATGATTGGAGAGGAGATTAAGAAAGAAGACCAAACATTGTTTCAATATGCTACGGCAACTGCTAGGATACTGATAGTACAAAATTGGAAAACCTCAAATATCCCAACTGTCAAAGATTGGCAAACTAAATTATTCGAGTACATAGAACTAGCAAAGATGACTCAAAAAATCAGATACCAAAAAAGCACAAAGTTTATTAATGATTGGAACAAATTTATAACATACACTGAAACAAATTTAGGAAATTTTAAAATTACAGTAGGTGTAACATAAATCCTGCGATGTGAAGATATTGCAAAATGCAGAAAGGAAAGTTTGTTATATAGTCCAAACCGAGATGGAGGGAAGTCAGTTACTGTTATGTTGTTAATTAGTGTGTGTTTGTTGTGTTTTTTTGTGCGTGCTGTTTTGTTGTTGTTTTTTATGTTGTTGTTTGGTTAATAGTAATCAATAAAAAGAAATTTTTTTTAAAAAAAGGAATGCCCCTGGAAAACAGGGACACTTGGATAGTCCGGAGTATGCATTGTTCCGGCGAGGAGGGAGCATCTTTCTGTGGTTCTCCTCAGGTGTCCAAACGTCTTGCGCCGGCCCTGAGCACAGGATCCCACCCCCCTCCAGCTCCTAGCCAATTTGATCTCGAGAATTCCCATCTGCTGGGAGAGGACTCAGCGGATCAGGGCAGAAAGGGCAATGCGGTAGATTCTCTCACTTGCGCGATGTACGATGCACTTAAACTCTAACTCTCTCTCTCTCTCTCTCTCTCTCTCTCTCTCTCACACATTCATGTTTTGCAAGCTTGTGGTCACGTCCCCCTCCCTCTCCCCATGCATTAGTAATAAGCTCAACATTGCAGACTGCGGTTACGGCTGATGGAAAAAACAAAAAACCTCAGAGAAATTCAAGTTTCCCCGGGGCGAAGCGAGAGGTGACCCTTATTCGCTCTCTTCCCCCTTTATAATGTACCCTGAAAGAGAATCGCAGAGTTGCAGAGTCAGAAGGGACCCCGAGGGTCATCTAGTCCAACCCCCCCAAAAAGAGGGTTCCTGGGTGGTGTAGCTTGTTACGGGCACTGAGAGCTGCGAGGGGGCGAGAAAGGAGAGCGAGGGGGGGTGAGCCGCGAGGTGGGCAAGTTTGCCGACGGCACTCAGTCGCTTGTGGGCGAAATCACGAAGAAGGAATCTCTCCAAACTGCAATTCTGCGCGAAGAAGTGTAAATTCCGGGCGAGAAATTATAATTTCACTTCAACTAGCAGACCAGGAGGGACGCGGGTGGCGCTGTGTGTTAAACCACAGAGCCTAGGGCTTGCCGGTCAGAAGGTGGGTGGTTCGAATCCCCGCGATGACAGGGTGAGCTCCCGTTTCTCGGTCCCTGCTCCTGCCAACCTAGCAGTTCGAAAGCACACCAGCACAAGTAGATCAATAGGTACCGCTTTGGCGGGAAGGGAAACGGCGTTTCCGTGCGCTGCTCTGGTTCGCCAGAAGCGGCTTAGTCCTGCTGGCCACATGACCCGGAAGCTGTACGCCGGCTCCCTCGGCCAATAAAGCGAGATGAGCGCCGCAACCCCAGAGTCGGCCACGACTGGACCTAATGGTCAGGGGTCCCTTTACCTTTACCTTTCCACAGTGAAAACAAGGCTCAAGGCGGCTTGCTGGGAACCCTAGACCGGGCGATCCTTTGGGGAGCCCTAGAGCCCAAGGCTGCTCTGCTGCAGGGAACAGACAGATTTTGGGGGTCCCCTCTAGCTCAGGCCAAAGGGGAGCTGCCCATATAGGCCGGCACTCTGTCCTCACACTGGCCAAAGCGACGAGCAGGAGGATTCGGACGCGAGAGCGCTAGTCCCCTCTTGCGGTTTCCCAGCCATCAGAGACGAGGCACAGCCGCCGTGGGTAAACCAGTGCTGCCCCCCAGATGTGTGGGTGCCCCCTCCCCTTATCCCCTTGAATTAAAGATGAGTTTTTGAGAGGGGGAGTCTGGTCTGCACCTGTCTCTCCCACCGGCCAGATCTCCCCAAGCTTTGGCAACCTCCCTGCCCCTCTAATGGGCTTTCACTTCCCCACTTGGCAGCCTGCCCCCCTTCCATTCGATGCCACGCTTGGCGGCAGCTGCCAGGGCGCCCCCTCCCTCCCTCTCCCTCTCCCCCAGCCGCCGCCAAACCAGTCTCCTCCCCACCCAAAATGCCGACGTTTCCCTGCCAAGAACTCCATTAGGGAAGCTCATTTCGCCTTGGCAAAGACGGGGATGCCAGCTTCTCGGGGCAGCCAGGAGGGCGCGTAAAAATGATTTCTCTCGGGGATCCGCTATCTGACACTGACAGCTGCGGGGGTTTCCCCCCCTCTCCCTTTTTTTCTTTTTGGGTGGGGGCCTGGAAAGGGGTGTCTGCATAGCCGAGACCTAAGAAGGGAGCCAGTTCTGTTGCAAGGGCTTTTTCCAGGCAGGTAAGACCCACGGCAACCCAATATTTGACTTGCTTCGGGGTCAAGGTCTCCCGTGCAGGTGGTCTGAGTTCGAATCCTCGCTGGCATTTCCAGAAAGGCAAAGGCGCCCTGGGAGCGGCTGCCAGTCTGTGTCTGCAATACTGAGCTAGGTGGACCTAGGGGTCTCACTCTGCACCCCTCCTCTATCCCAAGATCACAGCCCATTAAATCATCCGGCAGCCAGTATTCTTACAGCAATTGGCCCCTTCAGCCACGCTGGCATTCTTACGCTATTACCTTATTTTTATATGTAACTTTTTGTTTAATTTTCTGTTTTGCAATTTAAAGCACTCGCTTTACATCCTTCAGATATCAGTGGCTTCCTTCCTTCTTCATTTTGCATATCATAAATCCCTGCATATTTTACAAAAGCCATACCAATCGGTTTTCCGTTATTGCAGCCATCGAAACTTACTCACACTGCTGAGTTTATCTTAATGCTTCCACAGTTTTCAAATATACACAATTTTCACCCATATATTCAATAAACATTTTCCAGTCTTCTTTAATATGTTCTTTTTGTTCTCTTATATTCTGCGTATATTCCATCAGCTCAAGTTGCCATCCTTCTTCAGTTGGGACCTTGCTCATTTTCCATTTTTGGGTTAACAAAACACGGGCCGCAGTAGTAGCATACATAAATAGCCTTTTTTGACACCTGGGAATTTCTGTCTGAATTATCCCCACCAGGATGGACTCTGGATTTTTTGGGGAAAGTACTTTTAAACCATTTTTCCAGTTCATTATGGATCATTTCCCAATACTCTTCTTAAATCCTTTCTGACCCGTGGACTGAGTCACCCCAATTCTTTTTCTCCCTCGTTCTTTTTCATATATATTAATTCCCACCATGCCTCTTAAAGCAATGTTTCTGAAACTTGGTTCTCCAGCTGTTTCTATACTACAACTCCCATCATGCCTAGCGAGCGGGACCAGGCATCATGGGAACTGTAGTCCAAAAAACCTTAAACCTAAGAATCATAGAATTATACGGTTGCAATGCAGGAATCCCAGCTGAAGAGTCACTAGAGTGGTTGTTCTTTTCCTGGGTAGTAAAGAAATCTACAGATTGCTGCTCCCAAAATTCTGCAACGAGACCGGCTTGCCGCCGCTCAAAGATGGCAGCGGTGCTTCTGCGGACTTAAATATTTTATAGAAGGCTTTTAAACGCTCTAAGTGCCGGATGGGTTTTTGGGTCTCGATCCAAATGGTGGGTTCTCTTCTGTGCCTTTGGTAGCAGAGAATCGGTTTCTATTTTCATGGGAGAAACGTTGGCGGGGATGGAATAGGACGCCCCTATTTTCAGGGGAGAAACGTTGGAGGGGATGGAATAGGACGCCCCTATTTTCAGGGGAGAAACGTTGGAGGGGATGGAATAGGACATCCCTATTTTCATTGGAGAAATGGAGTTGTGCGATCCCTGAGCCACAGAGATAATCAAAGATACAACCTTTAGAAGACATCTGAAGGCAGCCCTGGATAGAGAAGTTCTTTTGATGTTTAATATTTTTATATATTCTGTTGGAAGCCACCCAGAGCAGCTGGGGCAACCCAGTCAGATGGGCGGGGTATAAATATTAAAATGATGATGATGATGGAATAGGACATCCCTATTTTCAGGGGAGAAACGTTGGAGGGGATGGAATAGGATGTCCCTATTTTCATCGGAGAAACGTTGGAGGGGATGGAATAGGATGTCCCTATTTTCAGGGGAGAAACATTGGAGGGGATGGAATAGGACGTCCCTATTTTCACGGGAGAAACGTTGGAGGGGATGGAAAAGGATGTCCCTATTTTCAGTGGAGAAACATTGGAGGGAATAGAATAGGATGTCCCTATTTTCAGGGTAGAAACGTTGTAGGGGATGGAATAGGACGTCCCTATTTTCAGGGGAGAAACGTTGGAGGGGATGTTGCATTTTCCAGAAATGGGTCTTCAGAAGCGTTTAATTCCTCTGACCATGTAGAGTGTAGCCCTTGTGGCTCAATAATCCTTTCCACCTCCAGGAATTTTCCCCCATCCTCTTTCGAAGCCGTCTAGGTTGGTCCCGTAGTTTAAAGCGGGACGTTTTCTTTTATCTATCCTGAAAACAATATGGCGGGCAGCCGGAGAGATAGACAGATATTGGGGCAGCTGCTATCTCTCAATTCTCCTCTCTGGGAAGACTTTTGATAAATAAGCGGCATTTTTCGCCTCCCTAATTGCACAATTAAAGGCGCGCGGTTTAATTCGCGTGGCCCCAACACAAAGACCTCTCCTCTCTGTGTGTGTGTGTGTGTGTGCCTGCTTTAATTCCCTCCCTCTCTTGGCATGATAGAAGACCCCACCCCACCCAAAAGGGAACCTGATGCCCACGGCTGGCACCATTCGACACCACTCTCTCCAATGCAGGCCGCCTTGGCACCGGTGCCCGTCAGGGAAAACCCAGCAACAGCTGTCGGCCTTGGCACCCCACAGATGAGGCCGCGCAGATGGCAGTGCCAGCCTTGGGCAGATGGGTGGCAGGTGGCGAGGCGACACTCAGCCCCCCCCAAGCCAGCCCAGGAGTGGCTGGGAAAAGAGCCCCTCTCTTGTCTCTGTCCTGGAAGGAAAAAAAAATCAAGTTATCGCCAGATGGCGGCTGGGCAGTGTTGGCATCGGCCAACTGGCGAAGCAGAAAACAATGGCTGTGGGGACTGTGTTTTTCCCCCCCATTGTGGAGGGTGGGTTTTGTTTGTTTGTGATGGGAGAGGGACCCCACTCCTTTTGAATGGGCGCAGATTGCAAATCCCAGACGCCTCTTAGTTTAGTGGGGAGGGGCGTCAAGAACGCAAGACGCTGGCATGGGTAAGGATAAAAAGCATAGCTGGTAGATTTGGGGCAAATCTCTCTTCAACTCAGTGTGCTGTTGGCGATGCCGGGTTGACCTACGGAACTCTCCGCCACAAGGCGCTGAAATGGATGGAGAAGGGAATCGCCCCTGGGCTTGCTAAAATCTCTTGGCCGGCTGGAGAATTTGTTGTTGTTGTCATTTAGTCGTGTCCGCCTCTTCGTGACCCCCTGGACCAGAGCACACCAGGCCCTCCTGTCTTCCACTGCCTCCCGCAGTTTGGTCAAACTCATGCTGGTAGCTTCCAGAACACTGTCCCACCATCTCGTCCTCTGTCGTCCCCTTCTCCTTGTGCCCTCCATCTTTCCCAACATCAGGGTCTTCTCCAGGGAGCCTTCTCTTCTCATGAGGTGGCCAAAGTCTTGGAGCCTCAGCTTCAGGATCTGTCCTTCCAGTGAGCACTCAGGGCTGATTTCCTTCAGAATGGAGAGGTTGGATCTTCTTGCAGTCCATGGGACTCTCCAGAGTCTCCTCCAGCACCAGAATTCAAAAGCATCCATTCTTCAGCGATCAGCCTTCTTGATGGTCCAGCTCTCGCTTCCATACATCACTACTGGGAAAACCATGGCTTTTACTATACGGACCTTTGTTGGCAAGGTGATGTCTCTGCTTTTTAAGATGCTGTCTAGGTTTGCCATTGCTTTTCTCCCAAGAAGCAGGCGTCTCTTAATTTCGTGGCTGCTGTCACCATCTGGAGAATAGGATGGCAGAATTGGAATCATGGGATGGCAGAGTTGTGAGGAGCCTCCAAAGGACATCTAGTCGAACCCCGTATGACGAAGGAATCCCTGATTGATTGATTGATTGATTGATTGATTTCAGGGCTTTCTACTCTGAGCTGCATCTTCTCCTTAAAAAACAACAACACGGTTCTGAATAAAGGGCCGATTTAACTTGAAGCAGACGAATAGGGTCACAGAATTGTAGAGGTGGAAAGGGACCTCATCCATTCCAACCCCCTACAATTAAGGAATCTTTTGCCCAGCGTCGGTACTCGAACCCGTGACCTTGAGATTAAGATTTGCGTAGCTAGGATTTCAGGCAGGGGGCGACCTCAACAGTAGCCAGAGAAGCCATTGGGGTTATTATTAATAGGAGTCTCCATTTTAAACTGTGTTTTTAACCTGTGTTTTAAATCGGTCCATCCCCCCAATATTATGCTTTTATTGTAGTTTTACTGGTGTTAGCCGCCCTCTGGCCGGGGAGGGCGGGGTATAAATAAAAAAATGATATTATTATTATTGTTTATTAAACTTATTCGTGGCTCGTCACTCAAAGATTTCGAAGCGACTTGCGGCAAGGGGGGGAATATTCCTGCGTTTTGCAGCGGGTTGGGCTGGATGGCCTTTGGGTGCCTTCTCTGAAATATCTGAAATCTATGGAAAATATATACAATACCATAGGGGTTTTAAAAATGGGGGGGGTGTCACATAATTTTTTTAAAAAAAGCCTTCTGTGAGTATTTGGAGCAAAGGGTGAAATTCTAAACCGGCTCTGGGGGAGGAAAGGAAAAAGGGGGAAAATTCAGTTCCTCCTCCTCTCTGCTTTTCCATTCCTCCTCGCCCTGGCCAGGAATGTGGGTCAGACCCGCCCAGGGAATGGGCTGGGGTTTGCCTGTGCCAGGGGTCAGGCGAGGACGAGGCGGGGCAGAGACGCAAGCACATTCGGGGCTTAAAGGCGCAGGGACCTCGCCTGGCCACGACTAAAAGACTAAACAACAACAAAGCAGGCATTGGGCAGTATCCAGTTAAGTTCTTTCCAGGCTAGGTCCTTGGCGATTAAAGAACCTACGCTCACAGAAGCTCACTGTCTCTGCCTCTTTGTCACCCTTCTGGGTTCACCTATTGCATCAGAAAAATGCCCAGATCAGGCACTCCTGCAGAGATGCAACAGGAACCTCCGCTGAGACGGAGTTAATTCTGTTTGCACCTTTGCATTGGTGAAACACCCCACATATAGAACCGCATGCAAAAGCACCTCCCCTCACCGACACAGAAGCAGCGCAAAAGCGACATTTCATACAGAGATGCGCCGGGCACCCTCCTCTGTGGGCTTCTCTCTTTTTTTGCGGCCCGGAAAAAAGTATTTAATCAAATGCAAGGGGTACACATTGTTGTTGTTGTTGTTTAGTCATTTAGTCGTGTCCGCCTCTTCGTGGCCCCCTGGACCAGAGCACGCCAGGCCCTCCTGTCTTCCACTGCCTCCCGCAGTTTGGTCAAACTCATGCTGGTAGCTTCGAGAACACTGTCCCACCATCTCGTCCTCCGTCGTCCCCTTCTCCTTGCGCCCTCCATCTTTCCCAACATCAGGGTCTTTTCCAGGGAGTCTTCTCTTCTCCTGAGGTGGCCAAAGTCTTGGAGCCTCAGCTTCAGGATCTGTCCTTCCAGTGAGCACTCAGGGCTGATTTCCTTCCGAATGGATCGGTTGGATCTTCTTGCAGTCCATGGGACTCTCAAGAGTCTCCTCCAGCACCAGAATTCAAAAGCATCCATTCTTCGGCCATCAGCCTTCTTGATGGTCCAGCTCTCACTTCCATACATCACTACTGGGAAAACCAGAGCTTGAACTATACGGACCTTTGTTGGCAAGGTGATGTCTCTGCTTTTTAAGATGCTTTCTGAGGCAAGGACCAGCTTCTACAGAGTTGCGCCGGGCACCCTCCTTTGCAAACATGCCTTTTCAGGGGCTCACAAGTATATCATAAAACGCTGGCACCCCCCAGCACCACCGGGGTGTGTGTGGAAATGATAGCCCTAAGATATTGCAGCCGCTGTTAAGGCGCAGGAGCAAAGGCAAGGGGGGTAAGTTGGCAACTGCCTTGACGCTGCCCTTCCTCTCTCTCTCTCTCTCCCCCTCCACGCCCCCCCCCCCCAAAGCTTCAGGCTCCATCGGCCAGACCAACTCTGGCAGATTCAGCCAGGATTTGCAGCGGGAACAAATTGTTTCACCCTGGCGATTATATAAGCGGCGGAGGCGATTATACAATCAGGGATCTTCCGGGTTTTATATAAAGGGCTGTTGTGTTCTCTGTGTGTGTTGAAACTCAGACTCTGTGGTCCTGGGAAATGTGTTTTGTGGGGGGTTACTTTTTGCAGAGGGAGAGGGTTGTGCTTTAAGGGGGGGCTGTTTCAATTTCATATATACATTTAAACACATGCACACATGTATTTGATTTCTACATACACACACGTGCCGTCTGAATTGCTGCAGCCCACAATTCTTACCAACCTCGCACCCTCGTATTTTAAAACCTGAACTTCTGCTCAAACGAAGGAAGGGGGGGAGGAAAAATCTAAATTTCCAGCAGCCCGGGGTGTGTGTGTGTGTTTTGCAACGCCTCCCCTGCTGGGCGTGTGGGACGCATTGTTAAAAAGTTTGCAGACTTCAGACTCGCTTTCTGGTTTTCCTAAAGAGCACACTCACACACGCTTCTTCAGAAATGGGGACGGACTTCTCTTGTGAGTTCTGTGTCTTCACTTTTTCAATCTTTTTTTAAAAAAAATAAATATTAAAGATTTTCTTGTGATACAAGTTTGATAAAACTGGAGAAAAGTACAATGGGCAGAAACACTTTTTTCCCAGTCTTAAACTCCGTCCCCCAGATTTCTGCAGCGGTGATATCCATTTCTTCTTTCTATCTCTCTTTTAATAGGAGAGTTCGAAGGGACCACGTAGGTATCTATTATTTATTCCGACACCCCCTCTCAATATAGGAATCTTTAGCCCAACGTGGGGTTCGAAACCACAGCTCTGAGATTAAGAGCCTTACGCTCTTATCTCAGCCGAATTTTCAAAAAAAATGCATATTCGGTCTGCGAATCTTTTAACAAAAATTGTAAAAAGAAATCCCCATGAAAATTCATAAAGCATCGAATTACGGCACTCATATTTTGCATCCAGCTGAAATTTGGGAGCCCAAACCTCACAGCTGGTGGTGAGAAGGGGCATTAAGTTTGGGAGGGTCACAATTACCCCCGAGCCTCAGTGGTGCTCACCTGTAAAATGGGCAACCTGGACAACAGAGGCTTCCTATGGGGCACAGATGGGGGAAATTGTGTCGCTACTGGGCTACACTTATAAACGCCAACTCCTCAAAAGATTCCATCAACGGTGTCTCCGAAAAATTCTACATATCACTTGGGAAGACAGGCGAACTAATGCCAGTGTACTGGAAGAAGCAAAGATCTCCAGTATCGAAGCAACATCAACTTCGTTGGACTGGTCATATTGTGCGGATGCCTGATGATCGTCTTCCAAAGCAACGCCTCTATTCCGAACTTAAAAATGGAAAGCGTAATGCTGGTGGTCAGCAAAAGAGGTTCAAAGACTCTCTCAAGGCAAATTTGGGGTGTGGGTGGCGCTGTGGTCTAAACCACAGAGCCTAGGGCTTGCCAATCAGAAGGTCGGCAGTTCGAATCCCCGCAATGACGGGGTGAGCTCCCGTTGCTTGGTCCCTGCTCCTGCCCACCTAGCAGTTCAAAAGCACGTCAAAGTGCAAGTAGATGAATAGGTACCGCTCCAGTGGGAAGGCAAACGGCATTTCCGTGCGCTGCTCTGGTTCTCCAGAAGCAGCTTAGTCATGCTGGCCACATGACCCGGAAGCCGTATGCCGGCTCCCTCGGCCAGTAAAGCGAGATGAGCGCCGCAACCCCAGAGTCGTCCGCAACTGGACCTAATGGTCAGGGGTCCCTTTATCTTTACCTTTAAGACAATTTTTTAAAAATGTAGTATAAACACCAACAACTGGGAAACACTGGCCTGCGAGCGCTCCAGTTGGAGAATAGCCTTTCCCAAAGGTGTCCTGGGCTTTGAAGACACTCGAACTCAGGACGCAAGGGACAGACATGCTAAGAGGAAGGCACGTTTGGCAAACCCTCACTGGGATCAATTCCCGCCCGGAAGCCTATGTCCCCACTGTGGAAGGACGTGTGGATCCAGAATTGGCCTCCACAGTCGCTTACAGACTCACTGCTAAAACCGTGTTTATGGAAGACAATCTGACTCGGCTACGAGGGATCGCCAAAGAAGAACTCCCAGCAACCTTGACCATTGGGCTGGCAACATCTGGAGGGGCACAGAGGTTCCCCCAACATTTGGTATGGCAGCTGTCAAGAGCCTCAAAACAGTGGCCGCAGACTGGATGGACATTGGGTTTTTGAGTCGGGGGGAAATTCCCGGCTTGAGTAACTCCTGTCTTCTTCAACCCTAACATTCTTTCTTGCTTTCCTTCTCTTCCTCTTCTTCTCCCTTTTGCATTCTCTCCCCCCCCTCTCCACGGGGAGGGGGCCCTCCCCCAGCTAGCCGCCTCTGATGGGAACTGCGGCCTGTCGTAACCGTAATTGCTCGGGAAAACATCCAAGCCCAAGAGGCCTTTGAAGGAGGAGGCGGCGAATCTGCAGAATGTACGGCTACCGGCGGGTAGCCACAATGGCTGTGTCCCCCCTTGCCGCCGCCTTCACTGCCAGAGGCCGTTGAATGCCTATTTCTGCAAAACCGCAAGAGGGGAGAGTTGCTCTCAGGTCAGAAGACGGAGCAAGCTGGTTTTCTCCTCCGGAGGAGGGTAAGACTTGAACCCACGACTTCAAGCGACAAGTAAGGAGCTTCCGACTCAACATCAGGAAGGACTTTCTGACAGGGAGAGCTGATGGATGGTGGTGAAGTCTCCATCCTTGGAGGTTTTTAAGCAGAGGTTAAAGGGCCATCTGTCGGGGATGCTTTGGCCCAGATTCCTGCATTCCGTGCGGTTGGACTAGATGCCTCTGGGGGTCCCTTCGAACTCTAAGATTCTACGATGCTACGAAAGCAAGAAAAACACCGTAAAAACTCAAAGGACGGTTGCCCCGTCGGTCAGAACGCTGTAATTCTCCACCCAGAGAAAGATAAAAGAAGGAGACTGTTTTGGGGACTACAGTTCCCATGATGCCTGGTCCCGCTAGCTAGGCATGCTGGGAGTTGTAGTGCAGAAACAGCTGGAGAACCAAGTTTCAGAAACACTGATTTAAGAGGCAAGGTGAGAATGAAAGAGAATATATACATATATATGAAAAAGAACGAGGGAGAAAAAGAATCAGGGGCGATTCCGTCCACGGGTCAGAAAGGATTTAAGAATAGTATTGGGAAATGATCCATAATGAACTGAAAAAATGGTTTAAAAGTACTTTCCCAAAAAAATCCAGAGTCCTTTGTGTTGGGGATAATTCAGACGGAAATTCCCAGGTGTCAGAAAAGGCTATTTATGTATGCTGCTACTGCGGCCCGTGTTTTGTTAACCCAAAAATGAAAAACGAACGAGGTCCCAACCGAAGAAGGATGGCAAATTGAGCTGATGGAATATACGCAGCTTGCTTTAAGAGTCATTGTGGGAATCGAAGAGACTAATAATAATAATAATAATTTATACCCTGCCCATCTGGCTGGGTTTCCCCAGCCACTCTGGGTGGCTCCCAACAGAATATTAAAAATAGAATCAAACATTAAAAGCTTCCCTAAACTGTCAGATGTCTTCTAAAAGTCAGAAAGCTGTTTATTTCCTTGACATCTGATGGGTGCCACCACCGAGAAGGCCCTCTGCCTGGTTCCCTGCCACCTCGCTTCTCTCAGGGAGGGAACCCCCAGAAGGCCCTCGGGAGAGGGACCCTGGTGTCCGGGCTGGACGATGGGGTTGGAGACTCTCCTTCAGGTATATGAAAACAATAACAATTTATTATTTATACCCCACCCATCTGGCTGGGTTTCCCCAGCCACTCTGGGCAGCTTCCAACACAATATTAACATAAAGTAATGCATCAAACATTAAAAACTCCCCTAAAAAGAACGAGGGAGCTAGAGAATTAGGGATCCCTGCAGGGATTAAAGGTAAAGGGACCCCTGACCATTAGGTCCAGTCGCGGCCGACTCTGCGGTTGCAGCCCTCATCTCACTTTATTGGCCGAGGGAGCCGGCATACAGCTTCCGGGTCACGTGGCCAGCAGGACTAAGCCGCTTCTGGTGAACCATAACAGCGCATGGAAATGCCGTTTACCTTCCCACCGGAGTGGTACCTATTTATCTACTTGCACTTTGACATGCTTTCGAACTGCTAGGTGGGCAGGAGCAGGGACCGAGCAACGGGAGCTCACCCTGTACTGGGGATTCGAACCGCCGACCTTCTGATCGGCAAGCCCTAGGCTCTGTGGTTTAACCCACAGCGCCACCCAAATCCTCGGAGAGGATTCTAGTCCTCAGCTTTGATTTGCAACCAAACCGCAGGTCCTTTCCCCCTCCGGCCAATGGGGAGGGAACAAAGGCCGTTCTCTCCCCAGCTTTCCAAAGGGCGAGGATTCGAAGCAGCAGCAGCAGAAGCCGGGGCGTGAGCAGTCCAGGCCAGCGCTTGAGGTTTTTAAAATGCAGCTAGGTGCCTGGTGTTGCAAATGAGATGTTGAATCGATGGCTTCGATCCAGGTCACAAGAGTCAGGGCTTGGCCGGGCTCCTCTCCTCTCTGTGAAGAAGAAAACAAGCTATCGATTTGCTTGGCTCAGCCGTTTCCTCCTTGCCTCCACACTCACCCACCCACCCAAAAAGAACTTTTTGAGGCTCCTTTGCTCCGGTTTAAGCCGTTCCTTGCCAGCCGCCGGGGGCATCTGCCGACAGCCGAAAAAATAATGGTATTGATTGTCAAAAGGAGCTAAGGAGACGCCTCTCCAGCCCAGCACCTCGCAGCGGGGCAACCGGGTGCCTGCGAAAACCCCCGGGATCAGGATTTGAACTCAAGTGTAGCTCTCCCCTCCTGCGGTTCCCAGCAGCTGGGATTCGGGACTTGATCAATGGGATCTTTGAAATTGTAATGGGGGCAGGGGGAGAACTAGAAAATCAGAAGGAAATGATGAGTGCTGGAAGGAAGGAGGAGGAAGGAAGAATAAAGAGGGTGATGTGGAAGATAACGAATGGATGTTCTGTAACACAGTAGAGTCTTGCGACCAACAAGATCAGTCTCAGGGTTGAGACACCTGTCCATCTCAAGAGACAATGTAGTTTGCCTTCGGGCAAGTGTGGAAGACTCCCTGGTCCTGAATGGGGTGACTGTGCCCCCGAAGGACCAGGTGCGCAGCCTGGGGGTCATTTTGAACTCACCGCTGTCCATGGAGGTGCAGGTCAGTTCTGTGTCCAGTTCGGCTGTCTGCCAGCTCCATCTGGTACGCAGGATGAGACCCTACCTGCTTGCGCACTGTCTCGTCAGAGTGGTCCATGCTCTGGTTATCCCCTGCTTGGACTACTGCCATGCGCTCTCCGTGGGGCTACCTTTGAAGGTGACCCAGAAACTGCAACTAATCCAGAATGCGGCAGCTAGACTGGGGACTGGGAGTGAAGACCGTATAACACCGGTCCTGAAAGACCTACATTGGCTCCCAGGACGTTTCCGAGCACAATTCAAAGGGTTGGTGCTGACCTTGAAAGCCCTAAATGGCCCAGTATCCCTGAAAGAGCTTCTCCACCCCCATCGTTCTGCCCGGACACCAGGGTCCATCTCCCGAGGGCCTTCTGGCGGTTCCCTCCCTGTGAGAAGCAAGGTTACAGGGAACCAGGCAGAGGGCCTTCTCGGTGGTGGCACCCGCCCTGTGGAAAGATAGCTGCTTATTTCCTTCACATCTGAAGGGAGGGTGTTCCACAGGGTGGGCGCCACTACCGGGAAGGCCCTCTGTCTGGTTCCCTGTAACCTCACTTCTCACAATGAGGGAACCACCAGAAGGCCCTCAAAGATGGATCTCAGTGTCCGGGCTGAATGATGGCGGTGGAGACGCTCCCTCAGGTATACAGGACCGAGGCTGTTTAGGACTTTAAAGGTCAGCACCAACACTTTGAATTGTGTTAGGAAATGTACTGGGAGCCAATGCAGATCTCTCAGGACTGGTGTTATGTGGTCCCGGCGCCCTCTCCCAGTCCCCAGTCTGGCTGCCGCATTCTGGATTAATTGCAGTTTCCGGGTCACCTTCAAAGGGAGCCCCGCATAGAGTGCATTGCAGTAGTCCAAGCAGGAGATAACCAGAGCACACACCACTCTGGCCAGACAGTCTGCAGGCAGGGAGGGTCTCATCCTGCGTACCAGATGGAGCTGCCCTGGACACAGAATTCACCTGCGCCTCCATGGAAAGCTGTGAGTCCAAAATGACTCCCAGGCTGCGCACCTGGTCCTTCGGGGGCACAGTGACCCCATTCAGGACCAAGGAGTCCTCCATACCTGCCCGCTCTCTGTCCCCCCAAAACAGTACTTCTGCCTTGTCAGGATTCAACCTCAATCCGTTAGCCACCATCCATCCTCCAACCGCCTCCAGGCACTCACACAGGACCTTCACCGGTTCTGATTTAAAATACCCCTGAAGAGTAGACCCCATCAAAACCAATGACTCTTGAGCTAGTCCTTCCATTTTCTCGGATCTGCTCTGTGTACAGCTAGCGCCGGGAACCAAACCCTTCCTCCAAACAATAATTCGCGCCGAGAAAAGCCACTTCGCCTCTCGATCCAGATAGCAACACATTCGCTCTTCCGGCCGGCGAAGAATTCAAACGTCTACCGGGGAGGAGGGAGCCCGCCAGAGGCATGGCGATGATGCAGACATCAGAAAATTAAAGGGCCTTTAATGAATAAATGGAACATTTGCGTCGGACTGGTGTAGACAGGGTGGCGAGCTCAGAAGGGCAACGAGGGAGATATTCACAATAAGCATCTCTGGAGGAAGAAGAAGAAGAAGCGAGGGAGAGATTCTACCCACCAGTTTGGAAACTGGTTAAGGGGCTTCCGTGCTGGTCTGGAGTCTGGATTTGGTTTCACGCACGGTCCGAAACAAACTGCTAAGGAGAGCCTTGCTGTATCGATCCATTTTTTTAAATAAAGAAATAATTTATTGGGTTTTTCAGATTAAAATTTTCCAACATAAAAACAAGATTCCAGAGAATGTCCTGGACTTCCCTCCTGCCCTTTGTGGGTCCCGTTGTTCATCATTTCCTCCCGCATCTTTTATGATAATCCAAACGCAGGTGGCGCTGTGGGTTAAACTACAGAGCCTAGGACATGCCGATCAGAAGGTCAGCGGTTCGATTCCCCATGACGGGGTGAGCTCCCGTTGCTCGGTCCCTGCTCCTGCCAACCTAGCTGTTCGAAAGCATGTCAAAGTGCAAGTAGATAAATAGGTACCACTCCGGCGGGAAGGTAAACGGCGTTTCCGTGCACTGCTCTGGTTCGCCAGAAGCAGCTTAGTCCTGCTGGCCACATGACCCGGAAGCTGTACGCCGGCTCCCTCGGCCACTAAAGCGAGATGAGCTCCACAACCCCAGAGTCGTCCGCGACTGGACCTCATGATCAGGGGTCCCTCTACCTTTACCTATATTACCAATAAAGAGTTTGTGAGCGTTTGCTCAAAACCTGCCCAGGAGGCCATGGAGGGCTGCCAACAAACGCGGGACAGGAACTGGGAAGCGCCTGAGAGAATACCCTTCAACATTCTGGGCTGCATCAATAGGAGTATAGCATCTAGATCAAGGGAAGTAATAGTGCCACTGTATTCTGCTCTGGTCAGACCTCACCTGGAGTACTGTGTCCAGTTCTGGGCACCACAGTTCAAGGAGGACACTGACAAACTGGAACGTGTCCAGAGGAGGGCAACCAAAATGGTCAAAGGCCTGGAAACAATGCCTTATGAGGAACGGCTAAGGGAGCTGGGCATGTTTAGCCTGGAGAAGAGGAGGTTAAGGGGTGATATGATAGCCATGTTCAAATATATAAAAGGATGTCACATAGAGGAGGGAGAAAGGTTGTTTTCTGCTGCTCCAGAGAAGAGGACACGGAGCAATGGATCCAAACTACAAGAAAGAAGATTCCACCTAAACATTAGGAAGAACTTCCTGACAGTAAGAGCTGTTTGACAGTGGAATTTGCTGCCAAGGAGTGTGGTGGAGTCTCCTTCTTTGGAGGTCTTTAAGCAGAGGCTTGACAACCATATGTCAGGAGTGCTCTGATGGTGTTTCCTGCTTGGCAGGGGGTTGGACTCGATGGCCCTTGTGGTCTCTTCCAACTCTAGGATTCTATGATTCTATGATTTTTCTGACGAAAATAGGGACGTCCTATTCAGTCATCACCATAATAACAATTTTACTGTTTATACCCCACCCAACTGACTGGGTGTTCCCAACTGCTATAGTTGTAGTTATAATTTGTGGGTCACCATCTGATCTTATTCTGATCTTAATTTGAATTTAAGCTGTGTTTTAATCGATTGCTTGACTTTATGTTTTATGTTCTTTTTAGGGGGGAGGGGAAAAACAGGGGGGAATGAGGATGATGTATTTTTGATCAATTATGTTAAAATCCCTAATAAAAAATATTTAATAATAATTTTTAAAAAACCACTTCCGGAATATTGTGCGTATAAAAAACAACCCGAAACCTTTGCAAATGGGACGAGGAAGGGAAAAGCTCCTGTCCTTTTCCTCTCCCTGCCTTTTCTCGCTTAGTTCCCCGTGAGACGCTTTGCTACGGACCGCGCCTCTTTGCCAACAAGTACCGGCCAGTGGCTCCGTTCCGGAACCGAAATGAAAAATATATCGAGAGAGAGGGTGTGTGTTTTTGTATGCTGGTGCGGAGACAACCCTCCCCTATTCCTGAGCCCAACGGCCTGGCGCCCTTCCCTCTCTCTTGGCAGGCAATTTGCCTCTTTGCACAGAGAGGAATTCTCCAAAAAAAATTGTTAAAAGATGGCTGCCAAGTGGGGAAGGAACTTTTCGGAACGGCGGCGGGTCGCGGGGTGTCCTTTCGCTGCTTGCAAAATGGCTGCTTGCAAACGGTTGCGCATGCATGCGCCGTCGCGCATGAGAGAGGAGGAGGAGGAGCTGCGGGGAGATAGCGGTTGGCATTTAGGACCGTCCGGGAAAAGGCTGGAGGCCTGGAACGAGACTTTTTTTTTTTTTTGAAAATAAATATATATATATATATAAGCTGCGAGAGCAAGAGCCAAAATTCCATGTCCAAAGTAAACAGCTGGCAAACTGTGTGTTCTTTTCGGTTGGAAGCCTCGTCTCTCTCTCTCTCTCTCTCTTTTCCACCCCCCCTTTCTCTTTCTCTCGTTTCCTCCCTCTTCTCCCTCCCTCGATTTAAAATAAATAAAATAAAATCCGATTCCCTCTCCTTTTGAGAGACTATGGAGCTAAGGGGAAAGAGAGAGGGAAGGGGGAAGAAAACAAAATTTAAAAAAAGAGATTTCCGCATGGTGGTTTGCCCACGTTGGCACATATTTTAAAAAAAAGAAACATCACTTTGGGTCATTTCGTCAGATTCTTGGGGGTCTTTGGAGTCCGTAGGGAATCGAGTTTGCCGACCGCAGCAATTGAGTGGTGTTTGGCACGTTTTCCCATGGCGGTGTAGCAACCTTGACATTTTAACTTTAGGTTTGTTTTTGGGGCGGAGGGGCAAAGGCAAATTTTTTTGGGGGGTGTTCCTTTCCCTGCTCTCCACGTGGTCCGTTCTCCCCCCGCCCCATCCTCCTGCTGTTCCTCCCCATCTCCGAGGTTTCGAACTCGGCACAAAATGGCCGTTGGTGGGGTGGGTGGGGCGCCGTGGGCCAGCAGGGAAGGGGGAGGCTACAAAATGGCCTCCCCCTGGCTGCTGACACTCGCCACGTGTTGGGAAGGTGTGTAAACACTCCCCATTTTGCTTTCAAATTCCCCCCCCGGGCACAAATTGTGCAAACACACTCCAACACCATGTCTGCATGCAAACAAAATTCGCACAAACAAAATGGAGGGGAACGGGACGACCACCCCATAATTTCCAGCCAAGGAAAAGCATGCCACATGTTTCCAAAATAAATTTTTTTTTGGGGGGGTGGCATTTTGTGATAGGGACAAACGAAAGGTACAGATGCAAAACGGGACGACCACCCCATAATTTCCAGCCAAGGAAAAGCATGCCACACATTTCCAGAACAAAAAAAAATATTTTTTTGCGGGGGGGTGCCATTTTGCGATAGGGACGAACCGAAGGTGCAGATGCAAAACGGCACCCTGAATGGGACGTTCTCGGGTCCCCGTCCTCGCCGGTAACCCTTTCCGTACAACCGCGGGACGGATCCGGACGGAGAGGCTGCGAAACGGGACGCCCAGGGAGGCCTGTGGGTTTTGGGAGCCCGAAAGTAAGCAAGCCTGCAAATCGGAGAGAGAGAGAGAGAGATGGAAAGAGATACGGGGAGGAGAAATATTTTGGCAGGGTGCTCTGGCACCGGCCCAGTTCCCGAAGCCGGGAGTGAGCTGCGCAGATGAAAACAGGGGGCCAGGATTTTGAAGGGAGAGTTCGGACAAACGCCATCGTTGGCAACTCTCCTGGACGGGTTATTCCTCCCCTTGTCGTCGTCTTTTTTGGCTCGTGGTATCCGGCTGGGCACGGCCTCCGCGTTTTATTAACCACAGCTGAGCTCGAGTCTGCATAGCAGTTGCGCCGCTCTGTGCAGGTGAGCGGCGTTTTAAAAACAGAAAAGAAATGGGAATCAGGCCCTGTTTCCCAGGGGCAGCCCAGGATTCGCAGAAGCTGTCCCGGTTTCCGATCCGACCCCCAAAATGTCCCATTAGTAATTTCGATACACACGCACGCCCTCCAATGTTTGCATTCATATTTCAAGATGGCTGCTGCTGAAAGACTCTGAGATTTGAATTGAGTACGCCCGCCGTGTCTCTGCACGAGTCCCTGATCTTGCAATCAGAAGGTCTGTTCAGAACAGAAACTCATGCAGAAGCAATAGGCAAACCCTCCAAACGTCCCTATTTTTCAGGGACAGTCCCGGATTTACTGAAGCCGTCCCGGTTTCTGATCTGACCCCGGAGTGTCCCTTAGGCTGCCCCTATTTTAATTGGAGTAATGTTTGAAGGTGTGGAGTTATTTTTCTTATATTCAACTAATAAAATATTTTTTAAAAAGAGGAAATAAGTAACTATGGAACCCTGAGAAGATCTCCGAAGGCAGCCCCGTAGAGGGAAGGGTTTTTTGATGTTTGATGTTTTATTATGCTTTTATATGTGTTGGAAGCTGCCCAGAGTGGCTGAGGCAACACAGTCGGAGAAGTGGAGTATAAATAAGAAAAGGATGATGATGTTGGAATAGGTAAAGGTAAAGGGACCCCTGACCATTAGGTCCAGTCGTGGCCGACTCTGGGGTTGCAGCGCTCATCTCGCTTTACTGGCCGAGGGAGCCGGCGTACAGCTTCCGGGTCATGTGGCCAGCAGGACTAAGCCGCTTCTGGCGAACCAGAGCAGCGCACGGAAACGCCGTTTACCTTCCCGCCGGAGCGGTATCTATTTATCTACTTGCACTTTTGACATGCTTTCGAACTGCTAGGTGGGAAGGAGCAGGGACCGAGCAACGGGAGCTCACCCCATCATTGCAGGGATTCGAACCGCCGACCTTCTGATCGGCAAGTCCTAGGCTCTGTGGTTTAACACACAGAATAGGACACCCCTATTTTCATTGGAGAAATGTGGGAGGGTATGGAAAAGGACATCAGCATTCGACAATCGAGGTCCTGCTGTACTTCAAAGGTGATTATAAACATAACATAAAAACTTAAAAAGATTAAAAACAAGGACAAACGGTTAAAAGCAACCACAGTGGTCCCTTGGTTCTCAAACGCCTTGGTACTCAAACAACTTGGAACCCGAACACTGCAAACCTGGAAGTAAGTGTTCCGGTTTGCAAACTTTTTCCGGAAGCAGAACGTGCTCCGATTTGTTACGCTGAGGTCTGTTTTTGCTATTTATTTTGCGTTTTTGCAGCGTTTTGTTTTTGTGACTGTGTGGAACCCAGTTCGGTTACTGACGGATTGATTGTGTGACTGCAGTACATTGTTTGTTGCTTTCATTTTATGGATCGACGTTCTCGCTAGATAGTGAAATCCATGTTTAATTGCTGTTTTAGGAGTTGTTTTTAAAAGTCCAAAACGGATTAATCCGTTTCTCATTCCTTTCTATGGGAAAGCAGCACGCCTTGGTTTTGGAACGCTTTGGTTTCGGAATGGAATTTCCGGAACGGATTAAGTTTGAGAACCAAGGCACCACTGTATAAAGGAGGTAGCCTCAATTCATTGTGTTGTTGTTGAGTCGTTTGCTCGTGTCCGCCTCTTGGTGACCCCCTGGACCAGAGCATGCCGGGCCCTCCTGTCTTCCACTGCCTCCCGCAGTTTGGTCAAACTCATTCTGGTCGCTTCGAGAACACTGTCCCACCATCTCGTCCTCCGTCGTCCCCTTCTCCTTGTGCCCTCCATCTTTCCCAACATCAGGGTCTTTTCCAGGGAGTCTTCTCTTCTCATGAGGTGGCCTAAGTCTTGGAGCCTCAGCTTCAGGATCTGTCCTTCCAGTGAGCACTCAGGGCTGATTTCCTTCCGAATGGAGAGGTCTGATCTTCTTGCAGTCCATGGGACTCTCAAGAGTCTCCTCCAGCACCAACATTCATTGTGTACCATCAATAATTTTTAAGTATCTAGTAGGGTCTCAGCTGCCCCCTCTCCCCCCCCCCACGGCCACATCTATGACACCCATGGGAAGAAAGCCCCCGGTTCAAAAAACGACTCCTGGTTCAAGGATCAGCAGGGAACGTGCTGATTTCTGCAGAAGGAAGAGAAAGAGGGGTTTGCCTGTGGGGCGTTTTGTCTGTGGGTGGGGGGCTGAGAAAGAGCAGAGCCTGGGCTGGCAGAGCGGAGTAGGGGGGGCCGGTTGTCTAATCCAGGATGCTACTAGGAACCATAAGTGCTGAGCTCAGCGTCTGCTCTGCTGACGGCCCGGAGAGCCTGATTATTTTTAGATAAGATGGAAAGCCTGGAACGGAGAGTTCTGGGCTGCAGCCCGGCCGAGGCGTGAGCTGTGTTTCTGATGAAGGAGGGAGGAGGGGGCCGGCGAGTCGGGTGTGGGGAAGCGAGTTGCTGCAGTGGGTGAGTTTTTTCTCCCCACCTCTCTCTGCACGGAGAGTCCCCGTGGCTCTCCCTTCAAGGAAGGCCCGGTCCGGCGCGCACACACCACAAAAACTGCAGCAGAAAGTCACCTGGTTACAACGCAATCTCACCCAAGCATTTACGCCCAGGGTTTTGCAACCTTTTTGGGCCCACGGCTCCCTCGAACTACAGTGGTACCTCAGGTTAAGTACTTAATTCGTTCCGGAGGTCCGTTCTTAACCTGAAACTGTTCTTAACCTGAAGCACCACTTTAGCTAATGGGGCCTCCCGCTGCTGCCGCGCCGCCGGAGCACGATTTCTGTTCTCATCCTGAAGCAAAGTTCTTAACCCAAGATACTATTTCTGGGTTAGCAGAGTCTGTAACCTGAAGCGTCTGTAACCTGAAGCGTATGTAACCCGAGGTACCACTGTATAGGCTAAACAAGCTCCAGCTTAGGGCCCCACTGTCTTGGGCCCCCCAAAAAAATTTAAAGGGGAAAAAAACTTGATGTATATTTCCAAAATATAAGCTAAGAAACAAATACAGTGGCACCTCGGGTTAAGTACTTAATTCGTTCCGGAGGTCCGTTCTTAACCTGAAACTGTTCTTAACCTGAAGCACCACTTGAGCTAATGGGGCCTCCTGCTGCTGCCGCCTCGCCGCCGGAGCACGATTTCTGTTCTCATCCTGAAGCAAAGTACTTAAGCCGAGGTACTATTTCTGGGTTAGCGGAGTCTGTAACCTGAAGCGTATGTGACCTGAGGTTCCACTGTACATTTGTCTGTGGCACAACTGTGGGGCTCAGGAGCCCAGTTAGGTCCCCCCCTTCCCTGCAGAGCTGGCAGCCCCTCACCCTTTTTCGAACCCCCTCCCTCGTGGAGCGTTCCCTCGGCCTCCTCTCCCCTTTCCACCTTGTTGCTTTCTCATCTTGGTCGGTGGAAAGATTGGACTGTTGGCTGCCCCGGATATAGAGTGCCGTCAAATGTGAGAGCCAGTGTGGTGTAGTGGTTAAGAGCGGTAGACTTGTAATCTGGTGAACCGGCTTCGCGTCTCCGCTCCTCCACATGCAGCTGCTGGGTGACCTTGGGCCAGTCACACTTCTTTGAAGTCTCTCAGCCCCACTCACCTCACAGAGTGTTTGTTGTGGGGGAGGAAGGGAAAGGAGAATGTTAGCCGCTTTGAGACTCCTGAAGGGGAGTGAAAGGCGGGATATCAAATCCAAACTCTTCTTCTTCTTCTTCAAAGATCAGCCATTGAGGAGGCAGCTGATTCAGTCCGCATTTAACGCCAAGCTTATCTCGCTAAACCACAGAGCCTAGGACTTGCAGATCGGAAGGTCGGCGGTTCGAAACCCCGCAGTGACGGGTTGAGCTTTGTACCCATTTATCTACTTGCACTTTGATGTGCTTTCAAACTGCTAGGTTGGCAGGAGCAGGGACCGAGCAACGGGAGCTCACCCCGTCGCAGGGATTCGAACCGCCGACCTTCTGATCGGCAAGCCCTAGGCTCTGTGGTTTAGACCACACGCCACCCGCATCCCGGTTTCTTTAAGCTAAAAAGTCCCAAATGCTGTTTTCGGATCTCTGAAGGGATTTCGATGTGAGGTAATCAGAGATATCATTAGCCCGGGCCGTTTGCAGTCGCAAAGCTCACTCCTCCATCTTTCCTTTTCAGATTCAGATCAAAGCAGTAGCCCCAGGACGGGAATCGGCTCTGACCAGGAGGACAGCAAGCCCATCATCACGTTGGGTGAGTCAAGGAATGCTCAGCGCACAAAAGTGGGAATAGGAGAAACGTCTTATGTCCCTGTAGCAGGGATGGGAGGAGAACGCCATGCCGCTGGCATCATTCCTGACCATTGGCCAAGCTGTCGGCTGGGGCTGATATGAGTTGGAGTCCCGCAAGCTCTGGAGACCCCCATGCTCCCTGTTTTTCCTCTAAGGCGTTCTTCTTTCCTCAAGAGGGAATTCCTCTTCTAAACAGAGGCATTCCTCCGTCTCTCGCGTGTAGTAAGGAAACGGTACCTCTTAGGTCAGGTATGTGGGTATCTGAGGGCCTCGAGATGCTACAACTCCCATCATCCTTGCTCCCTGGCCATCCTGGCTACGGAAGCATCCCTGATTCTTAGGAGGGAATGTCTCTGCTAAACAGGGAGTACCTAAACAGAGATTATCTCCCCTAAACAGAGAATACCTCTTCTAAACAGGGAGTGCTTCTTCTAGACAGAGGATAGCTCTTCTAAACAGAGAGTACCTCCTTTAAACAGAGAATACCTCCTCTAAACAGAGAATGCCTCTTCAAAACAGGGAGTGCTTCTTCAAAACAGGGAGTGCTTCTTCTAAACAGAGGATATCTCCCCTAAACAGAGAATACCTCCCCTAAACAGGGAATACCTCCTCTAAACAGAGGATACCTCCCCTAAACAGAGAATACCTCCTCTAAACAGAGAATACCTCCTCTAAACAGAGAATACTTCCTGTAAACAGAGAATACCTCCCCTAAACAGAGAATACCTCCTCTAAACAGAGAATACCTCCTCTAAAAGAGAATACTTCCTCTAAACAGAGAATACCTCCCCTAAACAGAGAATACCTCCTCTAAACAGAGAATACCTCCTCTAAACAGAGAATACTTCCCCTAAACAGAGAATACCTCCCCTAAACAGAGAATACCTCCTCTAAACAGAGAATACCTCCCCTAAACAGAGAATACCTCCTCTAAACAGAGAATACCTCCTCTAAACAGAGAATACTTCCTGTAAACAGAGAATACCTCCCCTAAACAGAGAATACCTCCTCTAAACAGAGAATACTTCCTCTAAACAGAGAATACCTCCCCTAAACAGAGAATACCTCCTCTGAACAAGGAGTGCTTCTTCTAAACAGGGAATGCCTTCTGTTTCATCCTGGCAATTTATTTATTTTTAATAAAAAGGAAAGCGAAGCATCTAGCTTGTGCATCCCTGTTTCAATTCCTCCCGGGTCGTTATGCTCCCCGTGCTCAATTAATCTCTCCCCCTTTTTCCTCAGACGCGACAGATTTCCAAGAGAACTTCGTCACGTCCGGGGTGTTCAGCGTCACGGAGCTGATCCAAGTTTCCCGGAGTGAGTAGGCCTCTTTTTGTTGCTTGTGGTATAGCTGGCCTTCGTGAAAACCTGGCCTGAGGTTCTGGCCTGAGGTTTGCATTGTGCCGGCAGAGTAACTTTTGCACAAGCAGTCTTGCACTCTGCAGCTGCACGATCATAATTGTGCAAGGAGGAATTGCTGCTCCAGTCCATGTCGACAAAACTGATTTGATTCCTAGCCGTGATTCAAGATGGCGTCCAATTCGGGCAGAACGAACTCCTTTGTTTTGCTTCTGTTCTTTTTTTATTTTGTTTTTAAGGGAATCAGAAAGTATACGAGTAGGAATTGACAAATAGACAGCTGAGGGAGAAGAGGAAAGAAAAGAGGGGGGATATATAAATTGAAAATAACTTGGGGAGACCTAAGAAATGGGGTGTGAACTGGAAATAAATAATGCGACTTCCGGTTGGCCGTGCGATTAATGGCGGACGGGAGCTCTTTTTTGAAAAGAAAAAAAGGAAATAAATAATGCAATATAAAGCAATAAACGGGAAAGAAGGAACACCAACTTAATAGACGGAAGCCAACTTAATGGGGAAATTGCATTACATTTGGTGTCGTTTGGTGTCGATTTGCTAAATAACTGGAAAACTAATACAAATAATTTGGAAAGGAAGAAAAGGTTTGCGCCCAGTTCTGCCCAAACACTGATGCAAAGCTGTCTGCTCGAGCCCAGGGGGCGTCCAGTCAGATTTGGTTGAAATCGTTGCAGTGGCAGGTTCGACCCGCCATCTTGATCCCAGTGAGATCCCGGAGGAAACGCGTTCCTCGAACTCAGGACCCACCCGGCTGGGGACGAAAGGCTTTCCTCTCGGCAAACTGGAGGCCCCCCCAATGCACAGCTCGTTGACCCCCTCCCCCCTTTTTAACATAATTTTAATTTTTTTATTGACGCAAAATTTTATTTTTTTTATTGACACAAATCCATAACTTGCTCAGATAGAGCGTCAACCTTCTTCCATCCCTCTTTCTGACTTCCACATATCTTTAACGGATTCGTCGCATTTCTATAACCACCTTATATCTTTTTTTAACATTCACCCTCTTATATGTAAATCAGCTCCTTAATTTCACGTCACCAAACCTTTCAAGTCAAGCCTACAAACGTTTTCAGGTGTTTGCCATTTTCTTTCAAACAAACTCTAAATTTGCTCCAGTCCTTTTGAAACAGTTCGTCGCGCCGATTCCGGATCTTCCCCATCAGCTTTGCCAACTCCACATACAGTGGTACCTCGGGTTATGGACGCTTCAGGTTACAGACTCCGCTAACCCAGAAATAGTACCTCGGGTTAAGAACTTTGCTTCAGGATGAGAAAAGAAATCGTGCTCCAGCAGCGCGGCGGCAGCAGGAGACCCCATTAGCTAAAGTGGTGCTTCAGGTTAAGAACAATTTCAGGTTAAGAACGGACCCCTGGAACGAATTAAGCACCGTATTTTTCGCTCTATAAGACGCACCAGACGACAAGACGCACCTAGTTTTTGGAGGAGGAAAACAAGAAAAAAAATATTCTGAATCTCAGAAGCCAGAACAGCAAGAGGGATCGCTGCACAGCGAAAGCAGCGTTCCCTCTTGCTGTTCTGGCTTCTGGGACAGCTGCGCAGCCTGCATTCGCTCCATAAGACACACACACATTTCCCCTTACCTTTTAAGAGAGAAAAAGTGAGTCTTATAGAGCAAAAAATACGGTACTTAACCCGAGGTACCACTGTATTCAACCATCTTTATCTGCAAACTTCCAGAGTAGGGAGTTCCTGCTGCTTCCATCTCTGGGCCAAAAGTATTCTTGCAGCTGTTGTGGCGTACATAAACAAAGGTTGACCCCCTTTCTCTGCCTTCTCCGCAGCGCCGGTGGTGACGGGCACAGGGCCAAATTTCTCCCTTGGGGAGCTGCAGGGGCACCTCGCCTACGACTTGAACCCCTCGAGTACGGGCATGAGGAGGACGCTCCCCAGCACTTCCTCCAGCGGGTGAGTCCGGGCGTGGAGTTGTGGCGCTGTGTTCCCATCCTTTCATCGCCTTCCCTTGCTACCCCGTCCTTCCCACAGCCTTCTCCTAGTGAGCACCGCAACCCCAGAGTCAGCCACAACTGGACCTAATGGTCAGGGGTCCCTTTACCTTTAACATGGGGATTAGTAAAGGTAAAGGGACCCCTGACCACTAGGTCCAGTCGTGGCCGACTCTGGGGTTGCAGCGCTCATCTCGCTTTACTGGCCGAGGGAGCCGGCGTACAGCTTCCGGGTCATGTGGCCAGCAGGACTAAGCCGCTTCTGGCGAACCAGAGCAGCGCATGGAAACGCCGTTTATCTTCCCACCAGAGTGGTACCTCTTTATCTACTTGCACCTTGACGCAGCGGCGTAGCGTGGGTTGTCAGCACCCAGGGCAAGGCAAGTAATTTGCGCCCCCTAACCCGGGGCAAGGCAAGTAATTTGCACCCCCTAACCCGGGGCAAGGCAAGTAATTTGCGCCCCCTAACCCCTAACCTGCCGCCGCTGCCAGCTTCTTCTTGCTGCTGCCTGGGCTGGTCTGGTGTGGTTCTCTCCCACGCTCAGCGCTGCGCTGGGCGGCCGCTGCACTGTCCCTCCCCCAGATAGTCCCTCGCTCTCTCTCCACACCGCACGCCTGGCACCCACCCCCTCCACAGTGGGCGGCGACCCAGCGGCTCGGATCGGATTCGCACAGCCAGCACTGCAGTGAGAGAGAGAGAGTGAGCCAGGTAGGGGCAGAGAGCTGCGAGTGCGAGCGCGCCCCCCCCCAGATGTTGCGCCCGGTGCGGCCGGCCCCCCCTGCACCCCCCACGCTACGCCACTGCTTTGACGTGCTTTCGAACTGCTAGGTTGGCAGGAGCAGGGACCGAGCAACGGGAGCTCACCCCGTTGCAGGGATTCGAACCGCCGACCTTCTGATCGGCGAGTCCTAGGCTCTGTGGTTTAACCCACAGCGTCCCTAACCTGGGGATTAGCAGCTAATAAAAGTTTGGGTTCTCTTTTGTTCGGGGCTTCTATCTTGTTCCGCCTGGTGGCAGGTGGGAGTCCTGTCTCAACAGTCTTCAGTCAAGACCAAGCCGACTGGCTGCTGTTTTGCTCCGGTATTCCTGGCTGGTGTCCTTGTTTTTTTGTCCAAGAGAGCCCTCGGATTTCTCCCTTAACAACCCAAACGCTAACTGCTCTTCCCCCTTCTGCCTCACCTCAGGAGTAAACGTCATAAGTCTGGCTCGATGGAGGACGACTTGGACGGCAGCCCGGGGGGCGAATATTACACGTCGCCCAGCTCCCCCACGAGTAGCAGCCGAAATTGGACGGAAGACATGGAAGGGGGTAAGTCGGAGGGGAGCCGGGCCGCCCCGAAACCTTCAGGAAGCCAAACACTTGTCCTGAGAAGAGGAGGGCAGTATAGATTTAGAGCAGGGGGTTGCAGAAGGGCACAGGCCAGAGGCTACAGAGTGGAGAAGCTGGGAAATATTGGGGGAGCAGTAGGAATGAATGAATCTTTATTTGCGTCAGCCGTCAGCTGCAGCAATAAAACAACAATACGATATACAAAGATTCGAAATAAAAAAGTCAATTATATAGAATGCATTTTGAATCAAGAGTCAAAGAGTGGACCTGACTCTGATCGCCGCAGCTAAAAGCCTTGCCACCTTTGTTGTCACCTGCTCATCTTGATCTGCCAAGAGAAAGGACCCTGGGGCAGTGGCTGGGCGACCCGGGATGGACGATAAAAGAGGGGTGATAATCTCATTCCTCAAGTCTTTATCAAGAGGGCAAGCCAGAAGGGCATGTGGCACCGATTCGGGACGGCCGTCTCCACAGGGACATAAGTGTTTTTCGTGTGGAATCGGTAAATTCCATTCAGAAAATGGAGAAACGCCTCGGAAGCCTGTTGTTGTTTAGTCGTTTAGTCATGTCCGCCTCTTCGTGACCCCCTGGACCAGAGCACGCCAGGCCCTCCTGTCTTCCACTGCCTCCCGCAGTTTGGTCAAACTCATGCTGGTTGCTTCGAGAACACGGTCCCACCATCTCGTCCTCCGTCGTCCCCTTCTCCTTGTGCCCTCCATCTTTCCCAGCATCAGGGTCTTTTCCAGGGAGTCTTCTCTTCTCATGAGGTGGCCAAAGTCTTGGAGCCTCAGCTTCAGGATCTGTCCTTCCAGTGAGCACTCAGGGCTGATTTCCTTCTGAATGGAGAGGTTTGATCTTCTTGCAGTCCATGGGACTCTCAAGAGTCTCCTCCAGCACCAGAATTCAAAAGCATCCATTCTTCGGCGATCACCCTTCTTTATGGTGTTCGACTTCTGAGGCATGTTCAAAAACATTCCGGGTTTCCGGCGTCCGGGTTCTGAATCGTTCAGCTTCCAAAGCGCTCGAAAAAACGAGTTTCCGCTGTACAATTACTATTCCTAATCATTCAGATGCCGAATTATATAATTAGGTGGGTCCCAACCCCTGCATGCTAGAATGAATGGTTTGCTTTTTTTTACTTAATTTCTGCGTTCCAAAATCTTATCCATCTCGATCAAAACCCATTCAAAAATTATTATTTTTATTATTAGGTAGCACAGGTATCCCCAACAGTATCTTTCAGCATTTGGCTGGTGAGGAAGCCCCAACATTCCCCTATTGTTAGTTTGCAAATCTATCCCCAAAAGTAAAAAGGCAAAGGGACCCCTGACCATTAGCTCCAGTCGTGGCCGACTCTGGGGTTGCGGCGCTCATCTCGCTTTACTGGCCGAGGGAGCCGGTGTACAGCTTCCGGGTCATGTGGCCAGCAGGACTAAGCCGCTTCTGGCGAACCAGAGCAGCGCAAGGAAATGCCGTTTACCTTCCCGCCGGAGTGGTACCTATTTATCTACTTGCACTTTGACGTGCTTTCGAACTGCTAGGTGGGCAGGAGCAGGGACCGAGCAACGGGAGCTCACCCCGTCATTGTGGGGATTCGAACCGCCGACGTTCTGATCGGCAAGCCCTAGGCTCTGTGGTTTAACCCACAGCGCCACCCACGTCCTGTCCCCAAAAGTATCTTTCTGCATTTGGCTGGTGGGGAACGTCAGGGATTCCCCACCCCTGCTCTCCCAGCCGGCCGTCGTTTCCCCTCCAACGAGAGACGTGTTCGGAACCTCTGCGAGAAGAGCTTTATTTCAATCCCTGGACTGGATGTTCTGGTTCTAAAATCCTTCTCAATGAACGTCTGGGAGAGAGCTAAACCCTTTAGTGGCGCCGCGTAAAACGACTGCCCCAGATAAATCGCTGCCTGGAGGGCAGGGGCTAAGCCGAGAGGGGATTAACCCTCTCTCTGCCCTGTCTTCCACCCCATTGGCAGAAGGACGTTGGAGATGGCAGGAGTTGCCAGCCTTCTTAAGCTCAGGGGCACGTGGGTGCCAGCCCTCTGGTCAGTTGGTCCCCTCTGCATGGTGTCACACACAGTGTCAGATTTACGTATAAGGAGGGGAAGTGATTTAGGAGCCCGGCCAGTGATGTCAAAGTTCTTCCACGTATTCATAAATTTAATTTTTTAGAAAGATTTTTTTTAAAAAATGGCATTCTGTGTGAGCCATCGCTTATGCACCATATTTTTCGCTGCATAAGACGCACCAGACCATAAGACGCACCTAGTTTTTGGAGGAGGAAAACAAGAAAAAAATATTCTGAATCCCAGAAGCCAGAACAGCAAGAGGGAGCAGCGATCCCTCTTGCTGTTCTGGCTTCTGGGATAGCTGCGCAGCCTGCATTCGCTCCATAAGACGCACACACATTTCCCCTTACTTTTCAGGAGGGAAAAAGTGAGTCTTATAGAGCAAAAAATACAGTATTTTCCATTTTTATATCGTCATATTATTCAGTGAACTGAGACCTGCAGGTTTGGGGCAGTATACAATTTTAATAAATCCTCATCCTCATCATTGATCTTGGGAGTTTTAAAAATTATTTTTTAGGCTTGCCCAAGACTCAGACAGAGCTGCGACAGGTAGGCTCTTTAATTCTCAAGGTCGTGGGTTTGAGCAAATGATTCCTGCATTGCAAGGGGTTGCAGAATAGATTATCTTGAATGGTTCCTTTCAAACTCAATCGTTCTCTCCCATCTCCTCCAAGTGTCCTATTTTTCCAGGGACAGTCCCGGAATTACAGAAGCCGGTGTCTCTTCTGCCATTGAATGGTGGATGAGTTTCATGAAATATAGCTGCGCCGAACCTGATATTCAGTACTGGATTTACGTATAAGCTAAACAAGCTCTAGCTTAGGGCCCCGCTCTCTTGGGGATGTCCAAAAAAATTTAAAGGGAAAAAAACTGGATGCACATCTCCAAAATACAAGATAAAAAACCAATAAAATAAAACCTACATACAGCGTTTTGTGTTGTGTGGGCTCCTAGGATGTAAGTCATGGGCCCCGCCTGCTCCCTAAAATATCACTGGTTTGCTCCTTTCTATATATAGGGTGCCTACATTCTGAACGTGCAAATGGCTTTTACAAGTATTGAAGATATAGGGGGAAGAGAGAAATATGAGCATAGGGGAGGTGATTAGAATACGGAGTTGATAAATGAATGAAACCGTAGAAGGGGAGGAAGGGAAGTCGATGGTTGTGAATGTTATGGCTGTATTCATTGAAATGCAAAAAATTATAATATAAATCAGGCATAGGCAAACTCCAGCCCTCCAGATGTCTGGGACTACGATTCCCATCATCCCTGACCACTGGTCCTGTTTGTTAGGGATGATGGGAATTGTAGTCCCAAACAGGCCAGAGTTTGCCTATGCCTGGTATAAATAATAAAAATTTAAAAATTAATAGGTGCCTTGAAAAGCATACTTAGAGGGCACAAGGTGCAGAACTTAGGGGGCCTATTGCTGCGGATAAACACGTCAACTCTTCCTCAAATTCCTCCCCAGGGATTTCTCCGAAAAAGCCAGACATGGACAAGTCTCCCTTCAACAGTCCGTCTCCGCAAGATACTTCGCCTCGGCTGAGCAGTTTTACACAACACCACCGTCCCGTCATCGCCGTACACAGCGGTAGGTTGGGGGTCGCCAAGGAAGGGGGAAAAATAAGGCAGGAAAGTTCTCCCTAAAGCTGGAATGTGTCACTTCGGGTTCATGTGTCTGTGTTGCAGGGAAGCCGTCTCATTTTGAAACCCCTCGCAAGGAGAAGAGTAACAGAGTCCTTGCACTACTAGCTTTCTGCTTGCAGACTCTCAAGATATACCGTATTTTTCACTCTATAAGACGCACCAGACCATAAGACGCACCTAGTTTTTGGAGGAGGAAAACAAGAAAAAAAATATCCTGAATCTCAGAAGCCAGAACAGCAAGAGGGATCGCTGCGCAGCGAAAGCAGCAATCCCTCTTGCTGTTCTGGCTTCTGGGATAGCTGCGCAGCCTGCATTCGCTTCATAAGACGCACACGCATTTCCCCTTACTTCTTAGGAGGGAAAAGTGAGTCTTATAGAGCAAAAAATACAGTATGTGATTCCTCAGTCCCAGCCGTCCAAATTGGCACAGCCCACCTCTGTTTTTTGACTGAGGTTGCTTCTGGCACAACTTTCTAAAGCCCTTCCTTTCTCCTAAGGACGTTCTCTCCACCGTTCCCATCAGGGGGCTCTGAGCATCCTCAGCAAACTACAGTTCCCAGAATTCTTTTCTGCAGCAAACGACCCTGTGATCCTCAGCCGATAAATTTAATAAGCGTAATTTAACAAAAGCAGCATTTCCTGCTGCGCATGAGGTGGGAAGAGAGATGCTCCATCTTTGACCAGGAATGAGGAAAAACACCTGTGCCCCCATCCGGTTGCCATATGTCCTCTTTTTCCAGGACACGTCCTCCTATTCAGGATTAAAATATCTGGGAGGATTTTTAAAAAATTGACTTTCCCAAGGAGAGCGGGGAGCAGGGAGGCGAGGTTGTAGAGGGAAAGAAGGCCGCGGCGGTGGTCTCTGCAGAGGCGCCCCAGGCGGGGGTCCGGGGGTGTCGCGGCGAGGCGGGCCACCCAGTCTCTTCTCTACCTGACAAGACAGAAGGACTGTTTTGGGGGGACAGGAGGTGGGCAGGTGTGGAGGACTGCCTGGTCCTGAATCGGGTAACTGTGCCCCTGAAGGACCAAGTGTGCAGCCTGGGGGTCATTCTGGACTCACAGCTGTCCATGGAGGCGCAGGTCAATTCTGTGTTCAGGGCAGCTGTTTACCAGCTCCATCTGGTACACAGGGTGAGACTCTCCCTGTCCGCAGACTGTCTGGCCAGAGTGGTGCATGCTCTGGTTATCTCCCACTTGGACTACTGCCATGCGCTCTACGTGGGGCTACCTTTGAAGGTGACCCGGAAACTACAACTAATCCAGAATGCGGCAGCTAGACTGGTGACTGGGAGCGGCTGCCGAGACCATATAACACTGGTCCTGAAAGACCTACATTGGCTCCCAGTACGTTTCCGAGCACAGTTCAAAGTGTTGGTGCTGACCTTGAAAGCCCTAAACGGCCTCGGTCCAGTATATATGAAGGAGCGTCTCGACCCCCATCTTCGGCCTGGACACCGGGGTCCATCTCCCGAGGGCCTTCTGGCGGTTCCCTCACTGCGAGAAGCAAAGCTACAGGGAAGCAGGCAGAGGGTCTTCTCGGTGGTGGCGCCCGCCCTGTGGAACGCCCTCCCATCAGATGTCAAGGAAATAAACAACTCTCTGACTTTTAGAAGACATCTGAAGGCAGCCCTCTTTAGGGAAGCTTTTAATGTTTGATGTATTACAGTATTTTAATATTTTTTTGGAAGCCGCCCAGAGTGGCTGGGTATAAATAATAAATTATTATTATTATTATTATTATTATTATTATTATTATTATTATTATCTGTCGCCCCCTGCAGGTATCGCCCGAAGCCCTCACCCATCCTCCGCGCTACATTTCCCCACCACCTCAATCCTGCCCCAAACGGCCTCCACTTACTTCCAACACACAGCCATACGGTACCCGCCACACCTGAACCCTCAAGACCCTCTGAAAGACCTCGTCTCGCTGGCCTGCGACCCGTCCAATCAGCAGCCGGGACCGGTAAGGAACCGCCGATCTCGTCCCCGTGTGGTTCTGGGGTTCAGGGAAAGTCCTGGGACTTGCCAACTCGGCGGTCTCGCTCAACTCGCTCTTCTCAAGGCCACCGTAGATACCGCACCGCTGCCCCTCTCCCCTGCGCGGTTTTCCCTCACCCTCTTGAGGACTAGCGGATTGTTTGGGCCGGGCTGCGGAGGTTTCCGAGCGGCCGTGTGTAGAAATGCGCATTACGCCAGGCTGAAACTTCCCAAACCTTTGGGAGGTCGCAAGGTGGTTAGATTCGTCTCAACTAGGGCCAGGGCCTTTTCAGTACTGGCCCCGATGTGGTGGACCATTCTGTCCCAAGAGACTAGGGCACTGTGGGACTTGACATCTTTCTACAGGGCCTGCAAGACAGAGCTGTTCCGCCTGGTCTTTGGTTTGGACTCAGTCTGACCTTTATGTTTCCCTCCCCTTATTATTACCGTATTTTTCGCTCTATAAGACGCACCAGACCACAAGACGCACCTAGTTTTTGGAGGAGGAAAACAAGAAAAAAAATATTCTGTATCTCAGAAGCCAGAACAGCAAGAGGGATCGCTGCGCAGCGAAAGCAGCGATCCCTTTTGCTGTTCTGGCTTCTGGGATAGCTGCGCAGCCTGCATTCGCTCCATAAGACGCACACACATTTCCCCTTACTTTTCAGGAGGGAAAAAGTGAGTCTTATAGAGCAAAAAATACGGTAATTATTATTATGTTTTTACTGTAATTTTACTGGTGTTAGCCGCCCTGAGCCCGGCTCTGGCTGGGGAGGGCGGGGTATAAATAAAATTTATTATTATTATTAAAAGGGAGCTGTCTGTGCGTCAGGACAGGCGGTGTCGATGGCGAAAAAGGAGGCTCCCTTGCCCGTGTTGGGGCACACAGATATCTAATGGGGGCGACAGCAGCACTCCCTTGACTTCCCTTCGTCTGGCAGCTGGCAGCTTTGGAGTTTCCCATAATGCCCCGGGACACTTGCTGCATTTTGGGCGTATGACACCTTGTTCCGGGGTGTAATACAGTGGTTCAGTGTGTCGTGGCACCCTGGGGTGCCTTGAATGATGCTCTGGGGTGCTGCTGGCAACAAGGGAGGGTGTTCAAAAAAAGGGTGAGGGGCTGCCAGCTCTGCAGGCAAGGGGGGGGACAAAGTTGGGCTCCTGAGCCCCACAGGGGTGCCACAGAAATAATGGCGTGGGTCAAGGGAGCTGCGGCTTAGAATCTACAAGAGCAAAAGCACGACACACAAGGAAAGGGGAACTAGGAGGGCAGAGGAAAAAGTCAAGCTCGGGAACCGGTTCTTAAACAGGGGATTGTTATAAGGACCAGCAGGTGTGAGAAAGGGGGGCATTGCTTACACAGAAGATGGGATAGATCAGGGGTCGGCAAGGCTTAGTCCATCAGCTTAAAGGTAAAGGTAAAGGGACCCCTGACCATTAGGTCCAGTCGTGGCCGACTCTGGGGTTGCTGCGCTCATCTCGCTTTACTGGCCGAGGGAGCCGGCGTACAGCTTCCGGGTCATGTGGCCAGCAGGACTGAGCCGCTTCTGGCGAACCAGAGCAGCGCACGGAAACGCTGTTTACCTTCCCGCCAGAGTGGGACCTATTTATCTACTTGCACTTTGAGGTGCTTTCGAACTGCTAGGTTGGCAGGAGCAGGGACCGAGCAACGGGAGCTCACCCCGTCATTGCGGGGTTTCGATCCGCCGACCTTCTGATCGGCAAGCCCTAGGCTCAGTGGTTTAACCCACAGCGCCACCCGCGTCCCTTCAGTCCATCAGCTTAGTTTGCCATTATTCTCTGGTAGGGACTTTATCTTTTTTCCGTCTCTGGGCTAGTAAGATCCGTGCGGCAGTCGTTGCATAGCCAGATTATCGCCTTCCAAAGCAACTCCTCTATTCTGAACTTTTAAAAACGGAGAGCGTAATGTTGGTGGGCAACAAAAGAGGTTTAAAGACTGTCTCAAGGCAAATCTAAAAAATGTAGCATAACTGGGAAACACTGGCCTGCGAGCGTTGCAGTCGGAGAACAGCCTTGACCAAAGGTGTCGTGGGCTTTGAAGACACTCGAACTCAGGACGCAAGGGAGAAACATGCCAAGAGGAAGGCACACTTGGCAAACCCTCACCGGGGTCAACTCCCGCCTGGAAACCTATGTCCCCACTGTGGAAGGATGTGTGGATCCAGAATTGGCCTCCACAGTCACTTACGGACTTATGGTTAAGACCGTGTTTATGGAAGACAACTGGCTACGAGGGATCGCCGAAAGGAGAAGTAGAAAGATTGGGTTCGATCGCAGCGAGACGGGGCAGCGGCGCAGCGTGTTACAAGAAGGGGAAAGCCAGAGGGAGATTTCGGACTGCTTTGAAGCTGGGAATCTCCAGCAATCTCCAAATCAAACTCTCCTTGCCTTCTGCAACCATCACACAAACACACACACACACACACAGAGACGGGTCTGGCAGTCAATATGCATAACATATAAAGGCATCTTTGATGTGCTTCTTGCTCTGCTGCAAGGCTGCTCTCCACCCTGGTGGGCTCCCAGCTCCATCACCAGCAGGTGGTCCCATCAAAGGGGTACCTACCAACTGCTCAGGCTGCCTGCAGGGCAGCTGGGGGGGGAGAATAGAGGAGGCCTGACCCCCCACCTCCCAAAAACACACACTGCATTTACGAGCCAACGTTACCTGTGAAAAAACTTTTGTTGTTTAGTCGTGTCCGCCTCTTCGTGACCCCCTGGACCAGAGCACGCCAGGCACTCCTGTCTTCCTCTGCCTCCCGCAGTTTGGTCAAACTCATGCTGGTAGCTTCCAGAACACTGTCCCACCATCTCGTCCTCCGTCGTCCCCTTCTCCTTGTGCCCTCCATCTTTCCCAACATCAGGGTCTTCTCCATGGAGTCTTCTCTTCTCCTGAGGTGGCCAAAGTCTTGGAGCCTCAGCTTCAGGATCTGTCCTTCCAGTGAGCACTCAGGGCTGATTTCCTTCCGAATGGAGAGGTTGGATCTTCTTGCAGTCCATGGGACTCTCAAGAGTCTCCTCCAGCACCATAATTCAAAAGCATCCATTCTTTGGCAATCAGCCTTCTTTGTGGTCCAGCTCTCACTTCCATATTTGCTCCTGTTTTATTTCCTTGGGTATCGTCTCCCTGCATAGGGTTGAAGTGCGTCTGGGTTTTCCTGGATCTATCCGGAATACCAGGGAAAACCACTTTGTTTTTGCCTCCCCCCCCCCCCATTAAAATACAGTCATCCCAAACAGAATCCGTTCCGGAAGTCCGAAAACATTCAGAGACCGAGGCAGGGCTTCCGATTGGCTGCAGGAGCTTTCTGCGCACAATCGGAAGACGCACCGGACATCCGGCTTCCAAAAAATGTTCAAAACCAGGAACACTTTTCCTGGTTTGCGGCGTTTGGGAACCAAGGCGTTTGGGAACCAAGGTGTTTGAGAACCAAGGCGTTTGAGAACCAAGGTGTTTGAGAACCAAGGCATTTGAGAACCAAGGTGTTTGAGAACCAAAGCATTTGAGAACCAAGGCATTTGAGAACCAAGGTACCGCTGTATACAGAGGATAAAGGAAAAAAGTTAAATTACATTTTGGGGGTTCGGATCAATGGTCAAATGGTGGGTCTTATTCTAATCGCTCCAGCTAAAAACCATGCAACTTTTGCTATCTATCGCCTGTTCATCTTGATCTGTCAAGGGAACGGAGAGTGTAACAGTGGTTGGGCGACCCGGAATGGACAATAAAAGAGGGGTGATAACTTCACTCCTCAAATATTTGTAAAGAGTCGGAAGGCCGGAAGGACGTGAGCTGCCGATTCACGACTGCCATCTCCACAAAGACATAAGCGTTTTTCCCACTGGGGTTTTTTGGAATTGCCCCTGAAGGCGGTATATTCAGTCTTGTGAGAGTAAAAGCACGTCTATATTTTGGAATTATTAAGTTCTGCAAAGAGTCAAAATGTCTAGGTGGGGAATAGTCGTACCGTGGGCAGAATTTCCTTATTGTGGCTGAGTTGTTCTGTCGCTCGATATCGTTTAATTAAATTGCTTGCTTTACTAAAACCCAGCGTGAGTAGCCGTCGTGGGGATAAACCACAGGAGTGAAGTTTTGGGTAAACTATTTTAGTCCCGGCGCTCTCTTGCGACTCTAGAGGTAGTAGACCAGACAGATCTATATGTGTGTTTGTGAAAAAGTCCATGTAAGAAACTAGCCTACTGCATAAATTTGCATTTGTCGCCCCGCCCATTTTGCCTCTGGCCCCGCCCACTAGCGCCATGTGGTTTCCCCCTGCCCTTCTCATAAATATGGGGGGGGGTCCACAGATCGCTCCCCTCCCTCGATCTTTATTCCAGCTTTTGCAACTTCACCCTACTGATCCTAAAATAAAATAAAATAAAACGATAAAATAAAGGAATGCGTTTTCAAATGCCGCAAAGCAAAGCTTAACAGTCCAGCAATAGCCTTATGCCTAAATTCCACCACCATCACCAAATAATAATAATAATAATAATAATAATATTTATACCTCACCCATCTGGCTGGGCTTCCCCAGCCACTCTGGGCAGCTCCCAACAAAAATATAAAAGCACGATAAAATATCAAGCATTAAAAACTTCCCTAAACAGGGCTGCCTTCAGATCCTTTCTAAAAGTCAGATCGTTGTTTATTTCCTTGACATCTGAAGGGAGGGCGTTCCACAGGGCGGGCGCCACCACCGAGAAGGCCCTCTGCCTGGTTCCCTGTAACCTCGCTTCTCGCAGGGAGGGAACCGCCAGAAGGCCCTCGGGAGATGGACTCTGTGTCCGGGCTGAACGATGGGGGTGGAGATGCTCCTTCAGGGATACTGGGCCATTTAGGGCTTTAAAGGTCAGCACCAACACTTTGAATTGTGCTCGGAAACGTCCTGGGAGCCAATGTAGGTCCTTTCAGGACCGGTGTTATATGGTCTCCACTCCCAGTCCCCAGTCTGGCAGCCGCATTCTGGATTAGTTGCAGTTTCCGGGTCAGCTTCCAAGGTAGCCCCACGTAGAGCGCATGGCAGTAGTCCAAGCGGGAGATAACCAGAGCATGCACCACTCTGGCCAGACAGTCCGCGGGCAGATAGGGTCTCATCCTGCGCACCAGATGGAGCTGCCCTGGACACAGAATTAACCTGCGCCTCCATGGATAGCCGTGAGTCCAGAATGACTCCCAGGCTGCACACCTGGTCCTTCAGGGGCACAGTGACCCCATTCAGGACCAGGGAGTCCCCCACACCCGCCCGCCTCCTGTCCCCCCAAAACAGTCCTTCTGTCTTGTCAGGATTCAACCTCAATCCGTTAGCCGCCATCCATCCTCCAACCGCCTCCAGACCCTCACACAGGACCTTCACCGCCTTCACTGGTTCTGATTTAAAAGAACCTCGAAATACCGGCTGCCGGGCGGGGGTCACAAATGGGGACGCCGAGTTGAGCTGGCCAAGGTGCCCATGTTCCCTGATCTTGCCCGGCCGCCGTCCCCGTTTTTTTCTAATTGGGGGGGTTCTCCACTGGGCGGCTCTTTTGAGGGCTCTGTTAACCAGCTTTGTGTCTCTTCTTTTGTCTTCCATCTTGTGTCCCCCCCTAGTTAAATGGAGGTGGACAAGTGAAGGTTCCCGGGCATTACCTTCCCACCCAGATGTTGGCGCCGCCGCCCCCCCCGGGTCTGCCCCGCCTGGCAATCTCACCCGACACCAAACCCATCGCGACAACTTCCGAGGGAGGGACTACTTCGCCGACGTCTCCCAGTAAGCAAGCCTCAAAAACGCCCCCCCCAAACCCGATCCCGACTCCCGCCCGCCCGCCCCCTCCCAAATGACCCAGCAGCCATGCCCACCCATGCCCAATTCCGCCCACCCACCCCCAATCCCCCAAATCCAGACATACTCACAGACCGCAGTCTAGCGTTTTCATTTTCCGGAGAGGGGTGGGATTCGAAGCATGGCAGCGTTTTTCATAGGAGGGGGCTGTTTTTTTTCAGGGGCGGCGGCACCGCCAGCAGCGGGGGAGATCTGGGTTCAAAACAGCAGCAGCCCCGACCCGCCAATGGGAAGGGCTTGGGCAAAGGGCCGGTTTAAAATAAGGTTACCAGATTTTTTCTCAGCGAATCCGGGGACACTTTTTAACTTCAATAGGAATGATAGGGTTTTGTCTGGGGGCTGATTTGTAAATCCGGGGACTGTCCCCGGGAAACGGGGATGTCTTCTAACCTTAGTTTAGCAGCAGCCTTTGGCTATGTGCAATAAAACTGACTGACTGACTGACTGTAACCTTAGCTTAAAACGCACCTGTTGAAATCAAAACAGTGTCCCTTCTGGTGGCTTGCAACTGAACAGTTTGCGCCTAAATAGAAGCTTTGCGGCTCGTCGATCCGAAACAGCCTCTTCCAGACTCAGATCTAGCCAAAGGAGCATCTGTGTAATGAAGGACTTGCATTGATTATTATTAATATTAATAATAATAATCCCCCACCCAACTGGCTGGGTTTCCCCAGCCACACTGGGCAGCTCCCAACAGAATATTAAAAATAAAGGTAAAGGTAAAGGTACCCCTGCCCGTACGGGCCAGTCGTGTCCAACTCTAGGGTTGTGCGCCCATCTCACTTAAGAGGCCGGGGATACTTCCGGGTCATGTGGCCAGCGTGACGAAGCTGCTCTGGCGAGCCAGCACCAGCGCAGCACACGGAAACGCCGTTTACCTTCCCGCTATAAAGCGGTACCTATTTATCTACTTGCACTTAGGGGTGCTTTCAAACTGCTAGGTGGGCAGGAGCTGGGACTGAAAGATTGGAGCTCACCCCGCCGTGGGGATTTGAACTGCCGACCATGCGATCGGCAAGCCCTAGGCACTGAGGTTTTATCCACAGCGCCACCCGCGTCCCCCTAATATTAAAAATATTAAAAATACCAAACATTAAAAACTTCCCTAAACAGGGCTGCTTTGAAGTGTCTTCTAAAAGTCAGAAAGCTGTTAATTTCCTTGACACCTGATGGGAGGGTGCCACCACCGAGAAGGCCCTCTGCCTGGTTCCCTGTAACCTCGCTTCTCGCAGGGAGGGAACCGCCAGAAGGCCCTCGGAGCTGGAGCTGCTTACAATGGTCTCACATATAAATGATAAACTTTCCCCGTTCTTTTTCAAAGTCCTTGTCTTCTTGATTCCTGAGCTTCCCAGTTAATTTTGCCATTTTGGCATCATCCATCAACTTGGTTTGCCATTCTTATCTGGCCGGGGTTATCGCTTATTTCCATCTCTGGGCTAATAGCATCCTTGCGGCTGGGAATTCTTCTTAAATACCTGGCAGGGAACCTGTGACTCTTCAGATATTGCCAGACTCTCGCCATACCGTCCCTATGCTGTCTGGAACCGATGAGAACTGGTGCACAATGACCCTGTTTAATGAATGTTTCTTATAGCTTAAAAACAGAACACAGGTTTGCATCCTTTAACCCAAAAGCCCACACTGGAATCTAAAACAAAACTCATTCAGTTCCTCTGCCCTGAGCTAGGAATCCCAGAATCTTTTTACACAACCAGGCACTGTGATAAAGTCCCTTTTCATTTCCTTAAACCGCTGGAAATGATAGGAAACCGCATAATAATTATATGAATGATAATTTGAACCCTGCCCAACTGACCGGGTCGCCACAGCCACGCTGGACAGCTTCCGACCCATATAAAACCAGAATAAAACTCAAGTGTTGGAAACTTCCCCATACAGGGCTGTCTTCAAAAAGTCAAATAGTTCTTTATCTCCTTGACATCTGGTGGGAGGGCGTTCCACAGGGCGGGCGCCACCACCAAGAAGACCCTCTGCTTGGTTCCCTGTAACCTCGCTTCTCACAGGGAGGGAACCGCCAGAAGGCCCTCGGGAGATGGACCCCGGTGTCCGGGCTGAACGATGGGGGTGGAGACGCTCCTTCAGGGATACTGGGCCATTTAGGGCTTTCAAGGTCAGCACCGACACTTTGAATTGTGCTCGGAAACGTCCCGGGTGCCAATATAGGCAATGTTGTGTTTTGAGGCTGAGACACTGATCTAGATCTGTTTGCTTTGGCCTGTGTGGATTCTAAGTTGCCATTTTGGGGGGCCAGGCGGTTAGAAGCTTGTAGTTTTCAAGACGACTTTTTGGTTCCTGAAATTCATTCCGGTTGTACGGATGAAATAATGGCGGGTAGAATTCTGCAGGTTGCGTTGCTAGCGTGGGAAAACAGGCAAGGTTCAAGGATCCTTTATCCTGGCACCCAGGAATCTTCACTCGGTTGCAAAAGGAGCCTGGCGAATTTAGAACTCTGCCTGGGGCCAGTCCTGATCTTTCAGCCTCTCCCGCCTCGCAGGGTCGTTGTAGGATGGTAATGAGGAGCGTGAACACCACCTTGAGCTCTTTGAAAGATAAGGAGGCTACGGATGCAAGGGGGGAAAATAAAATAAAATCACTGATTGGCGCACTTGAGAAGCCCGGCGGGCAGAGGGGGCAGCAGCAAATATTTCTGCTGCGCCCTCAGGGCAACTGCAAGGACAAGGAAGGAAGGAAGGGAAAGAAAGAGGAAGGAAGGGAGGAAGGAAGGAAGGGAAAGAAAGAGGAAGGAAGGAAGGAAGGAAGGAAGGAAGGAAGGGAAAGAAAGAGGAAGGGAGGGAGGGAGGAAGGAAGGAAGGAAGGAAGGAAGGAAGGAAGGGAAAGAAAGAGGAAGGGAGGGAGGGAGGAAGGAAGGGAAAGAAAGAGGAAGGAAGGGAGGAAGGAAGGAAGGGAAAGAAAGAGGAAGGAAGGAAGGAAGGAAGGAAGGAAGGAAGGAAGGAAGGAAGGAAGGAAGGGAGGAAGGAAGGAAGGGAAAGAAAGAGGAAGGAAGGAAGGAAGGAAGGAAGGAAGGAAAGAAGGAAGGAAAGTTTGTGGAAAGGCCTCCGCAGAGAGGCTGCCCTGGCGCCTTCATTACACAAAGTTTCTCTTGTCGTTTTGTCGTTTTCCTCCCGCTGCTTTTATCTCTACTTCCGCCCACAATTTACTTTGACTGTTAATATATGTAAATATATTATAAATAGGCTCCCCCTCTTCTATAACAAGTTCGTCATTTCGCTCTCTTAATTTCGCCGTCAGCTTTGCCGTTTCTGCACAGTCCATCCCTTTCAGCATTCTGCAGCCTCTTAAATGTTTTTGTGGGAAGGAGATGGGTTGTTTGTCGTTTTAACTGTTTGCTTGTGGTCTTTACCTCGTATTTTGTCCCGTGAGCTGCTCTGAGATTTTGTGATGAAGGGGGGGGGGCATATAAATGGAAGGAAGGAAGGAAGGAAGGAAGGAAGGAAGGAAGGAAAGAAAGATGGAAGGAAGGAAGGAAGGAAGGAAGGAAGGAAGGAAGGAAGGAAAATAAGAAGGAAGGAAGGATGGAAGGAAGATAAGAAGGAAGGAAGAAAGGAAGGAAGGAAGAAAGGAGAGAGGGAGAGGAAGGAAGGAAGGAAAGATAGGAAGGAAGGAAAGAAGGAAGGAAGGAAGGAAAATAAGAAGGAAGGAAGGAAGATAAGAAGGAAGGAAGGAAGGAAGGAAGGAAGGAAGGAAGGAGAGAGGGAGAGGAAGGAGGGAAGGAGAGAGGGAGAGGAAGGAAGGAAAGATAAGGAAGGAAGGAAGGAAGGAAGGAAGGAAGGAAGATAAGAAGGAAGATAAGAAGGAAGGAAGAAAGATAAGAAGGAAGGAAGGAAGGAAGGAAGGAAGGAAGGATGGTTATTCTGGGTGGTTTCCTCTCGAATGGGAATAGGAATTGGTGGTCGGGGGTTTGTTTTGCGTTTCTTTTCTAAACCGTGCTGTGTCCCCCCTCCTTTCTTTCTCTCCCCCTCTCCCTCCTTCCCTTCCTCAGCCTACTCCGCCCCAGGCACACCCCCTGCGAACCGCTTCGTGGGACTAGGACGGGATCCTGGCAGCATCTATCAGGCACAGGTGAGTCCGCCTAACTCTTCCTCAGGGTCACGGCGATGGTGCCGCAGCTTATGGCTGGTGTGCGCGAGAGATGGAGGAATTCCTCTTCTCAGACCAGGGTTGGGGGAGACCTGCGGACCTCCGAAGGTGACCCTTTGCTTTCTCCATCCTCCCGCACCCACCTTGACCAGTGAGTGGTCAAGCATTGTGGGCAGGGGCGTAGGAAGGGGGGACGGTCCGCCCCAGGTGCCACCATGGAGGGGGGTGACAAATGATCAAGGAACAATTACTGCCCTACCAGGGCGGTTCATAGAGACACGGGTGGCGCTGTGACTTAAACCACAGAGCCTAGGACTTGCTGATCAGAAGGTTGGCGGTTCGAATCCCCACAATGACGGGGTGAGCTCCCGTTGCTCGGTCCCTGCTCCTGCCAACCTAGCAGTTCGAAAGCACGTCAAAGTGCAAGTAGATAAATAGGTACCACTCCGGCGGGAAGGTAAACGGCGTTTCCGTGCGCTGCTCTGGTTCGCCAGAAGCGGCTTAGTCCTGCTGGCCACATGACCCGGAAGCTGTACGCCGGCTCCCTCGGCCAATAAAGCGAGATGAGCGCCGCAACCCCAGAGTCGGTCATGACTGGACCTAACGGTCAGGGGTCCCTTTACCTTTAGGGTGGTTCATAAAAAAAACTTTCTTTTTAAATGCCTGCTCCAAAGGTCTTATCTTACTACAATAGGGATTATATAGCTCAGGCATAGGCAAACTCCAGCCCTCCAGATGTTTAGGACTACAATTCCCATCGTCCCTGACCACTGGTCTTGTTAGCTAGGGATGATGGGAGTTGTAGTCCGAAACATCTGGAGGGCTGGAATTTGCCTATGCCTGATATAGCTATTTGTCAACCGCACCATTTCAGCAAATTCATGTAGTTTATTATTGTCGGGGCTTCTTCTTCCTTCCACCCCTTCGCCACCAAAGGAAATTCCAACGAAATTATCAGTGGAAACTTTCTGGCAGTAAGAGCTATTCAGTCGTGGGATGGAAGTCTTCCTTGGAGGTCTTTTAGCAGAGTTTGAATGACCCTCTGTCAGGGATGCTTTAGCTGAAATTCTTGCATTGCAAAGGGGGTTGGGATGGATGACCCCTGGGGGTCCCTTTGCAACTCTACAGTCCTTTGATTCAGGCCAGATAGCTAACTTGCGATTCTGAGACGTCCAAAGGGGGGAAAAGGTGACAAGATGAATGCCTTTTCGCAAACCCGTTTCGCAAACAGACACATTTTGGGTGCGTGCTTTCCCCTCAATTAATAATAATAATTAATAATAATAATAGATTTTTATTTATACCCCGCCCTTCCCGGTTCAAACACCAGGCTCACAACAAATTTAAAACAATTGTAAAAGCAGCATAAAACACAGCATAAAAACATGAATAACGATAAAATTCAAAGCTCATGAATCAATTTAGGGAGAATCCATCTAATAAGCATTAGATGATCACCAAGGCTAGCTGGCTGAATTGGTCCTACTTGGGCCAGCGAGGAGGCCAGGGGAGAATTAGCTGTGGGGTCTCAGAGCGGGTAATTTTCATAAAAGGGAAATAAAAGATTTGACACGTGTTTGGTCGGGTGTCTGAAGAAGCGATCTGTGTGACCTTTTTCTCCCTCTGCAAAATCTTCTGCCTTCGTCAGGCAGGGAGACGAGGGTCAGATCCACTCGTTCGGCCCGCAAATCTCTCTTTTCACGCGCGATTCTCCGTGCCGCAGTTGCAATGTCCCAGAGGGCATATATGTGTCTGCGTGTGTTTTGTGGGGGGGGGGGTTGCGGGGGGAATTGACTGCAGAGGAGAGGCAGTGCGGAGACTGCGGGTGGCTGGCTAGGAGAGGAGGAGCGCGGAGGGGAAATCGCTCTCGCCAGCCAAGATCTGCTGAATCTGCAAAAAAAAAAAAAAAAGGAGGGGAGGGAAAAAAGCTTGTTAGACGCAGTAGGAATTATTGCGCAGCCTCTCTCTCCACGCACAAACACCTCCAGCCAAGATGGCTTGCAGGTCATGGAATCGTAGAGTGATAAGGGAACCCCAGGGGCCATCCATTCCAACCCCCTGCAATGCAGGAATCTCAGCTAAAGCCACGGCCGGATGAGGCCCTAATTTCCTGAAAGGTAATGGGGCCCTTTATATGTCCAGCTGTCCTTTGCCAACAACAACTGGCCGCTGTTTTTTGTGTTGAATAAATGCTATATGGTAATTGGTAAACTGCGTTTCCGTGCGCTGCTCTGGTTCGCCAGAAGCGGCTTAGTCCTGCTGGCCACATGACCTGGAAGCTGTACGGCGGCTCCCTCGGCCAATAAAGCGAGATGAGCGCCGCAACCCCAGAGTCGTCCGCGACTGGACCTAACGGTCAGGGGTCCCTTTACCTTTACCTTTAATTGATGGACCTAATAGGTATCTCAAGCCCTTTGCACATGTGGCCATGCGACCAGGCCATGCAGAATGCAGGCACCCTATATATAGAAAGGAGCAAACCAGGGATATTTTAGGGAGCAGGCTAGCAGCTGAGGACCATGACTTACATCAGAGGAGCCTCCATAATACGAAACACTATTGCTGCATGTAGGTTTTATTCTATTTGTTTTTTATCTTATATTTTGGAAATGTACATCCAGTTTTCCCCCCTTTAAACTTTTTTGGGGCCCCCAAGAGAGCGGTACCCTAAGCTATAGCTTGTTTAGCTTATATGTAAATCTGGCACTGGTTCACAGCTTTTTTACAGTGGTGGCGCTGTGGGTTAAACACAGAGCCTAGGACTTGCCGATCAGAAGTTCGGCGGTTCGAATCCCTGCAATGACGGGGTGAGCTCCCGTTGCTCGGTCCCTGCTCCTGCCCACCTAGCAGTTCGAAAGCACGTCAAAGCGCAAGTAGATAAATAGGTACCGCTCCGGCGGGAAGGTAAACGGCGTTTCCGTGCGCTGCTCTGGTTCGCCAGAAGCGGCTTAGTCCTGCTGGCCACATGACTCGGAAGCTGTACGCCGGCTCCCTCGGCCAGTAAAGCGAGATGAGCACCGCAACCCCAGAGTCGGCCACGACTGGACCTAATGGTCAGGGGTCCCTTTACCTTTACCTTACCTTGGTTTACAACCATAATCCGTTTGCAAACCAAAACAGGTTGTATCCCAAGGCGTGCTTTCGCCAATGGGGCCTCCAGAAAAAAATTGTCCATAATCCCCAAAGAAATGGGTTATTTAAGCTGAAATTCTCAGGAAAGCGAATGCTGCAACCTGTAGAGACGTAATTTGGTGGTGGTGCAACCCCCATCACTTCCACTGGGGAATATATTGAGGACTAGCAACTTGATTTAAAAATAAAATTAAAAAATGCTGAGTTTCAGGGGAAAGCAGACGCTGGGCTCTGTGCTAAATTTTCGCACCTGCTTCTTTCCATCGCAAACACACGGAGAATGATTATTCCATGCCTGGTTCTTGAGTTTTTTCAGGGAAGTGAAATTGTGGAGGCTTTTGGAGGGGATTCACCAACAGAAATAGTGATGGTCTAAGACTCTTCCTGGTTCTTTTAGCAAAAACCCACTTATTCCTGCATTGCAGGGGGCTGAATCAGAATGATCCCCAGTATCTCTTTGAAAACTATAATTCTATGTCTGGAATAGCTCTAGCTAGAAACAGAGTCAAAAAGGCTGTGCTGCCACCTGCTGGCTATTTGCAAAAACTACATGCGGGTGGCGCTGTGGGTTAAACCACGGAGCCTAGGACTTGCCGATTAGAAGGTCGGCGGTTCGAATCCCCGCGTCGACGGGGTGAGCTCCCGTTGCTCGGTCCCTGCTCCTGCCAACCTAGCAGTTTGAAAGCACAAAGCGCAAGTAGATAAATAGGTACCACTCCTGCGGGAAGGTAAACGGCGTTTCCGTGCGCTGCTCTGGTTCGCCAGAAGCGGCTTAGTCCTGCTGGCCACATGACCCGGAAGCTGTATGCCGGCTCTCTCGGCCAGTAAAGCGAGATGAGCGCTGCAACCCCAGAGTCGGCCACGACTGGACCTAATGGTCAGGGGTCCCTTTACCTTTAATAGGCAAACCTTACTTTGCAGAGTATCTGGCTAGCACTTTTGTTAGGTTATATTTGTGATAAATGTTGAAAATCAATAAAAAATAATGTGTGGGTTTTTTGGAAAAAAAATAATTTTATCTTCTTTCCCCTTTCTCTTTCTCTCTCCTCTTGCCCTCCAGTCCTGGTACTTAGGTTAACCGCAGCTTACATTTGGACCTTCATCTTCCTCACCCCCCTCACCCCCCCTTCCGGGCTTTGGGCTTCCTCCGAGGAGAACGATTCACCCCCACTCCCGACCCCCCCCCGGCTCAAACCTTGATGGCAGCGCGGAGAGTGGGGCGACGGCGGACCTGGCTTCGGGAGTCCTTGGCACCACGGGAAGAAGCTCCAAACTTTTGCAAAATGTTTTAAAAGACGAACGAAGCGAAGACTCGCCTGCCCAGCCCGCAACCCCGTCAGACAAGTCTTGGGGGGGCCAGAAACAAACACTACTTTGGATAGAGGATGTATCGCGCCTCGCGGCCACCCCGCCAGTTCCGTTCTCAAAAGGGATGTTATATGCAAAATGTTCCTGATCTTTTTTCTCCCCTTGGGAGCGAGGGGTGGAAAAGAGAGAGACTAGAGAGGGGGGACGTAATTCCTGGCCTGCTGCCGCCCCCTCCAGCACCTTCCCACCCCCCACCCCGCTCCCCTTTTGTACAACACCTTCCTTCTCCAGAGAAGACGACGGAGCGCCGCACACGACAGATCTCCGCGGCGCGTCGAGACGGCGGAGGTAGCAAACTCCTTCTCCCGCGAGGGAGAAAAGCTGGACACCTTTTATGCTGCGTCTGTGGCCCCCAATCCCTCCCCCCCCACACAAAATAACCTGCGCTTTGCTTCCCCGTGGGGAGTGGTCCGCCCGCGACACCCACCGCATGACAGAGTGTTGGCGAGATTTCTTCGGCGGAAGAAGAACGGAGCGCGTTTCCGCAACTGCGCTCTTTCCACCCAGCAAGCGGAATGCGCGTAAAAGCGAGTTCGAAAGATGCCATCTTCGGGAAAGGGGGTGGGACGGGTGGGGAGGGGGCCGGAGAAGACAAGGTTGGTCTGGCAAAAGAGGCTGTTGGTTGGGGGGTAGACCCGAGCCGCGTCCGCGCAGGCAGAGCCCAAACGCCGCACGCGCAAAAAACCCCACAACCCTTTGGAAACGTGAAGGGTTAGCGGGGCACGACTTCTTCCAACACCGGGCAGGGGGCTGGATACGGCCGTACGCTGTGTTTAAACAGCACCCCACCCCAATTTCCCACATGGTACTGGAGGTCTGTCTCAAACCCTTGCCTTAAAGTTGGACGTGAGGCCGAGAGAATGGGTTCCCTGCCCGGCCCACGTGGAAAATTGCCATCCTGCTCTCTTACGGGGAGCGGGTTTGCGGCCGGGGTGGGGGTCCGCGTCTCCCCTCAAGCCTCCACCTTTGCCCACCTTAGCAAAACCCCTTGGGAGGGAGGTTTGGGAAAGGTAACGTGCCGGCGGGTTTGCGTACATTTGAGGACCGCGTCCCCGGCTCGGCGGGCGAAGGGGGCTTGTGGAGGGATGTGAGCGAGCTGGTGGCCTCCCCCCTCCCCGTTCTCCCTGCAAACGCCCCCCCCAGCCCTTGTGTACAAAGAGCTATGCATGTTATAGTTAAACCAGCTATGTCAAGGGGGTGGCGTGGATGGCGGCGAGGCCAGGGACGGGACTGCTAATATGGATTGCACATTATTATTGTTGTAGGAAATGCACTTTGAAAAGGAGAAAGGAAGGTGGGGGCGGGAGGGGGAGTTCATGTGGGGGGGATGAGGTGAGGAAGGCCGTCTCCCCCTAGTGCTTTTTTGTTATTCTTAGGGGGGGCTGTCAAGAGGAGATCACCAGGGAGATACAGAACGGGGCCTTATCGGAGCAAGTCTTTCAGGACAAAATAGCTAAATCCAGCAGAGGCGTGGGGAGGCCATACCTTATCCCACAGTTGCCCCCTCCCTATAGAACTCAATTTATCCTTTTCCTCCCCATTCCTGCCCTCCCGCAAGCCCCAGACGGTGGAGCCCAGAAGCCATCTCTGACTGGTACAAGTGCCTACATTTTAACGCGCCAGTCCTCCTCGCCGGGTTACGGAGAAAGCGGCGACCGCGGGCGCAGGCCCCGATCCGAGCTGAACTCGTAGTGCTCCGAGAGAGCATCATTTCAATAACGCCTCGCGCCCCAACCACCACCCTCTTTTCCTAGCGAACACCAAAGCTTTAAAACACCACGGACCTGATCTCCTCCCGTCGTTCGCAGAACCGTAGAATTGCTGAGCTGGGAGGGGCTCGCCCCCTTTCCCCAGGGTCTCTGAGTCCAACCGGCTGCAATGCAGGCATCGCAACAGAAGCATCCACGACAGAGGGCCGTGCAAGAGTCCGTGCGGCGCTGCCGATGCCAGTTTTCTGCAAAGTCTGGGGAGCACCGCCCTCGCCTCTTCAGCAAAAGTGGAGATCCTTCAAAACGGCCCCGGAGAGTTTCCCTCTGTGTGTTCGAAAGCGATCGATTCTGCAAGGAGGGACGTGTGAGGTGCAAAGGGCATGCGACCCTCATCCAGCAGAGGCCCGTCCAAGCAGACCAGCCGGAACGTCCACATGGCGCGCCGAGAAAGGAGAAGGAAGTTTTGGAAGCCGCGGAACCGCAGTCCCTAGTCGCCGGCGGTTTGGGACCATCTGCAAGGCCACATTCTTCCTGCCTGCGCTCTCCAAACTATAGTTTCCGGCGTTCGTTGGGGGGGAGAAGCCATGGCGGTTGTCCAACTGGTGGGTATTTTTGCACCCTAGATGTGCCAGGAAGAACCCAGATGACATTTTGATCCGAAATGGCGCTTTCCACCGCCAGCCTCAGAGATGAAATCCATCCTTGGGTGAGTTTCTCCCCAACATACGCACCAGGCTGGTTTTTAAGCCCCCAGAAGTCTCGAATCTCTTCCCGTCTCCTAGCTTAAAGATCTGAGATGTGAGAGGTGTTGTTTCTGGTTTTTATATGTTTGGGGTTGTTGTTTTTTAACCGCTGAGCCCAAACCGGTTTGTGGCGCACCCGATCTCCTTCGCCCAGGAGTCTCTGAGCCTTCAGATGTACAAAAAGGAAAAGAAGAAGAAAAGCTGTGAGCTTTTGAGAAAAGGCACGGACTTCTCCGGCGCAGCTCCTTCGGTCGAAACAGCAGCGGTTTTGGGGGACCTTTGACCTGGTCTCGCCCAGGAGGACTTTCCCCCGTTCCCGGGGGTCTTCTGTCTTCAGCCCAGCTTCGCGGCCGGAAAGATTGGGGCTGCGGTGCCTGTCGCCCCTCTGAATGATGCTTCCAACGACGACGTCGCTCGCGACTTATCCTCAGGGGCTGTGGCTTCTCCGCCCACCTGGGGCTTGCGTTTGCATATGCAAAAACCCACCTGCCCCCTCCTGCCCCCTCCACTCCCTCCTCCGAGGCCATGGGGGGAGGGGGAGACACTTTGCTAGGTAACCCCAAGGCCCAATGGGCAGCGTTTAGCGGAAAGGGAGGGCAGCTCCTAGCGACTCTTGTTTACATCTCTGCACCTTTATATAACGAGAAATGTTGACGCCAGGTTTAGCCAGTAGTGGGTGGGAGCGCCCCACAACCCCGTCCCGTCCCCCCGGGGAAAAAACAAACAAAAAACCATGGGTTTTCTCCAAGCTGAAATTAAACCACAAAGCTGGTTATCTTCCCATGGGGGTCGTTATTATTTTTTAAAACGGAAATCATAAAGCGTATATTTGCAATTGTTGGAGGCGTTTCCGGAAGGAACCAAGAGAGATTTTTTTAAACCCTTTTGCCACTATAGACTGCATGGTGCTTTCGGAACAGGAACTCATGTGACCTAGCTCAACCAATCAGCTGGCTGAGAATGTGTGCATGGCAAGAATACATAAGCCCCGCCCCCTTCTCGCCTTCCCCCCCAAAAAACTTGGCTCCGCCTCTCCGATGAGGAACGAAACGGGGTGGGGGTTGGGAGAAGAAACCCACCGCTCCCACCCTGCCCCCCCTCCCCGCCCGAATTTGCACGAGAGAAAAAAACGAAAAAACGAAAAAAAAAGAGAGAAAGATGTTTTATACCACATAATGTGCCTTGCCTTCTACAGAAAAGAAAAATGTATTAACTTTAATGAGATTTAATGCACAGATCTGTTTGCATGCTTTTAATGCGTGTATGGGGTAGGGGGAGGTATGCAGGGTGGGTGGGGGGAATTATTGCCTTTTTAAAAAAAATAAAATCAGCATTACGGACGGGGTCGCGCGAGGGCAAATTGCAATGGAGGAAGTGAAGCGAGGGTTTTCGGTTGTTGTTTTTTAATTCTTTCCTTTTTGTGTTGATCCCGAAGTTTCTGAAAGAGGCTGCCGGGTGGCCGAGATGGCTTTGAGGGGGTTCGGTGTTCTGGGCTTGTGCAAAAAGATGGGGCGCGTTTCGTGCGCACGGGTTCGAATTGGCATGGGTGCCTCTTCTCCCCGTGAGCAAACGCACACGCTCCTTTGTCCCTATAGAGGGTTGCCGCACCCCATAAATGCCCCTGGGTGGAAGGAGAGGGCCAGAGAGGGTCACGCGCGCCCAACCCCACCTCTTCGACTCAAAAGGTTTGGCGGCTTTGTGCCGTTCCCACAACCCGCCTCGCCTGTTTAAGCGGAGGCAACCGTGGCGTCGACAAGGGGGTGAATCGGGACCGCTCTCGAACCGCTCGCGGGCCACACGGCCCCCTCTTAACTCCTGGGATCATTGAGTCAAAAGGGACCCCACGAGGTCATCCAGCCCAGCCCCCCGTAGCGCAGGACTCGAATCCACAACCCTGAGATTCGACGTCTCGCGGTCTGCCGGCGGAGCTCGCTTTGGGCGCTTGTAGCATGTACAGAGCTATGCTGGGACTCCTTTGATTGCCAGCAGTCCATTTTTTTGGGGGGGGAGGTCGTCACACATTTCAAAGCGATTGATTTCGCAGAGGCGGTTAAGGAACCTTTGTGCTGGGAGTCTCACCAAGTCAGAGTCCAGCGTGTCTTTAAAAAATACAAACGAACCCCAAGACATAAGAGGCTGTTAGCTGTTTCCCCTTAAGTCCTATTTGCACTGGCTGGGCCTCAACAAATCATAGTATTGTACAGTTGGAAAGGGGACCTCAAAGGTCCTCTATTCCAGCCCCTGCAAGGCAGGGATCGCAGCTAATAATAATAATAGTAATAGTAATAATAATTTTATAATTTGCACGATGCCCCATCTGGCTGGGTTGCCCCAGCCCCTGCGGACGGCTCGAAACAAAATATTAAAAACACTATAAAACGTCAAAAACTTTCCACGCAACTTTGATTAAAATACCCTACAAGGAAGAAGAGTCTGTTCCGAGGCCGTTCCCCTGTCTTAACAGCTCTTGCCATTTCTCCGAAAGAAAGTTGGGGGTCTCTGTGCCCGGATGAGACCCAGGGTCTGTCTAGACCAAACTTTTTCCAGGAGGCCGCCCCTTTCATCCCATAATAAGCTCATCTCCAGTGCCTGCCCTATAAAAAAAGCATTCGAATAAGCGATTTGCAGGAGCGTAACAACAGAATAAAATTCAAAACGGTCGCGATTACCGTAATTTTCGCTCTATAAGACGCACCAGACCACAAGACGCACCTAGTTTTTGGAGGAGGAAAACAAGGAAAAAAATATTCTGAATCTCAGAAGCCAGAACAGCAAGAGGGATCGCTGCACAGTGAAAGCAGCGATCCCTCTTGCTGTTCTGGCTTCTGGGATAGCTGCGCAGCCTGCATTCGCTCCATAAGATGCACACACATTTCCCCTTACTTTTTAGGAGGGAAAAAGTGAGTCTTATAGAGCAAAAAATACGGTAATTCCACACTTACGCCAAATCCAATCGAAACTATTTAGTTTCATTAACTCAGCAAAGCGAACGAACAGTACAGTCACACCTCGAGTTACAGACGCTTCAGGCTGCGTTTTTTTTCGGGCAACGGGCCCACTGAAACCCGGAAGTACCGGAACAGGTTACCTCCGGGTTTCCGGGGTCACGCATGCGCAGAAGCACTAAATGGCTCTTTGCTCATGCGCAGAAGCGCCGAATCGCAACCCACGCAGACGCGACGCTGCGGGTTGCGAAAGTGCATCCTGCACAGATCCTGTTCGCAACCCGAGCGTCCACTGTATTGGTTTTTCGGTGCCCCTCAACTGCCCCCTTGCCCTCCTCCAGAATCTCACTGCCCTCCAACAGGGAACTACGAGCTTCGGGGATCGCTGGCCTGTAGCAACCCCCCCAAAAAACTTGTCAACAGCATTTGCCACATTATCACCCCAGAATGTCCCCCCGGGGATCCCAAAAACGGGACCAGCCTGTCTCTTGCTCCTGCCACTGGAGGTTCTGCTTCACCATCACCGTTGCAAAAAAAACACCTTCAAAAATACCCGGTGGGTGTGTTTTTTGGGGGGGAAGCTGGTGTTCTAAGACTGTAGACATCACCCCCCCACACACACCCCCGAGAGACGGACAATGAGAATTTGAATCCTGCGCAACCCATCGGTCAGTGCAAAACATGGGGCGGCAGAGGCGATTTCTGCCCTGGCTGCGGTTCCACGTCTTCCAGTTACGAATGCAAATGAAAAAATGGGGAGGGTTTTTTCCCCAATATGCGGCGCCCCCTGTAGGAAATCTCTTAATTATCAGCAGCAATGAAATTAAATCGCCTTGCCTGTTGGATGAGTTGGGCTTGAATTCTGCAAATCTTGATGACTTCTTTCTAATAGGTCAAAGTTGGCAAGTGTGGGAGAGAAGGACTGGTTTGGGGGTTTTTTGGGGGGTGTCCTCTCGCCCCCGCTTGCAAGAAATCCCCGGAGAGCTTATTCCAGCCCCAACTTTCTATTTCCCCTTGCATTCGGCATTCGGTCTCTGGAGTAGATTGAGGGAGGGTCAGACGTAGGTGTGTGGATGTTTTGAAGTGAGGTGCAGGCAAATACCGTGAGGTTCTAGGTTTTTTGGGGGAGTGTTGTTTGTTTCAACAGAAAGGTCTTTGCATGGTCAGGGTTGCAAGCTGGCCAGCTAATTCCTCCAGCGTTTGAGAGCAAAAGAGGGCGCTCGCCGCCCCTCTGAGCAATTCTCTGCCGGCTTGGCTGTCTTCCAGTCCCTTGTTGGCGGAGTTGGTCTGTGCCTGCAATACTGCTTTGGCCTGGTGAGAACGGAAGAGGGACGCGCTGGATCGGGCCCCAGCCCTGCTCTCAACTGGCCTGTCCTTGGTGGAAGTGAGGCGATGTCATCCATCCAGAGCCCAGGCTTGGCAGAATTGAATTCTTTCCTAAGGATGAGCCGTGTCTGGTTCAGTGACTCATGCAGAGAGAGAACAGTAGACGCCTCTGAAGACTGCTTTGAGCACCCTGACACTTAACAGCAGAGGGCATGTTTTTTAAGGTGGGTTTTGTTTTGAAAAGTTGATATCAAAAGTAGGGAAGAAGAGATAGCCATATCTGTTGCTACCTCTTGTCGGTGCCTGGGGGAAAGGCAGGGTTTTCGGGGGGGTGCAGCGGGGGGAATTAATGAACAGTGGCAGAATTGTGCCTTAGGCACATTTGAACCTAAAGGGGAATCACCATCCCAGCAGACCTATGGAGATGTGTGGTTGTGGCTGATTTGCGCCCATTAAATCCGATGGGTCTTCTCTGGGGTTCCAACTCTGTTTTTCCCCGACGCCAGAATCCTTCCATCCTATATCGCCCACCCCACCATCGTCCCCACAAAATGGGACATTTCTTAAAAAAGGAACTTTATGAGCGTGGGGCGTCGGGCGCGAGAAAAGTTCGTCCTTTTTTAACTCGCCGGCTTTCTGCAATTTCGCTTGCTTTCGTTCAGTTGAGCAGGTGGGATGGTGACTGCGGTTTGAACGCTTTATAAAAAGGGGGGGGGGAGGAAATTTCCATGGCAGCAGGCTTCCGGGAAAGCTCTGAGCGGTGAGGTCTTTCCCGACATCCCAGAATACTACCTACTCAGGCTGCAAAAGCTAAGAGCGCCCTTCCTTGTTTGGAGACGTCAAGAAATTAAAAAATTCTGGAAGGAATACAGTCCAGGAACTGTGGGTCAAATTAGTCCTGCCTGGACTAATTCAGCTCTCTGCAGTAGATACCTATTTACACCCATGAAAATTGGCATGCTGTTGAATCCAAGGGATGGATAAAAAAATTGGTTCAGTTCACATTTAACTGCAGAGCTATCACATTCGCCCTCCCCAAAGGAAAACCGAAACACACCCGCTTTTTGAAATTTGCATCGATCTGAATTTTGCAAGGTGGTTTTCCGGCCAAAGAACATTTGCAAAAAAAAAATAATGCATTAAACAAGGAGGGGAACGGCTCGCGAAAATGTGCACGACAGTCAAAAACCGCATGTGGAAAAATGTGTTCGTTGGGAGAAATTTGCGTGGAAAAATGCCGGTGAATTTTCGCGAGGGCTTTTTTTTTTTTTTTTTGGTGATTTGCTACGGATTGCGGAGAACTGAATCTAAGACTGGGGGAAAATTTGAAAGAGAGGGAAAGGAAGTTGGCAGATCCTTCCTCGCCAGGGAGCAATAGATGTAGGGTGGAAACGCTGTTTTAAAAAGCCTGACGTTGTCAAGGTAAGACAATTTATTAGCCACGTTGACAACGTCAATGCATTTTCAGGTTAAGAATGTATTCTGCAGGCATGATAGGCAGCCAGCACGTTTGCAAAGCTAAGCAGGGTCCGGTGTGGTTTCAAACTGGATGGGGGACCGCGTGTTGAGATTCTGGCATTGCAGAGGCCCCTTCTAACTGTAGCAGCCAACTTCTAGGGGCCGAGGTCCCTTTGGGGTCACCAATAAACTGAGGGGACAGCCTCTCCCCAAAAGGTGATGGGCATCACCCTCCAAATGTTCCATCTTGCGATCAGTTGTGCGATCGGTTATACTTTCTTGCCCTTCCCCAATATTTTATTCAAGTTGGCACCCCGGATTCTAGCTCTGATTCTGTAATTCTGCTGGATCCATCTACACCCACCCCAAAATGCTAAAAAGAAGTTCACCTACTTATTATTATTATTAAGCACTTAATTTAGGTCTGCTGGTTTATTGACCAGCAACTGATGGAAGAGGGATCTAAAAAAAAATAAACGAAAGCACCTTATTTACTGACCACAGGCCAGGCACCCATCCCAGATCTGTGGGGCAGTGTGCTTTGACTTCGTCTCCCAAGGCGGCGCCGCTGGAGATGGAACGTTCTGCCCCCCAACCTCCCACTGATCTAAACGATTCACACTCACAGCCCCAGAAAGGACAACTTTGTGTCTCTGAACTGCAACTCCCGTCTGCCCTGACCATTAGGCCATACTGCCTGGGGGGGGACTGTTGGGAAGTTGGGGGCAATGGAGTCCTTCCATCCTTTGCCACAAATCTACAGGCTGCGAATGGGAGTTTCTCCGCAGAGCAGAGGCTCGGGCGTAAACGCGGAAGCTTCGCAGAGGTGAAGATTTGACCCTTTCCTGGCAGGCCGTGGCCTTTAACCTTTCCCTCCGTGTTTCCTGCTTGGCCGCTGCCCCCAAAAGAATTCATAGGCAAAATGTAAATACAGCTGGAGATTGCCGGGGATTGAACCTGCAACCTTTTGCATGCAAAGCTATTGGCTTCTCCTAAAAACATCGCAATATTCTAGTCCTCATTGTCCTGGGTGAAGGGTTGGTTTAAGTAGAAAGCTGCTTTATACTGAGTTGGGCCCCCTGGGCAGCCTACACTGGCTTGCAGCAGCTGTCCAGTATTTTGGAAAGCTTTTCCCAGCCCTGCTGGGAGCTGCCGTCGGGAATCGAACCCGGAATCTTCTGCAGGCACTGTGCCCCTGAGCTGAAACCCAGAAAACAGGGCCTCTAATCCTGAATAGCCCCACCTCCTGAATTGGCGGAAGAGGGGGAAATTGAGGTGGTTTGCGCTCAGATTCTCCCCGCCTTTTAATAATAATAATGAGGCGTTTGGGTGCATTTCGGCGGACACAAATAAAAACCACAGATCAAGAACCTTGCAGCAATCACACCTATGCAACCCCGCCGCAGCTGCTGCACTTACTGATTTATTTCTGGCACCCCCGTGTGGGTAGAGGCTGTCTTAAGAGAGGAGGACGGATGTGCAATTGTTCCAAGGCAGAAAACTTTTCTCAAAAAGGAGGAGGAGGAAGGGCGAAGCCGCGGGAACCGTAAACGAAATTGGGAACTAAATTAGGGGGTGCGGAGAGAGGTGTCTCTTTGTAGGACGAGCGGCGTCTCCGGAGGCAATTTCCGACTCTCCCCAGGCGAGCTCCCGTCGGAGGAGCAGCTCTGCCGACAATCAGGGAGGCGAGGAAGGAGGGAGGCTGCGGGTTGAAGAGAAGGAAACCCCGGGGTGCTTTGGGGGGCATCCCGTCCTGCTCCCCCATAAGATGTGTGTGGGCCTTCCGACAGCTCCTGAATTGAATTGCACCCTCCATGCCGTCTGGCTAGGGAGGTTGAGGCTGTGAGAGTCCGGCCACAAAAGGAAGTGTGCTGGTCCCGTGGGTTTCCGCGGGGCATGGTCTGAGTCCAGTCCGAGGTCGAGGGAGCAGTATTGAGGCCGTCCGTCAAAGCTGAAGCTGGGTCCAAGGCAGGGAGTTGGGCGTGGTCAGAAGATCCAGCAGGACAGGGTGCAGGCAGGAACTGGCTAGCGACAATGTTGCTGCTGCAACTTGGGGCTGGCTGGCTTTTATCTGCCCTGAGGCATAGGGCGCCCCCGGTCCCCAGGTGACTCGCCTCTCCTGGCCTGGAGGCGAGCCCTCCTCCTGTGGGAACTTAGTTCCCTCCGCCTCTCTGCCCTGAGCCTCTGCAGCTCAGGAGAGGCTGGAGGGTTACCGGACCCAGCGGCAACCTCAGCTTCCTCTGACGGGGCTGAGAGTGGAGCACCTGCAGGCAATGGGTCCTCCATCACCTCAGGAGCCAGAGCAGACTCAGCTGAGGATCCAGCACAGGTGAGGACCCTTCAGGCTCAGGCCCCAGCTGGTTCTGGAGGCGGGGAATCCTGTGCAGGCTGGGATTCCTCAGGTTCAGCCTCCGAGCCCAAATCCCAGGCCATCACAGGAAGGCCCAGTTCTGAAGAAGCACTCCCCTTTCCCGGGAGAGAATGCCTCTTCGGAATAGAGGCATTCCTCCATCTCTTGCGTGCAGCCGGGAAATGTTCCTTAGAGCAGGGACAAGAGGTCCCCTCGCCCTGACCCTCCAGGGACACGCCAAGCTCCCTTCGCCCCCGACCGTCGGCGACGAGAACTTCCCCGTAGCGCCATTCGCACTGTGGACTCTGTGCGAGGAAGTCTACTCCCACTTCTATGCAAGGCACACTTTCGGGGGCTCCCTCCTGCCTTCCTCATGCACTACATATTTTTTATACTTTGGGGGCAGTTGTTTGAAAGGGCCCCACGGGGGCAGAGAAATCATGTACAGAATATTGTATTTACCTTTATGGTGCTATGCCGGAAAGGGGGCGTTCTTGGCGCCTGGGTGACGCGGCGACTCGCGTCCGACGCGTCTCCCTGGGTGTCTCCACCCTCCCACCCAAAATCGCTTCCCGGCCCCCGACAAGGCGATTTCGTTAAAGCGATAGGTCTTTCCCCCTTCTCCCCCTTTTCTTTCTTTTAAATGGGTCTGGCCGGAGGGTCAAAGGGCATGAGTGTCTAAACTGACAATCCTTCCTTGAAAACCAGGATAACTTGCAATTTGGCCGGGGTGGGGAGCACTGTGTATATATATCTATATCTTTTTTAAAAAGAAAAAGAAAACTTCTTTTGCAATATAATTTTATTAAATTGCTGCTTCTCTCTTTTTTGTTTTGGAAAGGAAAACACACACACACAAACACCAGCTTCTTTTAACTTGCACATTTGTGGATTTGAGGTGGGGGCGCTCCCCCCCACAAGATGGTGGGGGAGAGGGGTTGCCCCGAGGGAAAATTAAGAAGCGGTGGGTTTTGAGTCGATTTAGGGTTTTCCGTTGTCCTCAAAAGGTCTGAGATGGTGTTGTAGCAGGGGGAGACACTGTAAGCGTTCCCCGGAAAAATATTGGCGTGCTGATGGAAGCTGCCGTTTGACGACGGCTTGTAGGATGAGACTATGTTCCAGCAACAACCCCCAGCTTCTGGCCCCCCCCCCCAGTTTATTTCAGAAGAGACCTAGAAGAGCCTTATCCCCAGATTTCTCCCAGCTTTCTTGCAAAACGAGCCGCTTCCGAACTGATTCAGCCTGCGCGTGGAAACCCTCCTTTTCCGTCTCTGACGGAACCGCTCTGAATCCGGTTTAGCTGAGGACGCTGAACAAAAGACGTGGGAGCGGGAGGGAGGTGCCGCCATCGCGGTCGAAATCCGGATTGAAACCGGATTAAGCGTGGGCGTGACATTCGCCCCCCGACGCCAGTCGGAGGAGCGGCTGCTTAACCGCTCTGTCGATCGCTGCATCCGTTTCCCCGAACCCTGAGCGTTTGGGGGAAGTTGTTATTTGTGGGGGCTGCCTTGGGAAATAAGGTTTTTATTGGGATCAGTCGTGGTTTGTTTGCTTTTCCTGGCATCGCCCTTTCTGCTAACACACACAGGCTTCCCTGTCCTGTCTTGAAGCTACAAGGTTGTGGCGTGCGCTGTGATTTTCTGGTCCCATAACCTGTCGCCGGACAATAATACGGCAAGGACAATAACTGTATACTCGCGCCAAGGAAACAAAAGCCAGCAGCATTCTGGAATACCAAAAATATAATTTATGCTGTGCCTATGAAATTTACTGCTGGATTGTGTTTCCTTGAGCCCTAATCACCTATTTACCCCGGGTAATTTTTGCTCTTTTAAATCTGTGGCGTTGCTATATTATTATCCCCACACACACTGGTATGAAAGGGCCCCAAATTCAATACTGGAAGGAGAGATTTGGCCCCCCTCATTCTACTTCCCTCCTGGCTGATGCAGTGCTGTCAGGATTGGCCGAGGGGTAGATCAAGTGGGCGGGGCTTGTTGAGGGGAGGAGCCAGGTGGGCGGGGCTAGGTTGGTTGGCACGCCCACTCGCCCCTATTACGAGTTCAGTCTGATTCAGGAAAACTTGCAGAAACTTTCCACAAGCAAAGGAATCAAATGCAGTCAGATCCAGCTATAGCTAGATGGCTGACTACAGAAAACGCATCCTAAGAAATCGCACCTATACAAATGAAAGAGTTATTAACTGTCCTTGACTACAAATAAAACAACGATTTGACACGGATGTGATTTGCAGCCGTCGAAGGGACAGGGAAGGGAATTAATTTGGTTCGCTTTTCAATGCGATCAGCCCAACATCCTGGGGTCCTTCGAAATCCCAGCATCCGCAAACTTTGCAGTGCGGTTCTGCAAACGCCGCCCTGCAAACGTTGCTGTATTTCAAGTTGTTGAGCTACTAATTCCGTCATTGGAATCCCAGGGAAATCCTGTAGATATAATGCACTATATTCCAATCAATTGTCTGTTAGGGGGAAAATGCATGGTTGAGGCAAAATTACCTACAAAGCAACTACAGGGGTACCTTGGTTTAAGAGCAGTCCGGTTTAAGAACGATTTGGTTTACAGACTCCGCAAAACCAGAAATAGTGTCTTGGTTTGAGAACTTTACCTTGGTCTAAGAACGGAATCCGAACAGTGGAAGGGCACCGGCGGCGGGAGGCCTCATTAGGGAAACTGCTCCTCAGTTTAAGAACGGTTTCGGTTTAAGAACGGACTTCTGGAACGGATTAAGTTTGTAAACCGAGGTACCACTGTATATTAACGGGAGCGGATTTTTCTGCGGGTTTTTTTAAAGCAAACAGATGCCGGAATCGAACCAAGCAGACTGGATTTAAGATAGGGGGAGTGAGAAACTAAGAGGAAACCAAGACTTGACCAATTTATCGGCCTGTACCGCTTTCTCTGACAGCACTGCACAGCTGGGAAGTCGCCATCCCCAAGACCTTGAGCCACACTTTTCCGTTTGTGAAGTTTCATCCTTTTGTGTTCATGTTCCCTGTTGTCATTGCGTAGTCTGGAAGAGGAGGAGGAGGAAGAGGAAGGGAACATTGGGGTGGGGTGGAGGGATAACCGAGGCAAGAATGTTTCTCAGAGTTGGGCCAGGATCCAGCTGGCGTCGATTCTCATTTCCTTCAATCTTTTATTTCCCCTGATCCCTTCTTTTCCGTATATCTGACCGGAAGTTCGCTTTCTTCCCCTGACGGTGACGCGCAAACACACTTCTGCCGTTTATATTTTACAGATGTCGCAATAATAGTTTACTCTCTCGCTTGCTGCTTGCTAAGTTAACACACGTATTCGCAGTGTTGTCCACGCCGGGAAGAGTGAACTGAGACCGTTTCCCGGCCAAAGAGGAAATGGATCTGGCCTCAGGGGCGTCCTGTCTACACCGCAGCCTTAAACTGGTTTAGCGGCCGGCCTTTCTCTGCTGGGAACGGTGGGTTGCACAGAACCCGACTCAGAGTAGATGTGTTGGAAAGTTGCATCTGGAACCCTTGGTGTCAAGCCCATCCTTTCGTTCTTCAAGGGGTCTACTCTGAGTGCAACGAACTTTCGAGCCCGGCCCTGTCATTCTGCAAGCAGGGAGCATCAACCCACAGTTCCCAGGCGCCCGGCTAAACTACAGTTCCCAAGGTTCGTTGGGCGGTTGGGGTTTGTGTGGAGGTGTCGCTATACAGCGTAGACGTACCCGAGGGAACGAAATAATCAGCTGCAACGCAGATCTCGGTCCGCCAACACAGCAATCTGCAATTCATCCCTCTCTCATTTCAGCCGGGCTCACCATGGCCTCCCCATTCACTCACATGCACACACAGGCTTGCTTTTCTCCAGTGCTTTTCACAATATTTGATTCTAGCATTCGTCATACGCGTACTGTTTTTTGTTTTTTTTTTAGCCAATGCACTTTTCTTCCTTGTTTTTTATTTTAAATGTACCATTATCCGAAAGCCGGCTCTGGTTTTCGTTCCTTTTCTCTTCCCCCCCCCCCCGCCCACCCCCCACCCCCTATGCAAAAGGAAAATAAAAAAATAAAATCCCAAAAGGACAATTTAAAAAAAAAAATGAGAAAAAAATAAGAAAAAGGGCGAAAAAAAATAAGAAAAAAGTTGCAAAAAATGAGAAAAAAATGTATAAAAATTAAATAAGCTATGCTTTCAACTCTCTCGCAGCCTCTTGTGTCTTTTGTATATGCAAGTCTCTAGGTTTGCATTATTATATGCAATTATTATATGCAAATAACTGAGCTTTTCAGCCTTCTAAAAAGAAAAGGGGAAATATTGCATTGCAAAGCAAGCCTCTTGTGTCTTTTGTATATACGGTGTATATATATAGCTTTTACAGAGTTAAAGCCAGCAGGTCCACTTGTGGTCCACTATCGCCATCTGCTGACCAAAGAGGGTTAGTGTTTTGCCCTGGCTCTCAAAAGCAAAGAAGGGCTAAAAGTTGGATTTCCACCTGTCAGGCAGCCGCAAAGGAAAAAAAGAGATACGATAGCCGTTTTCAAACATCTGAAGAACTGTCACGTGGAAGGTGGAACGAGCTCGTTTTCTCCTGCTCCGGAGGGTAGGACTCGAACCCATGGCTTCCAGTTACAGAAAAAGGAGATCCTGACTAAACACCAGCCGCTCTGAGAGGCAGCTTTCCACAAACATAAAAATAATAGTATTACACATTAAAAGGCTTCCCTATACAGGGGTTAGCCTCGCGGGTGGCGCTGTGGTCTAAACCACAGAGCCTAGGGCTTGCCGATCGGAAGGTCGGCGGTTCGAATCCCCGCAATGACGGGGTGAGCTCCCGTTGCTCGGTCCCTGCTCCTGCCAACCTAGCAGTTCGAAAGCACGTCAAAGTGCAAGTAGATAAATAGGTACCGCTCCTGCAGGAAGGAAAAGGACGTTTCCATGTGCTGCTCTGGTTCGCCAGAAGCGGCTTCGAGAACACTGTCCCACCATCTCGTCCTCTGTCGTCCCCTTCTCCTTCTGCCCTCCATCTTTCCCAACATCAGGGTCTTTCCCAGGGAGTTTTCTCTTCTCCTGAGGTGGCCAAAATATTGGAGCCTCAGCTTCAGGATCTGTCCTTCCAGTGAGCACTCAGGGCTGATTTCCTTCAGAATGGTGAGGTTGGATCTTCTTGCAGTCCATGGGACTCTCAAGAGTCTCCTCCAGCACCAGAATTCAAAAGCATCCATTCTTTGGCGATCAGCCTTCTTGATGGTCCAGCTCTCACTTCCATACATCACTACTGGGAAAACCAGAGCTTTGACTATACGAACCTTTGTTGGCAAGGTGATGTCTCTAATTTTTAAGGTTTTAGAGTTTTTTCCTTGGCTCGGGGTGGGGGTGGAATAACTCCATACCCTCCAACGTTTCCCAAAAGAAAATAGGATAAGCAGGATATTCTGGGATCAAATCAGAAACGGGTGGTTTCAGTAAATCCGGGACTGTTCCTGGAAAACAGGGACACTTGGGAGGGTCTGGGATGAACCGTCGCCCCCCTGTCCAGGATTATGGGGAGTAACTAAGAAAAGAACAGGGACTCATACAGAGACGCACATTTATACTGTGTCAGGCAACTGTCCGCCTAGCATTGCCCACACGCAGCGGCTCTCCAGAGAGTCACGCAAACAGTCGTTCCTGGGGATGCCCCTCTGCAAGTGAAACGCTGGAGGGGGGGCTCTTGGGCCTTTCCCCGCGAGAAAATGACTCATGAAGAGGCGCATCGGGCCACCCCTTGCGCGGCGCGGCGCTGGGGGAAGCCTTTCCCCAGCGTGGCAACCGTTTTCTCCCGTGCCGGGCGGAGGAGGCCTCGCTCCACCTCCGGCTCCTCCTGCCGCCCCGTCGTCATTTCCAGTGCGGCTGTCGCTGCTGTCACATCCGCCTCCTCGGGAGGAGGAGCAGGAGGCGCCGAAGGGGAGGCGCAGACGAGCAGCGAGCAAGCGCCAGCCGCGTCTCCAAGTTCCAGGCCCCGGGCGCGTAATGCGGAGCGCGGCGGGGGCTGGTTGCAGCGCCCGGGCGGGGGCCCGGAGGCGGCGGATCGGGGCCTGGCCGGTGCTAGGCGGCTAGATCCGCGCAGCTGCTGCCGGGAGAGGAGGGAGGAAGCCAGCCAGACGGAGGAGGGAGAGAAAGAGAAGAGACGCGCAAGAGACGCCAGCTGCCGTGCGCCAAAGCGCGCTTTGGAGAGACCCCCGTCGGGACTTGGAGAGGGACGCGCGGCGGCGAGGGTGATTATCCGGGGGCGGAGGGGGCGTCACTTGTCCTTAGGATCCCGCGGCGGATAGAGACGGGAGGGTGCAGGGAGGGGAGTCCGTGGCGGCGAGCCCGATCCGGGTTGAGTTTCCTTTCGCTTTGCGCGCGCCTCCCTCCCCGAGGAGAGGAGATTATCGGTGCGCCTTCGGGCCTCCCTTCTCCCCCGAGGTGCGCTGCCTTTAGGGACCTCCTCGCGAGTCGGCCTGGCGGCTCCACCGAGCGCGCTGTTGCCGACGCGGACCGGCAGCGGCTCCCCGGGGTTTCGGGCAAGGAACGGGCTCCCTCTTTCCACCCCACCAGCCCTTCCTGGATGCAAGAACAAGATGCCAGTCCTCAAGGATCTGGGGTAAGGGTAGATTTAAGCCGAGAAGCTGCCTTCTGCAGTGGGCCCCAATCCCTCAGTATTGCCGGAACTGGCTGGCAGCAGCTGTCCAGGGGCTTCAAGACTGAACCCGGGAGGTCGCCTTCTTAAATCTTCTCAACGCCGCCTCCCCTTTTCTTTTTGCAGAGCACCAAGGTGTTAGGCGGTGCTTCAGCACTGGTAAACCCACCGAAAGGTCCATTGATTTCAGTAGGTCTCCGAGGAGGAGGAGAACCTAGTTGGGAACTGTTTGCTTCTCTCGTATTTGGGGGATGTGTGTGTGTTTGTTTTGCAAACTTCGACCCTTTCCAGAGCGCGCACATACACAGTAGAGCAGTCCGGGTGTCTGCACCTTTACCTGTTTACTCTGAAGTCAGCCCCCCTCCCTCCTGAGTTGCGTGCCCCACCCCCCCACCCCCCAGAGATACATCTGGCAGAGTTGAATACTTAACGGTGTGTGTTTAGAAGGCAGGCAGCGGCCGATGATGTCATTATTGTTTTTCCATAGCACACCCTTTGACAGGGCTGTTCATCCTGGAAAGGCAAAAAAAAACCTTGTCCAATCCACAGATGGCTCTGCAGCAATATATATATATATGGAATTTGTAGTTAAGGGAGTCGGCTTGGCGGCCTCTGCCCTGGACTGCGGAAAACGTCTGTGAATATATCTATATACAGTGGTACCTTGGTTCTCAAAGATTTGGTTTCCTGCGCGGAAACCAATGTCCCCGCTGTGGAAGGATGTGTGGATCCAGAATTGGCCTCCACCGTCACTTACAGACTCATTGTTAAAACCGTGTTTATGGAAGACAATCTTACTCGGCTACAAGGGATCGCCAAAGAAGAAGAAGGTTCTCAAACTTAATCCGTTCCAAAACCAAAGCGTTCCAAAACCAAGGCACGCTTCCCCATAGAAAGTCATGCAAAAGGGATTAATCCGTTCCAGACTTTTAAAAACAACCCTTAAAACAGCAATTCAACATGAATTTTACTATCTAACGAGACCACTGATCCATAACATGAAAGCAATAAACAATGTACTGTACTATAAAATAAATAAGACAGTATTGTAGATGATAAAAATTAAAATTATTTCCCCCCCCCCCTTTACCTGCACTGATGACAGTCATTGTTTGGACGGGGGGGCTTTTATCCATTTCCGCAGTCACACAATCGATCCATCAGTAGTTTAACTGGGTTCCACAGTCACAGAAACAAATGAATCGAAAACCCTTTTATTTCAAATGGGTTGTTTGTGGGGCCTGCCTGGTGTTTTTACATGAGTAGAATGTGTCCTTTTATTTAAAATGCATCTCTGGGTTATTTGCGGGGCATAGGAATTCGTTCATTATTTTCCCCCCAAAAAATATAGTCTGGCCCCCCACAAGGTCTGCGGGACAGTGGACCGGCCCCCTGCTGAAAAAGTTTACTGACCTCTGGTCCAGTCCAACCCTTTGCAGTGCAGGGTGAAATCCGTACCCCGTTACAAACGATGGAGTCCCTGTGGTTGTTTCTAACGGTCCTTTCCTTCTGTTCCCCATTTTTTTCTTTCTCTCTTTTTCCCCCAAATTTTTTTTATTGGTTTTCACAATATTATAAACAAACAAACAAACACACAAGACAAACAAACATAAATCATAGCCTTATTGAAAATTACACTTATTGACTTTGTTAAGTGACTTTCTCCCTTCCCATTGGTTGAATTTCATTGCGTGTCCTTTTAACAGTTTCCCAAATCCCAATTCTTACAAAATTTTACTTAAACATTAACATCCTTAAATCTTCACCTTATGGAATTAAACATATTAACTCATCACTTCACAGAAATAAAATCCTAAGCCAATTAAGTATCTGCAAGCTGTTTTCAGTTAACTTAACAAATTTAACTTGTTGTTGTTTAGTCGTGTCCTCCTCTTTGTGACCCCCTGGACCAGAGCACGCCAGGCCCTCCTGTCTTCCACTGCCTCCCGCAGTTTGGTCAAACTCATGCTGGTAGCTTCAGGAACACTGTCCCACCATCTCGTCCTCCGTCGTCCCCTTCTCCTTGCGCCCTCCATCTTTCCGAACATCAGGGTCTTTTCCAGGGAGTCTTCTCTTCTCATGAGGTGGCCAAAGTATTGGAGCCTCAGCTTCAGGATCTGTCCTTCCAGTGAGCACTCAACCACAAATTTAACTAGATAATCATTAAATTTAATCCACTCTCTCTTTTTATTTTTAGGACTCTGCAGAGGGAAACGGATGCTCAGCCAGGAGACATTGGAACGCAGCCGTTGGACGCCGGAATGTGGGAGAACCCTCTCATAGTTCTTCGGAGTGGGCATGTCATAAAGGCTTCCTACGTCCGGCGGGAGGCTAAAACATTTCCCTAAGCGCCCTTAGCTTCGCTTCTTTCCTCCGGCCCGGGACTTCTGCGAGTGTCCACCCCAAAAAAACCTCATTCCTGCCCTGCCAGCCACCATGAACGGCTTGACGGTCAGCGAACTCTGTTGCCTATTCTGTTGCCCGCCCTGCCCCGCGCGCATCGCCGCCAAACTGGCCTTCCTGCCCCCCGAGCCGACGTACAGCATCGTCCCCGAACCGGATCCCGTTGCGGGGGGGCCCGGCAGCGCCTCGCCCCGAGGAGGAGCCATGACCCGCTGGAAGCTGCACCTGGGGGACCGAGCGGATTTCCAGTACGCCCAGCGGGAACTGGACACCATTGAGGTGTTCCTGACCAAGAGCAGCCGGGGGAACCGCGTGGGGTGCATGTACGTCCGCTGCGTACCTGGCGCCAGGTGAGACGGTTTTGGGCTGCGTTTATTCCACCCTGTTTCGCTTTTCATTTGTTTGCCACCTTTCCGTCTTTCTGCTGTTGTTATTCATTGCGAAACAGACAACACCAGACAGACCAAAACAATACCGCAATGACAACTAATAATAATAATAATACAGTGGTACCTCGGGTTACAAGGGACGCGGGTGGCGCTGTGGGTTAAACCACAGAGCCTAGGGCTTGCCGATCAGAAGGTCGGCAGTTCGAATCCCCGCAATGACGGGGTGAGCTCCCGTTGCTCGGTCCCTGCTCCTGCCAGCCTAGCAGTTTGAAAGCACCTCAAAGTGCAAGTAGATAAATAGGTACCGCTCTGGCGGGAAGGTAAACGGCGTTTCCATGCGCTGCTCTGGTTCACCAGAAGTGGCTTAATCATGCTGTACGCCGGCTCCCTCGACCAGTAAAGCGAGATGAGCACCACAACCCCAGAGTCGGTCACAACTGGACCTAATGGTCAGGGGTCCTTTACCTTACCTCGGGTTACATACGCTTCAGGTTACAGACTCTGCTAACCCAGAAATAGTACCTTGGGTTAATAACTTTGCTTCAGGATGAGAACAGAAATTGCACAGCGGCAGCAAGAGGCCCCATTAGCTAAAGAGGTTCTTCAGGTTAAGAACAGTTTCAGGTTAAGAACAGACCTCCGGAACGAATTAAGTACTTAACCCAAGGTACCACTGTAATAAATAAAATTTTATTTATATCCCGCCCTCCCCAGCCGAAGCCGGGCTCAGAGCGGCTAACAACAGTAAAATAATACAGCATTCTAAAAGCAATTCGTTCTAAAATCAGTTTTAAATCAAGTTAATGGCAACCATTAATTTGACTAAACATTAATTGGCTACACATCATCTAACACAGGGATCAGCAAACTTTATCAGCAGGGGGCCGGTCCCCTGTCCCTCAGACCTTGTGGGGGGCTGGACTATATTTTTGGGGGGGAAATGAACAATTTCCTATGCCCCACAAATAACCCAGAGATGCATTTTAAATAAAAGCACACATTCTACTCATGTCAAAACACACTGATTCCCAGACCATCCGCGGGCCGGATTGAGAAGGCGATTGGGCCGGATCCGGCCCCCAGGTCTTAGTTTGCCTACCCATGATCTAACATCACACATATTTTTGACTTCCGAATCACCTCATTGTGCTTTCTAAATATTCTTATAATAATTAATAACAATAATTTTATTATTTACACCCCGCCCATCTGGCTGGGCCTCCCCAGCCACTCTGGGCGGCTCCCAACTGAATATTAAAAACACAAAACAGCATTAAACATTAAAAACTTCCCTAAATGGGGCGGCCTTCAGATGTCTTCTAAAAGTAAGATGGTTGCTTATTGCCTTGACATTTGACGGGAGGGCGTTCCACAGGGCGGGCGCCACCACTGAAAAGGCCCTCTACGTCCCCCTCTGTTATTTCCTGCCCCCCCAGTGGTCTTCTGGCGGGAGCGAGGTTACAGGGAACCTGGCAGAGGGCCTTCTCGGTGGTGGCGCCCTCCCATCAGATGTCAAGGAAATAAACAACTCTCTGACTTTTAGAAGGCATCTGAAGGCAGCCCTGTTTAGGGAAGCTTTTAATGTTTGAGGTTCTATTCTGTTTTTCTATGTACTGGAAGCTGCCCAAAGTGGCTGATGGGAAAATCAGAGAGCCAGTATGGTTTAGGGGTTAGAGTAACTTACTGGGAACTGAGAGACCCGGGTTCAAATCTCCTCTTGGCCCTGAAGCTCACTGGGGGTGCCTTTGGGCCAGTCGCTGCCTTTCCGCCTGACCTAGTGAGGTTACAGGGAACCAGGCAGAGGGCCTTCTCGGTGGTGGCGCCCTCCCGCCAGATGTCAAGGAAATAAACAACTTTCTGACTTTCAGAAGACATCTGAAGGCAGCCCTGTTTAGGGAAGTTTTTAATGTTTGGTCGTGTTTTTAATATTCTGTTGGGAGCCGCAGAAGGGAGGCAGTGTTGCCGTATGGGGGGATTGCCGTAACCTCAGCGGAGATTTTGCCGGCTTGGCCACAGACTGCCTGCTGGGGAGAAGAAGGGAGGGCGGCGGCCAGGAAGGAGCCACAAGACAGATGTTAGCACCACAGCTGTTTCCGCTGTGGATGAGGGCGTTTCCCCGATTTGGAATTTCCTGTCCGCTTTGGAACGGATACCAGGATCCGTTCATCCGGTTTGCTGCAAACGGGTTTGCTGCAAACTGTTAAAAATAAGAGACCTCCTTGCTGGCAAAAGACCTGAATATCACCAGGCCTGCTGCGAAATAACTCTGTTTTATGGTCACAAGGACAAGACGGGCTGTGATGGTCGATGGACGGCTGCTGATTTTAAACTCCGGGACATAGATTTTTAGCGGAAGAAAACACTATTTTTACAACGGAAATGTGTTTATAGGGAGCGTTCTGTTTCGCCTACTGCAGCTGTGCCAGGAATTTTGGTGCCCCCCCCGCAAAAAAAGTTGTTGAGCTTGCTTTTGGGGGCAGAAAGCGCCCCCAAAATGTTGTCATCTGTCCTCAGTGCCGGATTTACGTATAAGCTAAACAAGTTATAGCTTAGGGCCCCATTCTATTGGGGACCCCAAAAAATTTAAAGGGGAAAAAACTGGATGTATATTTCCAAAATATAAGATAGAAAACAAATAAAAAAAACCTACATCCAGCAACAGTGTTTTGTGTTGTGTAGGCTCCTCTGATGTAAGTCATGGGCCCCGCCTGCTAGCCTGCTCCCTAAAATATCCCTGGTTTGCTCCTTTCTAAATATAGGGTGGGGTGTGGGTGGTGCTGTGGGTTAAACCACAGAGCCTAGGACTTGCCAATCCGAAGGTTGGTGGTTTGAATCCCCGCAACAGGGTGAGCTTCCGTTGCTCGGTCCCTGCTCCTGCCAACCTAGCAGTTCGAAAGCACGTCAAAGTGCAAGTAGATCAATAGGTCCCGCTCCGGCGGGAAGGTAAACGGCGTTTCCGTGCGCTGCTCTGGTTCGCCAGAAGCGGCTTAGTCCTGCTGGCCACATGACCCGGAAGCTGTATGCCGGCTCCCTCGGCCAGTAAAGCGAGATGAGCGCCGCAACCCCAGAGTCGGTCACAACTGGACCTAATGGTCAGGGGTCCCTTTACCTTTACCTTTTATATATAGGGTGCCTACATTCTGCATGTACTGGTTGCAGGGCAACATGGGCAAATGGCTTGAGATACAGATTAGGTCCATAAATAACCATACAGCATCTAGCCAAAGGTAAAGGGACCCCTGACCATTAGGTCCAGTCATGACCGACTCTGGGGTTGCGGCGCTCATCTCTCTTTATTGGCCGAGGGAGCCAGCGTACAGCTTCCGGGTCATGTGGCCAGCAGGACTAAGCCGCTTCTGGCGAACCAGAGCAGCGCACGGAAATGCCGTTTACCTTCCTGCTGGAGCGGTACCTATTTATCTACTTGCACTTTGACATGCTTTCGAACTGCTAGGCTGGCAGGAACAGGGACCGAGCAACGGGAGCTCACCCCGTCATTGCGGGGATTCGAACCGCCGACCTTCTGATCGGCAAGTCCTAGGCTCTGTGGTTTAACCCACAGCGCCACCCGCATCCCCTATACAGCATCTATTCAGCACAAAAAAACAGCGACCATTTGTTGTTGACAAAGGACAGCTGGACATAGAAAGGGCCCCATGACCTTCAGGAGCTGAGGGCCTCATCAAAACGAAATCCAGCCGTGCACATGAAAGACATTCCCTTGCATCTCTCCTTCCCTTGCAGGTTTACGGTCCTGTTTTCACACGGCAACGCTGTGGACCTGGGCCAGATGTGCAGCTTCTACATCAGCCTGGGCACCCGCATCAGTTGCAACATCTTCTCCTATGACTACTCCGGGTACGGCGTCAGCACGGGGAAGCCCTCCGAGAAGAATCTGTACGCCGACGTCGACGCTGCTTGGCAAGCACTGCGCACCCGGTGAGCGTGGGAGCGAGGGTGCCCTGTTTAAGTCAGTTGTTAGCTCGCCATTCATCAGTGGTCTAAACCACCGAGCCTCTTGGGCTTGCTGATCGGAAGGTCGGTGGTTCGAATCCCCGCAATGACGGGCTGAGCTCCCGTTGCTCGGTCCCTGCTCCTGCCCACCTAGCAGTTCGAAAGCACACCTGCGCAAGTAGATAAATAGGTACCACTCCGGCGGGAAGGTAAACGGTATTTCCGATCAGATGTCAAGGAAATAAACAACGATCTGACTTTCAGAAGACATTTGAAGGCAGCCCTGTTTAGGGAAGCTGTCAATGTTTTGATGTTTTACTATGTTTCTGTGTATTATTATTATTATTATACCTTCTACATCTGGAGGGTTACAGGATATGTTAAAACACTAAATATTAAAAGCTTCCAGATGCAGGGTTGCCTAAAGGTGTCTTCTTAAAGTTGTGCAGTTCTTTATCTCCTTGGCATCTGAAGGGAGGGCTTTCCACAGGGCAGGTGCCACCACCGAGAAGGCCCTCTGCGTGGTTATCTCACTTCTCGCAGGGACAGAACTGCCAGAAGGCCCTCGGAGCTGGAAATCCATGTCCGGGCTATACAATGGGGATGGAGACGCTCCTTCGGGGATACAGGGCCGTTTAGGGATTTAAACGTGAGCACCAACACTTTGAATTGTGCTCAAAAACGTACTGGGAGCCAATGTAGGTCTTTCAAGACTGGTGTTATGTGGTCTTGGCAGCCGCTCCCAGTCCGCAGTCTGGCTGCCACATTCTGGATTAGTTATAGTTTCTGGGTCACCTTCAAAGGCAGCCCCACGGAGAGCGCATGGCAGTATTCCAAGCGGGAGATAACCAGAGCATGCACCACTCTGGTCAGACAGTCTGCGGGCAGGGAGGGTCTCATCCTGCGTACCGGATGGAGCTGCCCTGGAAACAGAATTGACCTGCGCCTCCATGGACAGCTGTGAGTCCAAAATGACCCCCAGGCTGCTCACCTGGTCCTTTGGGGGCACAGTTGCCCCATTCAGGAGTGTGCTCAGTAATTATTATTGTTGAAACTGAAGTTGGCTTTGCTCTCCTCTCTCCCTCCTTCCCTGCCTACCTTCCAGATACGGGATCAGTCCCGAGAACATCATCTTGTACGGACAGAGCATCGGGACGGTGCCCACTGTCGATCTGGCCTCTCGCTATGAGTGTGCGGCTGTGATCCTGCACTCACCGCTAACTTCGGGAATGCGCGTCGCCTTCCCGGAAACCAAGAAGACCTACTGTTTTGACGCTTTCCCCAAGTAAGGCTGCCGAGGGGGGTCTGTCTCTGGCATTTTGGGTTGGGTGTTTCCATCTGCTGCCAAATTAGGAAGGTGGGCGGGGCCAAGGGGGCCTATCCATCACCGGACATCACCCTCGCAGTCCCGACCAAGATGAAGCAAATTAGAACAACAGCGCTAGGTTGAAAATGGTTAAAGGTAAGTCTGCGACCAGAAGGAGGAGGAGTATCAGGAAGAGTGGATTAAATTTAACGATTACCGTATTTTTCGCTCTATAAGACGCACAAGACGCAAGGAGGAGAACAAGAAAAAAAATACTCTGAATCTCAGAAGCCAGAACAGCAAGAGGGATCACTGCGCAGCGAAAGAAGCAATCCCTCTTGCTGTTCTGGCTTCTGGGATAGCTGCGCAGCCTGCATTCGCTCCATAAGACGCACACATATTTCCCCTTACTTTTTAGGAGGGGAAAAGTGAGTCTTATAGAGTCTTATAGAGTCTTATAAAGTGAGTCTTATAGAGTTAAATTTGTTAAGTTAAATTAACTGAAAACAGCTTTCAGGTACTTAATTGGCTTAGGATTTTATTTATGTTAAGGGATGAATTAATATGTTTAATTTCATAATGTGAAGATCTAAGGATGTTAATGTTTAAGTTAAATTTTGTAGGAACTGTGATTTGGAAAACCGTTAAAAGGCTATGCAATGAAATTCAACCAAGGGGTTTGTAATTTTCAATAAGGCTATGATTTATGTTTGTTTGTCTTATGTGTTTGTTTGTTTGTTTATAATGTTGTGAAAACCAAAAAAGAAAAAAGAAAAAAAAGAAAATGGTAAAAGGTAAAGGGACCCCTGACCATTAGGTCCAGTCGTGGCCGACTCTGGGGTTGCGGCGCTCATCTTGCTTTACTGGCCGAGGGAGCCGGCATACAGCTTCCGGGTCATGTGGCCAGCAGGACTAAGCCACTTCTGGCGAACCAGAGCAGCGCACGGAAATGGCGTTTACCTTCCCACCAGAGCAGTACCTATTGATCTACTTGCACTTTGACATGCTTTCGAACTGCTAGGTTGGCAGGAGCAGGGACCGAGCAACGGGAGCTCACCCCGTCATTGCGGGGATTTGAACCACCGACCTCCTGATCGGCAAGTCCTAGGCTTTGTGGTTTAACCCACAGCGCCACCCGCATCTTGAAAATGGTTAAAAAGTCATTAAACTTTAATAGAATTTTTAAAAACTTGAAAAACAAAAAACCGGATGTGTTGAAATAGGAATAGTAAAAAGAGCACTCTTTAAAACGAGCCAGTACCCAAAAGTCTGCTGGGTGGAAGGACGACAAGGAGGGAGCCAGTTTGGCTTCTCTAGGGAGGGAGTTGCAAAGTCTGGGAGCAGCCAGCACTGAAAAGGCCCTGTCCCGCAATCTCATCAGGTGTGCCTGTGTAGCTGGTGGGAGTTTCAGTGGCCTCCTCTGAAGATCACAAAACCAGGGCAGGTTCGTGGGGGGGGGGGAGAGAGATTTAAAAAATAGTAGGAATCAGGGCCTTGTTTCATCCGGAACTCAGTTTAAAAAAACTATGGTTTAAAAATCCATGTTTTTTTTAAAAAAACAACACCTATGGTTTAAAAAGCCATGGTTTAAAAACCATGGTTGTTGTTGTTTTTAAAAGCCGTGGTTTTAAAAAACCGTATGGTTTAAATACCATGGTGGTGGTTGTTTTTAAAAAGCCATGGTTTAAAATAACCCACCATGGTTTAAATAACCATGGTTCACAAAAACCCCACAATGGTTTAAAAAAACCATGGTTAATGTTACGGGGCGAACCAGGCTAATAATTCATGTTCTTTTCCTCTTCCGCAGCATCGACAAAGTCTCCCGGATCACCTCCCCGGTCCTCTTCATCCACGGCACGGAGGACGAGGTCATTGACTTCTCCCACGGCTTGGCCCTCTACGAGCGCTGCCCGAAGGCCGTCGAGCCGCTGTGGGTCGAGGGCGCCGGCCACAACGACATCGAACTATACAGCCAGTACCTAGAGCGCCTGCGCAAGTTCATTTCGCACGACCTGGCCAGCCAGAACAACTGACAACCGCCCGTCTCGTTTCTCGCCCTCTCCTCCGGCCGCGGCGTGCGCACCTCGGTTCGGAGGATGGCGAGGGGCTCGTGGCTTTAGGGCGCTGTTACGGGCATCAGTCCCCTGCCCACCAAAGCGGGAGAGGAGTCCTCCGTTACAGAGGGGCGCCAGTCTCGGGTCTCTCTCGGGGGCAGTTCCTCCGACACCGGGAGCCGCTCGCTCGCCCCCCGCTGCCATCTCTGACGTCGACGCCTCACGCCCCGGCAACGCGCCGAGCCGCCCCTCTCTGCGCCTGCAGACTAGCTGTCTCCGCACATCGCTGTCCTTTTTTTTACAAAAAAATATGTCGACGACGCCTCCATCAAGACTACGCTGCCACCACGACATCCCATTTTCTCGGATCCTTCTTTTCGTAACTCTCGGCGCGTCCCAGAGATAGCAATAAGCCTTGGGGGAAGGGGGAAGGTGGGGCGGCTCTGCCCCAAGGACACAGGGTGGGGTGGGGCGCCAAAATGCATGACGGCCAAAGTGGTCTGCTCTGCCTCCGCTGCCTGTCACACAGCGCCACCTAGAGGCCGGAGGACCTCCGTTACAGATTCTCCTGCGCTGCGGCGGATGGAGTTTTCGCCAGGACACGCCGGAGCGAAGACCCTACTTGTGGAGTACAAGCTGTCTGATCTACGCAGGCCAGGATTAAGCGGGTTGGCAGGAATCAGAGAGACAGCTTGCCCGTTCCGTCCACAAACTCCCGGATCCTATTGTTTGAATATCCCCGCCGTATCCGGATACCCCCATGTGTTTGAGCCAGAATTCATTTAATTCCAAGTAACACAGGGAATCTTTTTCGTGTGTGTGTTTGGGGGGGGGGAGGGAGTTTGGGGGAAGCCTCCCACCCGTTCGTTTTTGAAAACAAAGAGGAATAAAAGTTTGGAAGACCCAGATTTGTCTCCAGAGAAATGTTGTTGGGTGTGTCTTGCGGGGTTCAGGGGCACGGCTGGAACTGGGTGTGTTGGGGTACCTGGAAAAAATTCCACATTCCTCTCTCCTGTAAGATCTGCACCATCTCAAAACACGCTTCCTACATCTTCTGCGATGGATTGGGTCCAGGAGAGTCGCTTGCCTGTTGCTTGCAAGATGTTGCTAAGAAACTCACCTGCAAGAGAACCGTGTCTTTACGTGCACAACTTCTGCCGTACACTGTTAATAATGATAATTTTATTCTTCGTACTCTGTCCATCTGGCTGGGTTTCCCCAGGCAATCTGTGCGGCTTCCAGCATATACAGAAACATATTAAAACATCAACCATTAAAAACTTCCCTAAAGAGCGCTGCCTTCAGATGTCTTCTAAAAGCCAGATAGTTGTTTATTTCCTTGAGATCTGATGGGAGGGCGCCACCACCGAGAAGGCCCTCTGCCAGGTTCCCTGTAACCTCGCTTCTCGCAGGGAGGGAACCGCCAGAAGGCCCTTGGAGCTGGACATCCGTGTCCGGGCTGAAAGATGGGGATGAAGACGCTCCTTCAGGTATACTGGACCGAGGCCGTTTAGGGTTTTCAAGGTCAGCACCAACACTTTGAATTGTGCTCAGAAACGTCCTGGGAGCCAATGTAGGTCTTTCAGGACTGGGGTTATATGGTCTCTACTCCCAGTCCCCAGTCTAGCTGCCACATTCTGGATTAGTTGTAGTTTCCGCGTCACCTTCAAAGGCAGCCCCACATAGAGTGCATGGCAGTAGTCCAAGCGGGAGATAACCAGAGCATGCACCACTCTGGGGAGGCAGTCTGCGGGCAGGGAGGGTCTCAGCTTGGGTACCAGATGGAGCTGGTAGACAGCTGCCTTGGATACAGAACTGACCTGCACCTCCATGGACAGCCGTGAGTCCAAAATTACTCCCAGGCTGCGCACCTGGTCCTTCAGGGGCACAGTCACCCCATTCAGGACCAGGGAGTCCTCCACACCTGCCCGCCCCTTTTCCCCCCAAAATAGTAATTCTGTCATGTCAGGATTCAACCTCAATCCGTTAGCCACCATCCATCTTCCAACCGCCTCCAGACACTCACACAGGACCTTCACTGCCTTCACTGGTTCTGATTTGCAAGAGAGGTAGAGCTGGGTGTCATCCGCATACTGATGAACACCCAGCCCAAACCCCCTGATGATCTCTCCCAGCGGCTTCATATAGATGTTAAAAAGCATGATTGATGGGGAGAAGGAAGAGAGGGATCGGGGGGGCAGCCATTTCCCAGCCCCCCCCCAAATAAGCCCTCTGCCTGGATTTATTTTCAAAACCGCCCCTGCAAAATCTGACCGGAGGAGGAGGCCAATTTTGCGGGGTCAGTCCTCCCCTTCTGTGGCACGCGGTTGTCCCCAGCAGCCTCCGATTAGCAAAGCGGCTGGAACAGCCTGGGGCGGACTTAATCCTATGAGAGAAAACTGTTTGTTTGCGCCAAATATATATCTATCTCTATCTCCTCTTAAGAGCTGTCAAATTCCTGGTGGAGAGAGAGGCAGGAGGATCTGTTGTGTGTCTGAAGTTTGCAGGAAATTGGGGAAGGCTGAGTAATAGTGGGGGGTGTTGGATTTCCTAATAATAATAATAATAAATTAATTGTTTGTACTCTGCCCATATATGGGACGCGGGTGACGCTGTGGGTTAAACCACAGAACCTAGGACTTGCCGATCAGGAGGTCGGCGGTTCAAATCCCCGCAATGACGGGGTGAGCTCCCGTTGCTCGGTCCCTGCTCCTGCCAACCTAGCAGTTCCAAAGCACGTCAAAGTGCAAGTAGATAAAGATGTACTGCTCCAGCGGGAAGGTAAACGGCGTTTCCGTGCGCTGCTCTGGTTCACCAGAAGCGGCTTAGTCCTGCTGGCCACATGACCCGGAAGCTGTACGCCGGCTCCCTCGGCCAGTAAAGCGAGATGAGCGCCGCAACCCCAGAGTCGGTCACGACTGGACCTAATGGTCAGGGGTCCCTTTACCTTTACCCTTTTACTCTGCCCATATGACTGGTTTGCCCCAGCCGCTCTGGGCGGCTCCCAACAGAATACTAAAAAGACAATAAAACATCAGATATTAAAAACTTCCCTAAACAGGACTGCTTTCAGATGCTTTCTAAAAGCTTCTGACATATAAATGTAAAAATAGCTTTCACATGGAAGGAAACCCCAGGGGTGCCATCGTTCTGTCCCTTTGGAGGGGCTCATTTTAAAAAACAGGGCTGTGGATAACTTCGCCATAACTGAATACAGTGGTACCTCGGGTTACATACACTTCAGGTTACAGACTGCGCTAACCCAGAAATAGTACCGCGGGTTAAGAACTTTGCTTCAGGATGAGAACAGAAATCGTGCTCTGGCGGTGCGGCGGCAGCAGGAGGCCCCATTAGCGAAAGTGGTGCTTCAGAATTAAGAACAGTTTCAGGTTAAGAACGGACCTCCGGAATGAATTAAGTACTTAACCTGAGGTACCACTGTATGCCTAAATCATCAGCCCCCCTTTTTCATGGCAGAAATGTTGCGGGCTGTCGAGTCAAGGAGATAAGTAACTATACAGCCTTTAGAAGACATCTGAAGGCAGACCTTTCTAGGGAATTTCTGTTTGTTTGTTTGACGAATTTATATATGTTGGAAGCCGCCCAGAGTGGTTGCGGCAATCCAGTCGGATGGGCGGGGTATAAATATTAAAATAATGATGCAATAAGACATCCCTATTTTCATTGGAGAAATGTTGGGAGGGTATAGATTTGAGGGTTGGCTAAAACCAAGCCTGCCTTTGTCCGTGGCAGTGAACCGGTGGAACTCCCTGCCTCAGGCTACTCTCTTCTGTGGCTTAAGAAATGGCCGGCCAAAGACCTAGCAGTATATAGCTGCCGCTTCTTTGGCAATCCCTCGTAGCCGAGTAAGATTGTCTTCCATAAACACGATTTTAACAATGAGTCCGTAAGGGACTGTGGAGGCCAATTCTGGATCCCCACGTCCTTCCACAGTGGGGACATAGGTTTCTGGGCGGGAGTTGATCCCGGTGAGGGTTTGCCTTCCTCTTAGCACGTTTCTCCCTTGCGTCCTGAGTTTGAGTGTCTTCAAATCCCACAACACCTTTGGTAAAGGCTGTTCTCCAACTGGAGCGCTCGCAGGCCAGTGTTTCCCGGTTGTCGTGTTCATACTACATTTTTTAAGACTTGCCTTGAGAGAGTCTTTGAACCTCTTTTGTTGACCACCAGCATTACGCTTTCCATTTTTAAGTTCGGAATAGAGTAGTTGCTCTGGAAGACGATCATCAGGCATCTGCACAACATGACCAGTCCAACGAAGTTGATGTTGAAGAATCATCGCTTTGACACTGGCCATCTTTGCTTCTTCCAGGACACTGGCCTTAGTTCGCCTTTCTTCCCAGGTGATGTGTATAAATTTTCGGAGACCCCATTGATGGAATCTTCCGAGGAGTTGGAGATGGCGTTTATAAGTGGTCCACGTTTCACAAGCATAGAGTAAGGTTGGTAGTGCAATAGCTTCGTAAACGAACATTTAGGTTTCCCTGCGAATGTGTCCCGGTATATATAGCAAGGACATGGAGAACTTGCACCCCTCCGCAAGTTGTGGGCCTCACACACACACTCCCCCCGTCATCTCTGACCACTGGGCATGCTGGCCAGCGCTTTGGGGAGCTGGGAGTCCAAATGCATCCGGGGGTGGGGTGGTATTCAGGTCCCTGTGTTCCTGTTCTAAGAGGATCAACGGCCCTCGCTTGATGGATAAGTTGCCCAGCTGAGCGGAAGGTCACAGAGGAGAAGAATAGGCCCTTTGAGAAGTTAGGTCTGGTATAACGCAGTCATGAGACCCCTTTTAGCTTGGTCATGGGATCCAGCATCAGCAAGGAGCCCCCCGCCCCGCCGCAATTAAGTCCTCTTAAGTCGATTTGCGGTTCCCACTTCCAAGCCCTGTCCGACTCGGGCTTTTCACGTGCTCGTCATATGAATGGCGACAGTATAAAACGGACGCCTGGCGGACCATCGGTTCCATCATCTGGAAAGAAGAAGAAGAGGACGATGAGGCGAGGGTCACTGAGCTTTCTCGGGACGGGGAGCCCAGCTGCCACCAGAAAGGAGTCACCCCCAAAAGCGGTGTTGGTAAGGCAGCCGAGAATGGAGAAGACCCCTTTGGTAGCAAGGAAGTGGGGCAGATCTTGTTTACAAGAGCGAGGGAAACCTCCTTGGAAGGTTTTTAAGCACAGGTTGGGTGGTCTTGGCTGCTTCAGCCAAGATTCCCCGCATTGCGGGGGTTGGTCTAGAGGACCTTTGGGGGGGTCCCAGCTCGACGGTTCTATAATTCTACGGTGAGCGTTTTGCCACGGACGGGGTACTTGGGTGGGTCCCAAGCTGGTGGCATCCATGCCATACATTCAAAGCGCGTGGCACCATGACCCTTGGCCAGAATCCTGTTAAGTCTAGTTTGCTAAGGGTGCTGGGAACCAATAATAATAATAATAATAATAATAATAATAATAATAATAATATATTTATACCCCGCCCATCTGGTTGGGTTCCCCCAGCCACCCTGGGCGGCTCCCAGCAGAATACCAACAGCAACAATAAAAAGGCGATAAAATATCAAACACTGAAAATTTCCCTAAACGGGGCTGCCTTCAGATGTCTTCTAAAAGTCAGATAGTTGCTTATTTCCTTCCTTTTTGGGGGGAAATCAAGGGCTTTAACTGTATCCCATGGAGGTGACTATCGAATGAGTGTGGCAGTAAGCTTCCTGAGAATCTCGGTGCTTTCTTTTTATTTAACGTTCCTAGTCCTCATGAGTGTAACGATTTATAGAGGGTGGCTTTCATCTCAAAAGCGGGGCGCTCTAACAGCAGCTTATATTCGGAGGCACGCCATACTTTTCCTCCTCCATGAATTTGCCCAGTCCTCTTTGAAAGCCACCCAAATCGGTGGCCATCACTGGCTCTTGTGGCAGGGAGTCCCACAGTCTGGCTACGCTTTTATCCGCTCCGTTTGTGAGGCCAGGCGAACAAAAACCGGGCACGGCCTTCCAAGCCCTGTCCTGCCATAAATTCGCGCGGTGGCTTTGATAAAACTGACAGTTTATTTGCAACTTTCATGGTCACGACAAGCAAGGAGATTTTAGAGTCTCCAATAAAGGTTAAAGAAATGGAAGGAAATGTTTGCTGTATTCCGTGCCAGATTTTTTAATTTTTATTTTTAATCTATATGCTTAGACCATGCAATTTCTGTGCTAGGGAAAGCTGGATTTGGGAACCACCAGAGGAACGTGAAACCGTCTCTTATTTTGCATGGTTTGTTTTATCCTGCAGTCTTCGCATTTTTTGCACGTATAATAGCTATGTAATTTCTCACGGAGGGGAGATGTGAGACTCTGGATGTTGTCTTCTGGAACTGACCACACCCTGTCGAGGTTTGCAGTCCAGAACTCAACAAAGAGAAAGTATGTGTGCTCCGTTGGTATAGCAATAATAATAATAATAATAATAATAAACCCCGTGCCCATCTGGCTGGGCTTCCCCAGCCACTCTGGGCAGCTTCCAGCAGAATATAAAAATGTAATAAAACGCCAGACGTCAAAAAATTCCCGATACAGGGCTGCCTTCAGATGCATACTGGATAAAACCAGATTTACCTTCCCATTTATGGGACTTTCGTGACCTCTGGAATAGCGCTGTCTGGCCACGGAATGTGCACAAGCAGTGCTCCTTCTGTCATTTACAACGCACCAAAAATGTTTAAAAGTGGGTTAAAATAAAAATTGACACAGAGGTGACAGTTTAGAGGTCTTAACTCCCCCCCCCCCAAGCTCCTTGGGGAGGAGTCAGGGCTGGGATAGAAAAAAATAATAATGAATGAACTAAATAAAAATAAATTAGACGTGCTGGCAAACTTTAGCATACACTGAAAGCCTCTGTCTCAAGGAACTGATGCTTTAGGTATATTCAAGTTTCTAGTCCTAATTTTTTTTCTTCCCCATTTCCCCTCCCACTTTCGCAGGACGCCGAATCATCTTCCGCTTCCTCGACACGTTCTTCCTTCTTTTACACCTCTCTTTGTCCCCTTCTGTCTCTCTCTCCCCCTCTCGTTCCACTCAATTGTGTCGAAGGCCTTTGGAAGGATGGGGCTTTTCCCCAAAGGATTCCCGCACCCCCACCGCTAGGCTTTGTGGTTTTCCCTTTGTCATCCTATGCCTGGGAGATTCTCTGGAGGCTGGGATAGTAAAGGGAAGCTCACGTAGCTATGGGCCCAGCTCGGGGCAGGAAGATCGGGGAGACACCTTCGAAAAGCGGCAACGTCACCTGAACGTCACCTCTTCCTACTCCATGTAACTGACAGCTGACTCAGGAGGAATGAAATAAATTTAATGATTATTTAGTTAAATTTGTTCAGTTAAAATAACCGGAAACAGCTTGCAGATACTTAATAGGCTTAGGATTTTGTTTATGTTAAGTGATGAATTAATATGCTTAATTATATAAGGTGAAGATTTAAGGATGTTAATGTTTAAGTTAAATTTTATAAAAAATTGGGATTTGGAAAACCGTTAAAAGGACATGCAATGAAATTCAACTAAGGGGAAGCGAGGAAGTCACTTAACAAAGTTAATAACGGTAATTTTCAATAAGGCTATGATTTATGTTTGTTATGTTTGTTTGTCTTGGGTATTTGTTTGTTTATAATAGTGTGAAAACCAATAAAAAAAAATTTGGGGAAAAAAAAAAGTAACTGACAGCTGACACCGGATCCGCACCCGAAAGCTGCTGGACTTCCCTCGTACAGTCTCGGCCACGGCCCTTTTATATACAGAGCTTGAGGGCTAGAAGCTTGACGTCTTTAAAAGGAAAGAATGTAAGCTGGAATTCTCAGGGCAATTGCATGGTCGCTGCTGATATAGAGGCTGTCTTCTAAGGTCCTCAGCAAAGGGAAATTGGAGAGTTTCGCTGGTTACAGCGTGGCGCTGTCGATGCCAAGGTTGAAGGTTTGATCCTCATATGGGATGGCTGCATGTTCCTGAATTGCGGGGGGGTTGGACTAGATGACCCTTAGGTTCCCTTCCAGATTGATGATTCGATCATTCTATGATTCTATTCGTTGCAAGCAAAAAGTAGCAGTCTGGAACTCCTCAGAGAAAGGATGTGGTTTTTAAAATTGTAAGACGTTGAGATAAACTGTACCTTTAGCATTCTCGTTTGTATATAATTATCTCTAACCTGTACATATTTTTTTTGAAACGGTGGACTATTGTTTTATTAGCCTCTGGGCAACTGTGCATAAATGGGACACTCCTTTTGGGGAGCGGGGGCTGGGGGGGCCTGAGAATATAAGCAGAGACATGAACCCCAAAATGTTGCCTTCAGAAACATACTCCTCCAAATTCAATGAGACTGGCTGCCTAGCGGAATAGCTCTAAATTTAAATAAAAATAAAAATAAAAATTTATTGGCATAAACACATACAGTGGTACCTCGGGCTACATACGCTTCAGGTTACACACTCCGCTAACCCAGAAATAGTGCTTCAGGTTAAGAACTTTACTTCAGAATGAGAACAGAAATCGGGCTCCGGCAGCGCGGCGGCAGCGGGAGGCCCCATTAGCTAAAGTGGTGCTTCAGGTTAAGAACAGTTTCAGGTTAAGAACGGACCTACGGAACGAATTAAGTACTTAACCCGAGGTACCACTGTACAGAAGAGCTTTCCAAACTTTCATGATGGGGACACCCTTTTCAGACGTGCATCATTTCGCGACGCAGAAATTCGGCTTTACTAGCAAACCTGTTTTACTAACAATCCCCTTTCCAACATTCACGCAACACACGAACAAAGTGCAGCTGGCAAACAAACGTGTTGCGACGTACGGTTTGGAAGGCTCTGACCTACAGAATACAATAAAAACGACGAAATAAAATAAATGTGAAAGTAGAAAAATAAAACACAGACACAGAGGGCTTTTTTTTAAAAAAAGCATCAACCAGGAAACGACTGAAAATAAAATACAGAATTCAATTGTCGCGTATAACTAATCCAGATCACGGCTGCTGGACTGGGAATGGCCGCTGGGACCACATAACACTGGTCCTCAAAGTTCTTCACTGGCTTCCGGTAAGTTTCCAAGCACAATTCAAAGTGTTGGTGCTGACCTTGAAAGCCCTAAATGGCCCAGTAGACCTGAAGGGACGTCTCCACCCCCATCATCCAGCCCGGACACCTGGGTCCATCTCCCGAGGGCCTTCTGGCGGTTCCCTCCCTGCAAGAAGTGAGGTTACAGGGAACCAGGCAGAGGGCCTTCTCGGTGGTGGCGCCCGTTCTGTGAGGACGAAATGTCTGAATGGTGGGGAGGAACTGAAAAGGCCACCAGGAGCTCCTTAGAGGAGAGGGGGCCTATGACTATAATAATCAATAAATTAAATAATAATCAGCATTCCCTGGTGCATACAAGAAAAGGCAAGAAGGAAACCTCTACTTAAAATAGGCATTCCCTCCTGGGAGTGCCTAATAATAATAATATTTTATTTTATTTTATACCCCGCCCATCTAGCTGGGTTGCCCCAGCCACTCTGTTGTTGTTTTTTAAAAAAATGATATTTATTAAAATTTCAGAGAATACAAGAATTACATAAAAACAAAAAGTAAAAATACAAGAAAATACAAAGTACAGAAAAAAGAATACATGAAAAATAAAAAGGAACATACAAAATAAAAACAATTAAAAAAACACATTAATTTTCCCTAGCATATCCTCCTTACACTTATTTCCCCGGACCTCCTCGTACCTCCCTTCTTTGTATTCCAGTTCAATTTGTTAGTTCAGCAAATCCTTACCATTAAGCTTTTAACCATTTGTAAACCTTTTTTTCATATCTCTTAAAGCATTACAGCTGGAAACCACTTGGTTTCTATCCAACATCCTTCTAAAATTCATTAATTTTACAATATTTCTCTAAATAGTCTTTAAATTTCTTCCAGTCCTCTTTCACCGACTCTTCTCCCTGGTCTCGGATTCTGCCAGTCATTTCTGCCTGCCCCAGCCACTCTGGGCGGCTCCCCAAAAATATATTAAAAAGCACAATAAAACAACAACCATTAAAAACTTGCCTGAACAGGGCTGCCTTCGGATGTCTTCTAAAAACCAAATAGTTGTTTAGCTTGTTTGTGAGTAACTATATAGCCTTTAGAAGGCATCTGAAGGGAGCCCTGCATAGGGAAGCTTTTTAAAGCTTTTATTTCTGTGTGTTGGAAGCTGCCCAGAGTGGCTGTGGTAATGCAGTCAGATGGGCGGGTTACAATAATAATAATAATATCTGTTTGACATCTGATGGAAGGGCATTCCACAGTGTGGGTGCCACTACTGAGAAGGCCTTCTTGTCTGGTTCCCTGTAGCTTCACAGCTCGTAGGAAAATAGCTCCACTTCTCAGAAGAAAATAGGGACGTCCTATTCCATTCCTTCCAACGTTTCTCCCCTGAAAATAGGGATGCCCTATTCCATCCCTTTCAACATTTCTCTCATGAAAATAGGGACGCCCTATTCCATCCCCTCCAACGTTTCTCCCCTGAAAATAGGGACGTCCTATTCCATTCCTTCCAACGTTTCTCCCCTGAAAATAGGGACGTCCTATTCCATCCCCTCCAACGTTTCTCCCCTGAAAATAGGGACATCCTATTCCATCCCCTCCAACGTTTCTCCCCTGAAAATAGGGACGTCCTATTCCATTCCCTCCAACGTTTCTCTCCTGAAATAGGGACGTCCTATTCCATCCCCTCCAACATTTCTTTGCTGGAAGTATGGTTGCCCTAAGGAAAAGCGGGAGCTTCCGGGATCAGATCAGAAACTGGGACGGCTTCTGTAAATCTGGGACTGTCCCTGGAAAATATAGACACTTGGGAGGGTCTGACCTCATGGTTGCGAGTTCGAATCCTATGTTGGGCAACTGATTCCTGCATTGCAGGGGTTTGGTTGAGATGATCTGGGGGTTCCTTATAATTCTACAATCCCTGGTCAAAGAAGCAACTATCTTTGATAGATTGAAGAACGTCCTATTTAATGGAAGTATCCTCTCCTGCGTAGGTGTCCTGGGTGCCCACGCACCCACAAAACTCCCCATGAACAGCATCAGTCCAGTATATTTGAAGGAGTGTCTGCACCCCCATCGTTCTGCCCGGACACTGAGGTCCAGCGCCGAGGGCCTTCTGGCGGTTCCCTCCCTGCGAGAAGCCAAGTTACAGGGAACCAGGCAGAGGGCCTTCTCAGTGGTGGCTCCCGCCCTGTGGAACGCCCTCCCAGCAGATGTCAAAGACAACAACTACTACAGTGGTACCTCAGGTTACATACGCTTCAGGTTACAGACTCCGCTAACCCAGAAATAGTACCTCGGGTTAAGAACTTTGCTTCAGGATGAAAACAGAAATCGTGCGGCGGCAGCAGGAGGCCCCATTAGCTAAAGTGGTGCTTCAGGTTAAGAACAGTTTCAGGTTAAGAATGGACCTCTGGAACGAATTAAGTACCACTGTACCAGATTTTTAGAAGACATCTCAAGGAAGCCCTGTTTAGGGAAGCTTTTAATGTTTGATGCATTACTGTATTTTAATATTTTGTTGGAAGCTGCCCAGAGTGGCTGGGGATGCCCAGCCAGATGGACGGGGTATAAATAATAAATGATGATGATGATGATGAAGGGGCCGGGCACCTACTAATTTCGGCGCCAGGGCATGGCACCCACGGGGCCAAGTTGGCTCTCTTGAGCGCGGAGAATGACTTTTCTTTGATGGATTTTTGATGGGCGGCGGAAGTTGTTGAGTTTTATGGGGAGAGATCTCACAAAGCGTTGCTGAGCTTTTTTGGGGGAGATCGCTGGGGGGGGGGGAGAGGAAACTCCCACGGGGGCAAACTCGGGAGAAACTCCCCAGCCGCAGTCTGTGGGATTGCGCCCCAGCCTGCGCCGAGAGAGACGCGCCGGCATCGCGTCCCAGCCTGGTTTCTTTGCGCTCCACCCTCTGCGCGCTCCTCCCTCCGACGGCACCCAGGGGTGGAGACTGGCAGGGTAGGAGGGTCAAACCGTCGCAGCCTCAATTGCCCTCGCCCCTGGCGCGTGCACGAGCGCGAGCGCGAGCGCGCGTGCCGCCCAGCCTGGGCGGGGACGGTCGCCGGCGTCCCTCCCCTCCTGCCGTCTCTCCACGTTGCGCCAGGGGCGAGGCGGAGCGGCGGCGGCGGCGGCGGCGGCGCGCAGCCTGTCCATCCGAGAAGGAGGCGAGGAGCCGCCTGGACGGCTTTTTGGGGGAGAGAGGAAGGCGGTGCCATCATGTCGGGCTTGGATTACCTGGCCGCCGAGTGCCTCGTTTCCATCTCCACCGGAGCCCTGTTACACCCGGCCGCCGGAGCCAAAGAGGAGCGCGGGGCGCGCCCCATCGTCGCGGCCCCGCCGGAGGCGGCGGGGGAAGCCCTGGGAGGAACCCCCGACGGCGCAGGCAACCTCTCCGGCGCGGCCAAGAGGCACCGATGCCCGTTCCAGGGCTGCGCAAAAATCTACGGCAAATCTTCCCATCTGAAGGCGCATCTCCGGACGCACACGGGTAAGGGCCGCCCCCCCCCCAGCCCGGGGACAGTCTCTCTCCCCCCCACCTCCATCTTACACCCCAGGGGGCCGAGGGGGTCTTTGCCCCCCCTTCATAACATATCCCCAAAAGTGGATAGGCATTCAAACGCGCGCCATGTGATGGATTATGCGGGTTTACTGGGGGCCCCCGATATTTCGTTCAAGGTGGCACCCCCGGAACCCCGAGGCCCCCCTCCCCTCCGGCCGGTTCCCGCCTCGCTTTCTCTCCCCCGCCCCACCCCCGTGGCCTCCACCCACGTGGGGAGACCGCGCCTCGCTCGCTGGCTCCGGGCGGCGTCGACGCACGCGTTTCCTGGATTTGAGCTCGGGTGATTACGCAGCCCACCCACGTCGCGATAGAGACCTCTGCGCCGGTCTCTCTTGCCCGCCCTTACAAGGTGCCGCCGGGGCGCGCCTCCGCCGCCTTACCCCCCCCCCCACGCCCCCGCGCGTGGGCTGAGCGATCCCGGCCCCACGTGCTCCGAAAGCGAAAGCGCGCACGAAGAGCGCAGAGGGTGGGATGCGGAGACTCTCCAGAGTGGGCGGCTTGGGTTTATAGCTGTCTCGTATCCTATCGATATGTCTCTTGAGGACCAAAATCCCAGGTTCGGTCGAGCCTCCGGGGCCAGGCGCAGTCTACCTCGGCCGCCGGAGAACAAATAAACAAGCGTGTTTGTTTGTTTGACTGATCCGGTAAGGCTTTCGCTTGCCAGAGACGGGAGGATGCGCCGGGTTCTGCTTTACGTCCCTGCCCAGGGGCGTAAGTGGGTGGGGTGGGGGGGCTAATCAATACAAATCTGAGGTTCTGCTTCGCCTCCCTCCACCCACCCCAACAAAAGCCTGCCCCGCCCTAGCAAAAATCCTGGCTACGCCCGTGTCCCTGCTCCCTAATTTGAAGAAAAACCTTATGGAAATCTTTTCCCGGCTTCAAATCTCGCCCACTTCTTGTTTGGCAAATGTCTTGCCATGTGGGGCGGAGGGTGTGGCCGGCCTAGGGTGGCCTGATTTGGGAGGGGGGCGGGTGGGAGGGACCTGCTGTGTGGAAATTTCAATTTGGGGAGGGGTTTGGCTGTGGCTTGGTTTCTTGGCTCTCCACCCAGACCTGCTGGGCAAACACAACCATTTACAAACCCCCCACCAAAAAAAAAAAACCATCGGCTGTGGAGTAATGGATTGAAATTTACTGCATGTAATGCTTTGAAAGAAAATGTAATGAAAATGATTTATAGATGGTATATGACCCCAGTCAAACTTGCAAAAATTTACCACCTGTCTGACAATAAGTGCTGGAAATGCAAAGAGTGTGAAGGAACGTTCTTTCACCTCTGGTGGACATGCCCTAAAGTGAAGGCGTTCTGGGAAATGATTTATAATGAATTGAAAAAGGTATTTAAATATACTTTCACTAAGAAACCAGAGGCTTTCCTTTTGGGTATTGTCAGCCAAGGGGTGGCAAAGAAGGACCAGACATTTTTATGTATGCAACAACAGCAGCAAGGATACTACTCGCAAAACATTGGAAAACCCAAGATCTACCCACACTGGAAGAATGGCAGATGCAACTGATAGACTATATGCAACTGGCTGAAATGACTGGCAGAATCCGTGACCTGGGAGAAGAGAGAATCGAGGAGGATTGGAAGAAATTTAAGAACTACCTACAAAAACATTGTGATTTGATTGAATGCTGAATAAGATGCTGGACTAAATAACTGAGCACCACTTAACTTAGAAATTTTTAAGGAAACAAGAAAAATTGTGAAAGTTTAACTCTTTATGAGAACTTTAAGATTATGAAATATCGAAGAGATATAAGAATTTAAATAAGATGATAAATTGCTGACAAAATGTTATAATGATGAAGGTGGGAGTGGGAGATGTGAGGAAGTCCAAAGAAAATGTGAAATTATGTTAAGACGAATGCTATATTGTTTATTACATTTATTCTTATTGTAAAACCCAATAAATTGCTTAAAAACAAAACAAAAAAAAAAAAAACCATCAGAAAGTAAACACCTTAAGAGAGTGGGTGGGAAGGTTGTGGCGAAGTGGGATGGGCACAAAACGGGCAAAGATTGCTTTTGCCAGCCCTGGAGAGACCGGTTACCAACCGAAAACCTGGTCTTTTACAGGAATTTGCAGGCGAGCGAGAGGGAAAATGGCACAGTGTCCAATTCCGATTTTGTATTAAAAGGGGCGAAACTGTTCGCTGCTAGAAAAGTATGTGGCTTCCCTGGTTCGGATTCTGGACATTTGCACCATGCCAGCAATGTGCTGAGTTAAAAAACTCAGATACAGTGGTACCTCGGGTTAAGTACTTAATTCGTTCCGGAGGTCCGTTCTTAACCTGAAACTGTTCTTAACCTGAAGCACCACTTTAGCTAATGGGGCCTCCTGCGGCTGCCGTGCCGCCGGAGCAAGATTTCTGTTCTCATCCTGAAGCAAAGTTCTTAACCCGAGGTACTATTTCTGGGTTAGCGGAGTCTGTAACCTGAAGCGTATGTAACCTGAAGCGTATGTAACCCGAGGTACCACTGTATAGCAGCTAATCGCCAAACGGCATCTTAAACCAAGGTTACTGTCACCACAACAGAATGTCTGCGTCTTTGTTTTGGCCGCGTGACTTATTACTATAATAATCGTTATTCATTTCTATACTGCGTTTTATTAACAAAGAACAAATCTCAAAGCGGTTTACAACACATTAAAACGCCAAACAAAACCTGGAATAAATAAAAAAACCTCAAGCTTCACGGAGACTTACTTCTTTTCTTTTTTTTCCAAAAATTTTTTATTGGTTTCCACAACATTATAAACAAACAAACACATAAGACAAACAAACATAAATCATAGCCTTATTGAAAATTACGGTTGTTAACTTTGTAAAGTGACTTCCTCGCTTCCTTTTGGTTGAATTTCATTGCAAGGCCTTTTAACGGTTTTCCAAATCCCAGTTTTTATGAAATTTAACTTAAACATTAACATTCTTATATCTTCACCTTATGGAATTAAACATATAAATTCATCACTTAACATAAATAAAACCCTAAGCCCATTAAGTATCTGCAAGCTATTTTCAGTTAGTTTAACTTAACAAATTTAACTAAATAGTCATTAAATTTATTCCATTCTTCCTGATACTCCTCCTCCTTCTGGTCGCGGACTCTTCCGGTTAGGTCGGCTAGCTCCGAAAAATCCATCATCTTCATCTGCCATTCTTCTATTGTTGGTAATTCTTGGGTTTTCCACTTTTTAGCTAACAAAATATGATCAGCGGTTGTGGCATACAAAAATAATTTAACAAATCCAATTCTTGGCACATATACGCAGAGAGAGAGCTCTCAACGAGCTTGGAACAGATAGTTCCTTCGATGGAGAGCTGTTAGTGGTGGTTTCATGGTGTGTTTTAAAGTCCCCATCTTGCAAAGGCACAAGCCAGCCTCAAAAAGCTTTGCCGAGAAAAACAAAGCGTCAGGGCTGCATCTGGGTAAACAGACGCTCCAAAAGGAGAGAGGAGAGGAAAAAACCAAACCCCACGGTATGCAGACTTTTGCTTGTGCAATCCTGACATCTGCCTGCTTGGCTTAGCTTTCCTCCCACGAGGAGATTAAGGGCAGCGAACTCTCATGGGCATAAGCTAGGTTGCAAAGACATCTGCTGTGGCACGCTCCATTGGCAGAGCAGAGCCCAGTTAATCTAAGTCAATGTTCTAGTCCTCGTGCGGCCCAAATAAGGACCGGTTTACAGTGTGGTGCCTTGGTTCTCAAACTTAGTCCGTTCCAAAACCAAAGCGTTCCAAAACCAAGGCACGCTTTCCCACAGAAAGGAATTCAAAACGGATTGATCCGTTCCAGACTTTTGAAAACAACCCCTAAAACAGCAATTTGACACGAATTTTACTACCTAACGAGACCGTTGATCCGTAAAATGAAAGCAGTAATCAATGTACCGTACTATAAAATAAATCAGACAGTATTGTAGATGATAAAAATTGAAATGGATTTTTTTTCCTTACCTGCACTGATGGTGGTCATTGTTTGGATTTTATCCATTTCCTCAGCCACACCATCAATCCATCAGTAGCTGAACTGGGTTCCACACAGTCACGAAAACAAATTAACCGAAAAGGCCTCAAAAACAAAAACGCAAAATAAAGAGCAAAAACAAAAGCGCCAAACTTAATCCGTTCCAGAAATCTACTGGGCCTAGGCCGTTTAGGGCTTGAAAGGTCAGCCCCAACACTTTTGAATTGTGTTCGGAAATGTCCTGGGAGCCAGTGTAGGTCTTTCAGGACCAGTGTTATATGGTCTCCACTCCCAGTCACCAGTCTAGCTGCCGCATTCTGGATTAATTGCATTTTCCAGATCACCTTCAAAGGCAGCCCCACGGAGAGTGCATTGCAGTAGTCCAAGCGGGAGATAACCAGAGCATGCACCACTCTGGCCAGACAGTCTGCGGGCAGGGAGGTTTTCATCCTGCGTACTAGATGGAGCTGGTAAACAGCTGCCCTGGACACAGAATTGACCTGCGCCTCCATGGACAGCTGTGAGTCCAAAATGACCCCCAGGCTGCACACCTATTCTTTCAGGGGCACAGTGACCCCATTCAGGACCAGGGAATCCCCCACACCCTCCTGTCCCCCGAAAACAGTCCTTCTGTCTTGTCAGGATTCAACCTCAATCTGTTAGCCGCCACCCATCCTCCAAGAGTCAAAATTTATGTCTGTATGTTTAGTTTGTATGTTTGTTTTCTTTTCTTTTTTGTAATCTTAAATTGAGAGGTGTATGTTGTTGTTGTTTAGTCATTTAGTCATGTCTGCCTCTTCGTGACCCCCTGGACCAGATCACGCCAGGCCCTCCTGTCTTCCACTGCCTCCCGCACTTTGGTCAAACTCATGCTGGTAGCTTCCAGAACACTGCCCCACCATCTCGTCCTCCGTCCTCCGTCGTCCCCTTCTCCTTGTGCCCTCCATCTTCCCCAACATCAGGGTCTTTTCCAGGGAGTCTTCTCTTATCCTGAGGTGGCCAAAGTCTTGGAGCCTCAGCTTCAGGATCTGTCCTTCCAGTGAGCACTCAGGGCTGATTTCCTTCCGAATGGAGAGGTTGGATCTTCTTGCAGTCCATGGGACTCTCAAGAGTCTCCTCCAGCACCAGAATTCAAAAGCATCCATTCTTCGGCGATCAGCCTTCTTGATGGTCCAGCTTTCACTTCCATACATCACTACTGGGAAAACCATAGCTTGAACTATACAGTGGCACCTCGGATTACATACGCTTCAGGTTACAGACTCTGCTAACCCAGAAATAGTACCTTGGGTTAAGAACTTTACTTCAGGATGAGAACAGAAATCGTGCTCCGGCGGCGCGGCACAGCAGGAGGCCCCATTAGCTAAAGTGGTGCTTCGGGTTAAGAACAGTTTCAGGTTAAGAACGAACCTCCAGAACGAATTAAGTACGTAACCAGAGGTACCACTGTACGGACCTTTGTCGGCAAGGTGTATGTATCTCTGTATGTATGTATGAGGTGTATGTATCTATGTAGAATAAGTTTGTTTCCTGTTCTGGTTTGTGTTTGCAACTCTTGCATTTATCAATAAAAGTTTTAAATAAATAAGTAAGGGATAAATCGTATCCACCCTGTTACTCCAGCTTACCGTGAATGACAACACGATTCACGATTCACGGTAGCGGGTGCGGTTATGAGGTTAGAGGTCGGCTGGCAAGCTCTACGGTATGTGGCCTTGAAGACGAAGCTCTGGCTATGGCTCAAGCTTTGTTTTAAACCAGTGGGTATTGCCCCCTTGATATTGAGGGACGATTTCCAATCATCGTGGGAAAGGGAGGTCATTAATGAGGTTCAATCCTGCGGATTGTCTCTCCTTTACTTCGAGTCTATGACGTACAATCAAGCTAGAGCTGTGATCTCCCGGAGACTGAGTGACATTGCCAGACAAGAGGACATAGCCCAGGTAAAACCAGGGATGTTCCTAGGGGACCAGATTTATCGGACCATACTAGCCCCCTACCTTGCAGAAATCCACTATGTGGAATACCGTAGACTTCTTACAGTGGCTAGATTAAATGTCCTTGACTCTGCGATATTGTGGGGAAGGTACAGAGAACCATACGCCCAGAGAACCTGTCATTGTGCCATGGGGGTGGTTGGGTCCACCGAACACATTCTCTTGACTTGCCCTTCTTATGCAGAGCTTAGACAAAATTTTATAGACCCACTCCTATGTCAATTCAGCTTCCTACCCGGAGAAAACCAGGCTTTACACTTGCTGAATAACGCCACTAGAGCTATACCTTCCCTGGTGGCCAAATTTCTTTTCTTAGCCTTTAAGCGTCGCAAGACTATAATTGACTGTATTGATGTGGGGCTATCTGTTTAGCCCATTTTAGTGTTGGCTAAGTTTTAAAATCTTCCTGGATGTTTTTAACTGTGTATTGACAAAATGTACTTTTTTCTGACTGACGGTCGAATAAAAAGGATGATGATGATGATTCGCGCTTTGCTTTTCTCTCCGCGTTGCAGGCGAGCGCCCGTTCCCTTGCGGTTGGCCCTCCTGCCAGAAGCGATTCGCCCGTTCCGACGAGCTGGCCCGCCACCTGCGCACCCACACCGGCGAGAAGCGCTTCGCCTGCCCGCTCTGCGAGAAGCGCTTCATGCGCAGCGACCACCTCACCAAGCACGCCCGCCGCCACCCGGCTTTCCGCCCGGATATGGTCCGGAGACCCGAGTGCCACAGCGCCTCTCCCAGTGACTCTGCCGCAAGCAGCTTGGCTGGAAGCCCCGCCCACGACAGCCCCGCCCCCTGAAATGGCCCCTCTGCTACCCACGATGCTTTGCTGGCCCGCCAGGGACCCTCCGCTGGGCGAAGGGGGCCTGTTCCCGGTTGCCAATTTGGGAGCCGCCAGGGAGCGAAGGTCGCCGCTGGCGATCGGAGGAACCGTTCCAGGCGACTTGCTTCGGTCCATTCGATCGCAACTGTCCACCTTCCCCTGCCCCACGCCTGCCGGGTTTTTTCTGGCATCTAGGGTCCCCTCGCAGCCCCTTTGCCTCGGTTTCCCAACGCAAAGGGACGTTCTGGTTTGGGTGTCTCAAATCGTCCCACCCTGCCGTTCCCTATCACTTTCCAGAAAAGTCTGGATTCTCGGCCCCCTTCCCTGGCTCCCCAATACTCAGGAAAGGATGGGGAAATTAGTCTAGAACGCGCCAAACCTTTCTTCGGCCAGACGGATGGTTTTAGGAAGCTCATTTATATGGTACAATGGGACAGAGATGTCCGAATTGCACATCACCCGGATCTGGTAACCAAAGGTAGACTGCCTCTTGCTGGGGAGGAACGATTGCGGTGAACAGATGACTCCAGGATGCTTAGTAAACAGGGTACGGTATAGTCTGAGCTAATCCGGCGTCATTTGTTCCCGGAACCTGGTCACCAGAGGTATATTCCCCCCTAAATAATCTATTCCTTGCTGTCACGGCTGCCTGCAATTAATCAGAACCCAGCCTTAAAAGGGAAAACAAATACCGTATTTTTCGCTCTCTAAGACGCACCAGACCAAAAGACGCACCTAGTTTTTGGAGGAGGAAAACAAGAAAAAAAAAAATTCTGACTCTCCGAAGCCAGAACAGCAAGAGGGATCGCTGCGCAGTGAAAGGCTTGCTGTTCTGGCTTCTGGGATAGCTGCGCAGCCTGCATTCGCTCCATAAGAAGCACACACAGGAGGGAAAAAGTGAGTCTTAGAGAGCAAAAAATACGGTACGTTTGTGTGTGCTGCACAGAGAGTTGAGGAACGCATCTTCCTAGCACAGGGATGGGGACGCCTGTATCCTTCCGGGGGCTGGACACCAGCGGCCAGCATGCCCAGTGGGCGGAGGTCATGACCATTGGAGTCCAATAGCATCCAAAAGACCCCAGTTTGGGAAACCGCTCTCCTCGCAGACTGCATCAGAGGCCTGTTTGATTTGCATATCTGTCAATCCTATTCCCTGGGACTTAGCTGCGCATTGCTAGTGGGTAACCTATCCCTAAAATTTGTAAATAATCCCTTCCCCCCCAAACCGGGTCCAAATTTTAATATCTGTACATAGAAAATGGAGGACCTGTTTTTATGGGTGTGGCTGTTCTTGTTATTTTTATATCGATATATATATAAACAGTGTAATTTATTTTATTTTTAAATGTAGAATCTGCATCGGTTGGGGGGGGAGATGTTGAACTGGGAGGGGGAAGAAGGCTTAAGGATTTTATCCTCCTCCTCCTCTCTTGCAAACCTGCCTTACAGCCAAGCAACGGAGCCGGGAATCACTTTGCCCACATTCATGAGGACTATGAACTTGCTTCGGTTTCCAGGGAAGCGGCGCTGCTCAGTGGGCAGCGCTGAGCTAGGTAGACAGCGGAGCCGGCAAGAAGCAGAAGTCTGTGTTGCCCAGAATTTGGGTCCCCGGCTGTTTCTGAACTACAACTCCCATCATGCTTGGTTAGCAGGACCAGGGATGATGGGTTTTGTAGTCCCCAAAAAACCCAACCACACCAGAGCCTGGTCGAGTTTTTGCGAGGGATGTTGGGTACGTTTCAAAGCACTTCCCCCCCTTCTTCCCCAGCCGAGCTGTATTTCAGGGTGTGGATAAAGAGAAATAGATATATGTGTGTGTTTTTAACGTGAGTTTCGGTGCCTTGGTGCTTCCAGAGAGCTGGATCGCGGCCTTGAAGGCACCTCTTCCTTCTTCCTTGGTTAAATGCTTTTGTGAGGCTTGCTCGCAGGGTGCAGATACCCACTCAGCGCAGGAGGGCGGGGTGTTTTGTTTTTTTAATTTGCCAAGCTGGCAATAGCCATATCTGCGATTGCTCAGTCTACGGGTTGGTGCTGGGCAGACCTCGACACCTGCGCGGTGTCGCTGCCTGCCTTGGTTGCGAAGTTGCCTTGCGTCTTCCCTCGGAAAACGCCGTAGAGTCGGAGGAGCGAGTCAGGGCGAGCGGCCGCGTTTCCCGCTTCCTCTTGCTTTTCGAGGCTCCCGTTTTCACCCCGTCGGATCCGGACTTCCGTCCAGGGTCCTTTGGGAAACCAGAGAAGGGACGTGCGCTTGCACTTTGGGGAGAAAAGCAACGTCTCCGTGCCGGCGCCGGATGATGGGGCAGAGAGTCTGCAAGCCGGTGGAGCGACGTTTGAACGCTTTGTGCAAAACCCCAAGCGCAATCCGGGCTTTGCGCAAAACCCCGAGCGGAATCCGTGCCCCGTAAAGCTAGGCCAAGCTCACGGAGCCATTGAGCCCGGAAAATACTCCGGAACTACAGTTCCCATCATCCCTGGCAGCAGAGGCTGATGGGAGTTGTAGTTCGGCAACACCTGGCGCGCCAAAGGTTCCTCGTCCCCAAACTAGATAAACCTCAGTGCTTCAGGTCTAGCGATTCAGGCCCTTCCGGGATACACTGCCCGGCCTCCATGAGGCCCTGGATTCGAACTCAAGACCTGAAGATGCCCATATATGCAGGCTGGGAAGCGCAAGGCATTTTGGGAAGCACACCAGCTGACCAGCAGCTGGAAGCTTTGCCTGCTCAGCTGGGATAATCTTCGTGCTTCCCCCCATCTTAAAATTTCCTGAGTTCTCAGGGACTAATAAGGGAACCGTAATTCCCGTGCCCCCCCCCCCAAATTCCTGTTATCTGGGGAAATTATATATTTATGATCTCCCTTCCCTCCTCCCTTTGTAATTAAGCAAGAGATATTTTTTAAACGAAAGCAAGTAGATTTATTTATTTTTGGTTAAAAAGAATAGCGTGCGAATTAACGGGAAGCTGCGCGTCGGTTGAGTGTTCAGGGTTGGTTTGGTCTGTTTGCAATGCGGATTAGAATCGCAGTGCAGGTTTTAAGGGGGGAAAATGTTGGTTTTGGTCGGAGGCGCGACGTATTTTTTCCATTACAGCCGAGAAATCAGCACCCACCTGGCGATTTCCACGCGCTGACAGGAGGCTGACTGTGTCCAAAGTCCTAATCCATCCATCTATCCATCTACCGTATTTTTCGCTCTCTAAGACGCACCAGACCACAAGACGCACCTAGTTTTTGGAGGAGGAAAACAAGAAAAAGAATATTCTGAATCTCAGAAGCCAGAACAGCAAGAGGGATCGCTGCGCAGCGAAAGCAGCAATCCCTCTTGCTGTTGTGGCTTCTGGGATAGCTGCGCAGCCTGCATTCGCTCCATAAGATGCACACACATTTCTCCTTACTTTTTAGGAGGGAAAAAGTGAGTCTTATAGAGCAAAAAATACGGTATGTTTATTATGAGAAACAGCGAACACAAATGCCTTCATCGCATTTTCTTTCGAAGGATCTTCTTTGCGTTCTTGTCGGTCAACCCTGCAGATCTTAAAAGGGTTTTGTGGACAGTTCTGTCGGCTCGGAAAACAGGAGCTGGTGAAAGCTAAAACTATTTAATTAAAACTTTTTAGTTTATTATAAGACAAACAAAAAAGCAACAACCCCCAAACCTGAGGTTGCATTCCTTAAAGCCTCTTATTACCCGGGAGCAAACCCCACTGAATTAAATAGGATTTCTCCCCCTGCGTACCTGTGGCTGCGTTTGCACTAGTAACATTGAACTGGCCGGTGTTTTTAAAAGTAGGGTTATGTGACCCCAGGCTGCTTCTGAGAAAACTTGGGGAGTTCTTCGACTGCCCTAAATCTTGAGATATCTTCCCCCTCTGAGACCCACACAAAGCCCCATGGCTGTCGTTTTTCTCCCTTGAAAAGCACAAGGTGCCAAAGGAGGAAGTTGGGGGAGAATGCCAATCTTTCAAAGTTCCTTTCTCGTCTCTATGGGGCTTTTTCGAGGCTCTGACTGATCCAACCGGGTCTTTCTCAAGATCCGTTGGAAACGGAAGAGTTGGGTGTGCATGCACTTTGTATTTCTGTCTTGGCAGGAAGGGGAGAGACATGGCCAGAAGGTCTGGCCCACCCGCTCAGCAGCCGAAAATTTGCCAAAACAGCTGGCAAACCCTGCCGTATGACTTGTGCAAATGGTGGATTACGCAATGTATTTATTTGACAACGTGTTCCCTTCTCCTGGTCTGAAAAAAACCCGTGCATCGTGGTGGGGATGGGGGTGAACGATTTGAGATATTGTCAATATCCCACGCACCCTTTCCCCCTGTTGTTTTTTAAGAAGCACTGAAGCTCGTATGTGTGCGTGTGTGTTTTGGGTGTGCCGCTTGAAAAATAAAAACGACAAACTGCTTTACTCGTGTGTCTTGTGTGCTGTTTGTGAAATAGATTTTCTGCATGCTATCATAAATGGCTTGCCGTGTCTTACGAAGGGCTTCCTCGCTGGTCCGTGTGTTTGGGACGGCAGCTTTGTTTTTAAGAACATCAGAATTTTCTCGGAGAATGGGGAGAGTTGGAGGGCTCCCCAAAGGACATCCAAACCAACCCCCTTTTGGTGTGGGAATCACAGCAGTTCACCGCAAGACTGATCTGGGGTGGGAAAGGGGACTCTTTGTTATGGATTACAGTGGTACCTCGGGTTAAGTACTTAATTCGTTCCGGAGGTCCGTTCTTAACCTGAAACTGTTCTTAACTTGAAGAAACACTTTAGCTAATGTTGCCTCCTGCCGCCGCCGGAGCACGATTTCTGTTCTCATCCTGAAGCAAAGTTCTTAACCCGAGGTACTATTTCTGGGTTAGCAGAATCTGTAACCTGAAGCGTATGTAACCCGAGGTACCACTGTACTGTTTTTATAAGCTATCTGCCAAGTTAGTTAGGAAGAGGATTGAAGAAGACATGTTGTGCATAACACACACACCCCAAGTGTAGAAAATGCCAAAGGATGTCTCTGCCTTGCTGATATTTGACCTCCTCTTCTTCTTTGGCGATCCCTCGTAGCCGAGTAAAATTGTCTTCCATGAACACGGTTTTCACAGTGAGTCCGTAAGTGACTGTGGAGGCCAATTCTGGATCCCCACGTCCTTCCACAGTGGGGACATAGGTTTCCGGGCGGGAGTTGATCCCGGTGTGGATTTGCCCAGCGTGTCTTCCTCTTAGCACGTTTCTCCCTTGCGTCCTGAGTTCGAGTGTCTTCAAAGCCCACGACACCTTTGGTAAAGGCTGTTCTCCAACTGGAGCGCTCGCAGGCCAGTGTTTCCCAGTTGTCGGTGTTCATACTACATTTTTAAAGATTTTCCTTGAGAGAGTCTTTAAACCTCTTTTGTTGACCACCAGCATTACGCTTCCCATTTTTAAGTTCGGAATAGAGGAGTTGCTTTGGAAGACAATAATTGGGCATCCGCACAACATGACCAGCAAGCAACCATCACAGTTAACAGACGTGTGGATTCATTTAATAATGGAAGAAACACAACTTTATGTGAATGGGGTTAGAGATCTATAAAAATGATGCAGCGTGGAATTAAATGTAAATAAATAAAACCTTCGTGGAGGGAGAGACCAGCACTTTGCTCTGTAATAATGAGCCACTTTTGACGTGCTCAGAGACTCTCGGCGCATGGGAACAGGCCCTGCCTGTGATCATACCCAACTTCCAACCCAACACTGCCAAGTTTTGACTATTTGCTTTAGTTTTGCTGCCAACACTTCTCCATGTTCCCTGCAGCAGGGCTCCTGTGCCTACTTTTCCAGTGAGAAAAATGCAATAGATGTCCCCCTATTTTTTTTGCGAGGTGAGAGAGGAGGAAAGACACTCAAGACAGGTCGTACTTTTGTAAAAAATTTAATAAAAAAAGTTAAAAAATGCAGTTTTAAGGGCAGAGGAGCCTTTTCTGGGGGGAAAAGTTGGCAGCCAAGAGACTTGCTCAGTTCCTTTTTTTTCCTTTCTCCCCGACTTCCTTCTTTAAATCCCCCTTTCCTCTTTCATACCCGTTCCCCTCTGGCCGTGATTTTACCCCATTTCCCCTTCCTTATTCCAACTTTCCAACAGGCACCTCCTTAGCCACCTCATGTCCTGGAAAGACACTAAAGTGGGCGTTGAAGGACCCTTCTGGCAACGAGCATGCGCTTTGTCGCAACTCTACATCCTCTCGGCCTTTTGCCCTTAGCTAACATGGCGCCGCAGCACCGCCTTTCCTAAGCTTCCCGAAGCCTCCACCCTTTATGGTTTAAGGAGCATGCGCAGTGGCTGCCCTCCCTCTCCCTGTCCCCGCAACCAGCCGGCTTCAATCAAGATGGCCGCCCCCTCGGGGCGCATGCGCGTTGTTGCCCCTCTCGAGCTCCTCCTCTCTTGTCTTGCGAGGGGAAGGCGTGGCTTCTGGCCCGCGCGGCGCAGGCGCGTTGCGGCGCGGCGAAGCCCCCGGCCTTGCCCTCAGCCAAGATGGCGGCGGCCTGAAAGAAGAAGAAAGAGCCGGCGGTTGGCCTCGTCCCTTCTCCCCTCATGCCCCGCCGGGATGCTCCGCTCGAGCGGCTTCCTGCGAGGCGTCGACTGCCCCTTCGGCACCGCCTGCCACAGGCCCTACTGCCACCTCCGACACCCGCCGGGCCCGCAGCAGGGCCAGGCCAGGCCCCCCCCGGCCAGGAGCAGCAGGAGGCCCTCCGCCTCGGCAGCAGGTGACGGCGCTCTGCCTATGCTCAGGGGCCGGGAGGGAGGGAGGGAGGGAGCCACGCCCGCCCTCAGGAGGGAGGGGAAGGCGCTCTGCGTATGCTCAGGGGCCGGGAGGGAGGGGGAAGGGGGAAGGGAGCCACGCCTGCCCTTGGGGGGGAGGGGAAGGCACTCTGCGTATGCTCAGGGGCCGGGAGGGAGGGGGGAAGGGAGCCACGCCCGCCCTCAGGGGGGAGGGGAAGGCGCTCTGCGTATGCTCAGGGGCCGGGAGGGAGGGGGGAAGGGAGTCACGCCCGCCCGCAGGAGGGTGGCGCTCTGCGTATGCTCAGGAGCCAGTCGAGGGGGAGGGAGGGAGGGAGCCACGCCTGCCCTCAGGGGGGAGGGGAAGGCGCTCTGCGTATGCTCAGGGGCCGGGAGGGAGGGGGGAAGGGAGCCACGCCTGCCCTTAGGGGGGGAGGGGAAGGCACTCTGCGTATGCTCAGGGGCTCCTGTGCTCCCATATATCTGTAGGTATATAGATACAGAGCGCTCTGCGTATCCTCAGGCGCCAGTCGAGAGGGAGGTAGGGAGGGGGGAAGGGCCCCACGCCCGCCCTCAGGGGGAAGGCGCTCTGCGTATGCTCAGGAGCCAGTCGAGAGGGAGGGAGGGAGGGAGCCACGCCCGCCCTCAGGAGGGAGGGGAAGGCGCTCTGCGTATGCTCAGGGGCCGGGAGGGAGGGGGGAGGGGGGAAGGGAGTCACGCCCGCCCTCAGGAGGGGGGGAAGGCGCTCTGCGTATGCTCAGGGGCCGGGAGGGGGGGAGGGGGAAGGGAGTCACGCCCGCCCTCAGGAGGGAGGGGAAGGCGCTCTGCGTATGCTCAGGGGCCAGTCGAGGGGGAGGGGGGAAGGGAGCCACGCCCGCCCTCAGGGGGGAGGGGAAGGCACTCTGCGTATGCTCAGGGGCTCCTGTGCGCCCATATATCTATAGGTATATAGATACAGAGCGCTCTGCGTATGCTCAGGGGCCAGTCGAGGGGGAGGGAGGGAGGGAGCCACGCCTGCCCTTGGGGGGGAGGGGAAGGCACTCTGCGTATGCTCAGGGGCTCCTGTGCTCCCATATATCTATAGGTATATAGATACAGAGCGCTCTGCGTATGCTCAGGGGCCAGTCGAGAGGGAGGGGGGAAGGGAGTCACGCCCGCCCGCAGGAGGGAGGGGAAGGCACTCTGCGTATGCTCAGGAGCCAGTCGAGGGGGAGGGAGGGAGGGAGCCACGCCTGCCCTCAGGGGGGAGGGGAAGGCACTCTGCGTATGCTCAGGAGCCAGTCGAGGGGGAGGGAGGGAGGGAGCCACGCAAGCCCTCAGGGGGGGAGGGCAAGGCGCTCTGCGTATGCTCAGGGGCCGGGAGGGGGAGGGGGAAGGGAGTCACGCCCGCCCGCAGGAGGGAGGGGAAGGCACTCTGCGTATGCTCAGGGGCTCCTGTGCTCCCATATATCTATAGGTATATAGATACAGAGCGCTCTGCGTATCCTCAGGCGCCAGTCGAGGGGGAGGGAGGGAGGGGGGAAGGGCCCCACGCCCGCCCTCAGGGGGAAGGCGCTCTGCGTATGCTCAGGGGCCGGGAGGGAGGGGGGAGGGGGGAAGGGAGCCACGCCCGCCCGCAGGAGGGAGGGCGCTCTGCGTATGCTCAGGGGCTCCTGCGCTCCCATATATCTATAGGTATATAGGTATAGAGCGCTCTGCATATGCTCAGGGGCAGGGAGGGAGGGGGGGAGGGAGCCACGCCCGCCCTCAGGAGGGAGGGCACTCTGCCTATGCTCAGGGGTTCCTGCGCTCCCATCTATCTGTCTGTCTGTCTATCTATCTATCTAGATATCATTATCTTTCTATCTATCTGTCTATTGTGCTCTGCGTATGCTCAGGGGCTCTGGCACTCCTATCTATCTGTCTTATCTGTACTGTAACTAGATATATCAATATATCTTTCTATCTATCTGTCTATTGTGTTCTGTTGTATGCTCAGAGGTACGTCGAGAGGGAGGGAGGGAGTGAGGCGGGGGAAGGAAACCCCACCCTGCATCAGAGGAGGGGAAGGCACTCTGCATATGCTCAGGGACTCTTGTACTTCTATCTATCTATATATCACTAGGCATATCTGTATATCATTATCTTTCTATCTGTCTGTCTATTGTGCTCTGTGTATGCTCAGGGCCTCTGGCACTCCTGTCTATCTATGTATGTATCTATCTACAGCATAACTAGATACTTCTATATATTGTTATCTATATCTATCTGCCTATCTATCTATTGTGCTCTGTGTAAGCTCAGAGGCTCTTGCACTCCTATCTTTGTATCTATCGTATCTATAACTAGATATATCAATATTTCTATCTTTATCTGTCTATGGTGCTCTGTGTATGCTCAGGGGCTCTTGCGCTCCCCTCTATCTATAATGAGGTATATCTATGCGTACGCAAGGGTACGCATACTCCCTGAACATTTTGTGAATCTAAGTTTGGCCTCATTGAGGGGCGGTATATCAATACGAGTAGGAATATGAGAGTACCCCTAAACATTTTTTTAAAAGAAAAAAAAAGCACTGGCCTTGGCAAATGAATAAGCTTAATGCTTTCAGTTAGGGAATCTCCCAATCTGAAAAAGCTGGGGGGGGGGGCATTCGTGTTTTACGTGCACTGTGGGGTCTCTGGAGGCTCGTGGGAAAGTTAAACATCAGAAAACCTAAAAGAGGGCAGTGTCTCTTTAAAAGCCATGCGAGTCTGCGAAACTGGGACCTGTGACCAGTTTCCTCCACCCTCTGCTGCCACAGGAGTTAGGGCAGTCATGACTGCCGACGTCCTCGCCTGCAAAGGAGACGTTAAAATAAGAGTTGAAAGCATGAACAAATACCTCCGTTCCTTGCTAACGCACGAGAGCCCAGGTAAAATATATATTTTTTAAAAAGATAGAATCCTGCTATCCTTGGTGTTCTTTCTTTGGGGTGCCAGGTAAAAAAAGATTGCTCTCTGGAGGTGAGGCACGCTATCTTCCAGGCGAATAGCCTACAATGCGGCTGGTGAATTTTGTATGTAGGCTGTGTAACCCTTCACTCTCTGCTACTTACCTGTGAAGCATTCTTGAAATCCTTTGTTTTCATCTAAGCTTTCCTGTGCTATATATCTATATCTATATCTATATCATCTATATCTATATCTATATCATCTATATCTATCTATATATCTATATCTATATCTATATCATCTGTATCTATATATCTATATCTATATCTATATATAGTTGTTGTTGTTTAGTCATGTCCGACTCTTTGTGACCCCCTGGACCAGAGCACGCCAGGCCCTCCTGTCTTCCACTGTCTCCCGCAGTTTGGTCAAACTCATGCTGGTAGCTTCAAGAACACTGTCCCACCATCTCGTCCCCTTCTCCTTGCACCCTCCATCTTTCCCAACATCAGGTTCTTTTCCAGGGAGTCTTCTCTTCGCATGAGGTGGCCAAAGTCTTGGAGCCTCAGCTTCAGGATCTGTCCTTCCAGTGAGCACTCAGGGCTGATTTCCTTAATGATGGAGAGGTTGGATCTTCTTGCAGTCCATGGGACTCTCAAGAGTCTCCTCTAGCACCAGAATTCAAAAGCATCAATTCTTTGGCGATCAGCATTCTTTATGGTCCAGCGCATTGGGTCAAATACATGTCCACAGAGAGGGTTTTAAACTGGTGGGGGTAGACTGCATTTGATAATTAATCCAGTGTTGACTTAAATCTCCTGGAGGTGTGTTTTTATTTAAAGTACTGAATGTTTAATGTTCCCTACTCTTAACGGCTGGATTAAGTAGCAATTGCATTGTGAAGTGCAATTTTTCAAGCTGTTGGGGTCAACTTGGACCCGTGATACCTGGAAAAGAGTATTCTCACCCCCCCAGTTCATTTTACCTGGGTCTTAAGTGACCTTTGATCCTTACATAGTGTAATCATCAAAATTAAAAAAAAATTGGGGTGTGTGTGCTCGAAACACCATTGAAAAATCAATCCCTTTGTTGGAAGGGGAACCAACGAGAAAGAAAAGCATAGGAATTGTCCTAAAACTATTGGTTTCTTCTTCTGTGGCTCCCTCCCTCAATTTGGTTTTGGACGGGTTACTTTTAAGAGCACGACAACCTGCCTTAAACCAGATCAAAATAACAGAGCAGGGAAGCTCGTTCTGTCGGGAGCTGTGTCTTTGCAGGGTCTAGGGCAGAGATCGGGGTCCCTGAGTCATGTGCAAGATAACTTAGTGTGCAAAGCATTGCTTGCAAAGTACCGTATTTTTTGCTCTATAAGACTCACTTTTTCCCTCCTGAAAAGTAAGGGGAACTGTCTGTGCGTCTTATGGAGCGAATGCAGGCTGCGCAGCTATCCCAGAAGCCAGAACAGCAAGAGGGATTGCTGCTTTCGCTGCGCAGCGATCCCTCTTGCTGTTCTGGCTTCTGAGATCCAGAATATTTTTTTTCTCGTTTTCCTCCTCCAAAAACTAGGTGCATCTTGTGGTCTGGTGCGTCTTAGAGAGCGAAAAATATGGTATGTGTTGGTCTTATCATGCTGTTTCCTTGAAGGCTTATGTAGGAAGCTTCCTGGTCAGGCTGTTCATCTGTTGTCGCCTGTGCTAACTGACAGAACCTCCAAGGTTATTAATATTAAATTTGTATACTACCCTATACCGGCTGGTCTCACAAAAAAGGAGCTTTTTTCCCCTACCCAGAGATGCTGGGAATTGAACCCAGAACCTTCTGCACGCTGTCCCACTGAGCTACAGGCTTTCGCCTAAAGAAATGGCTTCTTTAAATATGAATATCGGAAAGTGACTTATGCCACTGATCTTCCAGCTTAGTGTTGTCTACACGGACTGGCAGCTGCTGTCCAGGTTTTCAGGCAGGGAGTCATTTTCTCCAGCTGTCCCTGGAGAATCCAGGATTTGAACCTGGCACTTATTTTATTTTAATTTTTTGCGTGGAGAGTGTGTGCTCTTCCCACCAAGCTATTTTTCCTGAATCACCTATATATGTTGCACGTTTAACCTGCTGAAGAGGGAGCCTTGAATTACCCAAGTCACGAAGAAAGGTGGGAGAGGAAATTAGCAAATGGCCTTTGCAGTTATCTGTTTCACCGTCTCGCTGGGACGAAGCCGCTGTTCTCCATGTCCTTCATTAGAAAGAAGAGCTTTGTTTTTGTTTTGCTATTAATTGCCCTTAAATAGGGTGCTGAAATGACTCGGAGCGTTGCATGGGGGAATTGGCAAATTTTCAAACATCCGTTGCATGCGATGGTCTCTCCCTGCTATCTATCTATCTATCTATCTATCTATATTTATCTGTATTCTCAAAAAATTTTATTGGTATTCACAATATTATAAACAAACAAACAAACACACAAGACAAACAAACAAAACAAAGATAAATCATAGCCTTATTAAAAATTACAGTTACTAACTTTGTTAAGTGACTTCCTCGCTTCCCCTTGGTTGAATTTCATTGCATATCCTTTTAACGGTTTTCCAAATCCCAATTTTTATGAAATTTAACTTAAACATTAACATCCTTAAATCTTCACCTTATAGAATTAAACATATTAATTCATCATTTAACATCAATAAAATCCTAAGCCCTTTAAGTATCTGCAAGCTATTTCCAGTTAGTTTAACTTAACAAATTTAGCTAAATAATCATTAAATTTATTCCATTCTTCCTGATACTCTTCCTCCTTCTGGTCGCAGACTCTTCCGGTCAGGTCGGCTGCTAATTATAAGACAAGTTGGGTTAAGCTTTGAACTGCAGGTGTCCAGAAACTCACCGCCTCATTTCTGTCTTTTCTTTCGAGGCAAATTTCACAGGGGTGAAACTCGGTTTGTGTGTAAAGGGGGGTGGAGGTCAAAATAGCTTTTCAGTTCCACTTTTCAGTAATGTTTCCTGAGCAGCTGCAACTTATGATGGTCCCTGACCCCCCCTTTGCAAGATTCAGCGCTGGCCAACACCTCCCACCCCCCAATGTTGCTAGACTGCAAGTCCCACAATTCCTGACCATTGGCCGTGTGGGCTGATGGGAATTGGGAGTCCATGCATCATTGGGGGGGGGGGGATAGAAGTTTTCCCTGACCCTCATCTCAGGACAGGAGCACCTCTTGTAAACAGAGGCATTCTCGCGTTTTCTTAGCTTGTTTCCTGATACTCAAGAAAGGAGATTCCGACGAAACATTAGGAAGAGCTTTCTGGCGGCAAGAGTGGAACGGGCTGCTTCGGAAAGTTGGAGGTTTTTAAGCTGTCCGTCACAGGATGCTTCAGCTGTGATCCTGGCATTTTGGGGGGTTCAGCTGGATGACCCCTGGGAGGCCCCTTTCGCCTCTGCAATTCTGTGAGATCAGAGAGGGGGACCTGTGGCTTTGGGATCGAGTCCGGCAAGCTCTAAAACGCAGCACAGCAGCGTGGGGAGATCATCTGCGCTACACTCCTTTTCAAAACCTCGAACGCATTTGACATTTCTGTTAGTTCTCGACGAAGAGCCGTTTCCAGAAATAGGTTGACTCCGCAAGTTTGGCCAGAGTGGCTTGTGGCGGCGGGAGATTTATATCTCTTCGTTTCTGGGGTGGCTTCTGTAAGCGAGCTTCACGGAAAGTGGGCTTATCTCTGCTCTTCAGGCGACCAGCTTAAGAAACTGATTAAAAAACAGAGCCTTCTTGGGCAATAGTTCCTTTCCTAGAAGTCTTTGTATTGGGCAATTGTTCTGAAAATCCTTTCCCCGCCGCTTCCAGTTTGGTTAAGGCAAGGTAGTACTTCAGTTTCCTCCTTTTGGTCCCTTTTTCTCAGAGATTATGTCTGCCTAGCTAAGGCAGGGAGGTTATTTCCAGCTAGCAACAGTCCCCACAAAATGGGGGGAGTAGCTGTGATGGGTTCATCGGTAATACCCTGCCAGAACTCTCGCCCTCTGGTCCAATACCATCTGTACTATATTGCTCTGAAAAACCAATAAAAAAATGTGTTCGTGCTCTGCTTTTTAAATTAAAAGATACATAATCTGTACTGGCTTGACAGCAGTCACTCTCTGGCAGTCTTTGAAATTTGCCAGGCCCCAGGCTCATTTTGAACCTGGCTATTGGCCACTTGACCACACGGGTGGCACTGTGGGTTAAACCACAGAGCCTATGACTTGTTGATCAGAAGATCGGCAGCTCGAATCCCCGCAATGACGGGGTGAGCTCCTGTTGCTCGGTCCCTGCTCCTGCCCACCTAGCAGTTCGAAAGCACGTCAAAGGTGCAAGTAGATAAACAGATACCTTCTGGTGGGAAGGTAAACGGCGTTTCCATGTGCTGCTCTGGTTCGCCAGAAGCGGCTTAGTCCTGCTGGCCACATGACCTGGAAGCTGTACGCCGGCTCCCTCGGCCAGTAAAGCGAGATGAGCGCCGCAACCCCAGAGTCAGCCACGACTGGACCTAATGGTCAGGGGTCCCTTTACCTTTACCTTTTATGGACCAATTGCGACCAAGTGAAGATGCCTGGGGATCGTTGGATCTTGACTGTTTTCACACACTAACGCCTCATCCTGCAGAATTCTGCCAGTTATATTTTACTTGCACAATTGGAATGAATCTCAGGAACCAAAATGCTTTTTCTGGGCAGCCTGAGCAGGAGCAGCGAACGGCGTTATAGCAAATTGTTGTCGCTTCTCTTCGTTTCCTCCCTGCTCACAGTTGTGCGGAATATCCCTACGTTAGGAATGGTCCGTGTCACCATTAAGAAAAAGACGGGAATAGGCCAATATAGATGTCGACTGCCCCTGGATCAAGGGACTTTCCTTCATAAAGTTCTCAGAGCTCTTAAACTAGCTCAGGGTTGTCCTCTGAACTAACCAGATGAAAATCAAAGTCTGTCCGACTTTTGAGCCTTCTCGCCCCAAAACGACATTCCATTTTGGCCACTATAACCTTGGTTTAAGGAGCCATTTGGCACCTAGCTGATATATACAGCGGTACCTCGGGTTACAGACGCTTCAGGTTACAGATGACTCCGCTAACCCAGAAATAGTACCTCGGGTTAAGAACTTTGCTTCAGGATGAGAACAGAAATTGGTGCAGTGGCAGCGGGAGGCCCCATTAGCTAAAGTGGTACCTCAGGTTAAGAACAGTTTCAGGTTAAGAACGGACCTCCGGAACGAATTGCCATGCCAATGGTTGATGCATCGCTGATGCAGTCTGGTGGATTATACATTTTATTTTTAAAATTAGATGGGAATTATCAGAAAGATGCTAAGTCGTAACTTTTCCCTTTCCTCTTTCCCCCTGCAGGGTGCGGCTACGACCCTTACAACCCGGAGCTTCCCAAGCCCGTGCTGCAGAGCCGCAATGGCTCCTTGGAGGAGATCGCCGAGGCGGCGCCAGGCATCCTGGAGCTCGAGCTGGTCAACAAGGCCATCGAGGCCGTCAAGAACGAAGTCGAGCGAGAGCAAAAGAAGTACGAGGAGCTCTTGGGGACGGCGAAGGAGTACGGCTCTTCCGAGCCCCCGTCGCTGGTCTCCAAGGCCTCTGGGTCAGCAGCACCCAAGTCATTCGCTGCCTTGGAATATAACCCCGGGGGCTACAGCACGGGCGGCAGTGCTGACTACAATCCCACCCCTCTTGCGGTGGCCACTCCTAGCCGCTCCACTAAGTACACCTTAGATTCCTTCGACAAGGCAAAAGGCAAGGGCAGCTCGCTGGAGTACGTCCCCACGGTGGTCACCCAGCCCAAGAAGTACAGTTGCGCCGTGGCCAAGAGCAAGTACACCCTGGACAACTCCAAGCCGTCCACGGACTTGGAATATGACCCTCTTTCGAATTACTCCGCCCGGCTCCTGAGCAAAGCCAAAGAGCAGAGAGGGGCCAAGAGGAAAAGGGAGGCCGACCCAGAGGAGGGGTATTCGCCTTCTCCCAAGAAGCACTGCGACGCAGGGAGCGGCCCCGAGCCGGACGCCAGGTTCTCCGACTCGGAAGAGGAGTGCGAAGCGGCTCCCGTCTTCCCTCCGAAACCGAAAGGGGGTCCGGGAAGCAAGCCCGCAGACGGGAAGGGGTCCCCGCGGGCCGATTCCCATTCTCGGCAAATGAAGGAGACGGCGGTGCAGTACGATATGGGGGACATCGAGGGCGGCATCAAGGGCTCGCCGGAGGAGGGCGAAAGGTTGGCCAAGGTGCCCCCCAAAAGGGACACGAGCGAGGGCAAGGGGGGCCCGAAGGAGAAGGTGAAGAAGAAGGCCGTTGGCGGCCATGCGGCGGACGGCAAGAGGGAGCGTGGCAAGGCTGCGGACAAGGACAAGGCGGAAGCGAAGGCTCAGCGCAGGAATGGAGAGAGGAGTAAGGAGAAGCGCGGCAAGCCCCACGCCGACGGGTGCTCGAGGAAGCAGGACGAACCCCCCAAGGCTGCAAAAGCGGGGAGCTCCGGCACGTGCAAGAAGGTCCCGCAAGGCCCCAGAGCAGAGAAGGTGGGTAGCGGGAAGAAACATGGCAAGCTGAACCCGCCCGGGGTCTTGAGACCCAAGGCCGAGGCTTCGCAGGCTGAACGTAAAGACAAGCAGGGGAAGCGGCCCACCTCGAAGGGTCCCACGGAGAGCCCCAGAGCCAAGTGCAAGGCGAAACGGCGGGCTCTGAGCCACGCTGACCTCTTCGGGGATGAGAGCGGGGACGAGGGGCAAGCGGGGCAGCCTCACCCCGTGGCCTTCCCGGACGTCAGCTCGGATTCGGACCGAGACAACGACGGCTGCTTCCTTCCGCCCCGGGACAACGGGGTGGCGAAGCGCCCTAAGGCGCCCAAAGCTGCTCCTCCTCCTCCTTCCTCCTCCTCGTCTTCCTCTTCCGACGAGCTCGACTATTCGGTTCTGGAGAGGGACGTGGACTTCGAGTCTGACCCGATGGAGGAGTGCCTTCGGATTTTTAACGAGTCGACCGACGTCAAGACAGAAGACAAAGGCAGGCTGGGGAAGCGGGTAAGAGGTTTGGGGGTAGGTAGGTTGAGAAGGGGACACGGGTGGCGCTGTGGGTTAAACCAAAGAGCCTAGGACTTGCCAATCAGAAGGTCGGTGGTTCGAATCCCCGTGATGGGGTGAGCTCCCGTTGCTCTGTCACTGCTCCTGCCAACCCAGCGGTTTGAAAACAAGTCAAAGTGCAAGTAGATAAATAGGTACCACTACGGCGGGAAGGTAAATGGCGTTTCCGTGCGCTGCTCTGGTTCGCCAGAAGCGGCTTAGTCCTGCCGGCCACATGACCCGGAAGCTGTATGCCGGCTCCCTTGGCCAATAAAGCGAGATGAGCGCCGCAACCCCAGAGTCGGCCACGTCTGGACCTAACGGTCAGGGGTCCCTTTACCTTTACCTTTAGGTTGGGAAGAAAGCCCCTCTGGCTCCGCTCCAACTTAACCCAGGTGAGGCTGCTTTGTGGGGGGGTCGTACTCCCTTAATTCTTTTGAGTTTAGCTATTCCGAGTGAAACGTAAAAACGGGAGGTGTTTCTGTGGCCAATACCCATTTGCTCGGACCCTTTTGTAGAATCAGAATCATATAATTTTTAAGAGTTGGAACGGGTCACCAGGGTCACCTAGCTGTACCCCATGCAATGTAGGAATCTTTCGGCCAAGGTGGGATTCGAACTCATTACCCTGGGATTAAGAGTCGCTTGCTGTACTGCCTGAACTACCCACAGCCTTTTCAAGGCTAAGGGTGATTTATCGCAGAAATAGTAGCACTGAGCATCATGGTGGATTTGACTTAAATCACTAGTCAGTAAGACTTGATTTAAAATGTTTTTTTACAGAGAGACTCATTCTTGCTGGTATCATCTTAATATTTATAACCAGGTGAAGGTTTCAAGTGCAACTGCAGGCCAGGAGGTTGCGAGGCGAGGGCCGTCCTGTGCGGCGGGGCTTTCTGAGAAAGCAGCTTCCAGTTTGTCACGCAAGGGCATGGGTAGGCAACCTAAGGCCCGGGGGCTGGATGCGGCCCAATCGCCTTCTCAATCTGGCCCTCGGACGGTCCGGGAACCAGCGTGTTTTTACACGAGTAGAATGTGTCCTTTTATTTAAAACATACCTCTGGGTTATTTATGGGGTATAGGAATTTGTTCAGTTTTTTCCCCCAAAATACAGTGGTACCTCAGGTTACATACGCTTCAGGTTACAGACTCCGCTAACCCAGAAATAGTGCTTCAGGTTAAGAACTTTGCTTCAGGATGAGAACAGAAACCGTGCTCCGGCGGCAGCGGTGGGAGGCCCCATTAGCTAAAGTGGTGCTTCAGGTTAAGAACAGTTTCAGGTTAAGTACAGACCTCTGGAACATATTACCGTATTTTTCGCCCCATAGGACGCAGCTTTCCCCCTCCAAAAATGAAGGGGAAATGTGTGTGTGTCCTATGGGGCGAATGCAGGCTTTCGCTGAAGCCTGGAGAGCGAGAGGCATCGGTGCGCACCGACCCCTCTCGCTCTCCAGGCTTCAGGAAGCTATCCGCAAGCCTTGCAAGCCCGGTGGGAGTTCCCTGCGGGCTCACAAGGCTTGCGGGCAGCAGCCTGCAGCCCCGGCGAGTGTCTGCAAGCCTTGCGCGCCCGGCAGAAGGTCCCGCTGGGTGCGCGAGGCTTGGGGCGGCAGCCTGTCGCCCGAAGCACGGGGAGCCCTCCGGAGGGTGCCCCGTGCTTCGGGCAGGTGTGCACAAGGCTTGGGGTGGCAGCCGCGGCGGGGGGGGGGAATAATTTTTTAAAATTCATTTCCCCCCCCAAAAACGAGGTGCGTCCTATGGGCCGGTGCGCCCTATAGGACGAAAAACACGGTAAGTACTTAACCCGAGGTACCACTGTATAGTCCGGCCCCCCACATGGTCTGAGGGACGGTGGACCGGCCCACAGCTGGAAAAGGTTGCTGATCCCTGTGCAATTGCTTCTGCGAAGTGACTTACCGCCCCACAAATCTTCTTCGTTTCGCTTTCGCTTCTGTTTGCGCTTCCCAGCAAAATATGCAAACGGTGGTGGAGCAGAAAGCAGTCGTTCCCTTTCGTTGACCCTCTCTCTTTTTATCCCCTGCCTCCCTCTCTCTCTCTCTCTCTCTCTCCCCGCCCCCCATCAGCCGTCGAAAGAGGAAGGGTCCGAGGAAAAGCCGGCCGAAGACTGTCTAACCACGCTCTTTCCTGGCCAGAAGCGAAGGATCTCCCACGCGACGAAGCCAGGGAACGTAAGTGGATAGCGGGGGAGAGCGAGAGCATCAGAAAACCCTTAGCAGCAGCTGGATCATGGCCAAAGATACCGGGTTTACCGTATCGGCCTAAATGTAAACCTCACTCTTCCCACCCCCCTCCAAATTCCGACCGCGAAAAGTCGAAGCTTAAATCCGCCGCCTTACGAAAACGGGCTTTTACGATACCGCTGCTGAAATAGACATACATTTTGGAATTATACATTTTCAGAGTAGTTTTTATGGTTATATCAAGAATTACTGATTTGGCTCTACTGTTAGAAGTACGGATCGTTATGAAATTGCTGTGAGGTTTTTATAAGTTAACTGCTTATATTTGGGCAACTTTTCTGCTGTGCTTTATTGCCAGGAGAAAAACAGATCATTTCCTTAGCAACAGTTTGAACGATTCATTTAACTAAGACAGTAACATCGTAGCATATGTATCCATGTTTGTTAACTGATGCGGTTAAACAATTAAAAACAAAACGAAAAGCTTAGAGGGAGTTTTAGTACACATGAAAAATGGAAAACAAATCCTTATTTCCTTATTGGGCTAAAATAGCAAATCTTTAGCAGGATTTTTCCTCCGAAAGCATTTTATTTTAAAAATCTGATTTAAATTTTAAAAATCTGATTTAAATTTTAAAAAATCCGATTTAAATAATTAAAAAATCTGAATTTTCTTTTTCTTTTTAAAATACAACATTGATTTTTCTCCACCCTGCTCTGAGTATTCAGATTTGCTGGGGTTCTGAATGTCGTCATCGGGTCTCAGGCTGCCGTCAGCCTCAAGGCAGCATAGCCCAATGGTCACAGACAACGAGAGAGTCCAGCAATGCACAGAAGGCCGTAGGTTCCCTTCCTGAGAGAGGGGAACACATTATTATTATTATTATTATTATTATTATTATTATTACATTGCCCTGGTCTCTGAACACTCCCTGTGGGATCAGCAGCATGATGTCTCTGAACGTCAATTGCTGGGGGGTCACTGCTTGGGATAGAATCATAGAATAGAATCCTAGAATCCTAGAGTTGGAAGAGACCCCAAGGGCCATCGAGTCCAACCCCCTGCCAAGCAGGAAACACCATCAGAGCACTCCTGACATATGGTTGTCAAGCCTCTGCTTAAAGACCTCCAAAGAAGGAGACTCCACCACACTCCTTGGCAGCAAATTCCACTGTCGAACAGCTCTCACTGTCAGGAAGTTCTTCCTAATGTTGAGGTGGAATCTTCTTTCTTGTAGTTTGGATCCATTGCTCCGTGTCCGCTTCTCTGGAGCAGCAGGAAACAACCTTTCTCCCTCCTCTATGTGACATCCTTTGATATATTTGAACATGGCTATCATATCACCCCTTAACCTCCTCTTCTCCAGGCTAAACATGCCCAGCTCTCTTAGCCGTTCCTCATAAGGCATCGTTTCCAGGCCTTTGACCATTTGGGTTGCCCTCCTCTGGACACGTTCCAGTTTGTCAGTGTCCTTCTTGACCTGTGGTGCCCAGAACTGGACACAGTACTCCAGGTGAGGTCTGACCAGAGCAGAATACAGTGGCACTATTACTTCCCTTGATCTAGATGCTATACTCCTATTGATGCAGCCCAGAATTGCATTGGCTTTTTTCTTCTTAGATCAGGGGTGGGCAGCAAACCTTTGGCCCTCCCGATGTCTTTGGACTCCAAGTCCCATCAGCCCCCAGTGGCCACGGATGCTGGGATTTGTGGTGCAACAACACCCTCGCTACTGTGGAATCTCCATCTGTTTTCTCCTCCCTCCCCGGTTTCTCTTTACTGGAATTTTCCGCTCTGGAGGGCTTTGTTTTTCACCCCGTGAAACGAAATCAGAGAGCTCTTAATGGCCCGATGTTTGCGAGGTGCGTGCTGACCCCTTTTTCTCCCTGCCTTGCCACGAAAGCTTTGTTTTGACAAGTAAGGTCTGGTCAGCGCAAATAATGTCTTGTGCTTTTCGCCCAACCATCCATTAGTCGTCCCCCCCGCCTCCCCAGATCTAACAGAGAGATAAGGGACATGGGTGAAATGAGTTGGAAATAGCGAAGCTCAAACATTTCACTGTTCCTTAGCACCGCTGTACCCGGACTACCTCGCGATGGGCTTGAGGCAGGCCATGGGGAGAGAACAAAGGCGACCTTGCTGAGTACTGGGTGTAGCCCATGTGGCGCTTGCCGGATCGCATCCCACTACAACAGGGGACAGCAACCTTTTTCAGCCGTGGGCCGGTCCACCGTCCCTCAGACCATGTGGGGGGCTGGACTATATTTTTTTGGGGGGGGGGGGAATGAACGAATTCCTATGCCCCACAAATAACCCAGAGATGCATTTTAAATAAAAGGACACATTCTGCTCATGTCAAAACACCAGGCAGGCCCCACAAACAACCCAGAGATGCATTTTAAATAAAAGGACACATTCTGCTCATGTAAAAACACCAGGCAGGCCCCACAAATAACCCAGAGATGCATTTTAAATAAAAGGACACATTCTGCTCATGTAAAAACACCAGGCAGGCCCCACAAATAACCCAGAGATGCATTTTAAATAAAAGGACACATTCTGCTCATGTCAAAACACCAGGCAGGCCCCACAAATAACCCAGAGATGCATTTTAAATAAAAGGACACATTCTACTCATGTCAAAACACGCTGATTCCCGGACCATCCGCGGGCCGGATTGAGAAGGCGATTGGGCCACATCCGGCCCCCGGGCCTTAGGTTGCCTACCCCTGCGTTAAAACATGGACAGGATTTTAACCCCACTTAGGTTGCCTGACCCTGCACTACAAAGCCCATCCTCCATCCCCAGTGGCTGATGGGAGGTGGAGTCCCCGGACATCTAGAGCCCTGTGCAAATTTAGCCAGGCGCATTTTGCATATATAATAATAATAATAATAATTTTTATTTATACCCCGCCCTCCCCAGCCAAGGCTAGGCTCAGGGCAGCTAACAAGCAATAATAAAAACAAGTTGAATGAATACAACTTAAAAAAAGAATAAAATACAACATTAAAATATTGAAACATTAAAATGTTAAAATGCAGCCTCATCACAGGAGGAGAAAGGAAAAAAGAAAGAGGGGGAGGGAATCAAATTGGCTCCAAGCCAAAGGCCAGGCGGAACAACTCTGTCTTACAGGCCCTGCGGAAAGAAATCAGATCCTGCAGAGCCCTGGTCTCATGAGGCAGAGCGTTCCACCAGGCCGGAGCCACTGTTGAAAAGGCCCTGGGCTCTGGTTGAAGCTAATCTAACTTCCTTAGGGCCCGGGACCACTAGGGTGTTGCTATTTATGGACCTTGAGGCTCTCTGTGGGGCAGGCCGGGAGAGGCGGTCCCGTAGGTACGAGGATCCTAGGCCGTGAAGGGCTTTAAAGGTCAAAACCAGCACCTTAAATCTGACCCTGTACTCCACCGGGAGCCAGTGCAGCTTGAAAAGCACTGGGTGAATATGCTCCCATGGCAGAGACCCCGTGAGGAGCCTCGCTGCAGCATTCTGCACCCGCTGGAGTTTCTGGGACAGCTTCAAGGGCAGCCCCGCGTAGAGCGAGTTACAGTAGTCAAGCCTGGAGGTGACCGTCGCATGGATCACTCTGGATCATTAAGTGGGTGGGGCTGACCTTCCTGCCCCTCCCTTTATAATTGGCTCAAACTCTGGCCTCGGTTTGCCGCCCCCGGTCTTGTCGGTGCCAACCAACCCCCTTCCTCTCCACGCAGGCTGAGGCCCCGACCAAGCCCGTCTTCCGTCCGTACCGGCCCCCGACGGCCCAAGAGGTGTGCTACCAGCGGATCCAGCTGGCCCAGAAGCAGGCGGCCCAGCTGGCCCGGCAGCTGCCCCCCACACGGCCGTCTCCGGCACCCCCGAGAGCCTCCGTGGCGATACACAAAGGGGAGAAGAAGAGGATTGCTCACGTGCCCAACCCAGCAGTGTCCAAGTGCGGTAAGCGAGTGCTTCTGCTTCTCTGCTACAAGGGGTGGGGAATCTGCTACAAGCCGGTGCTATACCAGCTGCACTGGCTCCCGGTGGAGTACAGGATCAGGTTTAAGGTGCTGGTTTTAACCTTCAAAGCCCTATACGGCCTAGGACCCTCGTACCTACGGGACCGCCTCTCCCGGTATGCCCCACAGAGGAACTTACGGTCTTCAAACAAAAACATCTTGAAGGTCCCAGGCCACAGAGAGGTTAGGCTGGCCTCAACCAGAGCCAGGGCCTTTTTGGTGCTGGCCCCGACTTGGTGGAACGCTCTGTCCCAAGAAACTAGGGCCCTGCGGGACTTGACATCTTTCTGCAGGGCCTGCAAGACAGAGCTGTTCCGCCTGGCCTTTGATCAGGGCGCAGCCTGACTCCCTCCTTTGGCAATCTTCACAAAACTTTAGTTTATGGTTGCCATCAATTTTGATTTTAATTAATTTTTATAATGTTTTTATAATGTTGCACTATTTTAGTGTTGTTAGCCGCCCTGAGCCCGGCTTCGGCTGGGGAGGGCGGGATATAAATAAAATTTATTATTATTATTATTATTATTATTATTATTATTCCTTTCTGAGTGACAGGCCTATTTCAACATCTGGTAGAGCATGGTGTTTTGTTTTTTGTTTGTGTAATGGTCACACATGCTTTGGGAGGACACCCCCATGTTAAGCTTCGAAGTGATGGCGACTGTTCTGTGTTTCCTTAAAATGCGGAGTGCCCTTCAGGGTTAAAGAAAGAGAAGAATGCTGCAAAAAGTATAAAGATAGAGGTAATCTACATTAAGGTAAAGGGACCCCTGACCATTATAATAATAATACAATAATAATAATTTATTATTTGTACCCCGCCCATCTGGCTGGGTTTCCCCAGCCACTCTGGGCGGCTTCCATAGAAACCAAAAATACAATACATTAGGTCCAGTCGTGGCCGACTCTGGGGTTGCGGCGCTCATCTCGCTTTACTGGCGTACAGCTTCCGGGTCATGTGGCCAGCAGGACTAAGCCGCTTCTGGCGAGCCAGAGCAGCGCACGGAAACGCCGTTTACCTCCACTGTGGGATAAACCACAGAGCCTAGGACTTGCCGATCAGAAGGTTGGTGGTTCGAATCCCTGCGACAGGGTAACCTCCCGTTGCTTGGTCCCTGCTCCTGTCAACAAATCTACATTAGACACAACAATTTAGAAAGAGTAAAAATTTCAAGGTCTTAGAACAAAGGAAGGAAGTCAATATGTGTATACGTACGTAACAATTAGAATGATGATATGGTTTTATTTGTAGATGTGTGTTTTTGTTTTTTGTTTTGTTTTCCTCCCTCATGTTTTGTTTTGCTTGTTTGTACTGTTTTATTTTGGATTCAATGTTTGTGATTTTTGTTGTAATTTTGCCTGTGGGTTAAACCACAGAGCCTAGGGCTTGCCGATCAGAAGGTCGGCGGTTCGAATCCCCGCGACGGGGTGAGCTCCTGTTGCTCGGTCCCTGCTCCTGACAACCTAGCAGTTCGAAAGCACGTCAAAGTGCAAGTAGATATAGGTACCGCTCCGGCGGGAAGGTAAACGGCGTTTCCATGCGCTGCTCTGGTTCGCCAGAAGTGGCTTAGTCCTGCTGGCCACATGACCCGGAAGCTGTATGCCGGCTCCCTCGGCCAGTAAAGCGAGATGAGCACCGCAACCCCAGAGTCGGTCACAACTGGACCTAGTGGTCAGGGGTCTCTTTACCTTTTACCTAACACATGTTTTGGGAGGACACCCCCGTCTTAAGATTCAAAGTGATTGCAACTGTTCAATGTTTCCTTAAGAAAATGCGGAGTGCCCTGATGGGATCTGCGGGATCCACTCTAGCTCCATTCTGCCCACCTCAGCCCTGATCTCTCCCAATTGTTCACCCAATAATCATCCCACTGATGCCAACAATCAGTGGGGTTTTCCGCAGTCCCTTTGCCGCGTTGGGTTCTGTTCGTCTTCCCCCTTATCTTGCGCCAGTTTAAGTAAACATTGCATTCCATTCCCACGCTGTTTCCAGTTTCACTTTTACAGCCGACGCCACACGGACAGGACAGAGAGGTAAGAGTAATATAAAACGATTATTATTATTATTTTTTAAGAAGCAGGAGCGACCTCATCCGTGGTGTGAACTTTCGTTAATTACAGAGAAACAGGATAAGCTTTTTTCTTTGCTTTGTTTTTCCTTGCCTGTTAAAATTAACGCTTCTTCTTTACGCCGGCAGCCAATTTGCGTTGCGGGTGAGAATTACCGTATTTTTTGCTCTATAAGACTCACTTTTTCCCTCCTAAAAAGCAAGGGGAAATGTGTGTGCGTCTTATGGAGCGAATGCAGGCTGCGCAGCTATCCCAGAAGCCAGAACAGCAAGAGGGATTGCTGCTTTCACTGCGCAGCGATCCCGCTTGCTGTTCTGGCTTCTGAGATTCAGAATATTTTTTTTCTTGTTTTCCTCCTCCAAAAACTAGGTGCATCTTGTGGTCTGGTGCATTTTATAGGTGAAAAATACGGTAATCTGCAGGGATATCGCTTCAGTTGTAATTAGTTCCAGTCTCAAAAAAGAGTTAAAAGGAGGGAGGTTTTGCTGACCTGATGCCCTAAGGGGGCGAACCTTGAGGATTATTATGCAGTGTCTGTCCGCGATGGCGGTCACTCTCACTACGAGATAGTCCTCCGTATCCGAAAACAGCTTCTGCCTCCGGTGTGACGAACGGCTCCTTGAGAGCATAGGAGGCGAATCCCATTTAATCTCCCTGTCTGAACAGGGAGAGAGTATGTCACCAGGATCTTCGCCCTGGGTATCATAAATTGCTGCGTAGTTATCTCTCTTGGCATGGCAGACGATAACTAGTCAGGCGCCTCTATTCCCCGAAGGAGACATTATGGAAGTTTCCAAAATTGCAGGGGGGCGGGATGCATAGAGAAAAGTTTTGTGTTCCTCTCTCGTTTTTTATTATTATTTGATTTTAAAAAGTATAATCATAAAACAACAAAAAATTCAAGATCCAACTATCGAGATTGCTCTGAATCTCCTGACTTCTGCACATCTCCCTTCCCTGGGTCCTAACGATAATATTTACAACTTCATATCAACACTTACCCAAATTTTTATCCTTCCAAATTATCCATACTTTACAAGTGTGGTTACAATCCTGCCCATGTTTTAACCCAGGGGTAGGCAAACTAAGGCCCGTGAGCCGGATGCGGCCCAATCGACTTCTCAATCCGGCCCACGGTCAATCCAGGAATCAGCATGTTTTTACATGAGTAGAATGTGTCCTTTGATTTAGAATGCATCTCTGGGTTATTTGTGGGGCATAGGAATTCGTTCATTTCCCCCCAAAAAATATAGTCCGGCCCCCCACAAGGTCTGAAGGAGGGTGGACCGGCCCACGGCTACCGATGTATTGATTGATTGATTGTGTGACGGCAGTATACTGTTTATTGCTTTCATTTTATGGATCAGTGGTCTGGTTAGATAGTAAAATTCATGCTAAATTACTGTTTTAGGGGTTGTTTTTAAAAGTCTGGAACGGATTAATCCGTTTTGCATTACTTTCAACTGGAAAGCGAGCTTTGGTTTTGGAACGCCTTGGTTTTCGAATGGAATTTGCGGAACGGATTAAGTTTGAGAACCAAGGTACCACTGAATGGGTTTAGCTCTAGAAGTTGCCCTGTTAGGTTTATCTTGTTTTCTTCTTGCTTGTCCCCCATCCCCATGTGTTCCCAGCCCTAGGAGGCCTCAAGAAAACCGCTTCGCCCGGGAGCAAGGGGTCTTCCAACGGGGCCGAAGCCCTGTCCCTGAAAGCCCGCACGCTCGCCGGGATGGCGTCCAAGACGACCAACACGAATGTCCCCAAAAGGATAGCCCACGCTCCCACACTGCAGGTACAGATTCTCTCCACTGCCTGCCCCCCCCAGAATTGCTTCACAAGGGAGCACGCAGAACGCGGAGGGCAGACTGTTTTCTGTGTCTTGCCCGGGCTTCTGTCAGAGATGGGTTGTGAAATGCGCTGGGTTGCATAGAATTGTAGATAGGCATCGTTGGAAGTAGTGAGGTGAGAATAGGGCTTTCAAGGTCAGCACCAACACTTTGAATTGTGCTAGGAAATGTACTGGGAGCCAGTGGAGATCCTTTAGGACCGGTGTTATATGGTCTCGGCAGCCGCTCCGAGTCACCAGTCTAGCTGCCGCATTCTGGATTAGTTGCAGTTTCCGGGTCACCTTCCAAGGTAGCCCCACGTAGAGCACATGGCAGTAGTCCAAGCGGGAGATAACCAGAGCATGCACCACTCTGGCGAGACAGTCTGCGGGCAGGGAGGGTCTCATCCTGCGTACCAGATGGAGCTGGTAGACAGCCGCCCTGGACGCAGAATGGACCTGCGCCTCCATGGACTCCCAGGCTGTGCGGCCTCTGCCTGGCTCCCTGCACAACCTCTCGTCTCGCAGGGAGGGAACCGCCAGAAGGCCCTCAGGAGATGGAGCCCGGTGTCCGGGCAGAACGATGGGGGTGGAGACGCTCCTTCAGGTCTACTGGGCCATTTAGGGCTTTCAAGGTTGGCACCAACACTTTGAATTGTGCTTGGAGACATCCTGGGAGCCAGTGTAGGTCTTTCAGGACCAGTGTTATATGGTCTCGGCAGCCACTCCCAGTCCCCAGTCTAGCTGCCGCATTCTGGATTAGTTGCAGTTTCCAGGTCACCTTCAAAGGGAGCCCCACGGAGAGCACATGGCAGTAGTCCAAGCGGGAGATAACCAGAGCATGCACCACTCTGGCCAGACAGTCTGCGGGCAGGGAGGGTCTCAGATGGAGCTGGGAGACAGCTGCCCTGGACACAGATTTGACCTGCCCCTCCATGGACAGCCGGGAGTCCAAAATGACTCTCAGGCTGTGTGACCTCTGCCTAGCTCCCTGCACAACCTCTCTTCTCGCTGGGAGGGGACCGCCAGAAGGCTCTCGGAGCTGGACCCCGGTGTCCGAGTTGAACGGTGAGGGTGGAGATGCTCCTTAGGTCAGGAGAGGGACTGTCTGGCAGCGCTTTCTGAGGTTGCCAAACCACAGTCCCCATCCTCACCTCACCGTTGTCCAGGCTGGAACCTAGAAGGCAGTTGTTTTTTCAAACCCTGTTGGAAATCACTTTAGCCCTTGTGCCCTTGTGCGGCAAAGTCCAGTATCTCAACCGTGTGCCTTAATAATAATAATACAGTGGTGCCTCGCAAAACGAAATTAATTCGTTCTGCGAGTTTTGTCGTCTTGCGATTCTTTTCGTCTTGCGAAGCACGGTGTCGGGAAAGTTTTGGAAAAGCTTCAAAAATCACCAAAGTCTTTAAAAACCTCAAAAAAGGCTACCACACCGCGTTCTATGAGTTGCTCCTCGAAGTCAAGTCGCAACTGTATTAACGGTGTTAAGAAAAGGGAAACAAACTTGCAAGACGTTTCCGTCTTGCGAAGCAAGCCCATAGGGAAAATCGTCTTGCGAAGCAGCTCACAAAACAAAAAACCCATCGTCTAGCGAGTTTTTTGTCTTGCGAGGCATTCGTCTTGCGAGGTACCACTGTAATAATAATAATTTATTATTTATACCGCGCCCATCTGGCTGGGTTTCTACAGCCACTCTATTTGTTTAATAACCTATTAAACATTAAAAGCTTCCCTAAAGAGGGCTGCCTTCAGATGTCTTCTAAAAGTTTGGTAGTTGTTGTTCTCTTTGACATCTGGTGGGAGGGCATTCCACAGGGCGGGCGCCACCACCGAGAAGGCCCTCTGCCTGGTTCCCTGTAACTTGGCTTCTCACAGTGAGGGAACCGCCAGAAGGCCCTCGGAGCTCAGTGTCCAGGGAGCCTTCAGCTCCCCTTCATTCCACATGTATTTGTTCAGTACATTCATAGGCCACAGTTCTCCTCCCCGCCCCTCTTTCATCTTCACAACAGCCTTGCGAGGTAGGCTGGGCCCAAGATGACTGCTTAGCCCCCCAAGGTCACCCAACATGACCGAGCGTGAGGATCTGAACCCAGGTCTCGCGGGCCAGTCGCACATGCCGGAGCCCCACAGATCCCAGTAGCCTGTCAGGAAAAGGGGCGGGCGATGCGTCGGCCGAATTCCTCCGGCGAATCTCTCCTCTTCCCCCTCCTTGTCGCTTCCGCAGAGTGCTACTTTGAAAAGACCAGTGATCCCCACGGAGTTCGGGGCAAAGGTCCCCATCAACATCCGGCAGAGATACCTCAACCTCTTCATCGACGAGTGCCTGAAGTCGTGCAGCTCGCAGCAGGAAGCGTTCGACAAGGTTTGTACCTTTGAGGAATAATAATAATAATTTATTATTTATACCCCGCCCATCTGGCTGGGCTTCCCCAGCCACTCGGAGGGGCGGCTTCCAACAAAATATTAAAATGCAGTAATGCCTCAAACGTTAAAAGCTTCCCTAAAGAGGGCTGCCTTCAGATGTCTTCTCAAAGTCTGGTAGTAGTTGTTCTCTTTGACATCTGGTGGGAGGGCGTTCCACAGGGCAGGTGCCACCACCGAGAAGGCCCTCTGCCTGGTTCCCTGCAACCTCACTTCTCGCAGGGAGGGAACCGCCAGAAGGCCCTCGGCGCTGGACCTCAGTGTCCAGGTAGAACGATGGGGGTGGAGACGCTCCTTCAGGTATACTGGACCGAGGAGCAGGGGGGTTTATTTGGGGTGGGGTATGGAAAGAATTCTGGATGCTTAAGAGCTTGCCGCTCATTTACGGGAAGCCCATCAGCCTGTGCCCAACCGCTGCACCTCTTGAGTGACTTTCTTCTGCATCACAGCTCCCGTCGTTCTCCGCCTTGGCTGTGTTGGCTCAGGCTGATGGGAATTATAGTCCAAATTATCTGTTAAGACCTAGGATTGCTGGGAGGAAGAGCTGGAAACTGAGTGAGCACAATCGACCATCTTTCTTGACATATATTTTTATTTGCCACTTTTTACACCAACGCGTCTCAAATAGACTTGGGAGTAGAATCACAGAATGGTAGAGTTGGAAAGGGACCCTCAGGGATCATCCAACCCAACCCCCTTGCAATGCAGGAATCTCAGCTAAAGCATCCATGACAGAGGGCTGCCCAACCTCTGCCTAAAGGCTTCCAAGGGAGGAGAGTCCACCACCTCCGTCCCACGGTTGAACAGCTCTTACTGCCAGAGAGTTTTCCCAAATAATTTAGTTGGAATCTCCTTCCTTGTGTATCTCGAAGCCACGGGTTCGAGTCCTACCCTCAGGAGCAGGAAAAAACAAGCTTGCCCCCTCTTCCACGCGACAACCCTTCAGATATCGGAAGGTGGCTCTCCTATCTCCTTCAGGCTAAACGTACCCAGCTCCTTCAACCGTTCCTCATCAGGCTTAGTTTCCAGACCCCTTGACTGCATATTTTAATATCTAGGAAATAATAACAGGAAACAGGAAACATAGGAACATACTACCATATGTGGTGGTCCTGTCTAGAGATACAAAGATTTTGGAACATGATTTATGAAGAGCTAAAGAGATTGATAAAAACTACATTTAGCAAGAAACCGGAAGAATTTTTACTAGGAATGATTTCAGATAATATTCCCAAAAACAAAGCTAGGCTATTTATGTATGCAACGTCAGCGGCAAGGGTTATGGTGGCAAAACACTGGAAAGATAAAAATACACCCACTAAAGAGGAATGGGTAGTCAAATTGTGCGAGTACTTGGAGCTCGCAATAAGAGATAAACCTAAAAAATTGGTGAAAGAAGAATGGGAATGTTTAAATAATTATTTAGGGGACAAGGGTTCAGCAAGAAAGATCTGGCTATGTTTAGAATGATACCGCATAGAGAAATGTTCCCTTGATACCAAGATGAGGGATTCCTTTGGAATGCAGGTAGAGGTAATTGATAAGAATAATGATCTGTTGTGAGCTTGACGGAAGTGTACAATAGATGAGCTTTTGTGCTTTGGCTCATCTTCCTTTTTCTTTTTCTTTTCCCCCCTATTTTCCTTTTATCTTTCCCATAGTTGCTTATGTTCTGTGTCATGTACTTTGATATTTTTTTTAGCTTTTTTCATTACTATTAAGGAATTTTCCTTTGTAATTTTGGTTGTCTATATTTATATGTACCTGTTTAAAGCAAAATAAAAGTTAAAACAACAACAACAACAGGAAACAAAACCAGAAGTAAGCACTAGAGAACATAAAGAACATAAAAATCCTCACCCGTGGAGATACGTAGAAAGGTGAAGTCCTTACACTTCACCAGCAAACAGATGAGCTTTCTGGCCCTTGCAGCTCCCTTTCTTTGCACCTTCCCTTGAGTGCTTTTTGCCTGGCTGGCAATGTTCCCTGGCTGGAGGAGAGAGAGAGAACGAGAGAGTCTAGGTTCGTGTTTGAGCGAGCCACCTGCAGAAACGAAGCCCGTTTTGCAGAGGGCGGTATTTATTCAGTGTGGTGTAGTGGTTAAGAGCGGTGGACTCGTAATCTGGTGAACCGGGTTCGATTCCCCGCTCCTCCACATGCAGCTGCTTGGTGACCTTGGGCCAGTCACGCTTCTCTGAAGTCTCTCAGCCCCACTCACCTCACAGAGTGTTTGTTGTGGGGGAGGAAGGGAAAGGAGATTGTTAGCCGCTTTGAGACTCCTTAGGGTAGTAATAAAGCGGGATATCAAATCCAAACTCTTCTTCTTATTCATTCATTTCTCCTGCCAACGATGTCCTGTCCGCAGGCCCTGGCGGAGGAGAAGGTGGTCTACGACCGCAGCACCAGCCGCAACATCTACCTGAACGTGGCGGTGAATACCCTGAAGAAGCTGCGCAGCGCCCTTCCCAGCCCCGCGCACGATGCTCGCAGTGCGTATCTTTTCTTGCTTGCTTCTTTTGTAAGATTATTATTATTAAGGTAAAGGGACCCCTGACCGTTAGGTCCAGTCGTGGCCGACTCTGGGGTTGCGGCGCTCATCTCGATATACTGGCCAAGGGAGCTGGCGTACAGCTTCCGGGTCATGTGGCCAGCAGGACTAAGCCGCTTCTGGCGAACCAGAGCAGAGCACGGAAACGCCGTTTACCGGAGCGGTACCTATTTATCTACTTGCACTTTGACGTGCTTTCGAAGTGCTAGTTTGGCAGGAGCAGGGACCGAGCAACGGGAGCTCACCCCGTCATTGCGGGGATTCAAACCGCCGACCTTTTGATCGGCAAGTCCTAGGCTCTGTGGTTTAACCCATAGCGCCACCCGCGTCCCTTTTTATTATTTATTTATTTATTTATTTATTCATTCATTCATACATACATACATACATACATACATGCCCCACCTATCTGGCTGGGTTTCCCCAGCCACTCTGGGCAGCTTCCAACAAAATACTAAAATACAATAATTCATCAAATGTTAGAAGCTTCCCTAAACAGGGCTGCCTTCAGATGTCTTCTAAAAGTCAGGTAGTTGTTTATTTCCTTGACATCTGACGGGAGGGTGTTTCACAGGGTGGGCACCACCACCAAGAAGGCCCTCTGCCTGGTTCCCTGTAACCTCGCTTCTTGCAGGGAGGGAGCCGCCAGAAGGACCTGGGAGCTGGACCCCGGTGTCCGGGCCATTGGGAAACAACAGACCTAACTTAGCCGTGCTCATTCATTTCAGTGGGCCTGCTCTGAGCTACGGCCTGCTAACTGCATCCGATCCACGGGTGGTTGCGCAGAAATTTGCGGACTCGAGCGTCCCTGGCTGGAGCCTGCTTTCAGAAACACTAACGTGCCCATTTCGTACCCGGCTCCTTTTCCCCCTTCCCAGGGATTGGCAACCGGAAGCTGGTGTCTCACGAGGCCATGCTGGGAGGCAAACTGGCAGCCAAGACCAGCTTCACCTTGAACCGCTCTGCGGCCGCTCAGTTGCGGGCAGAGGACCTGAAAGGTAGGCTCCTCTTTGTGTCTTCTCTGTGTGTGTATCTGTGTCTGTGTCTGCGACCCCTTCCTTTCTGCCTTATTAGGACCTCGGGGCGTTTAATCCCTAAATCCAGAGTGAGGTAAAAAGATAAAGGGACCTCTGACCATTAGGTCCAGTCGTGGCCGACTCTGGGGTTGCGGCGCTCATCTCGCTTTACTGGCTGAGGGAGCCGGCGTACAGCTTCCGGGTCGTGTGGCCAGCAGGACTAAGCCGCTTCCGGCGAACCAGAGCAGCGCACGGAAACGCTGTTTACCTTCCTGCCGGAGCGGTACCTATTTATCTATTTGCGCTGGTGTGCTTTCGAACTGCTAGGTTGGCAGGAGCAAGGACTGAGCAACGGGAGCTCACCCCGTCGCGGGGATTCGAACCGCCGACCTTCTGATCGGCAAGTCCTAGGCTCTGTGGTTTAACCCACAGCTCCACCCGCATCCCTAAAGGTAAAGCTACCCCCTGACCATTAGGTCCAGTCGTGGCCGACTCTGGGGTTGCGGCGCTCATCTCGCTTTACTGGCCGAGGGAGCCGGCGTCCAGCTTCCAGGTCATGTGGCCAGCAGGACTAAGCCGCTTCTGGCGAACCAGAGCAGCGCACGGAAACGCCATTTACCTTCCCGCCAGAGTGGTACCTGTTGATCTACTTGCACTTTGACGTGCTTTCGAACTGCTAGGTTGGCAGGAGCAGGGACCGAGCAGAACACCGCAAAACCTTTGCGATCCCTCTGAAACCGGGAGAGCAGGGGCTAACGTCTCTGCTCAGCCGGTTTTATTTGAGCCAGCTGATCTCTTTGCAATCCTCAGGGGCCTCCCTCTACCGCCGGCTCAAGGAGTACGTGTTGACGGAGGAGGACCTGAAGGAGCACGGGTACCCCCTGCCGTGCCCCGAGACGTCGGGCCGTGCCGTTGTCTTCAATGCGGAGGAGAAGAAAACGACCGACGGTAAGCTCCGTGGGGAGAGGGGAGAGGCCCACGAGGGCTTCTGGCTTGGCGATCCTCATATAGTACCGATCCGTTGCATTTATAACCCCTCCTGTGTCGTTTTCCACCTCCTCGCTTTATCGCCAGCGACAACCCTGGGAGGTAGGTTGGGCTGAGAGCCAGTGACCAGCCCCCAGGTTCACCCACTGAGCGGGGATTTGAAGCCCATAAAAACAGGGGTTTTTCACCCTTTGCAAAGTGAGCTCAACAACTTTGAGCTGATTCTCAAAAAACCCCGAGGCTTTTCCCCTTTGCAAAAGAAGCTACACAACTTTGAGCTGATTTCCCCCAGAAAACAGGGCTTTCCCCCTTTCTTCCTCTAAAAACTAGATGCGTCTTATGGTCAGGTGCGTCTTAATGGCACAAAAAATACGGCAATTCATTGAATTTCTCTCTCTCTTTCTCCCTCCCCCAAATTTCTAGGCTCTTGCAGAGTTTGCTGCCGCTGCGGCACTGAGTACATGGTGACTCCGTCTGGGAACTGCGTCCGCAAGGAGGAATGCGTCCACCACTGGGGGAAGTTGCGCAAGCAGAGAGGTAGAGCGTTGCATTTGAGTTCCTTTTCCCCCCGCAACTCATCCTTCCTCCGCAGGAGCTCAAAAGAAGTGGGTGTTTGCGGCGGTTTGCATCTTCTGTCCATGCTCGGCCTCCCTGCGCCACTCCGTCTTCGCAACAACCTGTGAGAATTGCGCAGAGCTGCTGCTTCTCGTGGCTTGGGAGTGGGGACCCTGAGCGTCATCCAGCCCAACCCCCCCTCGCAATGCAGGAATCTCAAAGCATCCACGACGGACCCAACCTCCGCTTATAAACCTCCGAGGAAGGAGAGTCCACAACCTCCCGTATTTCGTAGAATTTCTACACCGCCTTGGTTGTAAAAGCTGTTCTACCCCCCTAAAAAAAAACCTCAAAAGGGTTTCCGAAGAGAATAGAACAGGCATAGGCAAACTTGGCCCTCCAGTTGTTTTGGGGACTACAACTCCCATCATCCCTAACTAACAGGACCAGTGGTCAGGGATGATGGGAATTGTAGTCTCAAAAGATCTGGAGTTTGCCTATGCCTGGAATAGAATAACCAAGTTATTGGTCAAAACCAAAAAGGCTGTTTTGAACATTCAGTGAAACGAAATGAAATCAGCAACAGGTTAAAGGAGACATTGACATTCTGCGTGTCTGTGCAGGCTTGCCTGAACGAAAATGTTTTTCGCAGGCATTGAAAAGAATTCAGCGAACTTGATCAACAGGCAGGCAGGCAGAGGTCCTGGGTTTAGATCCCTCCGCAGACCCTGAAACTTGCCAAGTCGCATTCTCTGAGGGTGGCCTACCGGGTAGGGCTGTTGTACAAGGCTGAAAACGGTTTGGTGTGGGGAAGGAATACATGGGCTTTGAGTGTTTTGAGACACTGAGGGGATAGAACAAATATTTGTTGTTGTTTAGTCATTTAGTGGTGTCCGCCTCTTCGTGACCCCCTGGACCAGATCACGCCAGGCCCTCCTGTCTTCCACTGCCTCCCGCAGTTTGGTCAAACTCATGCTGGTAGCTTGGAGAACACTGTCCCCCCATCTCGTCCTCTGTGCCCTCCATCTTTCCCAACATCAGGGTCTTTTCCAGGGAGTCTTCTCTTCTCATGAGGTGGCCAAAGTCTTGGAGCCTCAGCTTCAGGATCTGTCCTTCCAGTGAGCACTCAGGGCTGATTTCCTTCAGAATGGAGAGGTCTGATGATCTTGCAGTCCATGGGACTCTCAAGAGTCTCCTCCAGCACCAGAATGTACCGGACCAATTCAATTCCCTGACCTAGTCATTATGCAGCTTCGACAAAGAGCCACGCTTTGAGCGTTGCTGTTTCCTCTTCCATCCCTGGCGCCTTCCCCTTATTTATCTCAACCCTTTGGTTGTAAACAATCATCATCGTTATTATTATTAATTTAAAACCTTTAGCGCTTGAGAGAAAGGCAGGATGTAAATATTGCAAGTAAGGACAGCCTCTGCGTATCGTTCAGCTGGTACCTTCTGGGAAATGCCCTTCTGCTGATTCCTAAGCCACAGTGTCCTCCTTACTCAACCTTTTCTCTCCCTTTCAGTTCCTGGTGGCTGGGAAACCCATTACAACTGCTGTTCAGGAGCTGTGGGTTCCCCCGGGTGCCAAGTCGCAAAAGTAAGTATTTTCAAATTTCCTTGGTTTCCTTTTATCTCGCCCGTCCTCCGTCACGGAGCCCCGGGGGTAGAAGCGTGGTTGTTAGATCTAGGCGCGGGTCGTAGTTCACTGGTAGAGCTCCTGCCTTGCAGGCAGAAGGTCCCAGGCTCAGTCCTGCCCCCCTCCCAATCCCCAGGTAGGACTGGGAATGCTTAAAACCTTGGGGAGCCCTGCCGGTCCGTGTGAACGTCAGCTAGACCAGGTTGCTCACCGGAGCAAGACGGTTTGAGCATCTTACTCCGATCCCGGTCCGACTGCACTGGCTACCAATTCGTTTCCGGGCCCAATTCAAAGTGCTGGTTTCGACCTATAAAGCCTTAAATGGCTCAGGACCGCAATACCTCAAGGACCGCCTCTTCCCATATGAACCTACCTGGACCCTGAGATCATCTTCCGAGGCCCTCCTTCGTGTGCCTCCTCCTCGGGAGGTCCAGAGGGTGGCAACACAAGAACGGGGCCTTCTCTGCAGTGGCTCCCCGTTTGTGGGAATGCTCTCCACAGGGAGGTTCTCCTGGTGCCTTCATTATACACCTTTAGGCGCCAGGCAAAAACGTTCCTTTTTAACCAGGCCTTTGGTTGATCTGTTTTGCATCCTATGCCCTTTTAAAATGTGGGGTTTTTTTGGGGGGGCGTTATTGGGTTGTTAGGGACGCAGGTGGCGCTGTGGGTTAAACCACAGAGCCTAGGACTTGCCGATCGGAAGGTCGGCGGTTCGAATCCCCGCAATGACGGGGTGAGCTCCCGTTGCTCGGTCCCTGCTCCTGCCAACCTATCAATTCGAAAGCACGTCAAAGTGCAAGTAGATAAATAGGTACCGCTCTGGCGGGAAGGCAAACGGCGTTTCCGTGCACTGCTCTGGTTCGCCAGAAGCGGCTTAGTCCTGCTGGCCACATGACCCGGAAGCTGTACGCCGGCTCCCTCGGCCAATAAAGCGAAATGAGCGCCGCAACGCCAGAGTCGGCCACGACTGGACCTAATGGTCAGCGGTCCCTTTACCTTTACTTTATTGGGTTGTTGTTTTTATTTTTATTAGGTATTTTGTGTTTTTATATCTTGATTTTATTCTCTGAACTGCCCTGAGTATAGGGCGGTATATAAATTCTAATAAAATGATGATGATGATGATAGACTGCCTTTAAGCCTGGAGGCTTCTCCATGAATTTTTCCTGACCCCTCTTTCAAAGCCATTGTCCTCCTAAAGCCAGGCAAGGTGAAATAAGTTGTCTTCCTTCTCTCTTTGCCCCTCTAATTTCCTCCTCCCTCTTTCAGCAACACGTTCACGACGGCCGGAAGGAGAGCTTGGAGGGTTTCGTGAAGACCTTTGAGAAGGTGCCCAGCGCAGATGGAAACCCAGGCATCTACGCCTTAGACTGCGAAATGGTTGGTGGAGCGTTCGATTGGGGCGAACTGGGGCGGTTTCGAAAAACAATAGCCATTAAAATCATCGGCTTAGGCAGCTCGAAATAGGCTGCTTCTTTCAACCTGGAACGTGTCTCTGTCTCTCTGCCTGTCGTGTCTGTTTTGAAAAAAGTTAACTAAAACCGTAGCTCTGTTCCTTAACGGCTGGAACCTCGGAAGCCGAACACCTTTGAACTTGAACGTTTCGGCTCCCGAGTGGTCGAAACCCGGAAGTGAGTGTTCCGGTTTTCGAACGATTTTCAGAAGCCAAATGTCCGGCGCGGCTTCCAATTGACCGTAGGACGGTTCCAGGAGTCAAACGCATTCTGTATTCTGTTCGATAACCAAGGCACGACTCAATCTATCTACCTATTTATCTATCTATCTGTCTGTCTATCTGTCTAGTTATATATCTGTCTATCTGTCTATCTATCTATCTATCTATCTATCTATCATCTATCATCTATCTATCTATCTATCTGTCTATCTATCATCTATCTATCTATCTGTCTATCTATCTATCTGTCTATCTATCATCTATCTATCTGTCTATCTGTCTGTCTATCTATCTATCTATCTGTCTATCTATCTGTCGATCCATATATCTACTCTATCTATCTATCATCTATCTATCTATCTCTCTGTCTATCCATATATCTACTCTCTCTCTCTCTCTCTCTGTCTGTCTGTCATCTGTCTATCATCTATCTATCTGTCTGTCTCTCTATCTGTTTATCTGTCTATCCATCTATCTGTCTATCTATCTATCATCTGTCGGTCTGTCTATCTATCATCTGTCTATCTGTCTATCTATCATCTATCTATATCTATCTATCTATCTATCTATCTATCTATCTATCTATCTATCTATCTATATCTATCTCTATCTATCATCTATCTATCTATCTATCTATCTATCATCACCTGTCTATCTACTATCATCTATCTATCTGTCTATCTATCATTCATCTATCTATCATGTCTGTTCTGAAAAAAGATAACTAAAATCGTAGCTCTCTTCCTTAACCGCTGGGAAACAGTCGGCCGAAAGAAGCAGCCTTGAAAGTTGTCAGAAATCTCTCCCTGCACCCCCCTTGATTCCTGCCTCTCTGGACCCCAAATCGGTTTAATCTCTGGGTCGCTGAGTCAGGCGAGGGTTTGGCGAATCGGGGATCAGGGCTGCCTGCGGAAAGGGAGGCTTCCTGAGACACCCACCCCCCTCCAATATCTCTCTCTTCTTCTTCGGCTCCCGCAGTGTTACACCAAGCAAGGCCTGGAGCTGACACGCGTCACGGTGATCAACTCGGAGCTGAAAGTCGTCTACGACACCTTCGTCAAGCCTGACCACAAAGTTGTGGACTACAACACTCGGTGAGGGTAATCAGAGGCCTGGTCCGCCGAGCCTTAATACTTTCCTTTTTCCTTTCTCCTTCTGTGCTGGAACTCCTATTTGGGGACTTCCCTGGCTTTTTCCCGGCCCACGTAGGACCAGTCTGGATCGTTGGCCTTGGTGAAGATTTGACGTTTTCATCCCCCGAAAGTTTTTGATTTGAATTTCCACTGAAATGAGGCTGCATTTTAATGTTGTACAGTGGTACCTCGGGTTAAGTACTTAATTCGTTCCGGAGGCCTGTTCTTAACCTGAAACTGCTCTTAACCTAAAGCACCACTTTAGCTAATGGGGCCTCCCGTTGCTGCCGCCGGAGCACAATTTCTGTTCTCATCCTGAAGCAAAGTTCTTAACCTGAAGCACTATTTCTGGGTTAGCAGAGTCTGTAACCTGAAGCGTATGTAACCCGAGGTACCACTGTATTTTAATCTAGTTTTTAAGTTGTATTTCAATCCATTGTTTTTCTACCTGGTGTTAGCAGCCCTGAGCCCCGTCTTGGCTGGGGAGGGCAGGGTATAAATAAAATTTATTAAGCATTAGGTGCAAACTGTCCTCAGCTTCTTAACCTTCAGATTGCTGGCCTGTCTAAACCCTAGTGGCAGCAAGTCCTCCAGAGACTCCAATGTCTCCATCTCCCACACACAACAGCCTTTCTGGCAGGCCAGCCAAATCAGCTTAGTTTTTCTTTTTAAAAAATCTTGTTTATTGATTTTTCACAAAAAAAGACCGTAAGTTGACTTCCTGTCCTCCCAAGTTTAGTTTTTCCCTTAAGTTCCAAATTGTGCGGTTCCTCTGCTCCAAAATGAAATGGGTCAAATTCTTCCTTCCTTCCGTCCTTCCTTTCTTTCCTTTCCTTTCCTTTCCTTTCCTTTCCTTTCCTTTTTCCTTCCTCCTCCTTCCTTCCTTCCTTCTTCCTTCCTTCCTTCCTTCCTTCCTTCCTCCTTCCTTCCTTCCTTCCTTCCTTCCTTCCTTTCTTTCCTTTTTCCTTCCTCCTTCCTTCCTTCCTTCCTTTCTTTCTTTCTTTCTTTCTTTCTTTCTTTCTCTTTCTTTCTTTCTTTTACGTATTTGTTTATTTCCTTCCTTTTTCTCAGCCTGAGACCCAAGGCCAGCTTATGCAGATAAAATGGGAGGGAAAAGCTAAAAACATAGAAAGTACGAGAGGTTCGTATGAGGGCATACGGTCTTTCAAATAGCCTGTACGTTCTGGGGACTGTGCCAAAATTACATATAGTCAAAACACACACTGGGTTCAATGTCAGGTAGGATTGTCAAAGTCTCTCTCTCTCTCTCCCCCCCCCCCTCCGCTCTCTTTTCAATGATTATCTATTTTGCCAAACGCTTAACTCTGAATGCTCACAAGTCAAATGTGAGTAAGTTGCGGGTTCACAAAAAGGGAGAGCTGGAGACTAGCCTATAACTCTCAAAAGTGGATATTTTTCCGTTTGTTTTCATACATATATTGCATTGTCGTTTTCAAATTTGACAAAAATCATCATCAGTTGACATTTACGTAACGTACTTGTTTTGACTTCTCCCCCCCCCCTTCTTGGTTTCTTGTAAAAAACATTTTCAAAACTTTCATCTCCCCCTTAAATCATTTTGTTTGTCGCTCTCTACATTTCTTCCAAAGCCAGCTTTTAACTGCTTGCTTTTAAATTAATCATGCTAATGTGTTTAATTGTTCGCAGTAATTTTTTAGGTAATCCACGCATCTCCCCCATTCATTCTTCTTTCTTTCTTTCTTTCTTTCTTATCTTTTTTTGTTGAGTTTTACGTTGCAAATTTAAATTCCAACATTAAACATCAACATCATCATTTAGGATTCCCTCAACCCTTCGATTCCCCTCTGGGCTTTCATGGTTACCATTTTTATCAATCTTCTTTCCAACTGCTTCACTTATTTTCTCTATTTTTCTTAAATAATCAATTTTTTTAACCTTAATTCTGAATACACTATGAGCGTTCATCAAACCCTGCCAAAGTTTTTAGTTGTTTACAGTGTTCTCTTAAATACATTGTAAAATTTCCCCATTCCTTCTTAAAGTTTTAGAATACATCTGAAGGCAGCCCTGTTTAGGGAAGCTTTTAATGTTTAATAGGTTACTGTATTTTAGTGTTCTGTTGGAAGCCGCCCAGAATGGCTGGGGAAACCCAGCCAGATGGGCGGGGTTTAAATAATAAAAATAATAAAAATAAAAATTCTTCTTGGTTTCTTAATCTTCCCGCGAGTTTTGCCGTTTCCGCAGAGCCCCTTAACGTTGTCGCAATTCCTCTTCCTTCGTCGGGGGGGACGGACAGCGTCCTCCTTCCATCTCTGCTCAAAAGAGCTGCCGGGAGATGCCTTGTTGTTGTTGTTGTTTAGTCGTTTAGTCATTTAGTCGTGTCCGACTCTTCGTGACCCCCTGGACCAGAGCACGCCAGGCACTTCTGTCTTCCACTGCCTCCCGCAATTTGGTCAAACTCATATTGGTAGCTTTGAGAACACTGTCCCACCATCTCGTCCTCTGCCATCCCCTTCTCCTTGTGCCCTCCATCTTTCCCAGCATCAGGGTCTTTTCCAGGGAGCCTTCTCTTCTCCTGAGGTGGCCAAAGTCTTGGAGCCTCAGCTTCAGGATCTGTCCTTCCCGTGAGCACTCAGGGGTGATTTCTTTCAGAATGGAGAGGTTTGATCTTCTTGCAGTCCATGGGCTCTCCAGAGTCTCCTCCAGCACCAGAATTCAAACGCCTTGCTCAAGCGGCAATTTTGTACGACTGCCTTCGCAAGGGCGAGTATTCCCACCCGTTTGACGGCGTTGATCTTTGCCTTCGCAGGTTTTCGGGCGTGACGGAGGCGGACCTGGAGAACGCCTCCATCACCCTGCGGGACGTCCAAGCCGTCCTCCTGAGCATGTTCAGCTCGGACACGATCCTGATCGGGCACAGCCTGGAAAGCGACCTGTTTGCGCTGAAGGTAACGGGACAGTTCCGGCGGGGCAGTTCTGCGTTCTGCTTGCTCTGGGGAAAGCCAGGCAGCGATGTGTCAGCCGCAGGGTGGGCTGGGGTCGTTTCCCCGCTTTGAGCGGCTTAACAGAGGAGTCTGTGCCCCCCACCCCATTCAGACTGTAGCAACTGAGCAACGCTAGATCAGGCGGGTATTCCCCAAACCCATCGCCGTGTCCCGTCCCCCAGTCCTACGGACAAACCCCAAACCCGTTGCCGTATACTCCAACCTGGTTTGTTCCCAGAGCCGCAACTCTTCTATCTCCTAGGTTCCCAGCACACATGCCCCACAGGGGGGCAATCTGATTCTTAGAGAGGGGGCCAATTCGAGAATGAGTTATTAACAGTGAATGGCCTTTTAGGCTTCCTCCACATGAATAGGAGCTCGCTTTTTGAATAATAAGAATCACCGTATTTTTCTGTCTATAAGACGCCCCCTGTTTTGGGGGAGGGGACGCGGGTGGCGCTGTGGGTTAAACCACAGAGCCTAGGACTTGCCGATCAGAAGGTCGGCGGTTCAAATCCCCGCGACGGGGTGAGCTCCCGTTGCTTGGTCCCTGCTCCTTCCAACCTAGCAGTTTGAAAGCACGTCAAAGTGCAAGTAGATAAATAGGTACCGCTCCGGCGGGAAGGTAAACGGCGTTTCCGTGCGCTGCTCTGGTTCGCCAGAAGCGGCTTAGTCCTGCTGGCCACATGACCCGGAAGCTGGACGCTGGCTCACTCGGCCAGTAAAGCGAGATGAGCGCCGCAACCCCAGAGTCGGCCACGACTGGACCTAATAGTCAGGGGTCCCTTTACCTTTACTAGTTTGGGGTATTTAAGAAAATCGGGGGGGAGATGGCCTCGGTGTATAAGACGCCCCCCACATTTTTGACTTCATTTTTAAGGGGAAAAACAGTCTTATACATGGAAAAATATTGTATATGTTGGGGGGGGGGGGAATCAGGATTTTAGAGATGCTTACAAATTGGTTTCGAACCACTGCTGTATCTATCTGAAAGGGTGGGAACAGCTTTTAAATTTAAAGGCCAAGGGTGAGGGTGGGGGGGGGTCTAGGGCTGGGGAATATGTCGTCCGAAACTGTTCTGATGTACATATCGCGAAATCAGGTTTCATCACTTCTGGCCTGGCGATATATCGCAAATCGTGATGTTTGCATGTGCTATGCACAGTGCTTTCTTTAAAAAAAAAAAAATGTTTAGGGGTACTCTCTTTTTCCTACTCCTATGAGGCCAAACTTAGATTCAGAAAAGGTTTAGGGGTATGCGTACCCCTTTGTCCATCCGTCCCCCAGAAAAAAGCCCTGGCTATGCAAAAATCACGGCACGGGGAAAACCACGAAGCCAGCCGATGCCTCTGCATAGCCTGGTCCTTATTTCGGGCCTCGCAATCTATCAGTCTATTGCGATGCTTAGCCAGCGATGATATCGCAAAGTTGACAGCCAGATCATTGCCCGGCCCAAGTGGGGGGTCCGAAGACGCGTTCCTGGTGGCGCGAGGGTTTCCACCAGTGCAGAAGAACATAGCGGAAGTACTTGGGGGAAAGGGAGACCCTTTGACCCCGTCTGCGTCCGTCTCTCCCGGCAGCTCATCCACGGGACTGTGGTGGACACGGCTATCGTCTTCCCTCACCGCCTGGGCTTGCCTTACAAGCGGGCGCTGCGCACCTTGATGGCCGACTACCTCAAGCGCATCATCCAGGACAGCGGTGAGATTTCGGCGCCTGGAGGGGGGCGGGATGGGGAGCAAGGGAGAGAATCCGTGGGGTGGTGCCTCGGGGTCTTCAGTCCGCCTTCCGCCCTCTCCGCTCCTGAGCTGCAAAGCCCTGACCGCCAAACACCAGCCTCTCTAAAGTCCTACAGCTCCAATTCCAGACACCCCAGTGCCTTTCCTTCCCATAAAGGAACAGCCTTACAGTCCCGCTTGGACTACTGCCATGCGCTCTACATGGGGCTGCCTTTGAAGGTGACCCGGAAACTGCAACTAATCCAGAACGCAGCAGCTAGGCTGGGGACTGAGAGCGGTCACCGAGACCATATAACACCGGTCCAGAAAGACCTCCATTGGCTCTCAAGACGTTCCTGAGCACAATTCAAAGTGCTGGTGCTGACCTTGAAAGCCCTAAACGGCCTCAGCCAAGTATACGTGAAGGAGCCTCTCCAACCCCAGTGTTCAGCCCGGACACCTGGGTCCAGCTCCAAGGGCCTTCTGGCGGTCCACTCCCTGCGAGAAGAGAGGTTGTGCAGGGAGCCAGGAAGATGTCGCACAGCCTGGGAGTCATTTTGGACTCCTGGCTATCCATGGAGGGGCAGGTCAATTCTGTGTCCAGGGCAGCTCCATCTGGTATGCAGGATGAGACCCTCCCTGCCCGCAGACTGTCTGGCCAGAGTGATGCATGCTCTGGTTATCTCCCGCTTGGACTACTGCCATGCGCTCTCCGTGGGGCTACCTTTGAAGGTGACCCGGAAACTATAACTAATCCAGAATGCGGCAGCCAGACTGGGGACTGGGAGTGGCCACCGAGACTGGGAGTGGAGACCATATAACACCGGTCCTGAAAGACTTACATTGGCTCCCAGGACATTTCTGAGCACAATTCAAAGTGTTGGTGCTCATCTAGAAAGCCCTAAATGGCCTCGGCCCAATATACCTAAAGGAGCATCTCCACCCCCATTGTTCAGCCCGGACACAGGTCCCAGGGCCAAGGGCCAAGATTGATTGATTGATTGACTGAATTTATATACCGCCCTATACCCAGAGGTCTCAAGGTGGTTCACAGAAAACATCACAATATGTAAAATCAAAATAAGAACAATAACCCAATAGAGCCACATTTTAAAAGGGTATAGGATGTCGTTGAGGTCAACCAAAGGCCTGGTTAAAAAGGAACGTTCTTGCCTGGCACCTAAAGGTGTATAATGAAGGCGCAAGGCGAACGTCCCTGGGGAGAGCATTCCACAGACGAGGGGCCACTGCAGAGAAGGCCCCGTTCTCGTGTTGCCACCCTCCGGACCTCTCGAGGAGGAGGCACACGAAGGAGGGCCTCAGAAGATGATCTCAGGGTCCGGGTAGGTCCATATGGAAAGAGGCGGTCCTTGAGGTATTGCGGTCCTGATCCGCCCCACCCCAATTCCTTCCCATCTTTCCAAGTCCCTCTTTGATCTCCCCAAGGCAGCGGTGACCAAACTTGGCCCTCCAGCTGTTTTGGGACTACAGCTCCCATCATCCCTAGCTAACAGGACCAGCAGTCAGGGATGATGGGAATTGTAGTCCAAAGCATCCAGAGGGCCGAGTTTGACCACCACTGCCCCAGAAGATGAGTCACAACCTCCTGCGTTCTCTCTTTGTTTTTCTTCCCGGCAGTGGAAGGCCACGACTCGAGCGAGGACGCCCGGGCGTGCATGGAACTGATGATCTGGAAGATCAAAGAAGACGCGAAAGTGAAGCGGTGATAGAGGAGGGGCCGCCGCCGTTCTTCCTCCTTCGCCCCTTCCGCTTTTACCGGTGCAGTGCAATAATGATAATAATAATAACAATAATAGCCTCTTGGGAGCCTGGACCTACCCCCCCTTCTGTGTTCGCAGGTATCCCTGCGTAGCTGCTGCTGGTGGCACCACCCCTCCTCTGCAGTCACACTGTGAAAGCATGTGACCTCGCGAGTCTGGCCGCAACGTCCCGTCCCCCACGACCTGTGGCGCGGTAGGCCCACCAGAGAACTCCGGGATAAAATCTGGGTGGCGCCTAACTCCCCGAAACCCCGTCCCGTTCGCGAACCTCGAAAAACGGAAATCCAGCTTCTCCTTTGGGGACTTAACGTGGGGCTCCCTGTGCGCCGCCGCACGCCGGGAAGTCGGCTGTGGCGACTCGGGCAAGCTGTGGAGGCTCCGATCCGGGAGCGGGCTGCCTCCAAACCCGCAACCCCAGAAGAGAAGGCGGAGGCGGCGTGCGGTTGGCAGAGCAGCAGAACTGCCGGCACGGATACGCGTTTGAGTCCCGGCCGTGGGTACGGCAGGGCGTTGCGCTCGTGCCAGGAGCACTGGGGCCTTCGGTGCAGCTGACCCACAGGAAATGGGCCCCCCTGCAAAGAGGGGGTTCCCCTCACCCCATCTCCCAGCGCAACGGGCCCCCGGTCTCTGCTGCCTGCATCGTCGGACTCCTTCCCGAGGCACAGGATTGCCCCGGATAAGGGGCTGGCAGCCGTTCCCACGACGGGTTCGCCACCTGAGACCCTGAATCGGCCGTTGCGCAAGTTCTCCAGGGTGGAAAACGGGGCGTGAGCGTGGCAGAGTCGCTGCAGGGACCCTTACGATTCGTCCGCCTTCGCAACTGCAAGTCCGGGGAATTCCACCGTTCAGAGCATATCGCACATAACTTCCAAGCTCAACCACGACTTTTTAAAAAACACTAGGAAACGCTTCTTCCTAATAATTGCTAATCGCTGCTCTGTGAACGCCCCGTGGGGAAACTTAACCCAGCTCGCTTTGGGGGGGGGGTGGATGCAGGTGGAAATATTTGCCTTGGCGTAAAACAGAAAGTGGGGTGATGGTTGAATCCACCTTTTCAAATTCACACACGCTCAGTTATCCGTGAGTGTAAATAACAATGTTCTAGGAACAGAGCAAGTTAGAAGACAGGGTGGGGCGGGGGGGGTGTTGGTTATCTATTTAAAACAAGGGGAGAATTCTGCACTACAAGCTATTTTAGCTGACGAAACACTTCCCTCCTCTGTCCCCCGAATTTTCATTTAAGGAGAGAGCCTAAAGAGTTCAAATGTTTCCCAACGCCGTCGGAACCCATTCATTCCCTTTAAATACCAGTTCCATGTTTCTTGCAGCTCCCAATCTGCCCTCTTCCTTCCTCCCTTCAAGGGTAATAAGAGGAGAAAGCAAGTCTCCTCTGCCCCTGGGGGAAAAAAACCCTATTATTATTATTATTAATAATAATAACCTTAGCAGAGGTCGACCACCTCTGCAGCTGACCCAGATCGCCTTTGTTTTGTTAACACTGTACAGTTAATTAAAAAAAACGGGCGCTGTAGACTTTGTATATGCAGAACTGGTAAAAACCTGTTAACACTATTTTGTAAATGGTTTTTTTTTTTAAATAAATAAACAAAAAATCCTGGCTATTTATGGTGAGCACGATTGGTTATTTTAGAGATTATCTCTCTCTGTGTGTGTGTGTTATTCTGCTTACTGGAGAGTGTGTCAGGGATAAAGGGATGTGTGTGTGTGGATAATTCTGAGATTTTATTTTTGAAAGGCCACAACTTTGCCGAATGTTTCACCTGCGAAAAGCCAGAAACCTTCAAGTTTAAATCAGAGAGGGTCTTGGGTTTCCTCAATACTTGGTCTAAGTACCAGCTCTGCGTGCAAGAACTTGGAAGAACGCAGTCTCTCTTGAGACAGCCGAATGCTTCTTCTTAGATAGGGGATATGTATCCCAGATAACCACAGGAGGGAGGTTTCTCTTATTAAGAAGAGCCATTTCCCTCCTGAGAGTCTACAAGGCAGTTTCCTGTCTTCATTCTCCTTCACCGTTGGATGAGCATTCTATGATGTCACGACAGGCGAACCAATCGGTGGTGCAGGCTTCAACCCCACGCTGAAAATGCATTCACTTTTTGCATTCTCTCGCAGGAGTTCCATTGTTGTTGTTTAGTCGTTTAGTCGTGTCCGCCTCTTCGTGACCCCCTGGACCAGAGCACGCCAGGCCCTCCTGTCTTCCACTGCCTCCCACAGTTTGGTCAAACTCATGCTGGTCTCTTCGAGAACACTGTCCGTCCATCTCGTCCTCTGTCGTCCCCTTCTCCTTGCGCCCTCCATTTTTCCCAGCATCAGGGTCTTTTCCAGGGAGTCTTCTCTTCTCCTGAGGTGGCCAAAGTCTTGGAGCCTCAGCTTCAGGATCTGTCCTTCCAGTGAGCACTCAGGGCTGATTTCCTTCAGAATGGAGAGGAGTGCCGTAGTTCGCACGATTTGCATTCTCTCGCTCCGGCATAGTTTGCACGGCGCGAAGAAGCCCTTTCGTTTCCCCTGCATCCCCAGCTTCCAGCTCCATCACATCTTCACAAGTTCCGGCGTTGGGAGGAAAGCTGGTCTCTTAACGGGCGCGGTTTTGGAAACCCGGCACGTCGCCTCCCAACTCACTCGAGGAGCCCGGATCTCGAAACCCACTGGGCCGTCGACTCTGGCATCTCGCCTGCGGGAGGTGGGGATCAGAGGTCAGGCAGAGCCAGCCGGGTCTTTTTGCGATGGATACGTTGCTGCGTTAAACATGCCTATTTTAAGCCTGTTTGCACCCCTGGCTGGGTTCTTCGTGGGGGTCAGCCCCCGATCGCCACCCCTACGCCAGAGCCTCCCATTGTCCACGCTATCGATCAGGGTGCTGAGCCTCATTAAAACCCCTTCTCCGGTTAATTTTCCTCTTGTAAGCTCCTTTTGGCCGGCAAATGTGGGCTGGACAGTCACAGAAGCGGGGAGGGTGGCTGGCTGAGAGTCTCCCGCTGAGATATCGACGGACCTGTCACAACCCGTTTGCCCCTCGTGACGTCTGAAGGGGGCTGCGTTGCAAAGAAATGTCCCCGAGTCGAAAGCTCCTCACTGAATCGACCACCGGTTCAGTGGGGTTTTTTTTTGGGGGGGGGTTTCAGCATCCCATTTCATCTCCCCATCCCCTCTTCCAGCGACAAGTTTGGAATCACCATCAAAGCGTCCTTAGTTTGCCGGTTCCGTGGCTGCATTTGAAGATTGCTTCAGTTTGCAACCAGGAACTTCGGACGCTCATCTCCAATCAGGTGATATTTGGCTAATAACAATAATTACTATTCTATAATAAAATATAAAAAAATTGTCCAGTAGCACCTTAGAGACCAACATGCACAAGAACAAACTTAGTTGGTCTCATAAGGTGCTACTGGACACTTTTTAAATTTTTATATATATTTCGACTGCGTCAGACCAACACGGCTACCTACCTGAATCTAGTACTATTACAGTGGTACCTCTGCTTACGTACTTAATTCGTTCCGGAGGTCCGTTCTTAACCTGAAACTGTTCTTAACCTGAAGCACCACTTTAGCTAATGGGGCCTCCTGCTGCTGCCGCGCCGCCGGAGCATTATTTCTGTTCTCATCCTGAAGCAAAGTTTTTAACCCGAGGTACTATTTCTGGGTTAGCGGAGTCTGTAACCTGAAGCGTATGTAACCCGAGGTACCACTGTATTATATTATTATTATTCTTTGGCGATCCCTCGTAGCTGAGTAAGATTGTCTTCGATAAACACAGTTTTAACAATGAGTCCGTAAGGGACCGTGGAGGCCAATTCTGGATCCACACATCCTTCCACAGTGGGGACATTGGTTTCCAGGTGGGAGCTGATCCCGGTGTGGATTTGGCAAGCGTGCCTTCCTCTTAGCATGTTTCTCCCTTGCGTCCTGAGTTCGAGTGTCTTCAAAGCCCACGACACCTTTGGTAAAGGCTGTTCTCCAACTGGAGCGCTCGCAGGCCAGTGTATTCCAGTTGTCGGTGTTTATACTACATTTTTTTAGATTTGCCTTGAGACGGTCTTTGAACCTCTTTTGCTGACCACCAGCATTACGCTTTTCATTCTTAAGTTCGGAATAAACTTTGGGAACCTCTGAACTTGATGATCCTCCATTGCAGGGGGTTACACTTGACGACCCTCTACGATTCTGCGATCCTTAGGATCCCTCCCTACGATTCTGTGATTCTTTCGTCTGGCCTGGACCGTCCAGCAGTTCAGCCTCGTTGGATAGTCTGTGAGTTTTAGTGTTAGGAGAGGGGGAGAAAAGCCCTTTTCTGTAGCTACTTGGCGGTGCATCCTTTTTATAAACCGCTTCGTCCTTGCCTTTCCACCAAACTTAAAAAAGCCCCAAACCCCACAGCCCTTCTACATAAGGGAATCGCTATGTCCCCACCAGGACTGTAGAAAGCCGTGTTGATTCACAGAAGGCTAGCAGTTGGGAAGGGGGAAATCTCCCAGCTCGGCTGTCCCAGTAGTGTGGGGTTTTTTAGAGGGGAACCCCCGCTGCGAAGCATTCAGGGGCCTTTCGTTCAGCTTAGCCCCCTCCGCACAGCCATGAGGCCGTTGGGGTCAGGGGTGATCGGGAGTGATCGATCCCACCTTTTGAAAGGCAATTTCATTCCTATAAAACTACGTTTTGTTCCCGGACAGCCGGAGCAAATTGTAGGGGAGGGCGGGGGGGGGCGTTGCACGGTCAGCCAAAAGCATGGGGCACGCGAAGAAGGGTTTTTTGGGGGTGGGGTGGGGGAGCTTAGTGAGCCAACGGATCGATCAGGAATCGGGAAGCTGGTTAGAGGATGGAGGTAAGCTCTTTAGCGAGTGACGTCCGAAGGGTGCAAAGCCATTGATCTCCTGAGCACATCTGTGCTCTTCTTAACTAATTTTTTTTTTTGGCAGTTTTTACTATTTGCACCCGGGGCCGATGTTTGCTTGTTTCAATGCGCACGTCTCGAATCCACTGTTTCCGGACCAGATCTGTGAGCCCCAAACCTCAGTTCTCCCTCGAAGGTAGTTCTCCACCCAAAGAACATGTGCAAAGGTCCTTTTCTGGCCAAACCACGTACCAAAAAAAGCCATGAAAAATGAACGCATGGCCTGCTTCGATGGCACTATCCGGACATGGAAGTTAGTGTGGCAAAATCAGCCGCTGATGTTCACATTTTTGGCTTGCCACTTGCCTAAATTCATTTCTTTATTGGCACCTGTGCATCTTGTAGCTTATTTTGGAGAGGTTTCCAAAAAAAAAGAAAAATCAATTCCTGAGATGCTCCCAGGCCTCAAGTTCACAATCGAAAGAAAACGATGCAACACACAAGAAACTTGGGATAGAAAGGGAGGGAGAAAGCAAGCTGATAGGCACATAGAATTTTATGATGATAATAATGATTTATTATTTATACCCCACGCATCTGGCTGGGTTTCCCTAGCCACTCTGGGCGGCTCCCAACAGAATGTTAAAAACACCAAACATTGAAAACTACTAAAATACAATAATTCATCAAATATTAAAAGCTTCCCTAAACAGGGCAGCCTTCAGATGTCTTCTAAAAGTCAGATAGTTGTTTATTTCCCTGACATCTGATGGGAGGGTGTTCCATCCCCTGAGAAGGCCTTCTGCCTGGTTTCCTGTAACTTCGCTTCTCGCAGGGAGGGAACTGCCAGAAGGCCCTTGGAACTGGACCTCAGTGTCTGGGCTGAACGATGGGGATAGAGATGCTCCTTCAGGTCTAGTGGGCCGTTTAGGGCTTTCAAGGTGAGCACCAACACTTTGAATTGTGTTCGGAAACCAATGGGAGCCAATGTAGGTCTTTCAGGACTGGTGTTAGGTGGTCTCCACTCCCAGTCCCTAGTCTGGCTGCCGCATTCTGGATTAGTTGCAGTTTCCAGGTCACCTTCCAAGGTAGCCCCACGGAGAGCGCATGGCAGTAGTCCAAGTGGGAGATAACCAGAGCATGCACCACTCTGGCCAGACAGTTTGCGGACAGGGAGGGTCTCAGCCTGTGTACAGATGGACCTACCCTGGACACAGAATTGACCTGTGCCTCCATGGACAGCAGTGAGTCCAAAATGACTCCCAGGCTGTACGACCTCTGCCTGGCTCCCTGTACAATCACTCTTCACTCAGTGAATGGGCCTTCAGAAGGCCCTCGGAGCTGGATCCCAGTGTCTGGGATGGACAATGGGGGTAGAGACACTACTTCAGGTTTACTGGGCCTTTGAGGCCATTTAGGGCTTTCAAGGTCAGCACCAACCCTTTGAATTGTGCTCGGAAACATCCTAGGAGCCAATGTAGGTCTTTCAGGACAGGTGTTATATGGTTTCGAAGGCCGCTCCCAGTCCAGCTGCCGCATTCTGGATTAGTTGTAGTTTCTGGGTCACCTTCCAAGGGAGCCCCACGGAGAGCGCATGGCAGTAGTCCAAGCGGGAGATAACCAGAGCATGCACCACTCTGGCCAGTCTGCAGGCAGTGTCCTCTCCGTCCTAAGCATCATCGCACAGAACAGGGAGGTGTTCTTTGCGAACCCTCCACCGAAACCGGGTGGTTTCCCCAATTGCTTGCACATCTGTGGGCTTCCACATCTCCCGGTGCCTTGGTGGCATTTTGACCATCCCATGCTGGCTTAGGAGGAAATCGTCTCTCCCAGCCCTCTCCACGCTTGTCAGACCTCGTTAGTGTCCCCAGCAAAGAAGTCATCTCTTTTTCTGCCCCTGTACCCCCCAGCCGCCGAATGCAAAATCCCTCAGCAAAGAGGGCGAGCCAGGATTAGGGGCCCTGAGGTTTTGCTGTCCTGGCTTTGCCTAAACTCAAATCCCCCCAGTCTAATATCCCTAGCGCTGCAAGATCCCAAAAGCACCTGGACCAAAATTGTCCATCAAAAACTTCACTCTTGTGGTTTATCACCACAGCAGCTACTCACTTTGGGTTTCAGTAAAGCAAACCGTCTAATTTGTCAGTGCCGGGACGCGGGTGGCGCTGTGGGTTAAACCACAGAGCCTAGGACTTGCCGATCAGAAGGTTGGCGGTTCGAATCCCCGCAATGACGGGGTGAGCTCCCGTTGCTCGGTTCCTGCTCCTGCCAACCTAGCAGTTCGAAAGCACGTCAAAGTGCAAGTAGATAAATAGGTACCGCTCCGGCGGGAAGGTAAACGGCATTTCCGTGCGCTGCTCTGGTTTGCCAGAAGCGGCTTAGTCCTGCTGGCCACATGACCCGGAAGCTGTACGCCGGCTCCCTCGGCCAATAAAGCGAGATGAGCGCCGCAACCTCAGAGTCGGCCACGACTGGACCTAGTGGTCAGGGGTCCCTTTACCTTTACCTAAATGATATCAAGCGTCAGAACAGCTTGGCCACAATAAGGAAATTTTGCCCATGGCATGACTATTTTTCTTCCCATTTCCACTCTGTGGCACCCGATCTGCATAACCGAGCAATTCTAAAATATAGACGTGCTTTTACTCTCGCAAGATGCCCTCGTCTGGACTTGAGGGACAATTCCAACAGATCCCACACGAAAAACGTCCCTGTGGAGACGGCAGTCCCGAATCGGTGGCGCATGCCCTTCTGGCTTGCCCTCTTGATAAAGACTTGAGGAATGAGATTATCACCCCTCTTTTATCGTCCATCCCGGGTCGCCCAGCCACTGCCCCAGTGTCCTTTCCCTTGGCAGATCAAGATGAGCAGGTGACAGCAAAGGTGGCAAGGTTTGTCGCTGGGGCAATCAGAATAAGATCCACTATTGATTCAAAGCCCTAAAATGTATTGTATATAATTGACTTTTTATTTCTATTCTTCGTATGTCGCATTGTTGTTTTATTGCTGCGGCCGATGGCTGACGCAAATGTAGATCCATTCATTCATACCTGTCTAGGCGAGAGTGACGCTTCTTTTTAAAATGGACAGGAGAGAGGTGGTGGTGATGGTGATCTTTTTACATGCTCAGAGAACCTTACTCCTTGGAAAGCCTAAAGACCGCTCTGAGCCAGTAGTTATGTCAAAAGTAGAAAAAAGACACTCACGGAACCGAGAAATTACACAAAACAAATCAAATACCGTGAAAATCCCTGAAACGAGAAGTAATTGAATAGTTCAGTGAAACGAGGTTTGTAGACGGTGTCCCGTTAAGTCTTTGTACACTTCTACGTTTTTCTAATTTTTTCCTTAAACCTTTTGATTTTTTATTATTTACTTTATTTCTATAAGATAATATAAGAATGGAAAATATTTAAGGAATATGTAAGACTACATTGCAAGAATAACACCGCCTTAACAGAGCTGGAATGACACTTGCGAACGCTAAATACTATTTACATGTTGTACTATTTTATTGTTGTTAGCTGCCCTGAGCCCAGCTTTGGCTGGGGAGGGCGGGAAATAAATAAAATTTATTATTATTAAATAAATGTAACAAATATCTTAGTAGGATGTATGAAAAAGGATACAAAATAAAGCTGTGCGATAATACCATGACGGTAGAAAAAGTATAATGAGAACGATTGGAAGTTTCTTGTAAAAATAATAATAATAATTATTTGAAGGACATGATGTATAAATCTTTGGTTTTCTTTTCATTATTTTTTTCTTTTTTTCTCTTTTTCCTTTTTTCATATGTTTTTCTTGCTTTTAGGTCGTGAAGTTTCCCCCCCTATTTTTATTTAACCTTGTTATACCTACCCTAGTTGTATGTTTGTATTTTAAACCTATATAAATATAAATATAAATATAAATATAAATATAAATATAAATATAAATATATAAATATAAATATAGGTGTGTGTGTGTGTGTGTGTATATAGGTATACACACACACACACATATATATATATATAAATTTGGCTGAGCTCTGGTTAAGTTCCTACTAGATTTGGGGAGGGGTGCAGGAGGAAAGTTGGGGGGGAGAGGTCGGCGTTTGACACGTGCCCCTCGCTTACAACCCCCCCTTCCCCCAAATCCCGCAAGCTGTTAAATAGCAGAGGATGAGCAGAAGCTGGGAGTTAGAGCCATGAAGGCGCGAGAGCGAAGAAGGAAGAGAGAAAGAGAGAGAGAGATTGGGACTTGGTAAGTGATTTATGTGGGGTGCAAACCTGGAAGGAACTGTTGCGGTTTGCGAACTTTTTCCGGAAGCTGAACATGCTCTGTTTTGAATGTAATGCTGAGGTCTGTCTTTTTTTCCTATTTAGTTTGCGTTTTTGTTTCTGTGGCTCTTTTTCATTTTGTTTTTGCGACTGCGTGAAACCCAGTCCAGCTACTGATGGATCGATTGTGTGACTGCAATACACCGTTTATTGCTTTCATTTTGTGGATCAACGGTCTCGTTCGAAAGCAAAATCCATGTTTAATTGCTGTTTTAGGGGTTGTTTTTAAAAGTCTGGAACGGATGAATCCGTTTTGCATTCCTTTCTATGGGAAAGCAGCAAGCCTTTCTTTTGGAACGCTTTGGTTTTGGAACGGAATTTCCGGAACAGATTAAGTTTGAGAACCATGGTACCACCAAGGTGTGTGTGTGTGTGTGTGTGTGTGTCTGTTTGTGTGTGATCCTAAAGGAAAATTATTATTATTATTATTATTATTATTATTATTATTATTATTACAGTGGTACCTCTGGTTCTGAACGGGATCTGTTCTGGAGGCCCGTTTGCAACCTGAACAGAACGCAACCTGCGTCTGCGCATGCTCGATTCGCCGCTTCTGCGCATGCGTGTGACGTCATTTTGCGCATCTGCACATGCGCGAGCGGTGAGACCCGGAAGTAACCCGTTCCGTTACTTCTGGGTTGCCGCAGGATGCAACCTGAACACGCTCAACCTGAAGCAAACATAACATGAGGTATGACTGTATTCTTATTTTATTTGAAGAAGACCTACTCCCTCTGAAAGGGATGCAGGTGGCGCTGTGGGTTAAACCACAGAGCCTAGGGCTTGCCGATCAGGTCGGCAGTTCGAATCCCCGTGATGGGGTGAGTTCCCATTGCTCGGTCCCTGCTCCTGCCAACCTAGCAGTTCAAAAGCACGTCAAAGTGCAAGTAGATAAATAGGTCCCGCTCTGGCAGGAAGGTAAACGGCGTTTCCGTGCGCTGCTCTGGTTCGCCAGAAGCGGCTTAGTCCTGCTGGCCACATGACCCGGAAGCTGTACACTGGCTCCCTCGGCCAGTAAAGCGAGATGAGCGCTGCAACCCCAGAGTCGGCCACGACTGGACCTAATGGTCAGGGGTCCCTTTACCTTTACATTACTCCCTCTGAAGCTACCTCTTTGCCAGGTTCCTTGGCTGATACATTTGCCTCCCTCTCCTCTTCTAGACAAAAGAGGGCCATGTACCATATAACTGGCAGCGTCGCTTTCCCGCTGATGACCTCTCCGTCGCTCCTGTACACAGTGCCACCCCATCTTCCGCTGGCTCCGGGAGGTTGCTGCTCCTCCTTTCTGCCAGCACCCTCAACTCAACTCACGCCTTTCTGCGCCGTCCCTGCAATGGATCACCTGGCAGGTAAAGGGGGCTGGTCTGCAAAACGGGGCTGTCGGGCGGTTGAATTGTGCTTGGAAACGTCCTGGGAGCCAATGTAGGTCTTTCAAGACCGGTGTTATGTGGTCTCATCGGCCGCTCCCAGTCCCCAGTCTGGCTGCCGCATTCTGGATTAGTTGCAGTTTCCGCGTCACCTTCAAAGGCAGCCCCACGGAGAGCGCATGCCAGTAGTCTAAGGGGGAGATAACCAGAGCATGCACCACTCTGGAGAAACTGTGCGCATGCAGGTAGGGTCTCATCCTGCGTACCAGATGGAGTTGCCCTGGACACAGAATTGACCTGCGCCTCCATGGACGGCTGTGAGTCCAAAATGACCCCCAGGCTGCACACCTGCTCCTTCAGGGGCACAGTTGCCCCATTCAGGACCAGGGAGTCCCCCATATCCGCGGGCCAGATTGAGAAGGCGATTGGGCCGCTTCCGGACCCCGGTCCTTCGTTTGCCTACCCACGCCTTAGCTTAATACTAGACCGACCAGGTTTTCCCATGACGGTCCAGCCTTTCCTTTCCTTCCCTCTCGTTCCACTCCTTCCTCCACAAATAATAATAATAAAAGCCTTTTGCACGTGCACAGAAATCTTCCTGGACCTGCACTACGGCCTACCGCAGAGGCGCCGACGGAGCCGGACCGTCTTCACGGCGCAGCAGAGAGAGGCTTTGGAGAACGCCTTTGAGCGGACCCATTACCCAGACATGGGCACCCGGGAGAGGCTGTCCGCCTTCGCCAACCTGCCCGAGGCTCGCGTGCAGGTAATTTCGGGGGCGCACCCTCCGTGCGGAAATTCGGCTAGCTTTCCCCAGCACCCGTTGATTTGCTGCAGCAGAGACAGGCGTTTCTCAAGCCTGCCTCTGGGGCAGACCCGCGTTGTCTGGGTTGCTGGCGGTGAAATATTTCAAAAGGGAACAGTTAGGGCCAGAGGCGTCAACTTGCAAGGGTGATGGAGGATGGGACCAACGCTGCACACATGACCTTATGATGTCCCGGTTTTTTCTCCTTCATATAATCCTTTTTATCAAAGGTAAAGGTAAAGGGACCCCTGACCATTAGGTCCAGTCGTGGCCGACTCTGGGGTTGCGGCGCTCATCTCGCTTTACTGGCCGAGGGAGCCGGCGTCCAGCTTCTGGGTCATGTGGCCAGCAGGACTAAGCCGCTTCTGGCGAACCAGAGCAGCGCATGGAAAAGCCGTTTACCTTCCCGCCAGAGCAGTACCTATTTATCTACTTGCACTGCCGTCCCCTTCTCCTTGTGCCCTCCATCTTTCCCAGCATCAGGGTCTTTTCCAGGGAGTCTTCTCTTCTCATGAGGTGGCCAAAGTCTTGGAGCCTCAGCTTCAGGATCTGTCCTTCCAGTGAGCACTCACGGCTGATTTCCTTCCGAATGGAGAGGTCTGATCTTCTTGCAGTCCATGGGACTCTCAAGAGTCTCCTCCAGCACCAGAATTCAAAAGCATCCATTCTTCGGCGATCAGCCTTCTTGATGGTCCAGCTCTCACTTCCATACATCACTGCTGGGAAAACCATAGCTTTAACTATAGGTATAAAAGATACCTATTAGGTCCATCAATTACCATATAGCATATATCCAACACAAAAAACAGCAACAATTTGTTGTTGACAAAGGACAGCTGGACATAGAAAGGGCCCCATTACCTTCAGGAGCTGAGGGCCTCATCCAGCCCTGTCTGGGATTATGATTGAAATTACGATGTCCCTATTTTCATTGCAGAAATGTTGGAGGGTACGTGCAACCCGTTCGCTTGGGAGCAGGCTGTCTTGCAAAAGAGCCCTGATATTTTGGCAGGGGTCAAACCCTGACCTTTTCCCGTCCCTGTAATTTACCAGGATGATAGGTTTGGGACCTTATCATCGTTCCCTTCAAAAGTCAACCTCCCAGTTTATGATAGGGGCATTCCTGCAGATAATTGTACGTCTTGGCTGGCACTTTCATTTAGCACAGTACCACCTCTCAATTTTCCATTTGCCTCCCACACACCCAAACCTCCCCCCCCCCCCGCACCAGCAAGAGAGGATTATTCCACTGGCCATACTGGTTTATACTTTGGTATTCTCCTGGGACAAAGCTAGGAAGGACCTGGACTTCTCTGCTTAAAATGTTGGCACATAGGTGGCCCATCAGGGAGGTGGCTGCAGTCTGCGCCATTTTTCCCTGAGCTGCTCGCTTTCTGCAAGACGGGGAGGGCTGCTGGTTTGTGCATTTAAGCACACTATCCCCCACACCAAATGAACACTCCCTGAGAGGACTGGGCCGTCTCTCTCCTCTCCTTCCTCTTCCTCTGTCAATAATAATAATAATAATAATAAATTTATTATTTATACCCTGACCATCTGGCTGGGTTTCCCCAGCCACTCTGGGCATCTTCCAGCAAAATACAGTGGTACCTTGGGTTAAGTACTTAATTTGTTCCGGAGTTCCGTTCTTAACCTGAAACTGTTCTTAACCTGAAGCACCACTTTAGCTCATGGGGCCTCCTGCTGCTGCCGCGCCGCCGGAGCACAATTTCTGTTCTCATCCTGAAGCAAAGTTCTTAACCCGAGGTACTATTTCTGGGTTAGCGGAGTCTGTAACCTGAAGCGTATGTAACCTGAGGTAGCACTGTATTAAAATACAATAATTCATCAAATATTAAAAGCTTCCCTAAACAGGGCTGCCTTCAGATGTCTTCTAAAAGTCAGATGGTTGTTTATCTCCATGGCATCTGATGGGAGGGCGTTCCACAGGGCAGGCACCACCACCGAGAAGGCCCTCTGCCTGGTTCCCTGTAGCCTCACTTCTCGTATGGAGGGAACCACCGAAAGATCCTCAGGAGATGGACTGGACGATGGGGGTGGAGACGCTCCTTCAGGTCTACTGGGCCGTTTAGGGCTTTAAAGGTCAGCACCAACACTTTGAATTGTGCTTGGAAACGTACTGGGAGCCAATGGAGGTCTTTCAAGACCGGTGTTATATTGTCTCAGCAGCCGCTCCCAGTCCCCAGTCTAGCTGCCGCATTCTGGATTAATTGCAGTTTCCGGGTCACCTTCCAAGGTAGCCCCACAGAGAGCGCATGGCAGGAGTCCAAGCGGGAGATAACCAGAGCATGCACCACTCTGGCCAGACAGTCTGCAGGCAGGGAGGGTCTCATCCTGCATCCCAGATGGAGCTGCCCTGGACACAGAACTGACCTGCGCCTCCATGGACAGCTGTGAGTCCAGAATGACTCCCAGGCTGCGCACCTGGTCCTTCAGGGGCACAGTTACCTCATTCAGGACCAAGGAGTCCCCAATACCTGCCCTCCCCCTGTCCTCTAGTAGGCCAATGTAACACTCATTCTTCCCCCCAGGTGTGGTTCAAAAACCGACGGGCCAAATTCCGCAAGAGCCAGCACGAACCGCGGAAGAAGCCCCCCAGGACCGATCACCCCCCTGGCATCCTTGCGGGAGGAAGAGGAGCGACCGAGACGGACCGGCACCATTTGCAAGTGCCTCGGATGTGGACCACGTCACAGAGCGCCGTGCCAGGGAAGAAACAGCTTGTCGCCGCCGTAGCTGAGGACCACACGGACACTGCTCCGAGGCCTCTCCTGGCGGGTGCCCAAGCAGTTTCTGGAGCTGCCCCCCTGGACCCCACACCCGTGCAAAGAGAGACCAGGAGGAGGCCGGATTTGGGACTGTGGTGTGGGTCTGCATTGCCCTTGCACACTTATTGGCTGAGCACGTAGGCGAAAAGAGTCTGGGATTTCCCCGTTCACAACCTGCATAATAATAATAATTTATTATTTATACCCCGCCCATCTGGCTGGGCTTCCCCAGCCACTCTGGGCGGCTTCCCAAAAAATATTAAAATACTGTAATACATCAAATATTAAAAGCTTCCCTGAACAGGGCTGCCTTCAGATGTCTTCTAAAAGTCTGGTAGTAGTTGTTCTCTTTGACATCTGGTGGGAGGGCATTCCACAGGGAGGGCGCCACCACCGAGAAGGCCCTCTGTCTGGTTCCCTGTAACTTGGCTTCTCGCAGGGAGGGAACCGCCAGAAGGCCCTCAGAGATGGACCTCAGTGTCCGGGCAGAACGATGGGGGTGGAGACGCTCCTTCAGGTATACTGGACCGAGGCCATTTAGGGCTTTCAAGGTCAGCACCAACACTTTGAATTGTGCTCGGAAACGTACTGGGAGCCAATGTAGGTCTTTCAGGACCGGAGTTATATGGTCTCGGTGGCCGCTCCAAGTCACCAGTCCGGCTGCCTCATTCTGGATTAGTTGTAGTTTCCGGGTCACCTTCAAAGGTAGAGCACATTGCAGTAGTCCAAGCGGGAGATAACCAGAGCATGCACCACTCTGACCAGACAGTCCGCGGGCAGGGAGGGTCTCATCCTGTGTCCCAGATGGAGCTGTCCTGGACACAGAATTGACCTGCGCCTCCATGGACAGCTGTGAGTCCAAAATGACTCCCAGGCTGCTCACCTGGTCCTTCAGGGGCACAGTTACCCCATTCAGGACACAGGGTGCATTTTGCTCTCCAAAGTTGCAAAGCCGTAGCCCTGTGGGTGCAGCAGCTGCCTTGCATGCAGAAGTCCCCAGTTTATTTTATATATTACAGTGGTCCCTTGGTCCTCAAACGCCTTGGTCCTCAAACAACTTGGAACCCAAACACTGCAAGCCCAGAAGTAAGCGTTCCGGTTTGCGAACTTTTTTCGGAAGCCGAACGTGCTCCAGTTTGAGTGCCACGCTTCCGATTTGAGTGTTACGCTGAAGTCTGTCTGTTTTTGCTATTTATTTTGCATTTTTGTGGCTCTTTTTTGTTCTGTTTTTGTGACTGTTCAGCTACCGATGGATCATGTGACGCTAGTACATTGTTGATTGCTTTCATTTTATGGATCAATGGTCACGTTAGATAGTAAAATTCATATTAAAGTGCTGTTTTAGGGGTTGTTTTGAAAAGTCTGGAACAGATCAATCCATTTTGCATTACTTTCTAGGTGGGCAGGAGAACTTCTAGGTGGGCTGGAGCAGGGACCAAGCAATGGGCACTCAAACCGCTGACCTTCTGATCAGCAAGTCCTAGGCTCTGTGGTTTAACCCACAGTGCCACCCACGTCCCTAATCGAAGAATGTAGATTCCTTCAAAATTATAGGAAGGGCTTTCTACGCCAGCTAAACCATTTCCTTCATTTGGTGCAGGGATTTTTACTTTCAATATATAAAGGGGACTCTCTTATTTTTGCCCCACCCACACATGCACATCACATTTAATGGTTTCTCCAATAAGTGGAGGAGAGGAAATAGGAAAACAGCTTCTACAATTCAGGGACTGTTCCTGGAAAACTGGGACACACTCAGAGGGGATGGTTGTTGTTGTTGAGTCGATTAGTCGTGTCCGCCTCTTCGTGACCCCCTGGACCAGAGCACGCCAGGCCCTCCTGTCTTCCACTGCCTCCCACAGTTTAGTCAAACTCATGCTGGTGGCTTCGAGAACACTGTCCCACCATCTCGTCCTCTGTCGTCCCCTTCTCCTTGCGCCCTCCATCTTTCCCAACATCAGGGTCTTTTCCAGGGAGTCTTCTCTTCTCATGAGGTGGCCAAAGTCTTGGAGCCTCAGCTTCAGGATCTGTCCTTCCAGTGAGCACTCAGGGCTGATTTCCTAATGGAGAGGTTTGATCTTCTTGCAGTCCATGGGACTCTCCAGAGTCTCCTCCAGCACCATAACTCGAAAGCATCCATTCTTCGGCGATCAGCCTTCTTGATGGTCCAGCTCTCGCTTCCATACATCACTACTGGGAAAACCATGGCTTTAACTAGACGGACCTTTGTTGGCAAGGTGATGTCTGGGCCTTAATAGGGGTATCGCATTTAATTGTTTCCCCAAGAAGTGGAGGCGAGGGAAGAGGGAAACGGCTTCTATAATTCAGGGATTGTTCCTGGAAAACCGGGACACTTTGCAGGGATGGTACAATGCGTTATGAGATGAGTGGGGCCGCAGCCTCAAAAAAAGAGGAGATTGCAAGAGCTGCTAATTCGGGGAGAATTTGGAAAGCCTTCCTGGTGATGAGTCAACGGCAGGCATGTGGGAAAGGTTTGCTGCTGCTGCAGGCGGTGAGTTGCAAATTGGCCCATGCAAATTCCTGAGTTCGCAGAGGAGGCAGAAGTGTCCTCACCTGGGCTTGGCTGGGAGGATGCACTTCCTGATTGTCCAGTTATCCTCCGGGATTCTGAACCGCAAGAGGGGGCAGGTCCCTATATATATAATTTGCCCTGTGTGCCACCAGCAGCCAGCCGCCCAGGACTGCTCTCAAAGGAAGGATGAGGCCTTAAACAGAGCCTTGAGGCAGGAAAGGGTTTCTGCTACCCAGCGAAGGATCAGCGTGGGAGCAATTTCCCCTGTCCAAAGGACACCTGGGTGTGTTTTTTTCGTGTATTTTGCGTTTGCTGCTGAAGTTTAGCGATGCGACCCAGATCGGGGACCGGAGTCGAGGCTTCCGGCGAGAAGCAGGAGAAACCAGGTAAACCCCAGTCCCTACACCATTGCTTCACACACACACCCCAGAACCATAGCTGTCAACTTTTCCCTTTTCTTGCGAATATTCGGAATAAGGGAATTAAAAAAAGGGAAACATTGACACCTATGCCCAGAATTGATCTCCTGCTTTCGTTTTGGCTCACGTCCCATTGGTGCAGGGATGGGGAGTTCCGAATGCGGCCCTCAGGACCTCTCTATGCGGTCCTCAAAGCGCTCTGGGCTTTCTTTTCTTTCTTATAATTTTAGTTTTCAAAGTTTCAAAAAGAAAAACATTTTTTACACACACACACACACACACACACACACACACACACACACTCTTGTATACTTTAAACCATAATCAATTGTTGTTGTTGTTTAGTCGTTTAGTCGTGTCCGCCTCTTCGTGACCCCCTGGACCAGAGCACGCCAGGCCCTCCTGTCTTCCACTGCCTCCCGCAGTTTGGTCAAACTCATGCTGGTCTCTTCGAGAACACTGTCCCATCATCTCGTCCTCTGTCGTCCCCTTCTCCTTGCGCCCTCCATCTTTCCCAACATCAGGGTCTTTTCCAGGGAGTCTTCTCTTCTCATGAGGTGGCCAAAGTCTTGGAGCCTCAGCTTCAGGATCTGAATCAATATCAGTACCTTTATAGGGTTGCCTGAACCTCTGGTTTAGACCACAGCACCACCTGCAGTTTACTGCTCTTTCTTAATGAGACGAGAGGGCCGAGGCCGTGAGAATTCCTTTCCATCCTGACGAGACTTGCCTTTAGAGAAAGAGTGAAATCTATCAGGTAAAGGGACCCCTGACCGTTAGGTCCAGTTGCGGACAACTCTGGGGTTGCAGAGCTCATCTCACTTTACTGGCCGAGGGAGCCGGCGTACAGCTTCCGGGTCATGTGGCCAGCAGGACTAAGCCGCTTCTGGCGAACCAGAGCAGCGCACGGAAACACCGTTTACCTTCCCGCTTTGACGTGATTTCGAACTGCTAGGTTGGCAGGAGCAGGGACCGAGCAACGGGAGCTCACCCCTTCGCGGGGATTCGAACCACCGACCTTCTGATCGGCAAGTCCTAGGCTCTGTGGTTTAACCCACAGCGCCACCCGCGTCTCCCGTTGTTGTTGAGTTGTCCGGATATTTCCCCAGACGGTTTCCACCCGGACGTTGTCTACCAGTGCCGAATCCCGGCGATGTACGAACGGCAGTCCTAGCCACTGGCGAGTTCCAGCAGGGTTTTGTTTTGTTTTTATGCTGGTAGGGCGAAAGGCTGGGAGCCCATCAGCAGGTGGCGCCATTGGGGAATGAGAGGCCAGAGCAAACTCATTCCAGCTCTGGCCCCTCCCTCCTCCTTCCCTCTGCTGAGTTCTGCAAGGGCTGAGTTCTGCAAGGAGGAACTGACCACCTTCTGGACTAGCAGTAAGTAGGACAGCAGGCAGAGGGGCTAAGTTTGTCGTCCCGTTTGCCCTAGACTAGTGACCAGCAACCGCTGAGGGACAGCCTCACATGAAAATCTCATTACTTTATTCTAATGCCCAGGGTTTTAGCAATAACCGTGGGCACCACTGAACACTTGGGGGAAAGGGGAATCTTGGTGCTATCGCCACACATGCCATCGTCTCAAAATTGCTTCGTGACAGTGCGTTACTTTACGTGCGAGGAGGGGCGGAGAGATGTAAATGAAAGCCGGAGAGGTCTGGGGCTGCTCTGATTCAGGGAATTAATCCAGGTTAAACCCTAATTAAGAGGGAGAGGAATGCGGAGGGGAGGGAGAAATTGCAAAAAGGAATGGGAAAATGAGCCTTTTCTTTGGGTTGCGTCACATTCCGTAATGATAATTTTATTATTTATACCCCTGCCCACCTGGCTGGGTTGCCCCAGCCGCTCTGGGCAGCTTCCAACATATATAAAAACATGTTGTTGAGTCGTTTAGTCGTGTGCGCCTCTTCGTGACCCCCTGGACCAGAGCACGCCAGGCCCTCCTGTCTTCCACTGCCTCCCGCAGTTTAGTCAAACTCATATTAGCAGCTTTGAGAACACTGTCCCACCACCTCATCCTCTGTCGTCCCCTTCTCCTTGCGCCTTCCATCTTTCCCAACATCAGGGTCTTTTCCAGGGAGTCTTCTCTTCTCATGAGGTGGCCAAAGTCTTGGAGCCTCAGCTTCAGGATCTGTCCTTCCAGTGAGCACTCAGGGCTGATTTCCTTCAGAATGGAGAGGTTTGATCTTCTTGCAGTCCATGGGACTCTCAAGAGTCTCCTCCAGCACCAGAATTCAAAAGCATTAAACGTTTAAAAAAACCCAAAACCTTCCCTATCCAGGGCTGCCTCCAGATGTCTTCTAAAGGTTGTTGTAGTTACATATCCGTTTGGCACAGGAGTCGCTTAACAGCAAACATTAAAAAATGACTTCCTTGTACAGGATTGCCTTCGGACGGCTAGGGGGTCGGATAATTCCAACATTTCTCCGATGAAAATAGGGACGTCCTAAGGAAAATTGAAGGGACGCGGGTGGCGCTGTGGGTTAAGCCACAGAGCCTAGGGCTTGCCGATCAGAAGGTCGGCGGTTTGAATCCCCACGACGGGGTGAGCTCCCGTTGCTCGGTCCCTGCTCCTGCCAACCTAGCAGTTTGAAAGCACGTCAAAGTTCAAGTAGATAAATAGGTATAATAATAATAATAATTTGTTTATACTCCGCCCTCCCCAGCCAAGACCGGGCTCAGGGCGGCTAACACCAGGTATAAAAACAATTGATTAAAACACAACTTAAAAACCGGATTAAAATACAACGTTAAAATGCAGCTTCATTTCAGTAGAAACTCAAATCAAAAACTTTTTGGGGATGAAAACCTGCATTTCTGGGTTGTTTGTGGGGCATAGGAATTCGTTCATATTTTCCCCAAAATATAGTCCAGCCCCCCACACGCTCTGAGGGACAGTGGACCGGCCTACGGCTGGAAAAGTTTGCTGACCCCTGGAATTACGATGCAAACTACTAATAATTATAAATAGCTTTATTAATATGAAGTTAAGTGTTATAACCTGTACAATGCAATTGTAGTTAACACAAGCAGGCAGGGCCCATGACTTACATCACAGGAGCCTACACAACACAAAACACTGTTGCTGTATGTAGGTTTTATTTTATTTGTCTTTTATCTTATATTTTGGAAATGTACATCCAGTTGTTTTTCCGCCCTTTAAACATCTCCAGGCAGAGAGCTCACTGTTCTCCTTTAAATCGGTTCATGAGGACCAGAACCTTGGAAAAGGATGCTGACATCCTGAATTAAGCTGGATGTTGAGAGATGCAGGGCAGACAAAAGAACAGGATGCTCAGCTGACTCAGCAGCCAGGCTCCTCTGACCATCTTCTGAGGAATGAGATCGGCACCAGATGCGAACCTGGTTTGCAGGTGGTTGAGGTGTGGTCCAGGTGAGCAGCTCAATTAAACCCGTGAGCGCAGAAACCAGTTCATCGTTTCCTTGCCGGGTTTCCAAACAGATCGGCTGTTGCTCCGTCACGGAGCGATGGCTTTTCCCCAGAAGCGAGAAGCGAGATTTAGTTACCCTTAAAGGCAAGATGGAACAAGAGCCACACTCCCACGGTTTCGCATGGGCCTGTTTAAAAACGACTCCCTGCCACTTGGGTTTCCCAATCAAGTAGATCGGAGAATCTGATCAAAATGTGCAATGCAGCTGCCACGTAAGTCTTTCTCAATATAATAATAATAATAATAATAATAATAATGTATTTATACCCTGCCCATCTGGGCAGCTCCCAACCAAATATTAAAAACACAATATAGCATTAAACAGGAACATGGGTGTCGCTGCGGTCTAAACCACAGAGCCTAGCACTTGCCGATCAGAAGGTCGGCGGTTCGAATCCCCGCAACGGGGTGAGCTCACGTTGCTCGGTCCCTGCTCCTGCCAACCTAGGAGTTCTAAAGCACACCAATGCAAATAGATAAATAGGTACCGCTCCGGAGGGAAGGTAAACGGCGTTTCCATGCGCTGCTCTGGTTCACCAGAAGCTGCTTAGTCCTGCTGGCCGCTGGCTCCCTCGGCCAGTAAAGCGAGATGAGTGCCGCAACCCCAGAGTCGGTCACGACTGGACCTAACTGTCAGGGGTCCCTTTACCTTTACCTTTTACAGCATTAAACATTAAAAGCTTCTCTAAACATGGCTGCCTTCAGATATCTTCTAAAAGTCTGGTAGTTGTTTTTCTCTTTGACATCTGGTGGGAGGGTGTTCCACAGGGTGGGCGCCACCACCGAGAAGGCCCTCTGCCTGGTTCCCCATAACCTCACTTCTCACAGAAGAGAGCCAGAAGGCCCTCAGCACTGGACCTCAGTGTCCGGGCAGAACGATGGGGGTGGAGACGCTCCTTCAGGTCTACTGGGCTACTGGAGGGTTCTGTGATTCTATGATTCTATGATCTGCAAGGCAAATGTGACAATCATTCATCCTTTTGCTTAAGCATCTAATCTCTGGCGGATGCAACACTGTGGACCAGACAATTGCTCCATCTAGAGCACACACATAGAAACAGCAGCCCAAAAATCTGGGCGGCTTCCAACATAAACAAAAACACAATTAAACATGAAACATTTTTTTAAAAGCTTCCCTATCCAGGGCTGCCTTCCGATGTCTTCTAAAGGATGTAGAGTTACTTATCTCTCCTTAGCTCCTAGGGTCACATAACTCCACCCCCTCTAACATTTCTCTGATGAAAATAGGGACGTCCTAGGGAAGTCCTAAGGAAATCAGCCCTGGGTGCTCACTGGAAGGACAGATCCTGAAGCTGAGGCTCCAAGACTTTGGCCACCTCAGGAGAAGAGAAGACTCCCTGGAAAAGACCCTGATGTTGGGAAAGATGGAGGGCCCAAGGAGAAGGGGACGACAGAGGACGAGATGGTGGGACAGTGTTCTCGAAGCTATGAACATGAGTTTGACCAAACTGCGGGAGGCAGTGGAAGACAGGAGTGCCTGGCGTGCTCTGGTCCAGGGGGTCACGAAGAGGCAGACACGACTAAATGACTGAACAACAACAACAAGGAAATGCGGGACATTCTGGGATCAAATCTGAAACCGGATGGCTTCTGTAAATCTGGGACTGTCCCTGGAAAATATTCCTGAAACTGCTTCCCAGAGCCGTCCAGATCTCCAGGTCCCTGTTGTTGTTGCTTAGTCGTTTAGTGGTGACCGCCTCTTCATGACCCCCTGGACCAGGGGTTTGTTCGGTTACTTATTGCTGCAGCTGCAAAGCTGGACAGAAACAGCTTCACCGCAGTGGGCAGCAAGGAGTTAGCTGGGTCAGAATAAGAGCGCTGAGAAAAATAGAGTGAAATATGATCGAGGAAGCCTTGTGCAGAGAGAAGAGGCAGAGCCACCACGTCAGAGCAAAAGCACTTTGTTCTGCCTTTTCAGTCCATGGAGGGTTTTGGCTGGCATGTAGGGTGGTTTCCAAAGAAATTGGAGGGTTAAGGCAGAACAGTTCCTTGTTGGGTCAACTGCGCAATCAACCACCTGCCAACTCTCTGAAGCAAGTGGACTCTGTCTGTTTCTTTGGATTGAAACTGAGGACATGAAATGCAACACCAGTTTTGCACCCGAAAGGGGTTAGCTCATTTTGGGGTGTGCATCAAACCCCACTGTATTTCTGTAAGGTAAAGGTAAAGGGACCCCTGACCATTAGGTCCAGTCGTGGCCGACTCTGGGGTTGCGGCGCTCATCTCGCTTTATTGGCCGAGGGAGTCGGCGTACAGCTTCTGGGTCATGTGGACAGCAGGACTAAGCCGCTTCCGGCAAACCAGAGCAGCGCACGGAAACGCCGTTTACCTTCCCGCCAGTGCGGTACCTATTTATCTACTTGCACTTTGAGGTGCTTTCGAACTGCTAGGTGGGCAGGAGCAGGGACTGAGCAATGGGAGCTCACCCCGTCATTGTGGGGATTTGAAATGCCCTTTTAAAAATATAGGTCTGGGTGTTCTGTACAGCACTGGGCAGCTGGGGTTGGTGATAAATTGAGCTTCGTCATGCATTGGCACATAGGCAAATTCGCTCCCACGGGAGGCAGTGAGAGCCAGCAACGTTAATGGCTGTAAGAGAAGATTAGGCAAACATCCACTGCAACGTTACTCCCTTGAAAATAGGGATGTCCTATTCCATCCCCTCCAACATTTCTCCCGTGAAAATAAAGGTAAAGGTAAAGGTACCCCTGCCCGTTCGGGCCAGTCTTGCCAGACTCTAGTGTTGTGCGCTCATCTCACTCTATAGGCCGGGAGCCAGCGCTGTCTGCAGACACATCCGGGTCACGTGGCCAGCGTGACAAGCTGCATCTGGCGAGCCAGCGCAGCACACGGAACGCCGTTTACCTTCCCGCTGGTAAGCGGTCCCTATTTATCTACTTGCACCCAGGGGTGCTTTCAAACTGCTAGGTTGGCAGGCGCTGGGACCGAACGACGGGAGCGCACCCCGCCGCGGTGATTCGAACCGCCGACCATGCGATCGGCAAGTCCTAGGCGCTGAGGTTTTACCCACAGTGCCACCTGCGTCCCTGAAAATAGGGATGTCCTATTCCATCCCCTCCAACGTTTCTCCCGTGAAAAGAGGGACGTCCTATTCCATCCCCTCCAACGTTTCTCCCGTGAAAAGAGGGACGTCCTATTCCATCCCCTCCAACGTTTCTCCCGCGAAAAGAGGGACGTCCTATTCCATCCCCTCCAACGTTTCTCCCGTGAAAATAGAAATGTCCTATTCCATCCCCTTCAATATTTCGCCCATGAAAATAGGGACGTCCTATTCCATCATATTCCATCCCCACCAACATTTCTCCCGTGAAAATAGGGAGTTATGTGACACCTTAGCCAATCAGATAAGTAAACACACAACTTTAGAAGACATCTGAAGGCAACCCTGTAGAGAGGCGTTTTTTAAAAAAATATTTAATGTCTGACTATATTTTTATGTCTGTTGGAAGCCGCCCAAAGTGTCTGGGGCAACCCAATCCGATGGGTGGGCTATAAATAATTAGATTGTTATTATTGTTATGGAACAGGACATCTCTGTTTTCACTGGTGAAATGCTGGAGGGTTATGTTGTGTGTGTGTGTCTGAGAGAAAGAGAGGTGGAAACTAGAGCCGTGCTGATGATAGCTTGGCACAGGTAGACTATCCCGGTTCGCGGAGGCTCCATTTACGGATGCGAAGCACAGGGAAACAGCCTCCACGTGTGTGAAAGCCGGTTCGATTTTGCGTGTGGGTGTTTTGTTTGGGCAGCATGCCAGCCGGGCGAGGGAGAGGTGAAAGGAGATACCTTACACCTGGCTGGAAAGGATTTCTTGTCTGAGGAACAGGTGAGCGAGCCTTGCAGGTATCGTCATGGGAAAGGCGCTGGCAGGTGGGGGTTTGGAGAGAGAGAGAGAGAGAGAGAGAGAAGAGACGAGACAGGAAGACTGGGGAGAGTGGCACTCCTTTGTCAGTCAATGCAGATTTCAAGGGCCGCCCAGGTATCTTGGCAGTGCCAGCCTCACCTCTCTGACACATCTAGCAAATCGCTCAAGGGCCTGAGAGGCATCCCTGGCAGAGGGCATATCTCACCTGACCCCAGGGAGGCAGGCAGGTAGGTAAGGTGTGCCAACTCCTGGTTGCTATGGAGCCGCCGGGTTTTGAGCTGCGCCCTTAATGAGGACCCTGGGGCAGTCGTCGGGAGGGGAGGAAAAAATAAACGAGGAAAATGGAGATAATTTCTTCCCCACCGCCCTAAGACCTTAAGAAGAGGCTGACTGCTGCTGGATCGAGATCTATCTAAGTCCAGGATCGTGCCTCTTGGCAGCCGAGGGGATGCCTCGAAGGGGAGCCCCGCAAGCAGTGAGAAATTTTCTACCTTTATTCAGGTTTTTTGAGCTGTTTGGGTACAATCAGAACAGGGAAACGTGGAAAATGCAAGGATACAGAGGTTGATTTTGATAGCCGCGAGGCGGGAGGGAAGGAAGTCGCTAGGCTCTGAAGATAATGGTGATGTGAATGTATATAATTAGATGGAAAATAAATAAAAATTGTATCTAAAAAATAAAGCCCGCAAGCAGAATCGGACTGCAGCGGTGATTTCCCCCTTTGTGCCCACGAATGGTGCAAACCTCTATTTTTCCTAGGGAAAAAATTGGGGGGACTCACCACGAAGTTTGTTTGTTTATTGAGGGCCCCATCTCAGTGCCACCCAGGCGGTGGAGAAATCTAAGATGCGGTTACTGTATTTTTTGCTCTATAAGACTCACTTTTTCCCTCCTAAAAAGTAAGGGGAAATGTGTGTGCGTCTTATGGAGCAAATGCAGGCTGCGCAGCTATCCCAGAAGCCAGAACAGCGAGAGGGATTGCTGCTTTCGCTGCGCAGCGATCCCTCTTGCTGTTCTGGCTTCTGAGATTCAGAATATTTTTTTTCTTGTTTTCCTCCTCCAAAAACTAGGTGCGTCTTGCGGTCTGGTGCGTCTTATAGAGCGAAAAATACGGTAATAAACTCTAGGAGACAACGATCAGCATTGGACAGGGCCTCAGCTTTACCGTTTACAGATATAGGTGGGACATTAGGTGTATTAAAAGAAGGAGGATGAGGAAGAATTATTTGGTTTTTAGAAAGTTAAGGGAACTCAATTCACCCTGAGTTCCTGCTCCAAAAATAATAACCCCGGTGCAATCCATGTGAGTTTGTCAGGGACTGTGGGAAATAGATGACTCATCAGAGCACGTTGGAGTGATTCTGCAATTACAGGATTCTGCGATTGCGAAGGAAGGGAGTTGAGGATTCAAGTAGGCTGATGTTTACATGGTCTCCAGGTAATGCAAGGCGACGTTTAGGACTGGCAAAAGGAACTGGATATTATTGGGCTGGAGACAGTGTCTCTCTGTGTTTTGGGGCCGTTGCAGGAATCCTAAGATGTCAAAACGATAAAATAAATGTTCATAAATACACGGGGTATTCTGAAATGCAACGCCGAAGCCATTTTTGACTATCTTAAATGACCCCGCAGTAGAAGGAATTATCTGGGGAGGAATAGGTTTTGCTTTTGTTTGCAATATGTCAGTCTTGGTAAATAAATAAACTGCTATAAGCTGCTTGGGATGAACTGCAAAACCGGTCCAGAAAGTATCTTTTAAGCAGAGCAGGCAGACCGCAGAGCATCTTCTGTCCATCAATCGGTGTAAATTTGTGAGCGGGATTCAAAAGGATGATCCAAAATGGTCAAGTCAGGGCAATCAGCAAACATTTACAGATCTCTTGGCAGGCAGGAGAGAAGCCAGATGCTCAAATTTCCGTTGTAGATGGCCTTTTTCTGCGACACCATACTCTCCAACATTTCTCCAATGAAAAATAAACCCTCCCTATACAGGGCTATAGGGACGAGGGTGGCGCTGTGGGTAAAACCTCAGTGCCTAGGACTTGCCGATCGTATGGTCGGCGGTTCGAATCCCCGTGGTGGGGTGAGCTCCCGTCTTTCGGTCCCAGCTCCTGCCCACCTAGCAGTTCGAAAGCACCTCTAAGTGCAAGTAGATAAATAGGTACCGCTTTATAGCGGGAAGGTAAACGGCGTTTCCGTGTGCTGCGCTGGTGCTGGCTCGCCAGAGCAGCTTCGTCACGCTGGCCACGTGACCCGGAAGTGTCTGCGGACAGCGCTGGCCCCCGGCCTCTTAAGTGAGATGAGCGCACAACCCTAGAGTCGGACATGACTGGCCCGTACGGGCAGGGGTACCTTTACCTAAATGACCCCGCAGTAGAAGGAATTACCTGGGGAAGAATGTCTTCCCACATAGGTTTTGTTTTCAATATGTCAGTCTTGGTAAATAAATAAACTGCTATAAGCTGCTTGGGATGAACTGCAAAACCGGTCCGGCAAGTATCTTTTAAGCAGAGCAGGCAGTCCGCAGAGCATCTTCTGTCCATCAATCGGTGTAAATTTATGAGCAGGATTCGAAAGGATGACCCAGAATGGTCAAGTCAGGGCAATCAGCAAACATTTACAGATCTCTTGGCAGGCAGAAGAGAAGCCAGACGCTCAAATTTCCGTTGTAGACGGCCTTTTTCTGCGACACCATACTCTCCAACGTTTCTCCAATGAAACTACAGTGGTACCTCGGGTTAAGTACTTAATTCGTTCCGGAGGTCCGTACTTAACCTGAAACTGTTCTTAACCTAATGGGGCCTCCCGCTGCTGCCGCCGCCGCACAATTTCTGTTCTCATCCTGAAGCAAAGTTCTTAACCTGAAGCACTATTTCTGGGTTAGCGGAGTCTGTAACCTGAAGCATATGTAACCCGAGGTACCACTATAAACCCTCCCTATACAGGGCTAAGGGAAGCGGGTGGCGCTATGGTCTAAACCACTGAGCCTCTTGGGCTTGCTGATCAGAAGGTTGGCGGTTCGAATCCCCGCAATGACGGGGTGAGCTCCTGTTGCTCGGTTCCTGCTCCTGCCAACCTAGCAGTTCGAAAGCACGTCAAAATGCAAGTAGATAAATAGGTACCGCTCCGACGGGAAGGTAAACGGTAAATGGCATTTCTGTGTGCTGCTCTGGTTCGTGCAGGAAAGAAAAAAAATAGTTTTAATTTTTATCATCTACAATACTGTCTTATTTATTTTACAGTTCAGTGCATTGATGACTGATTTCGTTTTGTGGATCAATGGTCTCATTGGACAGCAAAATTCATGTCCAGTTGCTGTTTTAGGGGTTGTTTTTCAAAGTCTGGAACGGATTAATCCGTTTTGCATTGCTTTCTATGGGAAAGCCCGCTTTAGTTTTGGAACGCTTTGGTTTTGGAACGGAATTTCCAGAACTGATTAAGTTTGAGAATCGAGGGACCACTGTATTTTATTTTATTTTTAAATGCAACATACAGAGTCTTCTAAAGGAAACATACACCCCGACAGCCCACCTCCAGCTGAGACACTGAGTCCATCCATTTTCCCCTTGTTTTATGAGGCATGCCGGGGACAGATTGAAATTTGCCTATTCAAAGGACTGGCTAAACATCAAAGAGAAAAATTATCCTGCAGAATAAATGCCTTCTCTGTTTACCAGAATCTTCCAGGTCCGTGTGTGTGTGTGTGTGTGAAATTCTCAGTTCAAAGATCTCCAGAATTCTTTTGCTGGGATTCCTCCATTGCAGGGGTCAGACTGGATGACCTCTGGAGGGTCCCATTCAATTCCGCAATTCTAGGATTCTACGAAATGCTGTTACAGCAGCTTGAAAGCAGCATAAGGTGGGACCCAGTTTTTAACATTGTTAAAAACGCCCATTTTCCCATAAACCTGTTAGGCTAGTTTATACGTTCAGCATCCTTTCTGGAATAAGTTAACTTAATGGACCAACTTTTCTCTCTATTATTTTTATTATTATCTTTATTGCATTTTTTAAAAATTACAGAGAAAGCATGAATTAAGCATGACATCCAAATATTCAAAAAGAAAAAGAAAAATATACGGAAAAAGTAAAAATATAAAAAGGAAAGGAAAAGGAAAAAGAAAGAAAAATGATAAATAATAAAAAACGAAAAAGAACGAGTTGAGCGCACAAAATTGTTCAAAGGATACAAAGTGAAATGCTGAAACGAGCTTTCGGTATTCGCGAAAGATAAGCGGAATATTGTGTAGAATGCGTCAACTATATGGTTCTTTTCGTCGCTGCTGCTAAGGGGTGGCGAATCTGACCCAAATACATGACTGGTGCAGTCTGTCTAATCTACCTCTCTGTCCATCTCTTTAATTTCTAGGGACCAAAATGGCCAGCCAAGATGATTCCAAATCCCAACAAGGTAGCTGAGAACTTGAGCTTGCTTCTTTCCTCTTCCCTCCCAAACTGCTTTCCATTTATGTCATGGTTTTTTACATTGTAAGCCTGAGGATTCCTTCCTTCCTTCCTTCCTTCCTTCCTTCCTTCCTTCCTTCCTTCCTTCCTTCCTTCCCCTCTCCCTCTTTCTTTCTTTCTTTCTTTCTTTCTTTCTTTCGTTCTCTCTTTCTCTCTTTCTCTCTTTCTCTCTTTTCCCCTTCCTTCCTCCCCCCTCTCTCCCCCTCTCCCTCTTTCTTTCTTTCTCTTTCTTCCTTCCTCTCTCTCTCTCCCTCTCCCTCTCCCTCTTTCTTTCTTTCTTTCACTCTTTTCCCCTTCCTTCCTCCCCCCTCTCTTCCCCTCTCCCTCTTTCTTTCTTTCTCTTTCTTTCTTTCTTTCTTTCTTTCTTTCTTTCTTTCTTTCTTTCTTTCTTTCTTTCTCTCTTTTTTCCTTCCTTCCTTCCTTCCTTCCTTCCTTCCTTCCTTCCTTCCTTCCTTCCTCTCTTTCTCTCTTTCACGATTTGTAAGCCACTCTGAAAGCCATCTGTGACTGAAGAGTGGGATTTTTAAAAAACAAAAAGAATAATAAGAACCAGTCTTTAAATTACGTATATTAAGAGTGAGACAGAGACCTAGCAAACGGTCTCTGTGAACCTCAAACTAAGCGCTCCAGATTAATTGGAGGGGTGGGGGTTCTGGAGCTCTCGCGATATCCCAGGGTTCTAGACTCCTGTCTGCTTTGGTTTATAGACCTCACTTGCTATTTCAGGGTACTAGGCTCATTTGTGCTCTGGACATCCATTTCCCCCTTTACGGTTCTAGGTGCCTCTTGGGTTCTAGATCTCTCTAGCTGTGTTCCCGGCATCTCTTTTCTATCATGGGGTTCTAGACTGCTCTCTGCAAACAGTGCTACCTCTGAGGTCTTCTTCCCTACCTCTCTTTGTCCAGATTTCACCTGGATCGTGAAGGCGAACGACCGGGCATACCACGAGCAGTTTCACACGACCTACGCCTGGTGTCTGAAGAAGAAAAAATATGCTGTAAGGAAATGGAACCTCTGTTTTACTGATCTTGTAGCTTATGGCAAGTCCAGTTCCGTCCCCTTCCCCAAAGCCTCGGTGCTTACTGCAAATTATATTTCCTTTTCTTAAGCAGCAGAGTCACTGCAGCTTGGACAAAGCATGACTCGGTTCTAGAAGGGGCCGACCTAAGCGTTAGGCAACCTGCAGTAACAAAATCCTTAATAATAATAATAATTTATTTATAGCCCGCACATCTGGCTGAGTTTCCCCAGCCACTCTGGGCGGCTCCCAATCAAGTGTTAAAAACAGTCCAGCGTTAAATATTAAAAACTTCCCTAAACAGGGCTGCCTTCAGATGTCTTTTAAAGATAGGATAGCTGCTTATTTCCTTCACATCTGAAGGGAGGGTGTTCCACAGGGCGGGCGCCACTACCGAGAAGGCCCTCTGTCTGGTTCCCTGTAACCTCACTTCTCGCAATGAGGGAACCGCCAGAAGGCCCTCGGAGCTGGACCTCAGTGTCCGGGCAGAACGATAGGGGTGGAGACGCTCCTTCAGGGATACTGGACCGAGGCCATTTAGGGCTTTCAAGGTCAGCCCCAACACTTTGAATTTTGCTCGGAAACGTACTGGGAGCCAATGCAGATCTCTCAGAACCGGTGTTATGTGGTCCTGGCGGCCACTCCCAGTCACCAGTCTAGCTGCCGCATTCTGGATTAATTGCAGTTTCCGGGTCACCTTCAAAGGTAGCCCCACATAGAGTGCATTGCAGTAGTCCAAGCGGGAGATAACCAGAGCATGCACCACTCTGGCCAGACAGTCTGCGGGCAGGGAGGGTCTCATCCTGCGTCCCAGATGGAGCTGCCCTGGACACAGAATTGACCTGCTCCTCCATGGACAGCGCTGAGTCCGGAATGACTTTCAGACTGCGCTCCTGGTCCTTCAGGGGCTCAGTTACCCCATTCAGGACCAGGGAATCCCCCACCCCTGCCCGCCCCCTGTCCTCCCCAATATTGATTTATTGATTTATTAGATTCATATACCCAGTGCTTTTCTTCTGGTGGGATGCAAGGGCACGCATGCCCCTAAACATTTTGCGAATCTAACGGGAGAAGAAACTAAACAAAATTAAATTTTTAGTTTCTTCTCTAGCACAGTGAATCGCCAGTTCCGTTGCTACGCCCGATGGCGGCCTTTTGCTATATTTATTTTCCCCCATTTGAACTATAAAATGGTGGTTTTCTTAAGTCAAAATGAGACTACCCCTAATTTTATTTTTTTTTAGAAAAAAGCACTACGTATTATCTCCCTTCATCCAAAGTTCTCAGGGCGGTTGACAGAATAAAATACAGGATAAAAACAAGTAAATAAGTAAAAACGAAACAGCAAAACAATATCTTCCCTCTTCCCATAGACACATTTAAAAGGCTGTAGAATATTAATCAGACCAAAGTCCTGGTTGAAGAGGAACGTTTTTCACCTGGCGTCTAAAAATATATAATGATGGCGTTGGGCGAACCTCCCTGGTGAGAGAATCCCACTAACTTCTCAGTATTAGTTGCCTTCTCTCATTTTAGAGCTGCAAGGTGCTGATATGTACAGTCGCAATCGAAATGATTTTAAAAAACCCCATTGCAAATCAGGTTAATTATCTAAATTTACAGACTCAGCTGTTTGCAACGAGTAAGTCGAACAGAAGTCACTGAAACAGTTGGACACAATGGAACGCTTTGAGCCGTTTCCCTCCAAATTCAGCAGAAAACGCAACTTGGATCGTCTCCTTGCAAACATCCGAAAGTCTGTCTCTTTTATGACTGGGTACACAATTTTCTCCTCTTAGGCAAAGACCATAAGACGACCTGGTTGGTCGCTAGATTCTGCGTGCAGATTTGCAGGCGCAGACCACCCCCCAAAATAAATTAGTTCGCAAGGAAAACAGTCAAAGTAGGCCCCCAGGGCCAATTTGTACGGTAGCCCAAATTTTTAGGTCTTTATGTGTTTATGCTCTTATCCTAGATTTTAATCTTTCAGCTGTTGTTGTACACTGCTTTCAAAGTCTATTTTATTCCTGTGAAAGCAGTCCCAGTTGTGCTTTTTGAGCTTGTATTTGACCGTGATAAGTTATGATGATGAACAGCCGAAAGTCTGCAAATTTCGATTTGCCATGGGGGTGTTGAATAATTTCGATTGCAACCGTCGATTTTGAAGAGAGAAAATACAAGACTTGCTGATCCCATTCCTGCTTCCTTCTGGTGGATTTTGGGAGCGCACAGTTTTTCCTCCGTTCCCCCAACTGATTTGATAACTGTGTCCAGGGCAGCTGTTTACCAGCTCCATCTGGTACATAGGCTGAGACCCTATCTGCCTGCAGACTGCCTCGCCGGAGTGGTGCATGCTCTGGTTATCTCCCGCTTGGACTACTGCAATGTGCTCTACGTGGGGCTACCTTTGAAGGCGACTCAGAAACTGCAACTAATCCAGAATGCAGCAGCCAGACTGGTGACTGGGAGCGGCCGCCGAGACCATATAACACTGGTCTTGAAAGACCTACATTGGCTCCCAGTATGTTTCCGAGCACAATTCAAAGTGTCGGTGCTGACCTTGAAAGCCCTAAACGGCCTCGGCCCAGTATCCCTGAAGGAGAGTCTCCACCCCGGACACCTGGGTCCATCTCCCAAGGGCCTTCTGGTGGTTCCCTCACTGCGAGAAGCCAAGTTACAGGGAACCAGGCAGAGGGCCTTCTCGGTGGTGGCGCCCGCCCTGTGGAACGCCCTCCCACCAGATGTCAAAGAGAACAACAACTACCAGACTTTTAGAAGACATCTGTAGGCAGCTCTCTGTTTAGGGAAGCTTTTAATGTTTGATGTATTACAGTATTTTAATATTTTTTTGGAAGCCGCCCAGAGTGGCTGGGGAAGCCCAGCCAGATGGGCGGGGTATAAATAATAAATTATTATTATTATTATTATTATTATTATTATTATTAACTCGAATAAGTCTCAGAACACACACCTTTATTTTTATTTGTTTGTCCTCCCACCTTTGTGTTCAGGGCAACGGCATCAAGACGGCCAAGTATAACGTCCTCACTTTTCTCCCGCTTAACTTGTACGAACAACTTCATCGGCTGGTTAATATATACTTCATCTTCATCATCCTCCTGCAGGTAAGGGGCTTCTCATGTATTTGGGAATGGGGGTGTCCCAAAGTGGAATTCTGGAGCAAGCCAATGGGTTGTGTGTGTGTCAGTGACCCCTAGCGCCTATTGCTTCAAGCATCAAGACTCAGTGATCTTCAAAGAAACAGATCTAAAATACAGCGGTACCTTGGTTTTCGAACATCTCCGTTGACGAACATTTCGGTTTATGAATGCCGTAAACCCGGAAGTACAGTGGTACCTTGCTTCTCAAACTTAATCCGTTCTCGGAGCCTGTTCCAAAACCAAAGCGTTCCAAAACCGAGGCGCGCTTTCCCATAGGAAGTAACGCAAAATGGATTAATCCGTTCCAGACTTTTAAAAACAGCCATTTAACGTTAACTTTACTATCTAACAAGACCACTGATCCATAGAATGAAAGCAATAGTCAATGTGCTGTAAAGGTAAAGATAAAGGGACCCTTAACCGTTAGGTCCAGTCGTGGCCGACTCTGGGGTTGCGGCGCTCATCTCGCTTTATTGGCTGAGGGAGCCGGCGCACAGCTTCCGGATCATGAGGCCAGCAGGACTGAGCCGCTTCTGGCGAACCAGAGCAGCGCACGGAAATGCCGTTTACCTTCCCACCGGAGCGGTACCTATTTATCTACTTGCACTTTGACGTGCTTTCGAACTGCTAAGTTGGCAGGAGCAGGGAGCTCACCCCGTCGCGGGGATTTGAACCGCCGACCTTCTGATCGGCAAGTCCTAGGTTCTGTGGTTTAAATAAGACAGTATTGTAGATGATAAAAATTAAAACTAATTCCCCCCCCCTTACCTGGACCGATGACGGTCATTGTTTGGATGGGGGGCTTTTATCCGTTTCTGCAGTCACTCAGTCAATCAATCAATCAGTAGCTGAACTGGGTTCCACACCATTGTGAGAAATTTCCAAATATTCATTGTTCCTGGCCTGTCTTCTGTTTCAGACTGTCCCCCAGATCTCCACGCTTCCTTGGTTTGCTCTCCTCTTCCCCCTCACGCTCCTGCTTTCCATCAGAGGCGTCCGAGACCTGATTGATGACATTGTAAGTATGGGTTGGCACATTGGGGACCCCTCATAGATCTCTCGCCTACAAATTTAATCTTTTCAGGGCTCCCTTTTCAGACAATATAAGAACAAGGCTTTTAGTGCTTTTAGTTGGAGGCTGGATGGCGGCTAATGGATTGAGCTTGAATCCTGACAAGACAGGAGTACTGTTTTGGGGGGACAGGGGACGGGTGGGTGTGGGGACTCCCTGGTCCTGAATGGGGTGATTGTGCCCCTGAAGGACCAGGTGCGCAGCCTGGGGGTCATTTTGGACTCACAGCTGTCCATGGAGGCACAGGTCAGTTCTGTGTCCAGGGTAGGTCCATCTGGTGCGCAGGATGAGACCCTCCCTGCCCGCGGACTGTCTGGCCAGAGTGGTGCATGCTCTGGTTATCCCTCGCTTGGACTACTGCCATGCGCTTTCCGTGGGGCTGCCTTTGAAGGTGACCTGGAAACTAGAACTAATTCAGAATGCGGCAGCCAGACTGGGGACTGGGAGACCACATAACACCAGTCCTGAAAGGACCTACATTGGCTCCCAGGACGTTTCTGAGCACAATTCAAAGTGTTGGTGCTGACCTTGAAAGCCCTAAATGGCCTCGGTCCAGTATACCTGCAGGAACGTCTCCACCCCCATCGTCCAGCCCAGACACCGGGGTCCATCTCCTGAGGGCCTTCTGGCGGTTCCCTCCCTGCGAAAAGCGACTTTACAGCAAACCTGGCAGAGGGCCTTCTCGGTGGTGGTACCCTCCCATCAGATGTCAAGGAAATAAACAACTACCAGACTTATAGAAGACATCTGAAGGCAGCCCTGTTTAGGGAATCTTTTAATGATTAATAGACTATTGTATTTTAATATTTTGTTGGAATCCACCCAGAGTGGCTGGGGAAACCCCACCAGATAGGAGGGGTATAAGTTGTGGTTGTTGTTGTTAGTCTGCACGTCCTGGGAATTTATGTAGGACAGGCAGGATAAACCTGGCCTGTATGTCTATATAGTAAGGTAAAGGGACCCCTGACCATTAGGTCCAGTCGTGGCCGACTCTGGGGTTGCGGCGCTCATCTCGCTTTACTGGCCGAGGGAGCCGGCGTACAGCTTCTGGGTCATGTGGCCAGCAGGACTAAGCCGCTTCTGGCGAACCAGAGCAGCGCACAGAAACGCCGTTTACCTTCCCGCCGGAGCGGTACCTATTGATCTACTTGCACTTTGACGTGCTTCCGAACTGCTAGGTTGGCAGGAGCAGGGACCGAGCAACGGGAGCTCAGCCCGCTGCGGGGATTCGAACCGCTGACCTTCTGATCGGCAAGTCCTAGGCTCTGTGGTTTAACCCACAGCGCCACCCGCGTCCCTTGTCTATATAGTACTGGCAATGGAAATAACCGTTTTCTCTCCTCCTTTCACTCCGCAGGGCCGGCATCGTAGCGACTGGGAGATCAACAGCCGCCCCTGCGAGATTTTGACGGGGAAAAGGTGAGAAGAGCTAGAAGAGAAGGGTAGGGGTCTTCCGTGTTGCCAGGTGCCCGTTAGGGGAAGCCCCCCAGCGGCTGGCATTCAGGGGGCATTGACTGTCTTGAGAGTGGACCACCCCCTGCCCTTCACCCTCGCTCTCCTTTACAGCTGCTCAGCTCCACGGAGGTCCTCTGCGGCAAGTGTGGGGCTGAACAGTTGAGCCCCACGGTGGGGGGGGGGAGGGTGTCAAGCCACAGCATGAGCCTCTTTCCTTTCGTGTGCACGGCTGGCTCCTGAAGGCAGCTGATTCTCACTCCTTGTTCCCTCCAACCCAGTTTCATCCAGAAGAAATGGCGGGATATCTGCGTGGGTGATATCGTCTGCCTCCGTAAGGACAGCATTGTGCCTGTAAGTTCCTTCCTCCCCTTCCTTCCTTCCTTCCTTCCTTCCTTCCTTCCTTCCTTCCCTCCTTCCCTCCCTTTCTCCTTCATTCCTTTGTTCCTTTGTTCGTACATTCGTTTGTTTCTTCCCTCCTTCCCTCCCTTTCTCCTTCGTTCCTTCATTTGTTCATTCATTCGTTGGTTTCTTCCCTCCTTCCTTCCTTCTCTCTCCCCTTCCTTCCTTCCTTCCTTCCTTCCTTCCTCCCTCCCTCCCTTCTTTCCTCCCTTCCTCCCTCCCTCCCTCCCTCCCTCCCTCCCTCCCTCCTTCCTTCCTTCCTTCCTTCCTTCCTTCCTTCCTTCCTTCCTTCCCTCCTTCCCTCCCTTTCTCCTTCCTTCCTTCCTTCCTTCCTTCCTTCCTTCCTTCCTTTCTTCCTTCCCTCCCTCCCTCCCTTTCTTGGTGGATGGCTGAAAGGATGCCTGAATTTACTCTGGGAAAGAGGTCCATGGCTGCTTTGGCCCAATTGGCCAGTCCGTGGGCGATAGTTCCCAACCCCCTGCGCTATTTACAACTGCTCAGCCCACCAGGGAGCCTGTCTTAGGTGTTCTGCTCTCGATTTCTGCAGGCGGACCTCCTCTTGCTCTCCAGCACTGAGCCAAACAGCCTCTGCTACGTGGAGACGATGGACATTGACGGGTAAGGCTGCTTCTTACGTTGTTTTCTTCTTTTTAAGCCATCGCTGCCATTCTGGGCTGGGGTTGGGCGCTCCTCTGTGCACCTCCCTCTACCTGAGAGAATTTCCCCTATAAACAAATCCCTGTAAATGAATAGGCTCATCGTTCACAGACGGCCTGCAGTTCCCCCCCACTGATAAATTCCCTCTCCATCCTTCTTTTGCAGAGAGACCAACCTGAAGTACCGGCAAGCTCTCTTGGTGACGCATGAGCAGTTGACCAACGATGGGAGCATGGCTGCTTTTGACGGTGAGTGTCAATCGCCAGAACCTCCAAATAGAAGGGGAAGAAATGGAGGCAGTGAGAGATTTTACTTTCTTGGGCTCCATGATCACTGCAGATGGTGACAGCAGCCACGAAATTAAAAGACGCCTGCTTCTTGGGAGAAAAGCAATGACAAACCTAGACAGCATCTTAAAAAGCAGAGACATCTCCTTGCCAACAAAGGTCCGTATAGTTCAAGCTCTGGTTTTCCCAGTAGTGATGTATGGAAGTGAGAGCTGGACCATCAAGAAGGCTGATCGCCGAAGAATGGATGCTTTTGAATTCTGGTGCTGGAGGAGACTCTTGAGAGTCCCATGGACTGCAAGAAGATCAAACCTCTCCATTCGGAAGGAAATCAGCCCTGAGTGCTCACTGGAAGGACAGATCCTGAAGCTGAGGCTGCAAGACTTTGGCCACCTCAGGAGAAGAGAAGACTCCCTGGAAAAGACCCTGATGTTGGGAAAGATGGAGGGCACAAGGAGAAGGGGACGACGGAGGACGAGATGGTGGGACAGTGTTCTCGAAGCTACCAGCATGAGTTTGACCAAACTGCGGGAGGCAGTGGAAGACAGGAGTGCCTGGCGTGCTCTGGTCCAGGGGGTCACGAAGAGGCGGACACCACTAAACGACTGAACAACAACAACTTTTCGTTCTCAAAAGTTTTCCACTGGTGTTTAGCGCTTTATATCGTTGATTCCTTGAAATGTGTGTGCGTGTGTTTTCTGCTTTGTGGTTTTCTTAAACTTGATATTTAGTCCAGCTAAGTCAAATCATTATCATCATCATCATCTTTGGCAATCACTCATAGCCGAGTAATAATAATAATAATAATAATAATAATAATAATAATTTATTTATACCCCGCCCATCTGGCTGGGCTTCCCCAGCTACAGTAATACATCAAACATTAAAAGCTTCCCTAAACAGGGCTGCCTTCAGGTGTCTTCTAAAAGTCTGGTAGTTCTTTATCTCCTTGACATCTGGTGGGAGGGCGTTCCACAGGGCGGGCGCCACCACCGAGAAGGCCCTCTGCCTGGTTCCCTGTAACTTGGCTTCTCGTAGTGAGGGAACTGCCAGAAGGCCCTCTGAACTGGACCTCAGTGTCCGGGTAATAATAATAATAATAATAATATATTCAATTTATACACCAGCCTCTACCTGGAGGTCTCAGGGCTGTTCACAAACAAAATCATAATATATAAAATCAAAGCAAAAACAATAACCCAATTGGAAACCCCCCGCAAAAGAGCCACATTCTAAAAGGGTTTTGAATGTCAATAAGTTCAAGCAAAGGCCTGGTTAAAAAGGAACATTTATGCCAGGCGCCTAAAGGTGTATAATGAAGGCAACAGGCAAACTTCCCAGGGGAGAGCATTCCACAGACGGGGAGCCACTGCAGAGAAGGCCCCGCTCTCGTGTTGCCACCCTCTGCACCTCTCGAGTAGACGGCACACGAAGGAGGGCCTTGGAAGATGATCTGTTGGGAGCCACCCGGAGTGGCTGGGGAAATCCAGCCAGATGAGCAGGGTATAAATTATTATTATTATTATTATTATTATTATTATTATTACTAATGATTGCATGTCGCAGAAGGAAAGAAGGAGTCTCTGGACAGCAGAAAGACAAAACTTGATTTTTTGCCTCTCCTTTTTCTAAACTCCACAGGGGTAATCACTTGCGAGGAGCCGAACAGCCGGATGCACAGTTTTGTGGGGACGTTGGATTGGCACGGAGAGAAATATTCCCTTGACAGCGAGAAACTCCTGTTGCGGGGCTGCAAGGTGCGCAACACAGAGGCCTGCTACGGCCTCGTCATCTACGCAGGTGAGCTGAGCCCTGGCTTTGCAGCATGGCTTTATCTACCTACTTCATTGGTTTCGATTTGTTCAGCGCTTTTCTCACAGAGGGTCCCCAAAACGCCCACCTTAAAAACCCATCTTCCCTTGGAAGGTTCAGGGCAGCCAAGAGAAATCCCTTCATGCAAGTTAACCTGTGGAACTCACTTCCACAGGGAGCAGCGATGCTCCCTGACTTAAAAAGAGGGTTACGCAACGTACAGATTTTTTTTAAAAAATTATTGCAAGGGATTCCTGCAAATCTAAGGCATTCATGCTGGTATATTCCTTTTTATGCACGCTTTTACTTAACAACACGCTTTTCATAAATGTCGGTGGTTTGGAGAGGTGCATCGCAAAATTCGGATCAGTGCAAATTTCGGGGGGAGGGGCAGATCTCACGCTGTTTCAGAAAGGGTGAATTTGCTAGATTTGCCCCCATCCAGATTCTCCCCCTCGTCCCTATGCAGAGTAGACCCATTGGAATGAATGGACACGGCTAACTTAGGTCCGTTTATTTAAAAGGGTTCGCTGTGAGTCGAGCGTAGTTGGCTACAATCTATGTACAGCCCTGATATTTTGTGAAAGTACAGAAATACTTTATATATATCTTAAAAAGCAGAGACATCACCTTGCCAACAAAGGTCCGTATAGTTAAAGCCAAGGTTTTCCCAGTAGTGATGTATGGAAGTGAGAGCTGGACCATATAGAAAGCTGATCGCCGAAGAACGGATGCTTTTGAATTCTGGTGCTGGAGGAAACTCTTGAGAGTCCCATGGACTGCAAGAAGATCAGACCTCTCCATCATTAAGGAAATCAGCCCTGAGTGCTCACTGGAAGGACAGGTCCTGCAGCTGAGGCTCCAATACTTTGGCCACCTCATGAGAAGAGAAGACTCCCTGGAAAAGACCCTGATGTTGGGAAAGATGGAGGGCGCAAGGAGAAGGGGATGACGGAGGAAGAGATGGTGGGACAGTGTTCTCGAAGCTACAAACATGAGTCTGACCAAACTGCGGGAGGCGGTGGAAGACAGGAGGGCCTGGCGTGCTCTGGTCCAGGGGGTCACAAAGAGGCGGACACCACTAAACGACTAAACAACAACAACATATATAAAGTTAGGCCCCTGGCGATGCTACAATGTTGGTGTGCCTATCCTGAGCTGAGCTTTGCAACAGACGTTGCCGAAACGTCTTTTCCTGTGCCGAAATTCCGCAACATAAAGGCGCTATTCTTCCTCCTTTTCCCCTCTCAACCCTGTGCCCTGGGCTGACTTCTGAAAGCAGGAAGCATTAAGAAACTCGCCGTACCAGTTTTCCCCAGGCCTTTAGTGACGCCTAATCTCACGACAGATCTCTGGCCACACCGGGTAACAGCAGCAGCAGTGCGGAGGCAGTTTAGGAAAGATTACGAGTTGGTTTGACACGGTTTCTTGACACACACACAAGAGAGAAGCAGCTGCGTTGGTCCGGGGTAGCCAAAGTCCCGCCCTGCAAATTATTATTAATTATTATAATTATCATTGTGGGACTACAACTCCCATCGTCCATTTCCACTCTCCCACTGAGCGTGCTAAAAGGTAAAGGGACCCCTGACCATTAGGTTCAGTCGTGGCCGACTCTGGGGTTGTGGCGCTCATCTCGCTTTATTGGCCGAGGGAGCCGGCGTGCAGCTTCCGGGTCATGTGGCCAGCAGGACTAAGCCGCTTCTGGCGAACCAGAGCAGCGCACGGAAACGCCGTTTACCTTCCCGCCAGAGTGGTACCTATTTATCTACTTGCACTTGGATGTGCTTCCGAACTGCTAGGTGGGCAGGAGCAGGGACCGAGCAACGGGAGCGCACCCCGTCATTGCGGGGATTTGAACTGCCAACCTTCTGATCGGCAAGTCCTAGGCTCTGTGGTTTAACCCACAGCACCACCCGGGTCCCACTGAGCATACTAGAGCCCTCGAAAAGTCACAAGCGCTCCCTGCTTTCTTGGAGTTGAAGTTGCACAGTGCAAAGATGGAGTTTGCAAAAACACCCTCCACAGACTTGGCTGAGTGTCAGGCCTAATGAGCGGAGCAGCTCTTTCCTCCATGAACATCAGTTATAGAGATCGATAGTCCCTGCCTCCTCCCCAGGGCTTTTTCCAAGCAATCGGAGACTGCGCCTGAATGCAGCCAACGTCTCCTCCGCCCTTTTCATGCCTCTCCTGGTTCTAGGTTGTCGCAGAAAGAGGGGAGACATCTGTGCCTCTTCCCCAGCCAAACACATCTCCACCTCTTGGCCTCCCTCCTCTCCAGGCTTCTGTGTCCTCTCTTTGTTTTTAAAGTTTTCATTTTTACTTTTCAAGTTTATATATTTCATTAGTTTTGCAGCCAATTTTCACAGAAGAAACGTTGGAGGGGGTGGAATAGGACGTCCCTATTTCAGGGGAGAAACGTTGGAGGGGATGGAATAGGACGTCCCTATTTTTATGGGAGAAATGTTGGAGGGGATGGAATAGGACGTCCCTCTTTTCATGGGAGAAACGTTGGAGGGGATGGAATAGGACGTCCCTATTTTCATCAGAGAATTGTATTCAAACGTCTCTCCTCCGCAGGCTTTGATTCCAAAATCATGAAAAACTGTGGGAAAATCAAGTTGAAGAAGACCAAACTCAGCCATCTAATGGATCGCTTGGTGCTACTGGTAAAAATATTTGGCTGTCCCTCCCTGATATTTGTGTGTAGCTCCTCACCCATGGGAGTGGAAGTTTTCTTTTCTTTTCTTTTCTTTTCTTTTCTTTTCTTCTCTTCTCTTCTCTTCTCTTCTCTTCTCTTCTCTTCTCTTCTCTTCTCTTCTCTTCTTTCTTTTTCTTTTTACAAAGTAATAATCAGAAATAAAGAAGAATAAAAATGTGCATTCCACCACCGAGACCATTCCGTCGTAACTATCCAACCTCCCAAAATTTCAACACCTCTTGTGGCGGTTTGACCCCTTTTCCATTTTAACAGTACAAATTCTGCAAACACGCTCCATATCTCCTTAAAAAAAAATTCTCCTGTGTATTCCTCCTCTTACCTTAATAGCACATGTTAATTTATCATGAAGCACTCTATTCCACACCTCTTTGTACCATTCTTCCATTTCATATTCTGCTTGCCCCTTCCATTTCCTAGCTATAATAATTTGTGCAGCTGTCTATAAATATGTGAGCAAGTCCGTCCTAGCCTGCGAACCTTCCATCCCATCGTAAATTGATAATAATGCTACCTCTGGGCTTTTGGTCAGCTTTGACCCAGTGATTTCTGTTCTCTCCTTAAACACCCCTTTGCCAACAAAAATTGGCACCCCCACCACATGTGAACATAATTCCCTGTTTTGTGGCATCCCCTCCAACATAACGCCGGACATTCCTTGTTTATTTGATTTAATCTGACTGGTGTTATGTACCACCTCCAAACTAATTTATACAGTGGTGCCTCGCAAGACGAAAAGAATCCGTTCCACGAGTCTCTTCGTCTTGCGGTTTTTTCGTCTTGCGAAGCAAGCCCATTAACGGATTAGCGGATTAGCGCTATTAGCGGCTTAGCGGGCTTAGCGGATCAGCTGATAAGCGGCTTAGCGGCTTAGCGGATCAGCTGATAAGCGGCTTAGCAGCTTGGGAAAAAGGGGGGGGAGGAAAAAAAACCCGCAGGAACTCTCAAGACATTTTCGTCTTGCGAAGCAAGCCCATAGGAAATTCATTTTGCGAAGCACCTCCATAACGGAAAACCCTTTCGTCTAGCGGGTTTTCCGTCTTGCGAGGCATTCGTCTTGCGGGGCACCACTGTAACAATTTCCTTTTATTCTTGTAGACAGCATTTTCAACCTATGTTTCTCTCCTATTTCCCCATTCCAGCTTTGACTATCTGTCTGCCCTATTGTCTCCTTTTCCCACAACTGTTTTATTTGGGGAGTTTGCTTTCCTAAAAACAAAAAAACCCCGAGAGTTTCTGGAAGTTAGGAAGAGAAGAAGCTATCTCTATCAGGGAGGGCAATTTAAAACTTAAGGCTGCTCTACTGCTGACTCAGGACCCTTCCCTGCTTGGGCGTGTTCCCTAGAGATAGGAAGATTACAGCTCTCGTGGTTCTGATTTAAATAGGAACATGCAGAGTCAGATTTAAGCTCAATATTGTCCAGCCCTACCTGGAAATGCCGGCGATGGAACGTGGGGCCTTCTGCATGCTCTACTGCTGAGCTATGGGCCTCCCCATTTCAAAGGGGTCAGTCCTTGCAGGAGCCTTCCACCTAACCTAGAGCCCTCCAAGCACTACGGAGGCTGCCAGCCTGGAGATGGAGATGGAAACCAGGACGTTCTGCATTCAAAGCAACTGACACAAGGAGTTGTATACCCTCCAACGTTTCTCCCCTGAAAATAGGGACGTCCTATTCCATCCCCAACAACGTTTCTCCCCTGAAAATAGGGACGTCCTATTCCATCCCCAACAACGTTTCTCCCCTGAAAATAGGGACGTCCTATTCCATCCCCAACAACGTTTCTCCCCTGAAAATAGGGACATCCTATTCCATCCCCTCCAACGTTTCTCCCCTGAAAATAGGGACATCCTATTCCATCCCCAACAACGTTTCTCCCCTGAAAATAGGGACATCCTATTCCATCCCCTCCAACGTTTCTCCCCTGAAAATAGGGACATCCTATTCCATCCTCCAACGTTTCTCCCGTGAAAAGAGGGACGTCCTATTCCGTCCCCTCCAACGTTTCTCCAATGTAAATAGGGACGTCCTATTCCATCCCCTCCAACGTTTCTCCCCTGAAAATAGGGACATCCTATTCCATCCCCAACAACGTTTCTCCCCTGAAAATAGGGACGTCCTATTCCATCCCCTCCAATGTTTCTACCATGAAAATAGGGACGTCCTATTCCATCCCCTCCAACGTTTCTCCCCTGAAAATAGGGACGTCCTATTCCATCCCCTCCAATGTTTCTACCATGAAAATAGGGACGTCCTATTCTATCTCCTCCAACATTTCTCCTAAGGAAAAGTGGGACATTCTGGGATAAAATCAGAAACTGGGACGGCTTCTGTAAATCCAGGACTGTCCCTGGAAAACTGGGACACTTGGAGGGTCTGGAGTTGGGAGTGACTGGTCCAGAGTCTTCTCCCCACAAAGGGCTGACCCTTCTTCACTTCTCTCTGCAGATCACCATCTCACTCTTCCTCATCTCCTTCGGCCTGGCGGTCGGATCCGGAGTCTCTGCCGAGAGGTTCCGGGAACAGCATGCATACCTCTTTGCTTTCTACAGCACCACGAGCTCCATCCAATACGCCTTCTTTGCCTTCTGGGGGTTCCTCATCCTCCTCAGCCTGGTCATCCCCATGTCAATGCTCATCACGTAAGTCATCAGCCGCCTCCTCTTCCTTGGGCGGCCGTTATTGGAGAGGCATGAGAGGACCGTGTCTCAGCATGGACTGCCTCACATGGGGGCCCATATTGACTGGTTCGCGGGAATACGAGACGCGGGTGGCGCTGTGGGTTAAACCACAGAGCCTAGGGCTTGCCGATCAGAAGGTCGGCGGTTTGAATCCCCGCAATGACGGGGTGAGCTCCCGTTGCTCGGTCCCTGCTCCTGCCCACCTAGCAGTTTGAAAGCACGTCAAAGTGCAAGTAGATAAATAGGTACCACTCCGGCGGGAATGTAAACGGCGTTTCCGTGCGCTGCTCTGGTTCGCCAGAAGCGGCTTAGTCATGCTGGCCACATGACCCGGAAGGTGGACGCCGGCTCCCTCGGCCAGTAAAGCGAGATGAGTGCCGCAACTCCAGAGTCAGCCACAAATGGACCTAATGGTCAGGGGTCCCTTTACCTTTATTGACTGGTTCACGGGAGTACAGGGTCAGCCAACAAGGACAATGCGGGTTGGATTATACAGCCCCTGGAAACTCCTTCCAGCTCTAAAATTCCATCGTACAGTGGTACCTTGGGTTAAGAACTAAATTCGTTCTGGAGGTCCGTTCTTAACCTGAAACTGTTCTTAACCTGAAGCACCACTTTAGCTAATGGGGCCTCCTGCTGCCACTGCGCGATTTCTGTTCTCATCCTGAAGCAAAGTTCTTAACCCGAGGTACTATTTCTGGGTTAGTGGAGTCTGTAACCTGAAGCGTATGTAACCTGAAGCATCTGTGATCTGAAGGTACTACTGTATACCACTTTTCCTGGGAGCATAACGTTCCTCGTTGGCTAACTCCTTAGTCAATCGCAGTAACATCCCCACAGACCAAAGGAACTGACTTGTGCAATATCCCCTCCAACGTTTCTCCCCTGAAAATAGGGACGCCCTATTCCATCCCCTCCAACGTTTCTCCCCTGAAAATAGGGACGTCCTATTCCATCCCCTCCAACGTTTCTCCTGTGAAAATAGGGACGTCCTATTCCGTCCCTCCAACGTTTCTCCCTTTAAAATAGGCACGTCCTATTCCATCCTCCAACGTTTCTCCCGTGAAAAGAGGGACGTCCTAGTCCATCCCCTCCAACGTTTCTCCCCTGAAAATAGGGACGTCCTATTCCATCCCCTCCAACGTTTCTCCCCTGAAAATAGGGACGTCCTATTCCATCCCCTCCAATGTTTCTCCCTTGAAAAAAGGGACGTCCTATTCCATCCCCTCCAACGTTTCTCCCCTGAAAATAGGGACGTCCTATTCCATCCCCTCCAACGTTTCTCCCCTGAAAATAGGGACGCCCTATTCCATCGCCTCCAACGTTTCTCCCGTGAAAATAGGGACGTCCTATTCCATCCCCTCCAACGTTTCTCCCGTGAAAATAGGGACGTCCTATTCCATCCCCTCCAACGTTTCTCCCCTGAAAATAGGGACGTCCTATTCCATCCCCTCCAATGTTTCTCCCCTGAAAATAGGGACATTGCCCAGCCACGGTGGGCACCTCCCAACAGAATATTAAAAACATTGTAAAACATCAAACATCAAAAACTTCCCTAAACAGGGCTGCCTTCGGATGTCTTCTAAAAGTCAGATAGTTGTTTATTTCCTTGACATCTGAAGGGAGGGCGCCACCACCGAGACGGCCCTCTGCCTGGTTCCCTGTAACTTCGCTTCTCGCAGTGAGGGAACTGCCAGAAGACCATGGGATCCAAGTGGCAACAGTGACAACAGGATGCTGGATTTAGAAAGGCCCTGATCGCAGAACCGTAGAATCGTAGAGTTGGAAGGGACCCCAAGGTTCATCTAGTCAAACCCCACCAAAGCATCCAGGTCAGGTGACTGTCCAAACCTCTGCTTTGAAACCTCCTAGGAAGGGGAGTCCACAAGCTAGGAGGACCATTCTGATGTTCAGTAGGTTGTTCCAGCTTTGCTCCACAAGCCACAAAAGTCTTCTTTGCCTGTTCAGTGATTGGGGATTTTTTCTCCCCGGCGCAGGTTCGAATTCATTTACCTGGTCAACAGTTGTTTCATCAACTGGGACAGGGAAATGTATTACGCCCCGAAGGACATGCCAGCGAAAGCTCGGAGCACCAGTCTGAACGACCAGCTGGGGCAGATAGAATACGTCTTCTCGGATAAGACGGGGACTTTGACCCAGAACATCATGACCTTCAAGAAATGTTGTATCAACGGGGTGATATACGGTAAAGTCCCATTGGGATCTCACTGGGATTTGGGAAAAAGTCCTACATTTCTGTCCAGGCAAGCTTCAGAATGGGCAGGGCGACAAATGCAATTTTTTTAACCCTTTGTGCGCCAGGGTAGCTTTTGCACACTTTTTTTTAAAATCATTTATTTGGTTTCTCAAATTAAAATTTTAAAGTCCAACTTACAACTTCAAAACAAGATCCCGAGGAATCTCCCAGACTTCCCTGCTCCTCCCCTTTGTGGGTCCTGTTGCGAATCATTTCCTCTTGCACTTTTTACGATAATCCAGAATCTTTTCACCTCTCCATTGTGTCCAAAATTCGCCATTAAACTACAAGTGATATTTACAGTCCTGCTAACCATTTTAACCGTTTTACAATGGTTTTTAAGATTAGTTATAATTCCCCCCACCCACCCATTCCTTCTTAACATTTTGGTCTTCCTGATTTCTGATTCTTCCTTTTGGAAATATTTGCAGGTTCGCAGAACAGCGCTCAAGACAAGTCCATGGTAGGTTGTATATTCATGCTGTAAATTACATGAGTTCCTCAAGAAATTGGTTTGCTTTATGATTGCACCCCAAGCCAGGGTTTCTTATTCCATGGTTTATTAAAACCATGGTTTCTTGTGGCGTGTGAGCCCAACAGCTTAACCATGGTTTGCTGTCAACAGTTTGCCAGGTTTTGTTTGAACGTCGTGCCCCAAACAACAAAGGCAGAAAGCGAGACTGCCTGGGAAGCAAACCCTGGTTAACGGGCTGTTTGCTAAGCAAACCATGGCTTAGCATTATGTGCTAACCGAGCCACTGTTGCCACATGAAAGAGGTCTGTGCACATGAGAGCTATTGACATATTGGACTTCTACAAAGTTGGAGTGTGGGAATCTTCTGTTACCACAAGGCCCACAGTGTGGAAACGTTCTTCTCCGAAAGCTTACAAGGAGCTGTATTTCTGCGTGAGTGTCTGGAGGCGGTTGGAGGATGGATGGCGGCCAACAGATTGAGGATGAATCCTGACAAGACAGAAGGACTGTTTTGGGGGGACAGGAGGCGGGCAGGTGTGGGGGACTCCCTGGTCCTGAATGGGGTAACTGTGCCCCTGAAGGATCAGGTGCGCAGCCTGGGAGTCATTTTGGACTCAGCGCTATCCATGGAGGCGCAGGTCAGTTCTGTGTCCAGGGCAGCTCCATCTGGTTCGTAGGATGAGACCCTCCCTGCCCACAGACTGTCTGGCCAGAGTGGTGCATGCTCTGGGTATCTCCCACTTGGACTACTGCCATGTGCTCTCCTTGGAAGGCTACCTTTGAAGGTGACCCGGAAACTACAACTAATCCAGAATGTGGCAGCTAGACTGGGGACTGGGAGCAGCCACCAAGACCACATAACACCGGTCTTGAAAGACCTGCATTGGCTTCCAGGACGTTTCCAAGCACAATTCAAAGTGTTGGTGCTGACCTTGATAGTCCTAAATGGCCCAGTATACGTGAAGCAGCATCTCCACCCCCATCGTCCATCCCGGACACCGGGGTCCATCTCCCAAGGGCCTTCTGGCGGTTCCCTCCCTGAGAGAAGCCAAGTTCCAGGGAACCAGGCAGAGGGCCTTCTTGGTGGCGGCGCCTGCCTTGTGCAACGCCCTCCTGTCAGATGTCAAGGAAATAAACAACTATCTGACTTTTAGAAGACATCTGAAGGCAGTCCTGTTTAGGGAGGTTTTTAATGTTTTATCGTGTTTTAAATATATTCTGTTGGAAGCCGCCCAGAGTGGCTGGGGAAACCCAGCCAGATGGGTGGGGTCTAAATAATAAATTGTTGTTGTTTCTGACCTGAGTGTGTGTGAAGACGGAATCTGATGGTTTGCAGTTTCCCCAGGGTTCTTCCTCATCATTAACCTCTTAACTTCATTTCTTCCCCTTTCCAGGAGATGGATTTGAAGTGGAACAAGTACTTGGATAGTAAACTGGAATTTTATGACCAGCAGCTCCTGGCAAACATCCGACGAAACGATGACCCCATGGTGAAGGAATTCATGCGTCTCCTGGCAATCTGCCACACCGTCATGGTTGAGGAGAAACAGAGTGAGTGGCTGCTTTTAACTAATATACCTGAAGGAGCGTCTCCACCCCCATCGTTCTGCCCGGACGCTGAGGTCCAGCGCCGAAGGCCTTCTGGCGGTTCCCTCATTGCGAGAAGCAAAGCTACAGGGAACCAGGCAGAGGGCCTTCTCGGTAGTGGCGCCCGCCCTGTGGAACGCCCTCCCATCAGATGTCAAAGCAATAAATAACTACCTGACATTTAGAGGGCATCTTAAAGCAGCCTTGTTCAGGGAAGCTTTTAATCTGTGATATTTTACTGTATTTTTTGTTTCTATGGAAGCCGCCCAGAGTGGCTGGGGAAACCCAGCCAGATGGGCGGGGTACAAATAATAAATTATTATTATTATTATTATTATATAATATAAAAGTGTAATAAAACAGCAAGCGTTTAAAACTTTCCTGAGCAGGGCTGCCTTCAGGTGTCTTCTAAAAGTCAGACAATTGTTTTTCTCCTCAACATCTGACGGGAAGGCGTTCCACAGGGCGGGCGCCACCACTGAGAAGGCCCTGAAAAGGTCAAAAGGTGTGCGTGTTTTCGTGAGAATGTTTCACCCAAGCATGCAAAGAATTTATTTGGCGATCCCTCGTAGCCGAGTAAGATCTTCCATAAACACGGTTTTAGCAATGAGTCCATAAGTGACTGTGGAGGCCAATTCTGGATCCCCACGTCCTTCCACAGTGGGGACATTGGTTTCCAGGCAGGAGTTGACCCCGGTGAGGGTTTGCCAAGCGTGCCTTCCTCTTAGCATGTTTCTCCCTTGCGTCCTGAGTTTGAGTGTCTTCAAAGCCCACGACACCTTTGGTCAAGGCTGTTCTCCAATTGGAGCGCTCGCAGGCCAGTGTTTCCCAATTGTTGGTGTTTATACTACATTTTTTAAATATTGCCTGAATGCCAGCAAGGCTGAGTAAGGTAAAGGTAAAGGGACCCCTGACCATTAGGTCCAGTCGTGGCCGACTCTGGGGTTGCGGCGCTCATCTCGCTTTATTGGCCGAGGGAGCCGGCGTACAGCTTCCGGGTCATGTGGCCAGCAGGACTAAGCCCCTTCTGGCGAACCAGAGCAGCGCATGGAAACGCCGTTTACCTTCCTGCTGGAGCAGTACCTATTTATCTACTTGCACTTTGACATGCTTTCGAATTGCTAGGTTGGCAGGAGCTGGGACTGAGGAACGGGAGCTCACCCCGTCATTGCAGGGATTCGAACCGCCGACCTTCTGATCGGCAAGCCCTAGGCTCTGTGGTTTAACCCACAGCGCCACCCGCGTCCCCCAGCAAGGCTGAACCGGGGTGTAATTCCCTGCTCAGATCAACCCTAGTGTGAAATAAACTCTAGGTCTATGAATGAGGGTCAGCAAGGTTGAAATGGGATATAATGCACAGCTCGTTCCATACCCTAGCAGGAAGTAAACAAAGTCATAGAATAATGAGGACTAGAATCCTCTTTGAGGAAGTGCATTTCTCTGAAAAATTTCTGGCTAGCTGTTTTTTCAGCTTCTCTGACACCTGAGCGGTGCAGTTATTCTTACTTTCCCATGACAATACCCACAGGGCTCTGGATGGAAGCCAGAAACCACAGCTTGATAGTAGATACTAAGGATTTGTTTGTTTGTGTTTTTAAAACTTTTAATTATGGTACTCAGCCCAATGTAAGCAGATCCTTTCCTTGTCGAGCTAATTCCATGGCGTGACCCGTTAAGTCGTTAACGGGAAAAATGCAGGGCGGCACCTCTGCCTGGCAACGAGATGGGATTTGGTGGAGAAAGACGTCTGTTTTGCAGCCAGAAGAGGAAATGTTTGCAGCGCGTTTTACGGACACTGCGCCTTTTGTTTCTGTTTTGAATGGCAATTCCGTTGCTTTTGTAACGCAAAGTTCAGCAGAAACGTTGATCCAGGGGTTTGGCTTGGCCCCACAACCATGGGTTTCCTAGGTCCTGGAGCCAAAATTTGTGGGTGCAGTTGACGGAGAAATCTGAGAGCTCCCCTGGACCAAAAAACAACAAAAAACAAGGACACCAGCCAGGAATACCAGAGCGAAACAGCAGCCAGTCGGCTTGGTCTTTACTGAAGACTGTCGCGACAGGACTCCCACCTGCCACCAGGTGGAACAAGATGGAAACCCCGAACAAAAGAGAACCCCAACTTTTATTAGCTGCTAATCCCCATGTTACAGCCCCCCAAACTACATCACTAATGCGTCATGGTTACATCATGAAAGGGGAGGTCTGGTGGCAGTAATCTGAGGATCCTGGACCCTGCCCCATGGTTCCCCTTGCCCTCCACCAAACACCCATCAATATGATATGATACGATACGATACGATACAATACGATACGATAAACAGGGAAATGTAAATATCTCTTTCGTTACACTTCATGATCTCTTTCAGCTTCTGCCTTCTGGAAGAAGGGACAGTGTTATAAAGACTAGGACTAGCCACCTAAGAAACAGTTTTTATCCAAATGCGATATTGGTTTTAAACACAGTGTAAGGTAGTCTCTGTGGGAGTATATTGTATTTAATTATGGGGTATCAGAGTTTTTAGGGGGTTAACCAGGCTGGGATAGCTGGGATAGCAGGCTTGTTGGTTTCTGAACGTCTGATGCAGATTTTTTTCAATTTCGTTGTTCTGTATGGGACAATGACAATAAAGATTCCCAGCCAAGTTACTCACACCCTTTTGTCTTCATCTGGGTTTGTTATTTCTGGAATGGCTACCTGTCTGGCACTCAGGTATCAGGAGGCCAGGGATTATCACTCAGGCAGAGGGGCTGCTGAGGAGCTGAGCTCACATGTCTATAGGAATTTCTGAAGTTTTCCCAGTGAGCCAGTGCATAGGTACATTTATCAGTGAATTCTTACATTTGGCATCGTGCAGCAAAGGCCCTTTCAATAGATAGGAAGAAACTGCGATGAAGTGTTTTGTGGGGACAAATCACAAAAGTCACAAATATATATGTAAAAACAAAACAAAAACCAGAACAGATCCATTGGAATGAATGGCTCTACGGTAGTTTTTATGTTGCAAAATTTCAATCTGAAAAACCCAATAAATAAATTGGGGGGAGGGTGTTTTTTGTAAAAAAGAAGAACAAAGACGTCATCCAGCCTCATGGATTTGTGATCCATCTGGGCAAAAGGGCCTGGGGTGATTCTGGCGATGACCACCTGCTCTCCTCCCTCCCCAATTTCTCATAGATCAGCTAGTCTACCAAGCCGCTTCGCCGGACGAGGAAGCCCTGGTGACCGTGGCCAGGAACCTGGGCTATGTCTTCCTGTCTCGAACACAGGACACGGTCACCATCAGCGAGCTCGGGGTGGAGAGAACCTACAAAGTGCTGGCCCTTCTGGACTTCAACAGCGTCCGCAAACGGATGTCCATTGTGGGTCAGTGTTTTGTGGGCCCATAATCACAGAATCGTAGAGTTGGAAAAGGGGACCCTGAAAATCATCTGCCGCTGTCCCATACGGAAATCCATAAGGGTCCTTGACATCTGAAGGGAGGGCGTTCCACAGGGCGGGTGCCACCACCGAGAAGGCCCTCTGCCTGGTTCCCTGTAACCTTGCTTCTCACAGGGAGGGAACCACCAGAAGGCCCTCAGGAGATGGACCCCGGTGTCCGGGCAGAACGATGGGGGTGGAGACGCTCCTTCAGGGATACTGGGCCGTTTAGGGCTTTCAAGGTCAGCACCAACACTTTGAATTGTGCTCGGAAACATCCTGGGAGCCAATGTAGCATATTTTCGCTCTATAAGACGCACCAGACCACAAGACGCACCTAGCTTTTGGAGGATGAAAACAAGAAAAAAAATATTCTGAATCTCAGAAGACAGAACAGCAAGAGGGATCGCTGCGCAGCGAAAGCAGCAATCCCTCTTGCTGTTCTGGCTTCTGGGATAGCTGCGCAGCCTGCATTCGCTCCATAAGACGCGCACACATTTCCCCTTACTTTTTAGGAGGGAAAAAGTGAGTCTTATAGAGCAAAAAAATACGGTAGGTCTTTCAGGACTGGTGTTATGTGGTCTCGGTGACCGCTCCCAGTCACCAATCTAGCTGCCGCATTCTGGATTAATTGTAGTTTCCGAGTCACCTTCAAAGGTAGCCTCACATAGAGCGCATGGCAGTAGTCCAAGCGCATTTTCACGGATGGGAAACTTCACCCTTCTGGATGTTGCCAGACTACAACTCCCATCAGCGCCAACGGTCAGGGATGATGGGAGTTGGAGTCCAGGAATATCTGGGACGGTCAGAGGTTTCCCACCTTTGGTAAACAGATGATGCCTCTCTCTCTCTCTCTCTCTCTCTCTCTCTCTCTCTCTCTCTCTCCTTAAGGGTTTTTTGTTTCTCCACCCCACAGTGCGAGACCCCGAAGGCCATATCAAGCTTTACACCAAAGGAGCAGACACGGTGATCCTGGAGAGACTCCACAGAGAGCGTGCGACTGAAGGATGCACCGTCAAGGCTCTGGACGTAAGTCTTTGCAAGCGGGTGGAAGCTGGTGTGACTTAGTGGTCAGAGTGTCAGACTAAGAACTGGACGGCCAGGGTTTGAACCCCCAGCTCGCTGGCTGACCTCAAGAAGAAGAAGAGGAGTTTGGACTTGATATCCCGCTTTATCACTACCCGAAGGAGTCTCAGCGGGTGGCGCTGTGGGTTAAACCACAGAGCCTAGGGCTTGCCGATCAGAAGGTTGGCGGTTCGAATCCCCGTGGCGGGGTGAGCTCCCGTTGCTCGGTCCCTGCTCCTGCCCACCTAGCAGTTCAAAAGCACGTCAAAATGCAAGTAGATAAATAGGTACCGCTCCGGCGGGAAGGTAAACAGCGTTTCCATCCGCTGCTCTGGTTTGCCAGAAGCAGCTTAGTCCTGCTGGCCACATGACCCAGAAGCCGTACGCCGGCTCCCTCGGCCAATAAAGCGAGATGAGTGCCGCAACCCCAAAGTCGGCCGCGACTGGACCTAATGGTCAGGGGTCCCTTTATCTTTAAGGAGTCTCAAAGCGGCTAACAATCTCCTTTCCCTTCCTCCCCCCCACAACAAACACTCTGTGAGGTGAGTGGGGCTGAGAGACTTCAAGAAGTGTGACTAGCCCAAGGTCACCCAGCAGCTGCAGGTGGAGGAGCGGAGACACGAACCCGGTTCACCAGATTACGAGACTACCACTCCTAAGCAGTACACCACACTGGCTCTCAATTCAACTGCCTCTCCCTCACAAATTTGTGAGGATAAAATAGGGGGGAGGAGATCTCCGTACGCCGCCTTGAGCTCCTCAAAGGAATGTGAATGTAAAAATGAATCCACTCACAGACTTGTAGCTGATGGACGAGGCTGTTTATTTGCCACCAGAATTCCACCTGCCCTAAATCTGTCCTTCCCGCAAAGCTAAAGTAAGATTCTATTCCTCATGGTGGTGACTAAAGGGAACATAGGAAGATGCCTTTGACAGAGTCAGACCACTGGTCCGTCTAGTTCAATGTTGCTGACACTGGCTGGCAGCAGCTGTCCTTCAGGATTTTAGACAGGGATATGTCCCAGTCCTAGCGATTAAAAATACATTAAAACGTCAAACATTAAAAACTTCCCGAAACAGGGCTGCCTTCAGATGTCTTCTAAAAGTCAGATAGCTGTTTATTCCCTTCACATCTGATGGAAGGGCGTTCCACAGGGAGGGCACCACCACCGAGAAGGCCCTCTGCCTGGTTCCCTGTAACCTCGCTTCTCTCAGGGAGGGAACCGCCAGAAGTCCCTCAGAGCTGGACCTCAGTGTCCGGGCAGAACGATGGGGGTGGAGACGCTCCTTCAGGGATACTGGGCCATTTAGGGCTTTCAAGGTCAGCACCAACACTTTGAATTGTGTTTGGAAACGTCCTGGGAGCCAATGTAGGTCTCTCAGGACCGGTGTTATATGGTCTCCACTTCCAGTCCCCAGTCTAGCTGCCGCATTCTGGATTAGTTGCAGTTTCTGGGTCACCTTCAAAGGGAGCCCCATGTAGAGCGCATTGCAGTAGTCCAAGCAGGAGATAACCAGAGCATGCACCACTCTGGCCAGACAGTCTGCGGGCAGGGAGGGTCTCATCCTGCGTACCAGATGGAGCTGGTAGACAGCCGCCCTGGACACAGAATGGACCTGCTCCTCCATGGACAGCCGTGAGTCCAAAATGACTCCTAGCTACCCTTCTACAGAAATCCATCTTCCCAGCAGTCTCTGCTTTTGCCTCTCCTAGACTTTCGCGGCTGAGACGCTGAGGACTCTGTGCGTGGCGACGAGAGATGTGGGCGAGAGCGAGTTTTCCCTGTGGAGTAAGAAACACCACGCTGCCAGCGTCTTGCTGCAGAATCGAGCCCAAGAACTGGACAAAGTTTATGAGGAGATTGAGAAGGATCTCAGGGTAAGATCCTTTGGTCAGCAAAAGGCTTCTCCTGCGGCCGGACTTCCCTTTCTACAGGGTGCCAGATGTCATTATTACTTTTTTTTTTAATCACAATTACTGTCACTACTATTAAAAATTTGTGTACTGCTATATACCCACAAGGGACGCGGGTGGCACTGTGGGTTAAACCACAGAGCCTAGGGCTTGCCAATCAGAAGGTTGGCGGTTCGAATCCCCGCAATGACGGGGTGAGCTCCCGTTGCTCGGTCCCTGCTCCTGCCAACCTAGCAGTTCGAAAGCACGTCAAAGTGCAAGTAGATAAATAGGTACCACTCCAGCGGGAAGGTAAACGGTGTTTCCGTGCACTGCTCTGGTTCGCCAGAAGCGGCTTAGTCATGCTGGCCACGTGACCAGCTGTACGCTGGCTCCCTCGGCCAGTAAAGCGAGATGAGCACCGCAACTCCAGAGTCGTCCGCGACTGGACCTAATGCTCAGGAGTCCCTTTACCTTTACCTATATACCCACAGGTCTCAGGGTGGTTCACAACATAAAACCACAATATAAAAAAACCAAAAATACATAATGCCATATTTCCAAATTAAAATTACTTTTTTTTCTTAGCTACACTGATGATAGTCATTGTTTGCATGGGGGGCTTTTATCCATTTCCGCAGTCACACAATCAGTCAATCAGTAGCTGAAATGGGTTCCACACAGTCATGAAAACAAATGAACCGAAAAAGCCTCAAAAACCAAAACGCAAAATAAAGAGCAAAAAGAAAAGCGCCAAGGTTAATCTGTTCCAGAAGTCCGTTTGACTTCCGAAATGTTCAGAAAGCAAGGCGCAGCTTCTGATTGGCGCAGGCGCCCCGGAAACAATAGCCGACAGCCGCGTTGGACATTTGGCTTCTGAAAAACGTTTGAAAATCGGAACACTCACTTCCGGGTTTTTGGTGTTTGGGAACCAAGGCGTTTGAGAACCAAGGCATTTGAGAACCAAGGTGTTTGAGAACCAAGGCGTTTGAGAACCAAGGCGTTTGAGAACCGAGGTACCACTGTATTCAGAAAAATAGACAAAGCGATACTCAGAGCCACTAATTAACAAATAAAGGAAACCTCAACCTCCTCCTGGTCCAAAAGGTCATTCACATCAAGCCCACAATTTCCCCCTTCAACCTCCCCACCCCACCCAGAAGTCTGGTCTCAGGGCTAGCTGTTGCAGATCAGTTATTGGGGGTCAAGTCAGGAGGGAGATAGGAGCAAAGCGAAGTCGGGTGATGGCAGCCAACAGCTTCGCGGTTGACCAGGCTACTTCCCCCCTCCTGAAACTTCCCACGTTCCGTTCCGTCCTACGCGCCCCTGTTGGAGTCTGGTATTACGAGCGAGGAAGGAGCTGGGGGCGAAAGGTTTCTGGGTTAGCTAGAGTTCCATCATTGCCTCGTCTTGGTCTTCCTCTCTCAGCTCCTGGGGGCAACAGCTATCGAGGACAAACTGCAAGACGGGGTTCCAGAAACCATTCAGCTTCTCAAAAGGGGAGACATCAAAGTGTGGGTGTTGACGGGAGACAAGCAAGGTAAGGAATTCGTGGAGACGGGTGGTGGTGGTGGAAACATAGCTGTCAACTGTCCCTTATTTGGCAGGAAAGTCCCTTATCCCAGCGCCGTGTCTTGCTGCTGTCCCTTATTGATGATGTCCCTTAAATTTCCCGGGTTTCAAAGGAAGCAGCTCCTCTCCCTCCCTCCCTGCCGGCCAGGGAGGAGGGAGGCTCCAACTGTGTTGCTTGGCTGCGTTGCTCACCCAATAAGGAGTCTGAGAACAACTGGGGGGTGGAGCTTTCATGCCTTGTGCCAATCAAATTGGCCGCGTTGCCTGGGGACTCGCCTTTGCTCAGCGCTTCCCAGCGGAGAGGTGACGGTGGTTTTCCTTGCTGCTTCCCCTTTGCCGGGTTGCTGCGCTGTGGGAACCACCGCTTGAGGCTTCGTTTGGCTGCTGGCTGGGCTTTCTGCCTTTGGCTTGGAGGGGCTCAGAAGTTGAACATACCTGCGCTCCGAAAATCCCTTATTTTGGCTGCTGATCCCTTATTTTCGAGGCTGCTGGTCCCTTATTTTCAAATCTGTAAGTAGACAGCTATGGGTGGAAATGTCCCACCAACCTCCACCTGCCCTCAGCCAACCCCCACCTAGCTGTCTTTACCCCCCTTCTTTGGCGATCTCTCGTAGCCGAGTGAGATTGTCTTCCATAAACACGGTTTTCAAAAGTGAGTCCGTAACTGACTACGGAGGCCAATTCTGGATCCACACGTCCTTCCACAATGGGGACATAGGTTTCCGGGCGGGAGTTGATCCCGGTGAGGATTTGCCAAGCATGCCTTCCTCTTGGCACGTTTCTCCCTTGCGTCCTGAGTTCGAGTGTCTCCAAAGCCCATGACCCCTTTGGTAAAGGCTGTTCTCCAACTGGAGCCCTCGCAGGCCAGTGTTTCCCAGTTGTCAGTGTTTATACTACATTTGTTTCCCCTTGGGGTCCCTACAAACTCTACAATTCTATGAAAACATTTGTGTATGTATGTATGTATGTATGTATGTATATGTGTGTGTGTGTGTGTGTGTGTGTGTATCCTGTGCAAGAGTGAACACACTCAATGTTTCCGGGCACAATTCAAAGTGTTGGTGCTGACCTTGAAAGCCCTAAATGGCCTCAGCCCAGTATCTCTGAAGGAGCGTCTCCACCCCAGACACCTGGGTCCAGCTCCGAGGGCCTTCTGGAGGTTCCCTCCCTGTGAGAAGTGAGGTTACAGGGAACCAGGCAGAGGGCCTTCCCGGTGGTGGCGCCCACCCTGTGGAACGCCCTCCCACCAGATGTCAAGGAAGTAAACAACTATCTGACATTTAGAAGGCATCTGAAGGCAGCCCTCTTTAGGAAAGTTTTTTATGTTTACTGGTGTATTATGTTTTTAATATTCTGTTAGGAGCTATTGGGCAAACCCAGCCAGATGGGTGGTGTATAAATAATAAATTATTATTATTATTATTATTATTATTATTATTATTACTGTGGTACCTCTGGTTACGAACTTAATCTGTTCCGGAGGTCCGCTCTTAACCTGAAACCGTTCTTAACCTGAGGTACCACTTTAGCTAATGGGGCCTCCTGCTGCCGTGCAATTTCTGTTCTCATCCTGAAGTAAACTTCTTAACCCGAGGTACTACTTCTAGGTTAGTGGAGTCTGTAACCCGAAGTGTTTGTAAGCTGTGGTTGTTGGCGCATCTCATCAGGGCACCCTCATCTCATTTTCACTCTTTCCTTGTGTTTTCAGAGACTGCCGTCAATATTGGCTTTGCCTGTCGACTTCTCTCGGATGACATGACTATTCTGGAGGAGAGCGAAATCAGGTATGAGTGTCTTCTGAGCTCTAGGTTTGGGGCAAGTGTTCTCTGGTGGGAGAGCCCCCAGCAGCTCTAACTGTCAGAAAGTTCTTCCTGATATTGAGTCTTGTAACCTGAACCCATGGTTTACTTACAAGCGCTTCAAAGGTCCGAGTCATGTGCTGTTCCATGCAGCATTTGGAAAAAATTGCACAGGCAGTAGAACTTGGCTTAGTTGCAAAAGGATGAAATTATTCGGTTCCTGGACGCTTCGAATATCGTACGTTTCGACTCCCAAATGCCAAAAACCTGGAAGTAAATGCTTCCGTTTGCAAACGTTTTTCGGAATCTGAACGTGCTACGCGGCTTCCACTGAGTGCAAGAAGCTCTTGCAACCAATGGGAAGCCTCGCCTCGGTTTTCGAATGTTTCGGAAGCTGAACGGGCTTCCGGAACGGATTTCGTTTGAGAACGGATGTACCACTGTATAGGAACCCAAGGGAGGCTTGTTAAAGCCATGCGGCTAAGCTGGAGCAAACATGTTGAGCTTCTCAGGTAGACAGAGGGATCAAAGGCTTGGTTACCTAGTCCCTACCTAGCTAAGCCTTGCAGGCCAGCTTACTCTATGGTATTAACCCCTTCATGCATTAACACCAGTCTTGAAAGACCTACACTGACTCCCAGTACGTTTCCGAGCACAATTCAAAGTGTTGGTGCTGACCTTTAAAGCCCTAAACGGCCTCAGTCCAGTATACCTGAAGGAAGGTCTCCACCCCCATCGTTCTGCCCGGACACTGAGGGCCAGCTCTGAGGGCCTTCTGGCGGTTCCCTTATTGTGAGAAGCAAAGCTACAGGGAACCAGGCAGAGGGCCTTCTTGGTGGTGGCGCCCGCCCTGTGGAACGCCCTCCCACCAGATGTCAAAGAGAACAACAACTACCAAACTTTTAGAAGACATCTGAAGGCAGCCCTGTTTAGGGAAGCTTTTAATGTTTAATAGGTTATTGTATTTTAGTGTTTTGCTGGAAGTCGCCCAGAGTGGCTGGGGAAACCCAGCCAAATAGGTGGGGTATAAATAATAAATTATTATTATTATTATTATTATTACTAATCAGACTTAAGTATGTTGGTTATATGAAGCTGTGTGTCAGTATTTCTGTTTTGGCTCTTCAACCACCCACCTTGTTTTGCAGCGAGATTCTGGAGCCAGGCTGGTACAGCAATAGCAGCTTAGCTAGCAGTGGAGAAGGCCTCTGCAAAGAAAAGTCATTCCTATCCTTCCCAGCCTCCCTGTCACACGGCAAGAAAGCATTGGTGGTCACCGGAGACTTCCTGGTAAGATATATAATTTTGCTGAACCCCTCTTCCTTCCTTCCCAGACTTAAATTCTAGAAATGGAAAGTATTTTTACAGCCCATTCCACCCTCCCCCCCCCAATATCCTCCAGGCAGTTTGTTGTTGTTGCTGCTGTTTAGTCGTTTAGTCGTGTCCGCCTCTTTGTGACCCCCTGGACCAGAGCACGCCAGGCCCTCCTGTCTTCCACTGCCTCCCCCAGTTTGGTCAAACTCATGCTGGTAGCTTCCAGAACACTGTCCCACCATCTTGTCCTCTGTCGTCCCCTTCTCCTTGCGCCCTCCATCTTCCCCAACATCAGGGTCTTTTCCAGGGAGTCTTCTCTTCTCATGAGGTGGCCAAAGTCTTGGAGCCTCAGCTTCAGGATCTGTCCTTCCAGTGAGCACTCAGGGCTGATTTCCTTGAGAATGGAGAGGTTTGATCTTCTTGCAGTCCATGGGACTCTCCAGAGTCTCCTCCAGCACCAGAATTCAAAAGCATCCATTCTTTGGCGATCAGCCTTCTTTATGGTCCAGCTCTCACTTCCGTACATCACTACTGGGAAAACCATAGCTTGAACTATACGGACCTTTGTTGGCAAGGTGATGTCTCTGCTTTTTAAGAATCTGTCTAGGTTTGCCATTGCCTTTCACCCAAGAAGCAGGCGTCTTTTAATTTCGTGGCTGCTGTCACCATCTGCAGTGATCATGGAGCCCAAGAAAGTAAAATCTCTCACTGCCTCCATTTCTTCCCCTTCTGTTTGCCAGGAGGTGATGGGCCCAGTGGCCATGATCTTCAATTTTTTTGATGTTGAGCTTCAGACCATATTTTGCGCTCTCCTCTTTCACCCTCATTAAAAGGTTCTTTAATTCCTCCTCGCTTTCTGCCATCAAGGTTGTGTCATCTGCATATCTGAGGTTGTTGATATTTCTTCCGCCGATCTTAATTCCGGCTTGGGATTCACCCAGCCCAGCCTTTCGCATGATGAATTCTGCATATAAGTTAAATAAGCAGGGAGACAATATACAGCCAGGCAGTTTAGCCGCTTTCAAAGCAGACACACTGAACCAGTGCTTCTTTCTAGCCAGCGTAGTTTTGACACCTGGTTTTTTATTACATGATGTTTTAAGCATTTTTTTAAGTTCCTCTTGAATGTCACTCCAAAATTGTTTGATATGCACACACTCCCACCACATATGATACATGGTTCCTATCCATGGAACCATGGTAGGCTGAGACCTTACCTGCCTGCGGACTGTCTTGCCAGAGTGGTGCATGCTCTAGTTATCTCCCACTTGGACTACTGCAATGCGCTCTACGTGGGGCTGCCTTGGAAGGTGACCCGGAAACTACAATTAATCCAGATTGCGGCAGCTAGACGGGTGACTGGGAGTGGCTGCCGGGACCACATAACACCGGTCCTGAAAGATCTGCATTGGCTCCCAGTACGTTTCCGAGCACAATTCAAAGTGTTGGTGCTGACCTTGAAAGCCCTAAATGGCCTTAGCCCTGTATACCTGAAGGAGCGTCTCCACCCCCATCGTCCACCCCGGACACTGAGGTCCAGCGCTGAGGGCCTTCTGGCAGTTCCCTCATTGCAAGAAACGAGGTTACAGGGAACCAGACAGAGGGCCTTCTCGGTAGTGGCGCCCGCCCTGTGGAACGCCCTCCCTTCAGATGTGAAGGAAATAAGCAGCTATCCTATCTTTAAAAGACATCTGAAGGCAGCCCTGTTTAGGGAAGCTTTTAACATTTAACGCTGTATTGTTTTTAACACTTGATTGGGAGCCGCCCAGAGTGGCTGGGGAAACTCAGCCAGATGGGCGTGGTATAAATAATAAATTATTATTATAAATTATAAATTATTATTATAATATATTATTATTAAGCATTTTTTAAAATTCCTCTTGAATGGCCCTCCGAAATTGTTTGATATGCACACACTCCCACCACATATGATGAATTGTTCCTATATCAAGTGGCAATTCATCCGCAACAGGAACCGAGAATTTGGGATGGTCTCTTAACAAATACAGTGGTACCTCAGGTTAAGTACTTAATTCGTTCCGTAGGTCCGTTCTTAACCTGAAACTGTTCTTAACCTGAAGCACCACTTTAGCTAATGGGGCCTCCTGCTGCTGCCGCGCTGCCGGAGCAAGATTTCTGTTATTATCTGTTCTTAACCTGAAGCGGAGTCTGTAACCTGAAGCATATGTAACCTGAAGCATATGTAACCCGAGGTACCACTGTAAAGACCATTCGATTGGGTGTCTCCTCATTTTCTTCCCAGGATAAAATCTTCCACACGGAGGGATCGACCACGGAGGAGCAGAACCTGAGCTGGCGCCAGCGCTTAAGCTGCTGCCGCGACAGAAACAAGAAGGACCAGGAGAACGCGATGGAAAAAGCCTTTGTGGAACTGGCCACCACCTGCCAGGCCGTGATCTGCTGCAGGGTGACTCCCAAGCAGAAAGCCCTCATCGTTCAGATGGTCAAGCGACACAAGAAAGCCATCTCCTTGGCCATTGGAGATGGGGCCAACGACGTCAACATGATTAAAAGTGAGGCCTTTTCCCAGGGGACCAAGAAGACTTGAGCTTCTAGGTCAGGCATCCCCAAACTTGGCCCTCCAGATGTTTTGGGACTACAAAGCCACTTCTGACATCAGGAGGAGGTGGGGTTGCGGGCTTCACGCCCCCAACATGCGCGCGGAGGCTGGTTTCCAGCCCCCGCGCAATCAGGGGAATCCTCAGGCCGTGTCATCCCCTGAGCCAGCCAATCGGCTGGCTTGGGGTGTGTGGCTTGCCTCACTTAAGGCAAGCGCGACCCCGGGATCTCCCTGTTTTGCCTGCGCAGCTGCTGTTGTTTCCCACCCGCCCGTCCTCTAAGGTTCCCCTTCTGACCTTGCTATGGACCTCGGTTGGTCGCCGTCAAGGGGCCAGGTAGGAATTTTTTCCACTTGGCAAATTGGCACCGGCCATTTGGTTTTTTGCCTAGGTAAAGGTAAAGGGACCCCTGACCCATAGGTCCAGTCGTGGCTGACTCTGGGGTTGCGGCGCTCATCTCGCTTTACTGGCCGAGGGAGCCGGCGTACAGCTTCCGGGTCATGTGGCCAGCAGGATTAAGCCGCTTCTGGCGAACCAGAGCAGCGCACGGAAACGCCGTTTACCTTCCCACCAGAGTGGTAGCTATTTATCTACATGCACTTTGACGTGCTTTTGAACTGCTAGGTGGGCAGGAGCAGGGACCGAGCAACGGGAGCTTATCCTGTCGCGGGGATTCGAACTGCCGACGTTTTGATCGGCAAGCCCTAGGCTCTGTGGTTTAACCCAACTCCTTTGGTTTCGGCAGTTAGGCATTGGTAGGGGTATTGTTATGTAGATGAGTTGGGCAGGAGGAGCACCATCGCCTCCCCCATATACTGAAGGGTAGTCTGGTAAAGGATTCCGGGGGGCGTTGCCTCGTCCGAAGCCTATGGAGGTCAGGGCCTAAAGCGCGCCCCTGAGCGGTGACCCTGGGGGAGTACGTAGTTGATGTGCATCAGCAGGGCTCCCCCTGCTGGTGTTAACCCTTCCCGGTCTTCATGCAAGCAGGCTGAAGCCGGATAGGCTGATAGGACCAATGCCGAAGCCAATACCGCTCTTACCTGTAAGCAAAAAAGTTGTGGCCAATTTTAGCCCATTAACCTAATACAACATTGTCACGTGTCTTCATTTCCATTGAGGGAGAGGTGGGAACTCGCCACGCAACTCCCATCATCCCTAGCTAACAGGACCAGTGGTCAGGGACGATGGGAATTGTCGTCCCAAAACATCTGGAGGGCCGAGTTTGGGGTTGCCTGTTCTAGGTCTTCAGCTGCAATGCAGGAATCTCTGCTAAAGCAGCCATGACAAACCATGGCGAAAACCACTGACCTTATCGATCGCCTTTTTTCTCTCCAGCTGCCGACATTGGAGTCGGGATCAGCGGGCAGGAAGGGATGCAGGCTGTTCAGTGCAGCGATTATGCCCTGGCTCAGTTCCGCTACCTGGAGCGACTCCTCTTTGTCCACGGCCGGTGGTCCTACCTCCGGATCTGCAAGTTCCTCCGCTACTTCTTCTACAAGACCTTTGCCGGCATGATGGTGCAGATCTGGTTTGCTTTCTACACTGGCTTCACAGCGCAGGTAAGAAGGGATAGGGCCGTAGGGCCCCTCTAGCATCCTCATCTCACACTGGCCCGTCAGATACCTGTAGGATGACCTCAGGCTCCGACATAGCTGTCAACCATCCCTTATTTGGCGGGAAAGTCCCTTATCCCAGCGCCGTGTCCCGCTGCTGTCCCTTATTGATGATGTCCCTTAAATTTCCCGGGTTTCAAAGGAAGCAGCTCCTCTCCTTCCCTCCCTGCAGGCCAGGTAGGAGGGAGGCTCCAGCTGTGTTGCTTGGCTGCGTTGCTCACCCAATAAGGAGTCCGAGAACGACTGGGGGGGTGGAGCTTGCATGCCTTGTGCCAGTCAAATCGGCCGCATTGCCTGGGGACTCGCCTTTGCTCAGCGCTTCCCAGCGGAGAGGTGACGGTGGTTTTCCTTGCTGCGTCCCCTTTGCCGGGTTGCTGCGCTGTGGGAACCACCGCTTGAGGCTTCGTTTGGCTGCTGGCTGGGCTTTCTGCCTTTGGCTCGGAGGGGCTCAGAAGTTGAACATACCTGTGCCCGGAAAATCCCTTATTTTCGAGGCTGCTGGTCCCATACAGTGGTGCCTTGCAAGACGAATGCCTCGCAAGACGAAAAACGTGCAAGACGAAAGAGTTTTCCGTTTTTTGAGTCGTTCCGCAAGACAAATTTCCCTATGGTCTTGCTTCACAAGACGAAACGTCTTGCGAGTTCTTGCGAGCTTGTTTCCTTTTTCTTAAAGCTGCTAAGCCGCTAAGCCGCTAATAGCCGCTAAGCCGCTAATAGCCGCTAAGCCGCTAATAGCCGTGCTTCGCAAGACGAAAAAACCGCAAGACGAAGAGACTCGCAGAACGGATTAATTTCGTCTTGCGAGGCACCACTGTATTTTCAAATCTGTAAGTTGATAGCTATGGGCTCCGAACACAAGAGTTATCTCCTGTGCACTCTTCCAGCTTCCAGCAAGTGGTGTGTTATCCCTTCTGACTGCAGAGGCAGAGCATAGCCAACTTGATGAATAACCATTGATAGACTTCTCCACCTCCACAAATTTGTTTAATCCTAAAATTTAAACACAAATTTGTTTAATCCTATTTAAGCTATCTAAATTGGCAGTCATCGCTGCCTCTTGTGGCAGTGAGTTCCATAGTTTAAACTATGCACTCCATGTGAATTTTCAGGGGTCTCTCCCCTGCCCTCTCCCTGTAGTTCGTACCCTTTCATTCTGCCGTTTTGTTCACTTCCGAGGTGATATGGTACTGTGCATGACGACCTGTGAGACGGAAGATCCTGGGTTCGAGTCCTGTGTTTTCGTTTTGTTTTATTCTTTAACTGTTGCCCCTGCTCGTGGCAAAACCAGCAGCAACTATGGGGCATAAATAATAATAAGATGGTGATGATGATTGATAACCATTTCCCCCCCTGCCCAACTGCACAAGTCAAGCACTATTCGAGGGCATCATGGGAGGGAAATTGTGCCTGATTCATAAATGGTGGTGCAATGTGATGTTCTCTTTTTCCAGCTGTGTGCTTATGTGTGTGAAAGAGGGGAGGGAGGGAGTGAGAGAGAAACAGAGATGGGGAGAGAGAAAAGGTAAATTGATAAGGTAGCGTGTTCTCCATAAAACGCATATACCTTTTAAGCCAGTGGTCAGGAATGATGGGAGTTGTAGTCTGACAACACCTGGAGGGTCACCGATGTCCCTCATCCTTGCTATGAGAAGGTCTCATTTCCTACTGCATTCAAGAGATGAAAGGCGGCCTCTGTTCAGAAGAGGCATTCATTCCTGAACGAAGGGATGCCTCTTCTTGGTTCAGGGATGGTGAACATCAGTGAACCTCCAAGTGTCACTGGACTGTAGGTCCCAGCAGCTGGCATGGGCTGGATGATAGGAGTTGTAGTCCAACGACATAGGGAGGGTCATAGGATCCTAACACCGGTTGCAAGTTATGTGAAGGAAACCCATCTAATCCTCTCTGGTTTTGCTCTTCCATCTCAGCCTCTGCTGGAGGGCTGGTTCCTTGCCCTCTACAATGTCTTCTACACTTCGTACCCGGTGCTGTGCATGGGCTTGTTTGAACAGGTAAGTCCGCCGTTTCCGTAGATGCGTTTGCTACCCACACCCACTCATCCCATTCTCCTCCATTACACAAGGAAAGCTCTGCCCTTGGACAAGTCCAAAGTCCATCCAATTCTGCATCCTGTTTCCATGGCGACCAACCGGATGCCTGTGGCATGAAACCACCAGCCCTATCACCACAGTTCAAGAAGGACACTGACAAACTGGAACGTGTCCAGAGGAGGGCAACCAAAATGGTCAAAGGCCTGGAAACGATGCCTTATGAGGAACAGCTAAGGGAGCTGGGCATGTTTAGCCTGGAGAAGAGGAGGTTAAGGGATGATAGCCATGTTCAAATATAGAAAAGGATGTCACATAGAGGAGGGAGAAAGGTTGTTTTCTGCTGCTCCAGAGAAGCGGACACAATGGAGCAATGGATCCAAACTACAAGCAAGAAGATTCCACCTAAACATTAGGAAGAACTTCCTGACAGTAAGAGCTGTTCGACAGTGGAATTTGCTGCCAAGGAGTGTGGTGGAGTCTCCTTCTTTGGAGGTCTTTAAGCAGAGGCTTGACAACCATATGTCAGGAGTGCTCTGATGGTGTTTCCTGCTTGGCAGGGGGTTGGACTCGATGGCCCTTGTGGTCTCTTCCAACTCTATGATTCTATGATTCTATTCTATGATTCTATCCCAAGCAGTGACCCCCCAGCAATTGACGTTCAGAGACATCATGCTGCTGATCCCACAGGGAGTGTTCAGAGACCAGGGCAATGTAATAATAATAATAATAATAATAATAATAATAATAATTTATTATTTATACCCCGCCATCTGGCTGGGTTTCTCCCGGGAACTAAGGCCCGGGGACCAGACCCGCTCAATTGCCTTCTAAGTATGGCCTGCGGACGGTCCGGGAATCAGTGTGTTTTTACATGAGTAGAATGGGTCTCTGGGTTATTTGTGGGGCATAGGAATTCATGCTTTTTTCTTTCTTTCCAAAATATAGTCTGGCCCTCCACAAGGTCTGAGGGACAGTGGACTGGCCCCTGGCTGAAAAAGTTTGCTGACCCCTGGTTTAGGGTTTAGGGTTTAGGGTTTAGGGTTTAGGGTTTAGGGTTTAGGGTTTAGGGTTTAGGGTTTAGGGTTTAGGGTTTAGGGTGGGCCCCCCCAAAAAAACTCATAACAATATCAACAATAAAAATAATCGACCCCTCTCTCCTCCTTCCATTCAGGACGTGAGTGCCAAGAAAAGTTTGCAATTCCCCGAGCTCTACAAGGCAGGTCAGAAAGACCGCTTTTTCAATTTCCGAATCTTCTGCCTTTGCTTCATCCATGGCTCCTTCGTCTCCTTGGCTAACTTCTTCATCACTCTGTGGGCCATGGGAGACCATTCGGGCACCCACGTCGTCGGCGACTACCAGTCCTTTGCCATGGTAATAGCAACCGCCGCAATATTCACCGTCATTGCTGAGGTGAGTTTGGGGTGGGTGGGTGGTGCCCGTGTGTGTGTTTGTGCGTGTTGGATGTGATCGGTGATTTAAATCGTGATTTAAATCAAATCCACCCTGGTGCTGAGCAACGTCCCTGTGGCTGCAGATTTGTCAAAGCAGTTTGCTTCACTGACCTTCCTTTCTGTATCTCCCCTTGGAAATGTGGAGTGATGGGAACTTACAGTCATATGTGATAGGGTTGTCCGTTAGTTAATAAATTCTGGAAACAGATTGGTATAGAAATATCGGGAATTGTGGGTAGGAAGGTGGAAATATCTGAATTAATGGTTCTTATTACCCTGAGTAGTACTGATCATAGCTGTCAACTTTTCCCCTTTCTTGCGAGGAATCCTATTCGGAATAAGGGAATTTCCCTTTAAAAAAGGGAAACGGTGACAGCTATGACTGAGTTAGAAACAAAAGAGGAATGTAAATGGGTAAAATTGATGGTAATTGCAGCCAGACAGGTTATAGTGAGTAACTGGAAAAATCCAGAAGAGCTGGGGTGAACCAATGGAGGGAAAAATTGAAAAATATTATAATCTTAGAATATCCTAACTGTGAAGATACACAGAATGAAAGGGTTTAAGGTCAGTGAGAAAGGAGGAGGAATGGTTTGAGAAGATACTGAATTATTTGGGGAGGTTTGAACAATCTGGGAGAATGTTAAAACCTAAAACCTTGTGGAGGGAGGAGTGTTAAGGTATATAGAATTGTACATATGCTTGATTTGAATATGTTATTATTGATTATGTATACCCAATGTAGGGATGCGGGTGGCGCTGTGGGTTAAACCACAGAGTCTAGGATTTGCCAATCAGAAGGTTGGTGGCTTGAATCCCCACGACGGGGTGAGCTCCCGTTGCTCGGTCCCTGCTCCTGCCAACCTAGCAGTTCAAAAGCACCTCAAAGTGCAAGTAGAGAAATAGGTACCGCTCCGGCGGGAAGATAAACGGCGTTTCCGTGCGCTGCTCTGGTTCGCCAGAAGCGGCTTAGTCCTGCTGGCCACATGACCCGGAAGCTGTACGCCGGCTCCCTCGGCCAATAAAGCAAGATGAGCGCCGCAACCCCAGAGTCGTCCATGACTGGACCTAATGGTCAGGGGTCCCTTTAGCTTACCTTTACCTTTATACCCAATGTATCAGCCGCCTGGGGGGTTTCACTGTTTGTGTTTTGGTTGTTGGTAAAATAATAATAATAATAATAATAATAATAATAATAATAAATTCTGTATCTCCCCTGGCAGAGCATGATGGAGGTCAAATTTTGGACCGTCCTCTCCGTGCTGGCTATTGTCATCAGCATCGGTTTCTACTGCCTTTTCTCCTATATAACTCAAAGCTTTCAAGCCTTCAAGACGTCCCCTGTCGCTTTCCAGTTTCCAGGTAAGGACTCCTGGAACTCTCCCGGAACTTCCACAACACTCAAACGGCAGATGCGTTGTGGGACGGGAGGAAGCAGGGAGGTATTGGTGGGGCAGATCTGTGTGGGCCATGCTGCCTGCCCTGCAGGGAGGGCCAGCGCCCGTTGGGACTGATGGGGCAGGAACCAGGGAGCCCAAACAGTAGGTGGAGTCAGGGCCAATCAGAGCCCCGCGTTGGGCAAAAGATCCTGCATTGCAGAGGGTTGGATCAGATGTTCCCTTCCAGCTATTGTTGTATTATTATATTTTATGAATTGACTGAAATACCCCACTTGGAGGGTGGCGCTGCGGTCTAAACCACAGAGCCTAGGGCTTGCCGATCAGAAGGTCGGTGGTTCGAATCCCCGCGACGGGGTGAGCTCCCGTTGCTTGGTCCCTGCTCCTGCCAACCTAGCAGTCCGAAAGCACATCAAAGTGCAAATAGATAAATAGGTACCACTCCGGCGGGAAGGTAAACAGCGTTTCCGTGCGCTGCTCTGGTTCGCCAGAAGCAGCTTAGTCCTGCTGGCCACATGACCCAGAAGCTGTACGCTGGCTCCCTCGGCCAGTAAAGCGAGATGAGCGCCGGAACCCCAGAGTCATCTGCGACTGGACCTAACGGTCAGGGGTCCCTTTACGTCCAATTCGTGGCACCACAATTTCAGAAGGGTGTTGACAAGCTAGAGCGTGTGCAGAGGAGGGCAGCCAAGATGATTAAGGGTCTAGAACATGGGTAGGTAGGCAAACTCAGGCCCAGGGGCCGGATCTGGCCCAATCGCCTTCTCAATCCAGCCCACGGACGGTCCGGGAATCAGCGAGTTTTTACATGAGTAGAATGTGTGCTTTTATTTAAAATGCATCTCTGGGTTATTTGTGGGGCATAGGAATTCATTCATTCCCCCCCAAAAATATAGTCTGGCCCCCCACAAGGTCTGAGGGACAGTGGACCGGCCCCCTGCTGAAAAAGTTTGCTGACCCCTGGTCTAGAAACCAAGCCTGATGAGGAACTGTTGAACAGCTCCAAGGGAGTCCGTTCCACTGTCAAACAGCTCTTGCCACCATAAAGTTCTTCCTGGCATTGAGCTGGAATCTCCTTTCTTATCACTTGAAGCCATGGGTTCGAGTGCTACCCTCCAGAGCAGGAGAAAACAACCTTGCTCCATCCTCCATGTGGCAGCCCTTGAGATATTCGAAGATGGCTGTCATATCTCCTCTCAGTCTCCGCTTTCCAAGGCTAAACATACCCAGCTCCTTCGACCGTACCTCATCAGGCTTGGTTTCCATTTTGGCTGCCCTCTTTGGCGAAAGGTTCTTGCATTGCAAGGAGTTTGGCTACATGATCCTCACGGTCCCTCCGAACTCTACAGTCCCATGATTCCTCTGCGCACATTCTACCTTATCAAAAGCTTTCTTAAATTGTGGTATGCAGAATTGGACATGGTATTCTAGATGTGGTCTGACCAAGGCAGACTAGAGCAGGACTATGACTTCGCTTGATCTGTTGATGCAACCTAGAATAGTATCACCTATTTTTGCTGCTGCATCACACTGTTAAGCTTGTGGTTTACTAAAACCCCTGGATCCCTTTCATGTGTACCCGTAAGTATGAATGGCAGGGAGGATTCTAGCCTGCATATATGTATAAATTCAATTTCTATGATATATTTAAAAGGCCCTATGTCTTCCTAGCACTGCCCTTGAGTTTCCTTTGCAATTGGCATTTTGTGTGTGTTGGGTAGACACAGTCTCCTCAGCTGCCTTGCCACCCAACATATGAAGACCCCTCAGATGTTCCCGAGCTGACTGGGTCACTCTTTTCTCCTCCAGCTGCCACCAAGAACGCGCTGACAGACCCACTGTCGCTCTTTGTGGTCCTGCTCTGCGTTGTGGTGAACACGATCCCCTCCCTCACCTTCCGTTTTGTGCGGAGTTTCGCGGGACCCACAACTATGTCGGAGGTGAGTGTTGTTTGGCAGTCTGCCCAGAGTTTGGGTGCTGAAGGACAGCACCAAAGCGTTGAGCCCTTAGATGGAATCCTTTGGCGCAATCTGTTGGGAAGACGGGTTCAATGGCCTTCAAGAAAATCAACACAAAACGATGTTCCAATGGCATCTAAATGCAGCACAATTCTTTAGAGCTTATCAAGCTGTTTGCTGGAAGTGTGAAAAATATGAAGGGACATTTTATCATGTTTGGTGGACTTGTAAAAAAAGTCAAGAAATATCAGATACATCAATGTAGAAGGTTTTTAAAGCCTAACATTCATCTGAAGCCAGACCTTTTCCTGCCTAGGAATAGTGGATACACAATTAGAAAAAGACTGCGGAATATTATTTCAAGACATGACCACAGCGGCGAGACTTTGCACAAAGATGGAAAGATTCTTTATGAACTACGATGGTTGTTAAAATTATTGGACGTGGCAAAGATGGCAAAGTTGACATGTTTAATCGGAGAAAAATCATGGTCGATATTTACTAAGGATTGGAAACTCCTTATAGACTTTTTGTGTGGAAAAGAAAACGAACTTATGATACGTGGGTTTGAGGACTGAGGAAAATATCATTATTAAGAAGTTAGAATTACAGCCGTACCTTGGTCTTCAAACAGCTTCGTTCTCAAACGTTTTGGCTCCTAAACGCCACAAACCCGGAAGTGACTGTTCTGGTTTGCGAACTATTTTTGGAAGCCGAACGGAGCTTCCGATTGGCTGTAGGAGCTTCCTGCAGCCAATCAGAAGCCATGCTTTGGTTTCCGAATGTTTTGGAAGTCGAACGGACTTCCGGAACGGATTCCATTTGACTTCCAAGTTATATCATGGGAGAAATATAAGTAATACAGTCATACCTCGGGTTGAATACGCTTTGAGTTGAGCGCATTCGAGTTGCGCTCTGCGGCAACCCGGAAGTAACGGAGCGCGTTACTTCTGGGTTTCGCCACTTGCGCATGTGCAGACGCTCAAAATGACGTTGCGCGCATGCGCAGAAGCGGCAAAAAGCGACGTGTGCATGCGCAGACGTGCCATCGCTAGTTACGTTTGCTTCTAGATGCGAACGGGGCTCCGGAACGGATCCCGTTCGTATCTAGAGGTACCACTGTACATATTAAGAAAAGAGCATGATGGAAGGATGCTTGAGAAGTCAACAGATATGGGAGGTTTGCTCCGATGGTCGATTAAAGGAATTTGCAAAATGTGAAAATGTAATAAAAAGGTTATGCAAAAAAGATAACGCTTTCTGCTTTCTTTTCAGCTGCTGCAAGCCCGGGACATGCAGGAGAAGCAAAAGGCGGTGGAACTGACCTCTCACATCCGAAGGAATTCGCACCTGAGACGTTCCAGCTACGCTTTCTCTCACAAGGAAGGTTACGCAGACCTCATCTCCAGAGGTGCTAGTCTACGGAGCAAGGGCCCCCGTGTCCGCAGCCAGCTGAACGGCTTTGGCAGCAGCCCCAAATACACCCCCTCTGTCGATGGTGCCTCTGAAGAAAAGAAATTCCATCTCTGTTGACCAGGAGGAGAACAAGGCCTTGGTGTGTGTGTGTGTGTGTGTGTGTGTGTGTGTGTGTGTGTACCAGTAGCCATAGGGACCAGCGTCAGATAATCTCCATCACCTTGGCGTCCGAAGAGGGCTCCCGAGACCCGAAGCGCAGCCCGCAGGAGATCGCAGCTCTGAGTTCGAATTCCGGCACACCGGACGTTTCCTTGCGCGGAAACCGCCGCCGTTCTCGCACGGGCGCCGGCAGACGTTGAGCGGTGACTCTGCTGTGCTCTCGCACCGTAACTGTGGTGCGAAAGAAGACGTCGATGTTGCAAATACCCTCTGAAACTTTATTCAGAAAGCATTTCAATCGACAACCACCGGTGCCTGATTCTTATGGTTGTTTTTTTAATTCAGAGGTACCGAATTCAGAGGCGCCGGCAGAAAGGAGAGCCCTCAAGCAAAGTGGAGCTTATCCCATTCACTTCTGAGCACAGGGGTCAACTCCTAGGGGCCAATGGATATTTGCCCCCCTCAAAAAAAAAAAAACAATGTTTGAGGAGGCTGGGCCCTACAAAGTTGATGTGCCTTGCTATTCAAATAGTGTGTGTGCGCCTCATCATGTGATTGATTATTCAGGGAGGGGCTTGCCTGCCCCCCCAATATTTTATTCAAGTTGGTACCCCTGTTTCTGAGCGTCCTTCCAGGGGGTACATACCAGCAGTAGCCAGAACTAGAGGTAAACGGACAGAGCCTCAAATGTAAACTTTAACCTCCGTCCCGTAGGCCAGTTTCTGCAAGCTCTCACACACCCCTCTCTATTCTCTAGCCAAAGAATCAAAGTATTGTACAGTTGGAAGGGACACCCCAAAGGGCATCTAGGCCAACCGCTTGCAAATGCAGGAATTCTGTTTGTGCCAAAAACACCTCTTAAGAACACGAGCGTGGACTTCCCGGGGTCTTCTCGAACCCGGCACCCTGTTTTCGACAATGACCAATTCCAAGTGTTTTTCTGGGAATCGCACGGCCAGGGCTCCAAAGCTGACACACAGCCGCCGTCGCTGGCAGGTAGACTGCCTCTGAATAAGAAGGTTCAGCCCAGCTGTCATTCCTAACCCAATAAGAGCCCTGACGGATCTGACTCAAGTTCTGTCTAATCCAGCGTTTAGCTACAAACTGTCGGGTGTCTGGGAGAAGCTCGCAAACGGACCGTGAAGGCCACCAGCCTCCCCAAGTTGCTGGACCTCATCACCTACTGCTGGGAGGTAGACTGCCCCTATATCTGGCCGTTCTATGTCTTGTAGCTTTCAATAGGTGCCTGGCTGTCCTTGAAGGTATTTTTAAGCACCGCATCATAATTTCCCGGGGGCTCTTTTCCTCTGCAACATTAGTTGTTTTCAATCATTGCTTTCTGGCTGCAAGAAAAACAGGAGGTGCCTTTTTTAAAATAAATAAAGAACACTTCTCTCTTTTTTTAAAAAAAGAACAGTTTATTTAGTGAAGGAAAGCCGCCTCCAGTAGTAACCCGCTTGACAAAGCTCCATAAAGGTGGTTTGTTTTTTTTAAATTCCTATTATTATTCTCTTAAACGAAATCAGGGTGCTTGCCGCTGCATTACCGGGAAGAGCCCCTAGAGGGCGCCCAAGCGACGCGGCCGGTGTTGGCTGTTGCACACAAGACTGCCCTCTGCTGGACGGATGCAGTACTGACACAGAGCGAAATCTCCCAAGACTGTAGCAGTTTGGCTGACTGGTTATGGGATGGAGGGTAGAAGCTTCACAGCAGAATCTCTGATGCACAAGGGCTTCAACTCCAAACAGAGGTTCTGTCCAAAGGCATCCTTAATCTCCCCTCCCCCCCTTTTTTGCACTGTCCAGCACTTTGAAATAAAACTGATTTTGGGAAAGGAAAACAAAACACTCCTGGCTGGTTCTTGGGGCTGCGCGCCACAGATCTTTCATCTGCAGGAAGTGTGTTCTGGGGGGTTACTGGGCAGCGAGCGGAATTCCTCCTCTGGCATTGTTCGAAAGCCCACACCAGACACCGCCAGTGTGTTAGATATAAGGCTCACATCACGAATCTACAAATAGGGGAGAGTGGGGCAGCTGCCATTGGTGGCTGGTACTCATTGGTCCTTGATGGGCTGGGAGGCAGGGAGCTGGACAGCAGGTGGCGCTAGAGCAATGAAAATTGGAGCCACGGAGTGCTGACTTTGTCCCCATCCTCTTCCTTCCTCCTGTTGAGGTCTGCGAAGGCAAAACTTAGACTAAGGAGGAAGGGTGTGTCAGGGCTGACCCTGGACTTCTTGCCAGTAGGGAAGAAGGCAGGCAGCAGCTGTCAGGCAAAGGTTGCTGGGGCAGGGCCCAGTTTCCCCTCATAGATTAATTGTCCATTGTTTTCTGCTTTCATTAAATGGATCACTGGTCTCGATAGATAGCACAATTCATCTCAAACTGCTCAAACCCACAGCGCCACCCGTGTCCCTCAAACTGCTGTTTTAGGGGTTGTTCAATCCGTTTTGCATTCCTTTCTATGGGAAAGCACGCCTTGGTTTTGGAACGCTTTGGTTTTGGAACGGAATTTCTGGAATGGATTAAGTTTGAGAACCAAGGTGCCACTGTAGTGACCCCCCCACACGAATAAACAAATAAGATGTGCCAGCAATAAATAAGCAAACCAACAAATAAGATGTGCCAGCAATTTTCACCAAATTAATTTGTCTTTCTACACATTGCATCGCAAAATTCAGAGCAGTGCAAATTTCAAAGGCAGCTGCCATGTTTCGGTTTGCGAAGGGTGAACAGGGCGGTTTCTCATTAAAAGGGAAATGAGGTAGAGAAATAGAGTTTCTGCCTGCAGCCCCAATCTTCTGGGTCTAAAGACAGACGGCTCTCCCTGTTCCAAAGTTTGAAACTTTGGGGGAAGTTTTCTAATCTACATTGGCTCCCAGTATGTTTCCAGGCACAATTCAAAGTATTGGTGCTGACCTTGAAAGCCCTAAACGGCCCAGTATCCCTGAAGGAGCGTCTCCACCCCAGACACCAGGGTCCATCTCCTGAGGGTCTTCTGGCGGTTCCCTCCCTGTGAGAAGCGAAGTTACAGGGAACCAGGCAGAGGGCCTTCTCGGTGGTGGTGCCCTCCCACCAGATGTCAAGGAAATAAACAACTACCTGACTTTTAGGAGACATCTGAAGGCAGCCCTGTTTAGGGAAGCTTTTAATATTTGATGAATTATTGTATTTTAATATTTTGCTGGAAGCTGCCCAGAGTGGCTGGGGAAACCCAGCCAGATGGGCAGGGAATAAATTATTATTATGGTAGCATCAGTGGCAAAAGTCAACAACACGGGTGAACTGCAAGAGCTTAGTTGAATGACCAAAAAATAATTTATTGAAGGAACCCAAAAGCTGTAGGAACATACAAACACACATGGAACAGCAGATAGCAATAAAAAAAAACACAAATAAAATTATTTTCTCTCTCTCTTAGTTTTTTTTTTTCTTTTTTGGTTTCCTTTCAAAAATCGGTCGAGAAGTTTCAAGCAGGGATCTCGAATGCTGAAAACCAGCTCCAAGCAACATTGTTATTTCCCCTACCCCCACCCCTCATAATGGTGGTGTTTTGGTTCTGGGTTTCTTTTGGATAAAGTGCCAACAAATAAGACTTTTTTTAAAAAAAAGAGAGCTAAAGATTAAACTGACATCTTGAAAAGAACCGAAGTATAGAATGGCAAAGACACAGAAGGAAGAGCGAATAAGTATGTGTTACCCATAACGTTAAAAACAAAAAACGAGTTTCCTAAGCCACCTGGGTAAAGAGAAGCAGGAATGAAACGCAGGAGCTTAAACCGGCTCTGGAATTTTGAAACAGGGCCATTTACGTTGCTACAAAACAGCCTTCCTCACTCGCTTGCTAACAAAACCCCAAATGCTTGGTACAGATTTGGCGAGTGATGCCAAAGTTCCAGGTCATGCCAATGAGTTATTGTGGGACCTCCCCCCCCCAATGTTGGTGAACAACCTCCAGGCTTCTCCCTGCCCGATTTGAAATTATATTATGAAGCCTCTTGCATTTGCTGGATTCGAGACTGGATAAAATTAAAAAAGACAGATTTATTAGATTTGGAAGGCAATGGTGACTGGTTCTGATTGGGCAAAAGGCAAGGAGGCCAACAGTAGGTGGTGCTACAGCCAATAATGGGATGGAGGCAGAGCCAGTGAGAAATGTAGCCACCCCCTGACTGATTTGTGAGTACAGTGGAACCTTGGTTCTCGAACTTAATTCGTTCCAGGAGTCTGTTCGACTCCTGAAACTATTTGAAAACCAAGGCGCTCAAGCGGAAGCCACGTCAGATGTTTGGCTTCCAAAAAACGTTCAAAAACTGGAACACTTACTTCCAGGTTTTCAGCATTCGGGAGCTGAGCCATTCAAGTACCAAGGTACCACTGTATTATTATGTTTCATTTTGTCAAAATTCCCGGCATGGCAGGCTTGTTAGTTTCTCGCAGTGAAACTGCAGTGCCTTAAATTTCTTGTGTGGTAAGCTTTTGTGGAGTTTCAAACCCACCTTGTCAGATGTAGAAAGTGAAATCTCATTTTGGAAGGAATTTGAAGTGTGTGCTGAATAGCAATGGAATATGGCAACATTCAGGGACAGGGACGCGGGTGGCACTGTGGGTTAAACCACAGAGCCTAGGACTTGCCGATCAGAAGGTCGGCGGTTCAAATCCCCGCAATGACGGGGTGAGCTCCCGTTGCTCGGTCCCTGCTCCTGCCAACCTAGCAGCTCAAAAGCACGTCAAAGTGCAAGTAGATAAATAGGTACCACTCCGGTGGGAAGGTAAACGGTGTTTCCGTGCGCTGCTCTGGTTCGCCAGAAGAGGCTTAGTCCTGCTGGCCACATGACCCGGCAGCTGTATGCCAGCTCCCTCGGCCAATAAGGCGAGATGAGCGCCGCAACCCCAGAGTTGGCCACGACTGGACCTAATGGTCAGGGGTCCCTTTACCTTTACCTATGGCAATATTACAGC